CTCAGATTTACTTCTAACTTGCTTAAAGTCACAAGTCCAGGTTAGCTCTGGATACACTAGACTTTCACTTATACAATGCTCAGATCTTTTGCTGACTACTTCAATTCATCTCACTTATACATTAAAATTATTAATACTTTGCTCAGAAACTATTCAGAATCTCTGCCTGCTACTTAGGCTTCTAATCTCAAAACTAATTAACCTTCTATATAGTGTTGGCTCCAAATGTGATATGGCAATTTTAGAGCATAAAAGGTCATAGGTCAAAATATCTCTCTTTTATTTACTATGTAGAATTGTTTTACAAATACAACAAACAACTTGAAAGAGCAAAGAATCAGAAAAAGCCAGAAACTGAGACAGAAGCCTGTCAAAGTGCAGAGAATCCCTACATGTTAGAAATGTTTGAAGCCCTTGCATATGCTTCTAACAATATGTAGTATGTGTGTATAATGCCTTGAAAGCTATAGTGGCTTTTGAAAGGCTTTCAACTACTTTTCAAACATAAAAACCAGAGCACAGCAGAAATAATATAAGATTATAGTCTATAGCAGTTCAGCCTACTACAGAATATGTATTAATGTTATATCTAGGCATATATGTATAGAACAAAATGTATGAGAATCATACAATGCAAAAGATAGAAGGAATTGAGTTAAAAATACTTGCCCCTGCAATGACAGCTAAGAAGTGTGAACTGTACTATCAAATGTATCTAAGCTAATATTAGTTATATCTCTGTATGGCCACCAATACATTGAAGAGTGTTTGTGAATATTTTGATGAATTTACCATGTGTTACAGCATGCAGTAGCTAGGCTAACCTTGAGAACAGCAGCAAACATGTTTTGAGCATCACAAACGCCATAAGCACTAGTGTCAACAGTATTCAGATACATCAAATGGTGCTTTCACATGTCACAGATTATATCCGCATTTTAGCAGATTTATCTGGAATTGATCGGAAGAATGACAGGCTTGCAATCGTGGCACCATTTTTGCTTTTGAGAGCTACATCCAAACCTTTGCTATGCCATCCACCCCAAAAGAAGTCCTTATGTGGGAGGGTCTTTACGTACATCTACTATACATGGTATAAAGAGGTGTGCAAGCAATGTATTTGATGTCAACACTCTCTGAAACCAGTCAAAAACACAGGCTCCTGACTAGTGCTTGGGGGCGGCAGCTTTTTTATCTGTGCTATTGATTATCTACTCATTATCTTGTAATTACTATTTTGGTATACTATGTCAGCACTTTTTGTGTCATCTTTTGAAAGCTCACCACTCTCAGGTAACTGGCATAAATTATTTAGTGCCATCAATTGGCAGCTTTGGCAGACCTCAAGAAACTTTCTCGTTGCTTCTATTTCTCGAAAAAAGGGAATGGCACTTGCTCGCCATCCTCAACCCTAGACTGGGAGCTTGAGAGAGGATATGTCATAGAAATGATGCTCAGGCAATAAAGATTCATTTCAACACTTGCAGCATGAAGATGACCTGTTAACACTTTGAGTGAATCAGCACATGCTTTGTTCAAGTATGATGAGTTCATTGTCAGAGTCATCTCAGGGCTGTGTCATTGTAAGGAACAGAGCATCACAGTCTTTAATTTGGCGAGACAGAGGTTAAAAGGGAGAGGAGCACAAAGAAATTAATTCCTTCAAGATGCACAAAAGCGGTGTGTGCTGGCTAGGTCAGGCTGTGATGTGCACTTGGGGTGTCTACTTCAATGCCATTTCCTGCAGAGGCCTGCAGCCTTTGTTCCCGTAGTATTGCTTGTTGCCATACACAGAAAGTATTTTGCACACTGCCAAATCATGTTGCTAGGTTGTCTACACTTTTTGCTTGTGATTACTTATGCACTACTCCCACAAGCTTGCTCTTGCCCACTCTCAAAGCCTCAGTCTGCAAACTTCAGCTCACCTTCATTCAGCTTTCCCCTTCTTTTGCATGTCATTTTGGCCAAATTCACCAAAATTTCATTATATAATATAATCTCCTCACTCTAGAAGAAGCCTGACTTTTGGACAACAATGAGACTGAAAGCACACTCTCGAGCTCCCAGTTTAGGGTTGAGAATGGCAAGCAAGCGTCATTCCCTCTTTTCAAGAAATAGAAGCAACGAGAAAGTTTCTTGAGGTCTGCCAAAGCTGCCAATTAATGGCACTAAATAATTTATGCCGATCACCTGGAGGTGGTGAACTTTCAAAAGATGATGCAAAAAGTGCTGGCATAGTATATCAAAATAGTAATTACAAGATAATGAGTAGATAATCAATAGTGCAGATAAGAAAGCTGCTGCCCCCAAGTGCTGGTCAGGAGTCTGTCAAAAACATGTAAAACAGCTCACATTAGCCTTAAAAGGACTCCAGAGGCCTCAAAACACACCCAAATAAAGACCAGGCCCTCTAATGTTTAAGCGCCCGTGAGGAATGGTAGTTCACGTATATCCACCTGCACATCTGGCAAATCTGCAGGTAGGTATACGTGAACCGCTATGACTAAGTGTTTAGGAAGGCCTTTGAGGCCTGATAGATTCACAAAGCTCCCTCTCCTCCATTAAATTCCTAATAAATCTGCGATATGTGAAAGCACTGTGCGATATGTTTTGATGGTTGAGCTACTAGCATTTAATATGCTAAAATGGGCACAAACATGCTTACTGCCATGCACAAGGGTATTCCTTCCATTGTAAGCTGCATACATGCTGTAAATTCACCAAATTATTTACAAAGACTTATAAACACATTGGGAACCATGTTAAGATATATGAACACCTAATTTATAGTTCTAAACAGAGTGGAAGTGGTGAGGAAAGCAGATGGTACTTAAGCGCTTATGAAGCACCTATTTGTGTATGTTTGCCTGCTTTCATCTCTTCATATCTCCTCTTCAAACATTTATAATGTTATACATGTATATATATTCTTGATTGTCTTATTCAGCTCTATTAGCTCATATAGCATTCATTAAAATGTGCCCACATCTGAGAGTGCACTTCTGCACTTTAGTTTGGCCAGCACACATGAAAGACAGTACTGCTACACAGGCACATCTAATTTTTACATCTTCTAATGGTTACATGTAGGTAGATGTATGCTAGAAGTATCTATATCCCGAGTTTCAGCTCAATACATGAAGTGTGGAAGGCTATAAAAATCAAGCAAGTTTCACTTCAAAGTTTGAAATAAACCCTAACCCAAGTTTGATGAACCAGTGTAGTGTCAATACACTTCACATTCCCACATCTTTAGTGAAGTTTTATGACAGTGCTGAAAAGCTCTCAACTCTCAAAGTGCCAATCCAAATAGGATGATTCTTCATTACATTCAGAAATTGTAACACCTTGGCACTGCGACACCTTCATGATGTCAGAGATGACAAGGTGCTGCCTGCAGATGAGGATGACTGGGGCAAGCAGATAGATGAGGTTCACCGGTAACACATCTCTAGTGAAGGCTTTGTCAACAGAGTGTCAGATTGAATGCTCGAACTGGTCATTGCTTTATCCAATGGCCAGAGATAGGTAGTGTATATTTATATGCTCATTGGCTACAGACTGTGCAAGTATACTAGGACTAGTAGCAGCCATGGCCAGAGCTCTAGAGCCTGAGTTCATCACACTGGTGTGGTGCCCACACAAGGCCAATGCTACCTGGGTGGTGTTGCAACTAAACAGCTTAAGATAATGGGTAACTGGTGGGGAGTATGGATATCGGACACTTAGTAGCTAGTGTAGGCCCATATGTACCTCATAGTTGTACAGGCCTTTATAAACATGCAGAAAAAAAAAGCCAAGGAACAGTTCAAAATCTGTCTCTTCTAGCTGTGTACATCTGCCATTCAGCTCATGTGCTCAATTTTTAGGCTGACGAAAACCAATAAATATGTCCACATTGCAAACTCTTCACTCATGTTGATCTGTCACCTGCACGTTTTCTCTGAAACATGGCCAAGCTTTTCAATCACGTGTACATCCACTACCCACTCTTTTATTTCCCACCACAACTCACATCTGTTATATCAGGCATCATAAACACACTGCCTAGCATGATTTTGAGCTGAATATGATCAAACCTGGCAAACCATCTACCATGCTTTATTGTCTGAGCAACTGCTGCAACTTCAGATGAGCTGCTGCCTTTGCTTGATAGCATGGCTAATATCCCACCAGTGTCAATAACGCTGTTCACAAGATCCAAGAGCATTGTCTCTCGAACAGCTGTCTGGACCATGCTCTCTTCTGTCAGCTCAAGGAGATGCATGACAGACACTACTTGAACTATTGTTGCAATGACAATTCAGGTACGTCTTCAAACCTCCTTCACTTCTGTGCCTCACTGGCCACTTTGTGCAAGCTCCCACTCAAAAACCAAAGAAGAAGGTAGGACATGCAATGTTTGTTGTCCCACCAGGTATATTATTATTGCCTCCTTTCCTCTCTTAGTGCTCACAACAACTTACACACAGAAATCATTCAACAAGTTGAGAGTGGAGTCTCCTTCTGCACAAATATGTCCAACACTGAAACTCAGCTCTGAGCACTGGCAGCTCAGGTGACACGTTCTCTTCTCAGATTTCAAGCCCTCATTCTAATTTTACCAGGCCAAGCTCAATTCTGATGGAGTTGCCACAAATGAGCTTGTGCATGCTGTTAACACAGTGGGCAACATTTCTCACCACATGCTTACTTTGGGCTCAATGGGCTCTGCCTTAATGTTTGACGTACCGGTTGTCTCTTTTTCTGGCAAGGAGTTTCAGAAAAGAGAGCACAGAGAGCAATATGTCAAAAAGTAGTCGTTACATGTCCTGTACTAGTGTTAAAAGCAACAACTTGCAAGGCCTTTTCTGACAAGTGCACATGCAAACAATCTGGGCATTTCAGGGTCCAAGTGATCCAGTGACTTGTTGTGCAATGTGTGACCAATCTTTGTGTGACTTGTTTAGGGTATTGTGCAGTCCAAACATCTCTTGCCTTCTGCCACCAGTTGCTACTGCATGCGCGCTTCCTTTGCCAATGCATATAACAGCACATCAATAGCTCTGATGCCCAAGCAAGCCAAGAATGCTGAGGATACTAACTATGGTGACAATAAAAAGGCCAAGAAGGAGTGCTATAGCAAGATGAGGTACAGTACCGTCACCTCTTGGCTTGCCACTTATAGGCAGTTTTGCTATAGTTCTATGACTAAGCCTGCCACATACAGTCTAATGCATCAACTGCAAACTGCCGCCAAAATTCTCATCAACGCTAGCAACTCGCAGCTAATGAAATACCTACAAAAGACATTCTATTTGGAAGGTCTTCTTGCAGACAATGTCATTGTCTAAGTGGTCCACAACAGAAATGAAGCCCTTATAAAAGAGGTTGCCCAACTTGAGCAAAAGGTTGGCATCCTACACCTACACCAGCAAGTTGTTGATCTAGAAGCCAAGTCTGCCTTGGCTATTCTTTTGCCTGACACAAGTATTGGCTCATCCTTCAGCCTTGCAACTGTCAGTGTATGTCCTATCTTCCTATCTACCTTTTCTCACTTACCCAAGAACTCAGAATATCTCCAGTGTCAACTCTAACTTTGTGTGCTCTGGAGGCAGCTCTGCATTCAACTTATCTGCAGTTGATCCCAATTTCAACATTTCTGTGGTTGATCTCAATCCCGACTTCTCTGCAGTTGATCTCAATCCCAACATCTCTCAGATGCTCATGTCTTTTGGCAACTTTCTGGCTTCCTCAAGCTCTCTGCAGTTCTAGCTATATGCTATGTAAAAATGCTTGTACCCCTCTTTCCTTTTTATATATGCATACTCTGCTGTGTTTCTCCAATGCTATCAGTTGCAGCAAGCAGTGATTGAATCAGACCTTGTGGCAATCTGGTTTGAGCAAGCAGTGTTGGGAACTTGTATGGTGTTTGATGATGTGGACTTGAACATGCTGGATACATTGTCCCAGGCATCAATCAGCAGTTTTTGTACTGCACAAACATAAAGATCCTCTGTTGAGACAACTGACACAGGCCAAGCATTGACGTTAACAGTGGGCAGAAGTGCTGCTGCTGCAATGCAAGCAGCTGCTCGAGCCACACACGGAGCATTGTGCCCTCTTCATGCAGCTCACGTGTTACCTGTAGCATCCCCAGCTTGAGCATGTTCTGCAATGCGCTGCTGCTGCTGCTGCATCTCCATAGCACACACACAGATGTGCATGGGACAGAAGAGTCCTCACGCTATTCTACGGTGGTGTGTCCAGCACAGACTTGCTTGTGGCCTGAGCCAGTAGAGCAGCCACTTTGTGTCTTTGTGGGTGGCTCATATGGCAACTCTTTGTCCAGGCAGGAGTTTTGCATGCACATCAACACAAAACTCATTACCTAGCTTAGAAGTCAGGGCAAAGAAGTATAACCAAAGAGCTTGCAAAAAATTAAAGATAGATAAGCTATTATTATTAAAAACACTGAGGTGTATGATGCTAGCAAGCGAATTAAGGATTATGCTCTCTGCCAGGAGGTGGTGGAAGGCTAGGAAAAATATCCTGCTCAAAGGCTTTGCATGTGTCAAAGTTAGTGATAAGTACAGCTCCTTTCTGGGACTGATTGCTTGAGCCTTCTCTTTCTCATCTCTGGTGCATCTTATAGATTCAAATGGCAATTCAGCTGACTGAAGCATGCTGACCTGGGTGAACCAGACTATACTGCCATGCCCACCTGTCTTATCATTCCACAGCATGGAATTATCTGGTGTAGGGTTGGCATTTACGTTTGTAGTCACCACTTGAATGTCTATATAAAACTGAGAATATCAGGCTTATTAAAGGCAGTGCAATTGCTTACCATCTATGAAAACATCAAAGTGCAGAAAAATTGCAAAGGGAAAGATTACCAGCAAGCCTGCAGGAACTTTAACAACTATTCTTGTCTTCTAAATCACCAGTCAAATTTAGCAGCAAGTCTCTGGGCAATCTAAAGTAAACCATTCAGCCAGAAGAAAAAAACAGGGTGATCAGTGCTTACAGCCTTCATAGCAGTAAACAAACACAGCACAAACTAGCAGAGCACTATTTTTGCTGTCAACATGGGGTGTACACTTAACGCTAGCAGCTGGCACACACAGTGCATTGATGCAAAAGTTCCAAAACAGCCCAAAGCTGTTTGGTAGGTTGTAGAGCTCCTTGAGCTTCTGTACACAGTTCTGTAATCTCTTTGCAACACCAGGGAAAGCTTGAAAAACAATGTCAATTATCCAACCTCTGCTATAGTCACTTTCAAAGCTCTTTAGGTGGGGTAAAAAAGAGGACTCATGAACGCCAATGCATAGCTTCAGATTGCTGCAAAGAATCATAAAACTCCTTAAGGTTTTTTACATAATAACCAGAAACTGCAGGTTCCTTAGAAGAGCTACATCAGATATATTCGTCTCTTTAAAGAATTGTACTCACTCTCTTATTTTGTCTATTGCAGTCCCAAATAAAGAAATAGTGAGGTCCTCTGTAATTATATGATGACATGCCTTCCTTTCTATTTTGTTCACATTGCTCACCTAGCTTGGGAACCTTTTTGTTGAGTGCATCCAAGATTGGAGGCATTCAGAATAGCAGGTTGGTTCTATACAGAAACACCTGCCACTTGCCATCAGCAATGCATGTGGATCACTGGGATTGCCTGCCAAATGTTAGTAAAGTGTCACTTAAGAAAATAAAAGTGCACACACTGAAAATGGACCAAGGTGAAAACTCACAGGGCCTCATAAATGGAGCCATCTTCATAAGCTTTGCGAACAACACTCAGAGTGTAGCAGTTGCTTGCTGCACCCACCCACCCAAATGCTGATATGTGTATGCAGTCCAGACCCAACAATGAATTGGTTGCTGCATAAACCTCATTCTGAGAGGATCCAAACTTCTTGTGCAGCCCAGCTTTCCTGCGCTCCTTTTGCTTCTCTGCCTAACACCAAGTAGTGGCACCAGAGTCAGCAGATGCAGCTTGAGGGCAGCTCTGGAACAAAGTATATGCTAAGCAATGCTATATCAGTCTTACATTTTATCCAATTACAGACTGCTGTTGCTTACCATTGCCTGGTTCATTGCAAGCCTCTGAGTAGACTTGAGCCTCCTGCTTTGTGTGCTTAGGCTCAAAACTCAGAGAAGTTAGACTGGGACAACTGTGCTTGAAGAAGGATGCTAGCCTGAAGGAGAGTGTTAACAAGGTTCTAGTCCACTCATAAAGACTCCAAACTCCCACCTTTCCACAGAGTAAGCAAAATCTACTTTGCAGCTTTGATTGTGTGGCAACATTGACCTACCTCTTCCAAGCACATCAAGCTGAGCTGCTTGTCTGGCAGTCTCTCTCACTGTCTGCTCAGCCTTCAGAGCTGCCTGTTCAGCTCTCTCTTTTGTCACCTGCTTAGCTGTGACAGCAGAGATTCCAGCTCAGAGATGCGAGCAAGTAGAATGTCACTCATGTAGCAAGAGCAGAACAGCAAGTCTTCACTAGCTCTATAAGTGGGACTGCAAAAAAGTTGTCAAACACAAAAGGGTATAAGCAAGAAGCTACACTTACTAATTTGCAGTGAGGTTTGCATGCAAGATTTTGCACTGCAAAGCACTGCCCTCAGGGCTTCAAATAGTAGACATGATACCATGTTCACTGCTGAAAAGAGGGCATGCTTGCAGCTGGATGTGGAGTGTGTGCTGACAATTGGAATTAGAGGCCATGGCTTGCAGAAGCCTCTAGTGCAGATCTTGATACGAGTTGAGGGCAAAGAGGTGGAGGTAGTTGCAGTTGTTGGAAAAAGCAAGCATTGCAGCAAAGGCGATTTGGCCTGCAGTCAGGTAGCAAGAACTTGACTGAGGTTGCTGCAGTGGGCCCCGATTGGTGCTTGGCACACCAGTGCTCACTGTCTCTTGCTCTTACTTACTGCTGAGAAGTGTCAAAGCAGTAAGAAAAGTGAAGAGACAGCTCATGGTTAGTATGCAGAAGCAAGATTAAAATGCGACCTGCAAGTGGAAAAGTGAAGGCAGCTGCTGTCACAAGAGACACAGGCTTTGTAATGAGTACAACTCAGCCACAGTCAGGCAGTAAGAACTTGGTTGAGAATGCTGCAGCAGGTCCTGAGTAGTACTTAGCACATCAGTGCTCACTGTCTCTTGCTTTTACTTGCTGCCAAGGAATGTCAAAGCAGCAAAAAAAGCAAAGAGACAGCTTGCAGTTGGTGTGCAAAGCAAAGTCCTAGCATAGCCCACAAATGAAGAGGCTAGATAGTCACAGTTGTCAGAAAGCATGGGTTATCACAGCAGATGCAGGCGCATTTAGATAACAAGCAGCGAGGGTTGCTGTGGCACATACAGGAGCCCAAAAGTTTGGATGCCGGATGTTGGTGGTGACCAAGAATGTGTCAACAGAAGATCTTGAGCAACACATCAACAGAACGCTGGACGATGTGCAAATAGAATCAAGCACGTCAATAGCAAGACTGACTCTGGCCTGCGCTTTGCATCGTGCTTCTATGCCACCACTAACCACACTGCCTGTGTGTATACAAACAGGAGTCATGGCAGAACATCGCATGAACCACAATGCCACCAAAGCCTAAGGGTGAGCTGTCCGGCCATCTATCCAGCACTTTAATAATCCAAAATGATATATTGAGCAGACATTGCAGGCACCTTGAGATGCCTTGGAATAGAATGTCAATGTCTCTCAATGCTAACATTCTTTAATTAAGGGCTTGCGATGTTTGGATATCATTGACGCCTTGATTTGCCTTAAAAGGCATTTCAAGGGGTGTTTTATTTTTCCAACATGACAACAAAAAAGTGAGGCCAGAGTGACTTGAACACTCAATATAAAAGCTGTTCTCCAGCTCTCAGATGCACATGTCACTAGGTAACCTTTTGGCTTCCACTCTGCAGTTCGAGCCATCTGGGATTCCACTATGTAGTACATGTAGCTCTGCCCCTCACAGTGTTATCACTTTTGTATGTTACTGGCTAAGCACACACCTCAGTCATCTGTCTCATAGATAGTCTCTAGCCTACCACTACAGATCACTACCTGCACTTGCACTCTTGTATTGTAGACACATTTGTCAACTATACAGCTCAGTCCCGTTCTCTCATGTCTGAGCACCTCTCAATGAAGACTGCCAAGTTCATGATCTTACATGTAAAAATACATGTACCCCTGTTTCCTTTGCATGTATACCTACTCCTTCGTGACTCTCTAATGCCATAATGCTAGTAATTGAACTGGATCTCATCATGATCTTATTTGAGCTGATAAATGGCATTGGGAACTTGAATGATGTTTGGTGACAGACTCGAGCAAGGTAATCATTGTATTAATTCAATCGACAGTATCAGCTTTACATGTGTTGTCCTTTCTTTCTATCTGCATGCAAAAAAGAGACACATATGGTTTTGTTTCAAACAGACATATCATGACGAACCTGTCGAGTGAGTTCGACCAGCAGACCTGATAATACAGTATAGCACAAACACAAGCATCATAGCAAAATGATGGTATCACGAAATAAGCGCTGAAAGCTCATGATAGTTATTTTAGCTGATACCCTCTGATTCTGCTTTCCCAACACTGTTTCTACAACATAATTGCATGCAAAGTCATGAATGTTCTGAATATTCTACTCTTTTACACCTAAAAAGATAAAACCACTGAGGCCAGAGTGACTTGAACACTCAACCTTCTGGAGTCACATGACCGCATGACTGGAATCAGACGCGCTACCGTTGCGCCATGGCCCCTTGATATGATTGTGATACACGTGACTATATACGTAAAGAATCAGAATTTGGATACTTCATTCAAATCTAACTTCAATACTGCGGTCTAGCAGCAGCTTTATTCTCCACCTCCTTCACGACCTCATCGCCAAGGACGACACTGGCGACCTCCGAACTTATTACACTGGTGCTTTAACGACCTCACGATGCCTAAAGTACCATCTCTTTCTCCAACCACGGGTCAGCCGACGCCGCCGTACTACATCCATACCACCGATACCCACTTTGTTGACAACGCTGGCCGTTCTCTCCTTTTGCGGGGCATCAACCTCTCGGGCTCAAGCAAAGCACCCTACGGGAAGCAATCACAAGTGCTCGGCGGTCTTTGGGAGTCAGGCGAGGACGGGAGCGAAAGCTTCGTGAATAGACCGCTAAATCTTGACGATGGTTCCGCCGACGTACATCTCTCTCGGTTGAAGGGCTGGGGCTTTAATATGCTGCGATATGTTGTTACCTGGGAGTCACTGGAACATGCAGGACCGTAAGCGGCGCTCCGATACTGATTTAAGGCTTGGCTGACACTTTTCTAGAGGACAATATGATCATGAGTTTATGGATTATGTGGTGCGCGTCCTGCGGAAATGCAAAGAGTATGACTTTAGGGTCTACCTGGACCCACATCAAGATATTGTACGTGGCTCAGTCATTCATTGCAAGCTCGCGCCAACCGTTTTGTAGTGGTCCCGTTTCTCTGGCGGGTCAGGAGCGCCGTTCTGGACGTTACCTGCGTGTGGTATCGACCCAAGAAACTTCACCGCTACCCAGGCAGCCATCATACACTGTGAATACCCGACACCTGCAGAACCCGACCCTGCGAAGTTCCCCGCTATGACCTGGAGCACCAACTATGGCCGCTTTGCAGCCCAGACCCTCTTTACCCTGTTCTTCGCCGGTCGGGATTTTGCTCCGAAATGCGTCATCGACGGCGTTAACATTCAAGACTATCTCCAGTCGCATTACATTGCTGCCATGGGTGAGCTTGCCGATCGCGTACGTGACGCAGGCGATCTTCTCGACGAATGTGTCATCGGCTGGGACAGCATGAACGAGCCCTACGAGGGCTTGTGTGGCTATCCCGACCTCGATGTGTACCCTACCGAGCAAACATCGACCTTGAAAAAAGGGTCATTCCCGACTCCCGCACAGTCTATGCGCTTGGGTATGGGCCAGAAGCAGACGGTGGATAGTTGGGCTTTTGGCACGTTCGGTCCCAAACGGGATGGCACAGTCACCATTGATCCTCATGGGTACAAGATGTGGGCTGAGCCTGAGACCGAACCGGGCGGTGTGCATCCGAAATGGGGGTGGAGACGTGATCCGGGTTGGTCCCTTGGGATCTGCATATGGGCACAGCACGGTGTCTGGGACGTCGAATCCGGTTACGTGGTCGTGCCTGACTACTTCAAGGCACCTCCTTCTGACCTGGACCACGAAGTCGTCTTCCTCGAAGATTATTGGCGTCCACACTGGCAGGCATTCGCCGGGCGGATGCGGAAGTCTCATCCCGAGGCGATTCTCTTCGTTGCCCCTCCTGTATTTGCGCCCCCACCACCGATATCTGAGCAGGACCTCAAAGGCCGCTGCTGCTTCTCGACGCATTACTACGACGGCCTTACGCTCATCAACCGACACTGGAATTGGTTCAACGCCGACGCGTTGGGGCTACTGAGGGGCAAGTACAAGTCCCCCGTGCAGGCCGTCAAACTAGGCGAACGCGCGATACGTCAGTCGCTGCAGGAGCAGCTCGGTGTCCTGAAAGACGATTGCAAGATCCTCGGGTCATACCCCACGATCATCGGCGAGATTGGTGTGCCGTTCGATATGGACAAGAAGCGTTCGTACGGCTGGACTGATGACGGCAAGTATCGTGGGGACTACACTAACCAACAGAAAGCCCTTGACGCGAGCTTGAACGCCGCTGATGGGCCGAACGTCTTGAACTACACGATTTGGACGTACTGCCCCGATAATTCGCACATGTGGGGTGACGGCTGGAACCTCGAGGACCTGAGCGTGTGGAGCGTAGACGACCTAAGGGTGAAGGAGCAATATCAGATGCAGACTGCCGAATCTTCATCCGCGCAGCTCTTGAGCAGCGTTCCACCCCCGGCAATCGGCAGGGCACCCGTGTCGGACGAGTCGACGCTGACGCTGACGACGCTGGTCCCGAAGGACGAGATGAAGCAGCGCATAATCAACACGCTCGAGCCCTGGGAGAACGCCTACGATTTCCTAACGGACGGCGCACGCGCTGTGAAGGCGTTCTGCAGGCCATACCCGCGCGCCGTCGTTGGTGTCCCCGCGGACATCGAGTTCGACGTCAAGAAGGCTGCCTTCAAGCTCACCGTGCGCGTTCGCCCAGAGGACCTGCCGCGCCCCGAGGCGCTCGTTGCGCCGCGCTCGTCGGGTGATTCCTCGACGCTCGCGTCCAATGGTCCCGAGAAGGACGAGGCACTAGCCACCGAGATCTATGTGCCGCTCGTACACTACGCTAGCGACCGCGTCATCGCCCGATACAACGGCGAGCAGTCCGTCGACGACACCCCAGAAGGCGATTCATGTCCTTCCTCGCCCGTTGCCTCCGATCCGGGATCACGCACCCCTTCTATATCGGATCTGTCAGCGTCATGGAAGTCTGCGGCTGCGGACTCGGGCACCCCGCTCGCACTCGAAGTCGAGGTTTCTGACGGACGATGGTCTGTCGATGGTCAGCTCCTTAAGTGGTGGTATCCTGTGCCATCACCGTCGGAGGGCGAGCGGACGTGCACCATCACCATCACCCGCATCGGCGGAGCGATCAAACTCGCCGGGGAGTCATCCGGGACTTGCAGTATTTGGAAGCTACTTGCGAATTGCTGCCCCTTCATGTAATACAATCTATGTGTAGTTCTGTGTTTCTCCTTCTCTCCGTGCATCTTATCGCTCACAGTATTCATGACTCTCACTCCGGACTTCTCGCATCGCTTATGTATGATCTGCAATAGTACTTTGGTTTAGGACTTTTTAGTACGCATTGAAATTATTCGGAAATAGTTATATGATAATTAGAATGGGCCTGTGGGAAGCGCATACAGTGAAGGTGTCCAAAATGTGCGAGACAGTGCGTCGTGGAGAGACAGAGAGCAAGATCCGCTCTCGGCTTAAGGGGTTGATAGTATCATAAGGGTACCGGTACAGCCTCAGCTAGCGGCGGCGACGACAGTCGCAGCTTCCTGGTCTCGCCTCTTCTTCTCGAAATACATCCAAGTAATGACAATGAGGTCGAGCATGTGCAGTGCGGAGGCGTCGATTTCCAGGGCCGGCTTTGTGCCAGTCAGGAGGCTCTTGTGTCGGAACTTGGCGATAGTTGCGCCGTGCCCATCGTCCGTCTCGAGCTGCATGTAATGCGTCAGTGTCGTAAAGAGCGAATGATTTGGAACACTGGGCGTACATGACATGACTTCCAGCCCGTCTTCCACTTGTAGGACCTTCCGTCCGGCCCTACGAACGAGCGTGTTCTTCGAGTCAGGTGAGCCCATGCATCTGCGGCGCGTAATGTAGCAGACTCACCCCCTAAGCATGCTGTTCTTATGGAGAAAGCTGTCAAAGTCCAACATCTGACCGTTATATACGAGCTGGGAACTCCGCCATGAGTGCCAGTGAACTCTGGCGAGCTCTTGCGATCCTCCGGTAGGCCAGAGACCCCCATGGCTGAGGGTATATTTGGACACCGTCGTCGTGCGACCCGTCAATCTGCGCGGCGTCGAGATTGAGTACAGCACACGGCCGTCAGAAGTGGAGAGGTCAGCGTTCGTGGGGCTGTTGTGCGAGAGAAGGAGCTCCATATCGTGCAGAATGTCTGTGGGAGACTACTCACCAATGACTTACCAATATTGCGCTTTATGAATGGCTCGCGGGCGCATGCAGCTGAAGGTTCGTCCAGCCTCGCACCACGGCCATCAGCGGCATCGAGGACAAGCATGACTCGCAGTCACTGCGTCGTCACCGTGGCTACAGCCATTCATTAACCTACATCAGAGAGGGTCATTGCTACGCAGAGAGTGACGACATGCCGAAGAGATCGGAGGCTTGAGTCGTAGCTTTGTCCCTTGAAGGCTTCTTGCATACAGTCGGCCTAAAGTACGGGCTACGGCCTTTGTCACGACCGGTGAGTCTTAGCCTGAGCCAAACCTGAGCTCCGATATATGCATTACCGAACCGTGACAGACCTGTGCTTGTCATACCCGGTGTGTTAGCGTCTTCGGGTAAAGTGAGCAGCCCTGCCTGGCTGTTCTCGACCATACCATGGGTTTGCAGGTCTGCTATATTCATTCAATCTCATTGTTTTCGGTTTTTTCTTCTTCTTCCTATGCTGCCTCACGGTTAAAGGCAAAAAGGTATCCTGCTACCGACGATGGGACTCGAACCCACAATCTTCGCCTAATCCTACCATAGTAGGAAAGCGACGCCCTAGCCATTGAGCCACGACGGCGTCCCATTATTGCACATTTAAGTGCTATCAGCTGCGGGCGTAAAGTACCACTAATTGGCGGGTTGTCGTCTGCGTTCATTCAGCACCTGCACAGTGCAAGCATACGGGTTTGCATGATATTGAGACCAGCTGTTATTGATACCGTTCGCGTACCTTTAAGAATCGTGTATAAGCTAGAGGTGGATCTGTTTGTGGGTCCCCGCCTCTCGCCTTCCAGTTCGAAAAAAGATGTGGATGTCAGGGCGGAGTGGACTAGTAGACATCAAACTGCTGAAGCTACAGAACGACTCCTCACGGCGAACGTCCACGCATTTGCACTTCCTCACTTGTCTAACTAAGCAGTCTAGAGGATATCTGAATCTGGCAAAGGGCTGCACGACGAGTGAGGTCAGGAAGGCTAGCAGAACTCGTAGTGGAACTAAGGAAAGCTCCGCAGCGTCCTCATCTAGCCTCCTACCTTTATACACTCCGGGCAGCCAGCTCCTGTGCGAAGATTGCTAAATTAGATAGATGAAATAGTTTGACTTCCTCGGTCTGATCATCCAATTCTGGCAAGGAGCATACCAAACATGGTAACTTCGCAACATCGGCCACAGCGAAGACAGAGGTCCCGCCTGAGACGGGAAGAACACGTTGACTAAACCTGAAGTGTCTCGATGGAAGCTACAGATCATACTGCGACGCGATGGGGCAAATGAAAGCAATAATTAGAGTAACGAGGATGTAGTACGTGAGATAGAGCATGACTATCAACAAGCCAACGTACTTAGAGAGCTACTCGACATCTCCGCGACACCGTCAAGGGCCGCGGCGGGCCCGCCCATCTTGTGGGCAGACCTAGGACAATGTACGCCTCTAGCGCACACGGGACGTCCTGCGGTCGGTAACAAGGACACCGGTGAAAGACGACATGAACCAGCACGGAAAGCATGAAAGCATGAAGACTGTGGGGACTGCGTGTGTGTGCGTGCCAAAGGATTGACTGTTGATGATGTTGTGTCGTAGGATTGAGCTGGTCGCGTAGCATTGGAGAGCGGAAGGGCAGGTGATTACGCTCTACAGCTTCTCGGTGATGGCAATCGTAAAGTCGCGGAAATACGTGCTCTGGTCCTTTGGCGAAGCATAGTTCTGAGTGGAACCTGTAAAAAAATGCATCAGTGTCACACAAAAATGACGATGAGTTTGGTAGCACCCACCACCAAAGAACGTCTGCATCATAAGACCTCGGATTCTGCCAGCATCGCTGTCACGAAGGACCAGGCCGCCAACGTTGACAACACTCTGGCCGTTAGCCCAGAGCTGGAGCTCGCCGTTCTGCTGGCCAGCATCGTTCAAACGGACGCGCATGCTGATCGCGGTTGACTGGCCGGCCTCGAAGGTATACGAGCCGCGGCCAACAGAGGCGCCATACTCGTCGTTGCAGGTAGAGAAAGGCGCTACATTGCAGACGGCGTCGTTCGCATCGTAGGCTGGCGGGAGGTAGGTGTACATCTCGCCGGCACCGTTCGTGCGCCACATCAGACGCGCCGAGAAGCAGCGATTATCGCGTTTTCCGCCCGAGCAGCTGAGTGCAATCTCATCGGAGTCACCGCCGTCTGCATTAAAGTAGGAACTGAACGGGAGTCACAACTTAAATAATAATTGGACATACAAAGACCGGGAAGCTTGCCGCCCAGGTTGAACTCGAAGCCGTCCTCGAAAAAGACAGAATAGCCGAGGGTGACCTCCTTCGCGGTAGTGAGGTCGACGTCAGAAGGACCGGGGGCATAGAAAGAGAAACCACCCTGAGGGCTGTTCTGAAAGTTCCATGACCCCTGGGGGTAGGTGGCCTTCACCGAAAGCTGACCATCGGGAGCAGGTACGTAAGGGTGCGGGAGCGCGGTAAGGTCGTTCGTGATGCGGAAGGTCGAGTCGCTCAGGGGGAGAGGCTCCGGAGCAGAGGGCGCGGTCGACCAAGTTTCCAGGATATTGGCGATTGGCGCGAGCGCAGCGAGGTCGGTGTGGAAAGAGAGCGTATCCGAGGTCTGGATGGCGGCAGCGGATGAATGAGTAGATGACGCGGAGTGTACGCTCGAAGTGGTCCTGATTTCGTCGTTATTGGCCGTGGGCGAAGCGGACTCGGCGGAATTGCTCGCCGATGTAGCGATGTGTGAGCTGCATGTCCGTTGGGAGTGAGCATGCATGCGGTGGTGACGGCGGTGAATGGCTTGCGCAGAGCGGTGAGCAGAGACCGAGGCCGCAAGGGCAAGGAGGGTAGCGATCGACTTGAGAACAAACATTACGACCAATACAAGCAACGTAAATGAGAGTTGGTAGCGAGAGAGTGACAGCAGCACAGCGGCGACGAGATAAGAGGTGAGGAGAGTAAGGACAGAGGTCGACGCAGTCGACACGACTGAGCTCGAGGGCAAGAGAGCAATGTCCAAGGACAGCCTGGAAAAATTGGTCCCTCTGCCATTATATTACCCCGCCTAGCTGTACGCCACTCGGCAATCAGGTCTTTTTGTTTGTTCATCATCGATCCACCCCTCGCGTCGCCAAGAAAAACCTTATTTCATGCTGGGGATGCAGCCCAGGTTATCGCATTGTGATCACTTCGGACGAGGTACATTGATATAGGTGCAATACATGATGATACAAGGACGACGTACAAAGGAGCAGCTTGTGCAGGGTCGTAAACAAGTAGGAGTGAATAATTACAACAATCGGAACGCCACATCGGCTTCGAAGGCAAGCATCGGCCCTGAAAAGCAGATGGTGGCAGCCACAGAAGGACAGGCTGATCAGACAGTAGATAACGATAAGAAACGTCGAGCTAGCATTATTATCCCTCGGTGGTTCTGAACGCGCCGGTACGCTGCTTCACAAGGTCTCTGTGATAGCGATCGAGAAGTCCGAGAACCAAATGTATTGATCCACCGGGCTTGCCCAGGAGGAATCAGAACCTACAACATGGGTATTAGCTACATGGCTACGCTGACATCATCAAAAGTCTCACCGCCAAAGAAGGTCTGCATCTGCATACCGCGGATGCGTCCAGCAGAGCTATTTCTGAGGACAAGGCCGCCGACGTTCACGACGCTTTTACCTCCTACGAACAGCTGCAGCTCGCCGTTTGCCTGTCCGGCGTCGTTCAGACGGACACGCTGCGCAACAGTCGTCCGTCCGCTGGTCGTCCAGTTGTACGACCCGCGGCCGACCGAGGCACCATACACGTCATTGCACGTCGAGTACGGCGGGATATCGCACACCGCCTGGTTCGCGGAGAAGTCTGGCGGAAGGTAGGTGTACAGCTCGCCCGCGCCGTTCGTGCGCCACATCAATCGCGCCGAGAAGCAGTCATCGTCTCTGCGCCCGCCCGAGCACGATACAGCCTCGCTATCGCTGTTTCCACCGTCTATGAACACCGATCAGCCACGAGTAGTAGTGTAGTGTCACGGTGAAAATGGACGTACAGAGCCCAGGCACCTTCCCACCCTTCACGAAATCGAAGCTGGCGGGGAAATACGCCGTGTACCCGAATGTGGCTTCCTTGGCAGTCGTGAGATCGACACTCGTGGGCCCGGGAGCGTAGAACGAGAACCCGCCCTGGGGGCTGTTCTGGAAATTGTACGAGCCGGCGGGATAGTACGCCTGCATGGACAGCTCGCCATCGGGTGCGTCTACGTATGGGTGCTGGAGCGCAGTAATCTGGTTGTGTGGGCGGAATGTGGAATCCGCGAGAGGCAGAGCCCCTGGGATCGACGATGATGTTGTCCAGTAGCTGAGCTGGGGCGACACAGGGAAGAGGGGACTCGAGATAGATGTCCTGGTCGTTGATTTACCGGCAGGGCGTGCGCTGGTAAAGGCGGCGGCAATGAGGAAGAGATGTGCTATCCAGAGGGAAGTCGCCATTGTAGGCCTTGGCTAGCCATAAACGAGGCGGTGAAGATCCTTTATACCATTGGCCCCATACCGAGGTTTTGCCTCCGAAATGTTGTAGGGGGGACGGAAGGCGGTCTACAGATACGCACCATGCGTACTTCGAGGAGTGAAAACAGTAATTGACATAAAGGTTATAGTGGTCCTATCCGGTTCTTGTCAGAGAAGTAGATGCTCGGCCGAACTCAGCGCGTGCTTGTAGCCGTTTGGGGCACCCTCGGAGCGACGATAGTGCACACGAGATCCCATTCGATGCAAAGTCTTCTGCAAGCATCCGGCTTAGTACGGGAGACGAGGGGAAGGGGGGCAAGGCGCACTCGTCGCCTGACTTGCGTTGCAACGAAGAAGTACGCCCCTCCGCGCGGTCTGTGGCCACTGACCCAGTAATGAGTTCTGCATGAAGTTAGCAGCGCTTGAAACAAAGCATATCTTCAACATGCGGACGACAAACACTTAAAAGAATGCTTCGAAGCGCCGTCTCGGAACTGTGCCGAGCTCAAATTCACTGACCAATGAACCTGCACGTTCAAAGGAAAACCTGAGAAGCCAGCTTTGGGAAGCGGAATAACGGAGTCGAGCGTTCGAAGGGAGCGGGCCGCGACTCGGTGCACGGCAGCCGCACCGGACTGGCAGAAACCACCACGCCCCCACGAGGCAGGGCTGTAGTCTATGGGACACCATGAGACCGCCATGGGTAGATCGGAACACGGACGTCGGTTCTCTCCGTACGTTCATTGCATATAGGTCCCTGCAGTCAACTATCCCTCATCGATGAAGAAGGAAAGACCCATCGAATGCAAGCCGTAAGTATGCAGCTAAGATCAAAGATAACGTACCGCCATGGAAGATGGACAACAGTTGACCAAAGTCAGGTAGCAACATATCCATAGGCAGCGGCGCATCAAGTTTAAATTGGCTCCATTTTATACCTGAATAGTGTTTGCTCAAACGGCGGAGGGGTCATCCTGCAAGCTTAAAGCAAGTATTGCAACGCGCTAAGCTAAAAGCAATCAAAGAGATGTACCTGTGTCATTGATATCTGCTAGTAGTAGGTTGCGAGGTTGAGAGGTCCAAGGGTTGTTGACGACAGCTGCCATTAACACATCGGCCAACTCCGAGGTGTGTGTGTCATCGACCCAATATCAATTATATCTCATAAAAAATTATGTCAGCATTCATGGTGTAGCGGTAACATTGGGTCTTCCCATGGCCTAGCTCCGGGTTCGACTCCCGGTGAATGCACTTCTTTTGCCCTCACCCTCCCTTTTGGAACCACGGTCAAGGCTTAAGTTGCAACTTGCCACTGGCAACTGGCAACTGAAGCCTTGAGGTATGTATTGTATGACGACTCACCGTTGGAGTTCGATATGCCTAGCAATAGAGTTTCGTCAAATGATATTTTGGCGAATTCCAAGCCGAAAGATGCGACAGCCCGGGCCTTCGTCCTGACACTCTTGTGCTCATATTTGTTTCAGTACATTGCGCGCAGGCTACGGGCTGTAGCTTACCCGGTCCATTCTCGGAAACGACAAGCTTCTAATCACAGAGATCCAGACGTCTTCGACAGTCCGCGATGAAGAGACACGCGTGTGTAGTCCAGGGAATTGCGTAACGGGGGCGCAACACCCTTCGACTGGAAGAGGTGGGGGTGGGGCCAGCTTGTGACACTAATATTAACCCAACATGCTGGCCCTGGGTTTTGTGCAACGTCTCGCAGGATGTGAACACCACCCTGAACGACATACACATTTGTTCGCGTCGGCGAATCTTACAGGTGGCCGTGTGTTGGAGACCGCGCCATTAACATAGTTACCTGCAATTCTCTGCAGCACGATAGCTCTTCTCGAGGGAAGTGAGTCGAGAAGGCATGGGAGCAGCCATAGGAAGACTGTGCAGTACGTACTTGGTGTATCGAGACTGGGAAGTGAGCTATTTCGTGCGGACCTTGAGATGTGCCGTATCAATGCAGCGTATGTAATCTAGTAACTGTCTTGTGAATAGGTAGCTGGTAGAGGTCGAGGCCTCTTTCTATAAGCATACGCGTATAGGTATTCTACGAGCTGCAGCTGTATATGCCTAGATTTACAGACTATTTGCCTACTGATGCTCGCTTTCGAAAATCTCATGGAGCCAAGCTATAGCTTCCTCTGTGATGTCCTTCCACTCGATGTCGCGCCCCATCTTCTCCCTAGGAATGATCTCGAAGCGGTCGCCGGCCCACGTTCCCGTCGTAAGCCGATCTGATATGTTCTCTGGCATAGAGCAATGGCTGGTTGTGGACCAACAGATGCGGGAGAAGAGAACCAGGCCAAGGTCCAGGTACGTGTCTACCTCCGAGCTGTCGTTGCTATCGTCTGTGTTGGGTCCCACGCACGCATCGTTCCTTACATACTCTCCCTTTGATAGGTTGCAGAGCACCAAGTCTTTTGCATAGATGTCGAGTCTAATATCGGCATTACGGATCGCCATGAAAACGGTGTTTACCCTTTTGCGGTCCGCTGAGGACAGGAGCCGGGACAATAATTTATACTGAGCTTTAGAGAGTTTGAGAGGCCACCGGTCCGAAGGCCTGACGGACTTGTAAGTCTCAGAGACGCACTCGTAAAATGAAGCATCCTCCTCTTGGGTGTCGGAGGCGTCTGAATCCTCTCCGTAGACTAAGTAGGTGTAGGTCGCGGCCTGTGCTGATATTTCTTCTTCAACGCTCGCAGGAAATTTCCTACAGTAGTCTCCGACACATAGAATGCGGTGGCCCGCCCAGGGACCAGGCTCGGGGACGGCGAGCTCGCGGAGACGGGCTTCTCCAGCGACACCTAGGATGTTGTGTGTGACGCACAGAAAGATGCAGGACATTAGGTCGTTAATCGCGTCGAATATCATACGAAGTAGCTCGTTCGGAAGGCGGACTATCCTTGACGTGGGTGATGGCTTTGCGCTCTCTAAGACAGCGATCTCTTTGTCTGCCCTGCGCAAGCTTGTGAGTCACCATACTCCTCGACCTGTCGCCATGATTTGCATACCAGATATTCGAAAAGTCAATATCTCCTGACCAGTGTTTCATGAGCAGCTCCGTGAGATTCGTCTTCGAAGTCCAGAAGGACTCTCCCAGTTTCCCACCAGCACCCGATGTTGTCTGCCGGGCGTCGACATTTGCGCTGGCGGCGTGAATACAAGCTATGGTTAACAGCAGTTCGTTTCAAAGACTTCTGGAGAGGCTCACATCACCCAATACTGGCCCATAGTATGCTGAAGACTGCACGGGAATCCGCTCGAACGTTTCAAGAAGAATGACCGCAAGACAAAGGGAGGTAATAATATGAGAGAGCGTGACTTTGAGCGTCAGTTCTTATTGGAGACCGAAGCGAGCGCGCGCGGTGGACACCTCTTGTAGACACTGATGTCGCATACTACGGTAAAACAGCCCGCTGTCCTGACCATTGCCGGTTCAGACAGCAGTGGCGGAGCAGGAATACAGGTTTGTGGTCGGCCAGAGCTCGTTTTGCGCTGGCTCGATCGAGCCATCCCTCTGTAGGCGGACCTCAAGACCTTTACGGCACACTTGTGCTACGGAACTAGCGTCATTGTCGCACTCACCGCACAAAACACGACCGGTGTGCAGGCCGTGCACGCTCTACCACCAGAATTCGTCGAACAACAGGTACGTACAGTTTTCTTCTAGTTTTCTAGACCCGCCTGGCCCTAACTACCATTCAGCTTCGCTCGGTCCTTGACGATGTCGAGATTAAAGCTATGAAAACTGGGATGCTCTTCGACGCTAAGTCCATTCGAGCCGTCGTGCGCATTCTGGAGGCGCACTACGACGGCCGTCCGCTTCCCCTGCTTGTATGCGACCCGGTGTGCGTCTCCACTTCAGGGCACACGCTTCTTCAGGCAGATGCGGTGGAAGTCTTGATCGAGGAGCTCCTTCCCCTGACGTTCCTCGTTACGCCAAACAAATCCGAAGCAGAACTTATGCTGTCTCACCGCGGTCTTCCTTCGAGCATCGAGAGCTTGGAGGACATACTGCGCGCCTCAAGCGACCTCCTCAAACTTGGCCCTCAGGCTGCCCTCCTCAAGGGCGGTCACCTCACCGTCAGCATGGATGACGTCGAGCGGGTCAGCCGGAGCCGACAGAAAATTCGAGTCGTCCGCGACATCTTGTTTGAGGAGAATATGGAAATCCTTCAGGTCGCCGAGAAGGATCTTGCTTCTAAGGAGATAGTAGTCGATGTCCTCCACACTGCATCCGGGACGACGCTTTTCATTCGACCCAGAGTTGATTCGACGAGCACACACGGAACGGGTTGCACGCTCTCGGCTGCTTTAGTATGCGCACTCGCTCGGGGAGAAACAGGTCAGTTATCGCTCCGTACACCGGGAAGGGATAACTGACCATACCACTAGTCGAGACTGCAACGCGAAATGCGACAGTGTTTACTCACCTAGGCATCGAGACTGCTCAGCCCATCGGTGAAGGTTATGGGCCGCTGAACCATATACATAGTCTTACTGTGCGAAGTATCCCTCAGTGCGTTGACTCGGCCACTTCGTCCAGGATGAATACCCAATCGCGATGACTGTAGATCAACATCAAGTAACCCGCACCCGTTCACACGTTTGCTCATCCAAAGCACTTCCGAGATCTGGAAGGAATACGTTGAGCACGAGTTCGTCAAAAAGCTCGCCAGGGGCACTCTTCCTCGAGAAAGCTTCCTCCACTTCATCAAGTCGGACTTCTATCGCGCCCGTCGCTTCCTTTGGCTAATCTCTTTGTAGGCAGGACTACTTGTACCTTCGATACTACGCTCGCGCATATGCGTATGTCTCACGGCTCATTCTTGCACGGTAGCAACTAACATTTTCATAGACTCCTCGCAGCCAAGTCGTCCACCTTCGCTGCGATCAAGACCGCAACTGATACAATCATGAATGTCATTAACGAAGTCGCGACGCACAAAAGCTTCTGCGCAAAATGGGGCATTTCTGAGGAGGAGCTGTCTGCGACGCCCGAGTCACCCGCTACGACTGCCTACGGGGCGTATTTGCTGGACATCGGCCTGCAGGGTCTGTTCCTATTTGCTTGTTCTCGCTTCATCAACGACCGTCGCTGACAGACTGCGCCAGGCGACACGAGCAAGCTCATCGTGGCGTGCGCTGCCTGTCTCTTGGGCTACGGCGAAGTTGGCCTGTGGCTGAAGAAAGAAGCGGAGCGGCCGAGCAGCTGGGTCGTGCTCGAGGGCAACCCGTACAAGCAGTGGATGTATGAGTACGGCGGCGCGGACTACCAGCAAGCTGTGCGCGTCGGCATTGGTGAGAAAGCACGCATGTTTGGCTAGATGAGGTGCTAATTGTCGTATGCCAGAAACAATTGAGGCCATGGCTCAGGAGGACCCGCCATCTCCCGTGAGATTCGAAGAGTGGAAGGGAATTTGGGAGCGCTGCACTCGCCTGGAGAAGGGCTTCTGGGACATGGCGATGAACTTGGCATAGATTGAAAGCAAAAACAGCAGAGAAAGATGTACCTGTAAGGATATGTAACTAGACAGATTAGAATAGATGCAGGTGCCCTATGGTGACGGAGGCGGTGGGGTGAGATCGTCCAGTGAATCATCATCAACTGTAGGCTTGGTCTCTTCAACTTCCACCTCAACTTCTAATTTCGGGCCTCCGAGGTCCAAGGGTATCTCTTCGACTTTGGCTGTCTTCTTGACCCGCTTGGTAACAATCTTCGCGCTTGGGCATAGGCCATTACTCAAGTCACAAGACTCACATTTCGGCCTGACCGGTTGGCATATAGTCTGGCAGTCGACGTGAGAACTATAAAAGCAGCGATGGTGAACAGATCACACCTGTCCAAAGCCGACGAGCCTGTGATTAATCTCTGCGTGTAGCTCCTTGGGTAGCCAGGACTGTAGATTCAAACTAGGCATGAAGTCAGTAACAAGCCAACGAACACATGCGCCAAACGGACCGCGTCTCTTCAGGCGTTTTTGTTGGCGGTTTGTGCCAACCCAATCTGTTTGTAATTCTGTGAACATGCACATCTACACCAATGCCGACATTTCTGAGCAGATATGTTAGTCACCGAAAAGCCATGTGTGAGTTCATGTCTCACATATTCCAGGCGACATGGAGGCACAAGAACGCCATTTTTGGCCCGACTCCAGGAAGGGAGCACAGCTCATCCACGGTCTTCGGGACGTCAGAGTCAAACTCATCTCTCAGCTTCTGCGCAGTCTGCTTGATGTACCTAGCATTCTGAATAAATTGGGCAGGGTGAAATGCAGAGAGACCAGTGCTAACTGAGTTTTCCGCCTCCAGAATCCGACCTTGGCGATGGCATCCGCGATGGCATTTTCATCTGCGCTCAAAATGGCCTCCACTGTTATGGTTCCACCGACGGCCTCGCGCAGCTTCGACACAGCCGCGTCGGTGACCTCATCCTTCGTTTGTGACGAGAGCATGAGAGATATGAGCGTCGAGATGCGACAAGCCTGGCCATGAATGCTGCATTAGACGAATAAAATGTAGACAGGAGCGAAAACGTACCCTCGGGTCGACCTCCTTCACCTGCGCCTGCTCACAGCCCATCGTGTCCACCGGAGCGACAATGTTCTCGCGCATACGCTTGATAGCATCGTACTGCTCCTTCCATCCCGGCGGTGCAGGATGTGGCACAGAAAGAGCCTGCGGGACGGCCTTCTGCTTTCGCGGGGAAGCACTCCGGCGACCCAGTTTTGTCTCGACCTCCGTCGTCTCGGTCTGTTCGACCTTCACGACAGCCTGGTGCGTCCGTCTCGTAGTGGTCTTCTTATTTTCAGTTATTGTAGATAGTTCCTCTTCTTCCTTCACATCCGGCTCGGCTTTGAGTCGTTTGGATCGTCGGGGAGCGGAAGGACCGGGTTCGAAAAGTGTTACGCTAGAGCTGAAGGGACTGGGCTTGCCAATGAGCTCATTGCTAGCAGTCCGCTTCATGCTCAGAGCTAAAGATCGCAAGGATGGCAACGAAAACGTGCTAGTGAACCTCACGAGAGTCTAACGTCTAGCAGCCGGCGTGTGCACTGTGCTACGAAGCCGCGGACAAGATCAACTCGCGCTAGGCGCCTATCGCGTCTCACTATCATGACTGAGAAGCTGCTCTATTTCATGACAAAACGACAGTAGGGAACCACGGGTGAGATCTAGGATTCCACTGCAACTTAGCAGACTCTGTGTGATTATTTCCAACGAAATCAAGCAACTGATCGTTAATGCGGGTCAGACCCTTGACGAGCTGCAACTTAGGTGAGACGCAAGACAGAACAGCGATAGCAAGATTGCATACCTCTATTCTACCTTCGTATCCTTTGTCCGTAGTGCTAGTTCTGGGAATGGCAGTCGATAGGTGTGCGAGGGCGTCCTGTGCTATGCGGAGGTGGTCTTCAACCGACGCCTTTATCTGTCAAGTAGAATGAGAGACAAGTCTCCAATTGTCACCGGAGACATACTTCTTCTATGTTTTCGAGGCTATGATAGAAGTCTTGTAATGAAGGGAGGTTGAAGAGGAGCGCCTCAGGATTGTCTTCTCTAGGAGAACAGAGCCACTTGTAGCGACGCTTGAAGTTGAGACGCATTCGCTCAGGATCTGGTAGCCTTTCGCTTGATATCGTCTGGCACGCATATTCATAAGTCATGAGTCCGGCCAGTTCGTGAGAATCAAAACCTACGGCAAATGAAGCGAGTGACATTGACTGCAGGACGGTCAGGAATTGCGTCTGGAATTCCAATTCGTGTTGTGCGTATGAGTCTATATCTTTTGCTTTAGAGCACACACAACAGCGAGAAAAACTATTTCGTTTCACCTGGAGGGATTATCGGCTTCAATTGATCTAGAGTCTCTAGGTGTCTTTCGAGTATCTGGGCAAGATACCAATAGGCTAATGAACGCTCGTACGCAGCATACAGCTCCTGCTGAAGACCAGTGAGAATGATCTCGCGGGCGGTTGTCAGCTTCCAAACGGCCACAACCAAAGGAAGTGAGTGCAATATTTGGGAAACAGATTCGCCCTAGAGAGCTCTTCAGCGTATGAAGCAGAGAAGAAAGTTGAGTATATGCGTACGGATGCGGCTATATGCTGTATGAGATTGCCGAAGGCATCTTGCAGGAGCTGCCAGTCACGGACAGCCTTCATGAGGTATCGTCGTCTGCGCGGCGGGTTGAACCAGGAGGATTTGATGTAGGTAGGGACAACCTATTATAAAGTCAGCCGACGTTCAAGACCTGAAAGATGATGTAATTACTTCCATGATATGCGACTCCATCTCTTGCAGAGCTAGTGCTCCAGGACCCGTCCACGAGTTGATGAGTACTTCGCATATCGACTCGTAGGACGTCCCAGTAGTTTCCCAGAAGAACCGTTCGATCAGCCACTCCTCATCGTAGTCACCCAGAACAATATGATTATCGATAAATATGTGCTATATGACATGTGAGTGACGTGATTAGTGAGTGTCAGGCTACTGCTACACGCACTTGCGTCAGTGAGCGGAGGTAGGATACTGGTAAGGGCCTGTCTGGTAGCCAAACGCTAAGCAAGCCGTTGACCTGAGAAGCCGTCAGCAAAGACAGCCTTGCAAGCTGAGCTGAGACTTGCCTGCCACGACAGCAGGCTGTGATTTTCCCGTAAATAATTAATGTTCTCCCAGCCATCGAGCATCCGTTCGAGGCTATCCCACACAGAATCTTGGGGAGACAGCTCCAACTCGCGCGTCGGTATGACGGTATGCAGGCGTCGGGAAACGTGTGGGTCGAACGCAGCCACGGCAGGCGAGTCCGCTGGCGGCGTCTCTGGAGGATGAGCGCGCACTCTCCGGAGGATATTGCGCGCGATAGTAACCAGAGGCTTGAGGTCGTCAAGGTGGCCAGTATGCCCCGTGTTGAATAGCTGCAGCAATGTCTGCAAATCACTCTAGTCAGGGTATCGTGCATGCAAGGTGCACGGCACGCGCACCTTCCGAAGCGCGAGTCTGTCCGCAAGAGCATCGATCCACTGCTGCGGGAGGTCCGTGCTGCGGAGCCAAGTGTATGCCCCGTCGAGCTTGTCGATGATGAAGTCAACAGGGACGCCTTCGAGCAGAGTTACCTCGCACTTTTCGCTCTGCCAGTCTTCCATCTGTGGGTAGCCACGGCGGCGTCTCAGCGTCTGTATACTGGAAGAGAGCAGTGGAGAACTGACATCGTACACCCTCTTCTTAGACAGCTCTCGCCAGACGATATCGCAGTCCTTTAACATCGCGAAGACCGCTGGGCGGAGCACGCTCGTAAGGAGCTGCATGGGGCGTGTAGAGTCCTGTGAGTAGAGGTACTCCGGTGGTAATAGGTCGGGGTTGATGTCTTGGAGTGTATGGACGTATAGTAGTGTGTATACTGTCTGTGAAAGCATATTGCCAGCGTACCATCCCATCTAAAGACCGGGGATTAGCAGGGTCAACGCATGAGGGGGCGAAGACTCACTTCACATGCAAAAGATCTGTCTATAATCCAGCAAAGCTCTTCGGGAAGTAAGGGAGTCAGAGGTTCGAACGCAGGACGAGTATTATCCTGCTCTAGTAGCATGCCACTATCCATCCTTGGTTCTCCAATCTATTCATTCGATCTCAAACTAGATCCAAGCTCTGAACAACTATTTCGCACCTCAAAAGCACTCATAGAATCCATTAGCGTGAATCCGGGGGTGAGGATGACGTCCTCAGTGCTCATCTCTGCGCGGATGAGGTCAACATCGAGGTCAACGCGCACGTCCATGAGATGAGTGTTCACCTTTCGCCGCCCGCTGAAAGAGTCCCACAGCATCTTCAAACATATCACCTCCAGGCAAACCCATGGCGTAATCAACATCCATGTCGTCTGGCATCGTCCTCAACGCCGGGGACAGCCTCGGGTCGCACGAGTGAAGCGCTTAGGTTCGCGCGATGAATGGGCGCCCTACAATTCGCGTCGAGTAGGCGCCCTGGCGGGAACCCTTCTCCATCCACATGCTCCTCAATCACTTCCGTGCACCCGCGAGGCGGGCGACGAGGACTTTCTCCTCGACAGCACTGTGCAAGAGTACGGAAGCGGAACCGCGTCGGCGCATCGTATTCTCGGGTATACAGCCCACAGGAACGCCTCACGTAGGTGTGCTTGTTGTTCCGAATATTGTCGCGTCCGTTAAGATAGGCTCTGTGTTATACAGCTGGGAAACTTCCTCGGAGCGCTGCAAAATTGGGTCAAGTTACAGCAAGATACGAGCCCCAACGATATATTGTTATTCTCGATAGTTGGATGGCATTCCTTAACGCTGCCGCAGGACCCGAAGCGGCTCAGTGTCGCGCGCCGAGAAATGCTCGCCGCGTTATTAGCAGTCGGGCTCGATCCCAAAAGGTCGACAATATTCCATCAAGATGAGGCACGGTGATGACAATACTGTTCAGGCGAAGACGTAGAGTGACCATGTTGCTAGAATCCGCACCACACCGAGTTGAGCTGGGTATTCAACTGTATCACTCCAGTGGGGAAGCTTCGTCGAATGACCACTTGGAAGGTGCGCCCAGCGCTTTGAGGAATTGTTGCAGACGGCTGAACCCGTTCCAGTCGCGTCTCGCCACTTCAAGAAATGCGAATGACGAATCCGAAGTCGACGAATCCATGCTGAACACGGGCTTATTCACGTACCCTGTGTTGCAAGCTGCCGACATCTTGCTATACAAGTGATTTTCTTCCATATCTGAACTATCTTTCCTTGCTGAGCGTCCACCATAAGGGCAACACACGTTCCTGTCGGGGAAGATCAAAAGCAGCACATCGAGCTGGCTCGTGACATTGCAGATACCTTCAATCGTCAATTTAGCAAGACGTTTCCTCTTCCCGAATACGTTGCCAGTACGTGTTGCGGCTCTGTCGTCTTATATCATGCTTCGTCTGACATGAAGGCAGCTACCACTCGCCGAGTTCTTTCTCTAAAGGATCCAGCGTCCAAGATGTCAAAGTCATCACCGGATGTATCGTCTCGCATTCTTCTAACTGATACTGAGAAGGAGATACGGAAGAAGATCCGTGGTGCTGTTACTGACTCTGTCACTGGTGTCACTTACGATCCAGTGAATCGTCCGGGGACCTCAAACTTGCTTACTATCCTAGCCGCTTGCACGAATGAAGATATCTACGAGCTTGCAAAACGCTACGAGATCAAAGGCCATGGAGATCTCAAGAATGATGTTGCAGATGCTGTGGTGAAGCTTCTCGAGCAACCGAGAGCCGAGTTCGAGCGGCTTCAGGGCGAGCAGGAGTATCTCAGCCAGGTTGCCAGAGAGGGCGCAGAGAGGGCTACAGCCTATTCGACACTCACGATGCAAGAAGTCAGGAAGTCTGTAGGCCTCACATAGCCAAGATCTAGCACGTTCACACTCGGCATGGCCAGAGTTGTTTTGCCGTGGCAGATATCGATTGCGATTACACCCTACGCAACCAATCTAAATATTTACAAGTTAACGAGGTGGAAAGCGCACTTCCGGGATCGCAGAGTACGGGATCATGCACAATTCTAGCTCCATATTTCTGATGACAGGCCAGCGTTCCGCGCAAGATTCGCTCGCGATCTTTCTCTCCAAGCGATCACTGTACGATGAGCAACGGGGACAGTTCGCCGCGGATGGCGAAGCATGAGCACGCAGATTACTTGCAGAAGATTTGACATCATTGCACTGCGCTCAGCTGACTTCGGAAGATCGCACATTTTGACTCAGAGGCCCGATGCTTCCGTCCGGATGCTGTCTTTCGTCTGGCCAAGGCCATGCATTGTTGGCAAACGGCCTTCGAAGCGAGCCCATCAAGGGGCAGCGGCACGCTTCCTCGCCCGTACGGCATCATGAGACCTGTCCGCCTCATGGTCTGGAAGGCCCAGACGAAGCGCTCACGAACCGTATATTGAGTGCGTCGTTCGAGATGTCGGCCTTCAAGGCTCCGCGCACCCCGCCAGGACGCTATGAGGCCCCTAGGACGCCGTCTGGCAACGTTGGCCGTCCTCTCCGCGAGCCTTGTCTTCGCGAATTATACGGACCCGAATGTCCTGGATGCTTGCCCCGGATACAAGACTACGAATGTGCATACTTCAGGTTCTACCTTAACTGCGGACCTGGTGCTGGCCGGAGAAGCTTGCAATGTTTACGGTTCAGATATCGAGCAGCTCAAGCTTGAAGTCACATACGAGACAAGTGAAGTTTTTGCATTGTTTACGGAGAAGATGGCCAACTAACCCTTGTTTCCAGACACCCGGATTCATGTCAAGATCACCGACCCATCCTCTGATCGTTACGAGGTCCCTGAGTCTGTAGTTCCCCGCCCCGATGCGGACCCCTCGGTCTCTTCTTCGACTGCCGAGATTCGTTTCAACTATACTGCGTCCCCGTTCGCATTCTCCATATACCGCGCCGCGACGCACGAAGTGCTCTTCTCGACCGCGTCGCACCCCATCATTTTCGAGCCACAGTACCTGCGTGTAAAGACGAACCTGCCCGACAACGCGAACATCTACGGCCTAGGCGAGCACACGGACAGCTTCCGGCTCCCAACATTCAACACGACGCGTACGTTCTGGTCGCGCGACGCCTACGGCGTGCCGACAGGAAGCAACCTATACGGGAACCATCCGATTTACTTTGAACACCGCACGACGGGCACGCATGGCGTCTTTTTGCTCAACTCTAACGGCATGGATGTCAAAATCAACGACACGGCCGGGACGAGTCTCGAATACAACGTTATTGGCGGAGTGCTGGACTTTTACTTCCTTGCCGGGAGCACTACAGATCCTGTCGAGGCTGCTCGGCAGTATGCTGAGATTGTCGGCGCGCCTGCTGAGGTGCCATACTGGTCTTTCGGCCTCCACCAGTGTCGCTTCGGCTATCAGAGTACGTTTCCGCACCAGGTATACTATGAAGCCCCGCTGAGAAAAGATTTCCAGACTATTTGGACGTCGCAAACGTGATCGCAAATTATTCCAAAGCGGACATCCCTCTTGAGACAATGTGGACCGACATCGGTAAGCCTTTCGAAGAGCAGCTTCATCAAGAACGTCTGCTAAATGCACATAGACTACATGTACAAACGGCGCATCTTTACTGTCGACCCGGACTACTTCCCGCTTGCGCGGATGCGGGAAATTGTCGACTATCTTCACAGCAATGACCAGCATTACGGTATATCAGGGTTACCTCAGAAAGCTGCAATTCCCGTCGCTGATCCTTCATCTTACCTAGTACTCATGACCGACCCCGCAATCGCATATCTGCCCGGCGGGGGCTATGGGCCCTTTGACCGAGGCACACAGGCTGACATCTGGCTCATGGCTGCTAACGATAGCTCGCCCTTCCTGGGAGCTGTCTGGCCAGGTGTTACTGTCTTTCCAGGTCAGTCATAATATTCTCCGCTTCTACAATATTCGCTTAGCTGGGTCTAGATTGGTTTAGCAACAAGACGCAAGAGTAAGCAGACCACAGCAGTGTAAAATCTGCGATGGCTTACACAATCTTGTTAGTTATTGGACAAATGAGTTCCAGCTCTTCTACGATCCTCAGAGCGGCCTTGACATCGACGGCGCTTGGATCGACATGAATGAGCCTTCCAGCGTAAGCACCTCAGTATCTACCACACATCTCGTACTGATACGTCTCATAGTTCTGTAATTATCCTTGCACAGACCCTTTCGAACAGGCCCAAGAGCAGGACCTTCCACCAGCTCGGACCAGCTCTCCTCCTGATCCAAACGCACCCATGCCATGGGGTAGCCAGAAGCGGAAGCGGGTGGACCACAGTGGAGATGACCTCCAAAATCCGCTGTATGCTATCCAAAACGATGCTGGATCTGGTGCTCTGTCTGACCGTACCGCTTACGTGAGTTTCGCCACAGTTCCTAAGTCTGTTCTTTATTGACGCTGCTGTAGGTTGATGCTAAGCATGCTAACGGTTTGGTTGAGTACGACACACGTAAGATGATATTTTCTTAATTCTGTGTACAATACTGAAAGCTCTGCATTTCAGATAACCTGTATGGGACCATGATGTCCACTGCGACGCACAACGCGATGCTTGCCCGCCGACCGGGGCTGCGTACGCTCGTTATCACGCGGTCAACATTCGCAGGCGCAGGTGCTCACGTCGGCAAGTGGCTCGGTGACAATTTCAGCGACTGGGACCACTATCGCAATTCTATCGCTGGCATCCTTGGGATGGCGAGTATCTTCCACGTGCCCATGGTAGGTGCGGATATCTGTGGATACGGTGAGCTTCAGATTTTTGGCAAGCGGAGTAGGAGTGCTGAAAGGGCATGTAGCGGAGAACACGACTGAGACGCTTTGCGCGCGATGGGCTATGCTTGGAGCCTTTTATCCCTTCATGAGGAATGTAAGTCCGAAATGCTCAGACCTTGCGAGCATGTACATTGACTGCTTGCCTAGCACAATGCAGACACATCTATCAGCCAAGAATTTTACCTCTGGCCCACCGTCGCTCAGGCTGCACGCAACGTTCTGGATATCAGGTAGGCCTGAACACAAGTCTCCAACTAGGCTTCCCTCACCAACTGCATGTAGGTACCGCTTGATGGACTACATCTATACTGCATTCCACCAGGCTCATGAAGATGGGACGCCCGTACTCAACCCGCTGTGGTACAAATACCCGGAGGACCCTGCGACATTCCCCATCGACCTGCAGTTCTTCTTCGGCGACTCGATCCTCGTCTCGCCCGTCACCGAAGAGAATTCGACATCTGTCACGGCGTACTTCCCGAAGGACACCTTCTACGACTTCCTTACGCTTGCACCGTTTGAGGGCACAGGTGCGAACATGACACTGAGCGGCATCAACTTCACGAGCATCCCAGTGCATATCAAGGGTGGCGCGGTGCTGCCTCTGCGCGAGAAGGGCACGATGACAACGACACAGCTGCGCGAGACGGACTTCGAGCTCGTCGTTGCTCCGGACGCCAGTGGCGAAGCGTCAGGCTCGCTGTATGCGGACGACGGTGTCTCAATCACGCCCGCGACGTCGACATCTGTGTCCTTCAGCTACCAGAACGGCACTCTGGCGGTCGCTGGCGAGTTTGGGTATTCCATGGGTGTTAACGTATCGCGCGTTCGCTTCCTTGGCGTCGTTTCTGCGCCAACGACAGTGAAGGCCAACGGACAGACGGTACAGAGCGGGGCCATCTCGTATGACAAAGATTCTCAGGTTTTGGACGTGACTTTGGACACTCCGTTTAATGAGGGCTTCACTGTTCAGCATTCGTAGATGTGCTGCTTCTCTGTATATCCGCCATCTGTTGCGTACTCAAACTTAGCATGTGCGTCTTCTCTACGGATTTGCGAATTGCGATGGGCACGACCGTCGAGCCGTCCACCGCGGTCGCAATGTTTCCAAGTTTCCCATGCTGGGACAGATTACAACTGCTATGATCATTAACACACTTTTTACATGCAAGCCGAGATAGCTCAGCTGGGAGAGCAACAGACTGAAGTTCTGGAGGTCGCGTGTTCAATCCACGCTCTTGGCATTTTTTCGCCCCCGTTAAGGGCACAACGCCGCGCAAGGTTAAACTGTTTACAGTTTTTTTTTTTGGTTCGATGGAGCAGACAACATCCATATCAAAATATCTGGATTACAAATTGACAGCTATGGTACAATTCCTCAAGATTTTTGACACCTCAAAATGGTTTCTTTCCCGTTGCAATGAAAATTGACACTTCTCGACCATGCATCTTCGCTTTAGTCGCAGGCGTGAACAAGAAGTCGCTTAGGCCGCTCTCTTCGAAGACACCGCGAATCTCGCTCTCAGCGAACCCACCTCTATGCGCAACGATGTGCTTGTAGTGTTCCGGGGTCACATCTTGACCTTGTTCGTCCTTCATAATGTCGACGATAAGCAGCGAGCCTCCAGGCTTGAGAAAGGATGTTAGCAGTTTTGTCGTATCCGTGGTCGACGAGAAGTGATGGTATGACATAGAGCACTGTAGCATAGGCGGTGTCAGGAACACTAGTACCACTCATAACAGATCTCCCTACCGTGATTAGGTCGAATTTGACCCCTTCGAATTCGTCGCCGTTTCCCTTGATCTCAACGCATACAGCTCGCATTTCCTCGGGTGATATGCCTTGGTTGGACACGCGAGTGTTGTATTGGTCAACCTACCATCGTCGCACATTTCAGACGCCGCGCCGTTACGGGCTGAAAGCACGGCACGTACCATTCCTTGACTTATGTCCACGCCTAGGATGGACTTCACGTAAGGCGAGAGCTCACGCGAGAGAGCACCTGACGGACGACAGAGTTTAGGTCTATATCTCTTCCGTGCGCCGTTATGAGCTGTACTGACCTGTACCGCAAGCATAATCCATCACCGTGGTGTGCTCTTCGTCGAACAAAGATGGATGTGTCTTGATCATGGCTTCACGCAGTCGGCGCGCCAGTTCTTGTACATCTTGTCTGGCATCGTATTGCTGAGCGGTAGCATCATAATGCTTCTGGTTCTCGCCAGCATAATCATGCGTATGATTATGGTTGTGATTGTGGCCCACATGTCCATGAGCATGGTCTGCGTGCTCAGTAATTGGTGCATCTGCGCGTTCTTCAGACATGGTGGCGGTTACTAGCAAAGAGTGTCGCGTCGATGCATACAGCTGGACCGGGCAGTATCAAACCCAGCAAACAGAACGTCAAATGGTCTAGACTCCTTGCTTCTTCTACATTGCTTTGCATAAGTAGTGAATGATATAACATTTGGTATCCAGTGGATCGGGTATACTAATGCTACATGCGTGGACGATATCGCTATCTCAGAGACAAACAGCCCCCGAACTTCTTCCTGGCAATAGTGTCAAGTTGTTCCTTGACATGACGGAAAGCCTTCCACCACGCACGTCCGGTGAACTCAGACGCACTGGTTCTGCATTCATCCTCGTCATCATCAGCAAACTCCTCCCATGGTGAGAAATGCCTCCGCAGAAGCACAAGCCACCATTTCATGATAGCCACAGCCTTCTCAACTCCTGAGTCTGTCGAGCGCGTGCCGTCTACACACTGCACAAGAAACTTGGCGAAGAACTGTATGTCTTTCTCGTTCGGTGGATGCTCCTTGAAGCGGTCGACCCACGCTCCGATGACATTTTGCACATCGCCCGTTCGCGTAAAGTATAGCTTCTCGCCTTTCACGTTGCCTTGCTGCTTCAGCGTCGGTGGGATTGGATGATTGGCTTGTGGCGGCGGCGGTCGCGGCACCACAACACCGCCTTCGAATGGACGTGCGCGAGAAACCGGTTTGAGGACCTTCTTTTGGCCCCCTAGGGCGAGACCAGGCCCACCGGATACGTTACGTTGCCTTGCGAACGCCAGCTGCTCTCGTTGCAGGTCAACCGGCAATACCACGAAGACGGCCGGGTCCAATCCCAGTTTATTAAGTTCACTCTCGCTGATATTAAGCTGGGTTGGAGGTGGTTGCTTTGCGAAGAGCTTGTTCTTCGTCGGCGACATGCTAGCTCGGCTTCTCGGAGCTAACTGGCGTGCAATGCGCTTCACGCTAGCACTCTTGACTGTGGTTTTCTTCTGGTCCTCCACCGGCACGGAGACAGCCCGAGCAGGTTTCGGGGCTTCTGCAACGTCTGGTACCTTAGAACGTCGTTTGTACTCAGCTTCGAGTTCCTGGCGGACGTCTTCGGGCAGTTCCTGAAGCACAGACATATCAACTTGAGAAAAAGAAGGTAAGTCCAGGTTGTATCGTATAGGAGCAGGAGAATTTTTCGACGGCGGCTCTACTTCGACAATCTCCTGCGAGGCGACAGCCGCTTCATCGGCGTTAGTTTCAGCCTCCTTCGCCGGAATTGGCACTGGTCTGAAGGGAAGCAGTGCTTGACCCTCCTCGATGGCAATGACAGCAGAGGATGACTCCAATTTTTGGATCTGAATGCCAATTCCTCGAAGTTCTTTGGGGTTAATGTTGAAACTCCTGAGTAACTTCCAGGCGTGCTCGCCAATAATCTTCGGGTCGCTGATCGCGCGGTTACCTGGAGCAATCATTTGGACTTGCTTGGTGAATGACACGCACATGCCATGCCCCATGAACTGTAAAGGGTGAGTTAAATGTGACGCAAATGACCTCGGCACTCACTTTCGGGGCCTCCACCGGAGTTGCCGGATCTCGCTTGAGGACCTTGAGAGTTAAGGAACGGCCACGCATGTCGATCTCGTTGAGACGCCTCGACACCTCCCCCGCAAGTTGAAATATGAAGGTTTCGACCTGCTCATTATTGTCGAAGCGGATGCCATACTGCAGACATGTGGGGCTAAGGTCAAATGACAATAGAAAACTCAATCAGAACACACATTAATGTCGCATGAAACACTTTTTCGCGGCTTGTCTGACTCGAGCTTCCTACGGTCAATACCACGGAGAGCATTGTACAGTGTCTCGCCGGTACCCTTGCCGAGCGCATCGCAGAGAACAGCTTTACTTTTCTTGCTCAGTTCTCCAAGGTTCGTCGTACCAAGCTTCTCCTGGGCCTTCTGGTGCGTGGCGTGTCCAAAGCCATGGAGGGCGTCAATATCGAGGGGTTCCATGAACTCAGCAATGTCAGCAGCCTGGAGATGGAATGAGCCGCCGGGCTTCGCTCGACGAGTTGCTAGCCGGGCAAGCATAATGTTGTGGGAAATTCCTATACTGACTGGAACAGATATCAGTGTGTCAGCAGCAAAGATATGGCTGGAAGATCTACCTTCACAGCCACTGGTTTTCTTCGCTTGAGCACGGATAGCTTCCGCAAAATCCTTCGCAGGATCCGTGGTAATGATATCGGTACCTTTGCTCAGAGAAATTTCGTTTCGGATGCGCCGCACACTGCTTGTCGCGTCGATTATAGCCTCGTCTACAGAAACTGCTTGAAGATCATCGGCGTGTGCCATAAGAATTGTGTAGAATTGTAGCGATAGTTGTTTGTACCTAGCAGGATGATCAGATATATTTTGACTTCAGTACCGTAGCGACCAACTTCTGGAACTCGTAAGGCATGGTTTGCAGCTCGGGGCACAATTTCTGAGCTTGCTGCAAACTAAATCTCGAGTTAGGCCGGTGTATGATTCGACTAATACGGGTGCACACACCTCATTCCGCTCCGTACGCCGAACTGTCGAGCCTCGTAGCTCGCACTGGCTATTTCACTGGTGCTAGACTGTCCGCCCTGATTGCCTTGCGAATGACAAACAACAAGTGGTTTGCCTCGAAGGTGTGGGCGGTCTACCAGACCAGCGGAAACGAAGAAGCTGTCGAAGTCGCAGTGCATGATGACCCGGTCCTGATCGGTGTCGATAGCTTTTTCTTTACCCTTCCCGCCCTTTTTCCTGATAAGCTGCGCGTCCTTCATACTAATATCCCCCGTTGGATCAGCAGCCCATCCTTTCCTATCCATGTTCTCCTGCATGATTTTCGAGACCGACTGCGAGCTGCTGTAACCGTCGACTAATGTTCCCATAGTGATGATCGTACCGTCTTCTGCTCGTTCCTGGGCCTCAGCAACTAAGCTACGCAACTCAGCCTTCCATGTCGATAGGTGATGCAGGCGAGAGTTTCGATAGTATCCTTCGATGAAGTCCGGTGCTACGGAGGTGTGCGCCGCACGCCACGTCGGGTCGGCCATAGCTCGTTGTGCAGCAACGTTGGTTTTGTCCGCAGCATAGCCCGGGATTCTTTTTGCTTCCTCTGGCGTTGCAGGATCGGTCATATATGAAGGGCGACCAGGCGAACTGCCTGCAAATTTCGAATCTTGTGGGGTTTGCGGAGGCGTTGATGGTCCAGACGCTGAAACGAGACCTGCTGAAGCAGCTGTATGCGCTGCTTCTGGGTACACAGTGAGCGTGAGCTTTTTCGGAGACACGGAGGGCCCGGCGATACGAGCGGACGGCGTGGAGGTGATTATATGCGCTCCATCATATGGACTGGCTGTGGCAGAATGTTGCTTGCTTTGCGGTAGCTGAGATGCCGGCTTGGAGCTGGGGGCAACGAAACCGTGTAAGAGCGATTTCTGTGCGGTCTGTCTTCCTTGAGATGCCTCTATCCGCTCTCCAGGTTTGAAGATGAAATCATGCCACGGGAGCAGAAAGCCTGCCTCGACGCTCCGGACGAGCCACTCTGGCCTGACCACTTTCATATGCTGGAACTCCTTGACCTTCGCTGGAGTTAGAGAGCAGGTGATTATATGCGTACTAAACTGCCTCGTAAGGAAGTAAGTGAGTAAGGAGTAGAAGAGCTACATACACAAGGCTCTTCTTGTCTAGGTATGCGTGGTATATGCCGTCATGTTGAATGATAAGCTGGCGCAGGTCCTGAACAGAGGGCTGTGTCCATCCGTTGATCTGAAAGAGCCTCAGCAACCGCAACCAGTGGAGAGAAGCGTCACGCACATATATCTGCAGGCCACTGAATATCCGGCTTCTAATTACTGAAGGGCTCCCTTTGGTGCCCATCTCAGCATTCTGAACTTGCAGCTTCGCACGCTTTCGATGCATATACTCGCCGAAGCCGCCGAAACTCGACGCGCCGTAAATATCTGACTGCATATACGCGGCCGCCTCACTGTTCTCATCCACAAGAGCAAGTTTAGAGCTGGGCTTTCTGACTCCCTCATCTCTGGGGCTGGGGGACCGAGGTCTCTTCCGGTTCGGTTGAGTGGCTTCTTGCTCTTCGTCCAGTAAACGTGGGGTTGTTTCGGATGCTCGAACAGGCCGGGGAATGTCGTCTGGTAACTCAGCTTTGTTCAAGAAAGCAATAAATTCCGAGTCATCGTCCTTCCAGTAGTCGGACGACGACATGACGGCTGACTGAAGATGAAGGCAAATTGCAAAGGCGGAAGCCGCTCACAAAATCAGACGCCCGACTGCACGACGCGTTACTGTCACGAACTGCGGGACCGCGAGTGTCACGCTCGTTCTGCTACCTCTGTTCGGAACAGGCCATCCCGTAAGTAAAGCCACGTCAACGGCAGCGTCCATCATGCAAAAGACTGGAGCGATTGTAAACCTTTGTAAACGAGTCGCGCTATACATATCCGGCCGGTCTCAGAGTGTGGCAACGGCGTGCTCCTTGACGCTCATCATCCCTCGTCATGATGCCCGATGCATCTCTTATCCTCCGACGTTCACGTACCCCAACCGCCGCAGTCCATCCAAGAGGCTTTACTCGAAACAAGTGACCTGCAGCAGCATTTTACCCCTTCAGCCGCACCGTACTGCACAGGAAGGCGATACGCATCAATCAGTCGCCCTTGCTTGCCGTCTACCGCGCTTGCCGTCAACACGCGTATAAGATAGATTCTCGGCACGAAGAGCCCAGCCTCGCCTTAACTTTCCCCACCATCTTACTTGAAGATCTGAAACCTGCACGATGCCCGACGGCTACGACTACTTGTTCAAGTTGCTGCTCATTGGAGACTCTGGAGTGGGCAAGGTGTGTAGCATGCTCATAGATATATGTCTGCTTGACTTAATGTCGTGTAGTCTTGCTTGCTTTTGCGGTTCGCGGAAGACGCGTTTACAGACAGTTATCTCAGCACTATCGGTGTGGACTTCAAAATTCGGACGATAGACCTCGAAGGCAAGACCGTCAAGCTCCAGATCGTGGGTTCAGCCATATCCCTAAGTTTATGAATCACATTAACACATTGTTCACTTCAGTGGGACACAGCAGGTTCGTCTATTTGGCAGAACGTTCAACAGACCTTGCTCAAGCCTCACATTATTCTCCAGGCCAAGAACGCTTTCGCACGATTGCTGCCGCTTATTACCGGGGTGCGCACGGTATCATCGTTGTGTACGACGTGACAGACAAAGGTACACATCAACTATGTGTTTCTTTTGAGACAAGCTGACGCTTTGACTGTAGAGTCGTATGAGAACGTGAAAGGATGGCTCACAGAGATTGACCGATATGCAAGTGAGGGCGTACTCAAGCTCATCTTGGGCAACAAGTCCGATCTTGCAGAGCGGCGAGTCGTCGAACACGATACCGCTAAAGTTCGTCAAGTCAGCGTTTCTCATCACCATCTCAGCTGACTGCGAATGCAGGAGTTTGCAGATCAACTAGGGATTCCTCTCCTGGAGACCTCGGCGAAGACCTCAGCTGGTGTTGAGGACGCATTCATTGCGATGGCGAAGCAAGTAAAAGAGATGTACGCTTATCTTTGCTCCTAACACCGTGCCTTATCCTCATGTTATCTGTCAAGTGTCGACGCCAATCCGGAACCATCAAGCAATTCTAAAGGGGGCAATGTCTCTGTCGGTCGCTCTATCGAAGCCGAGAAGTCCGAAGGCTGCGCCTGCTGATGATACATGAGATCCACCGCTTTGTGGGCTGGCAGATTCAGCTGCAACTCGCTCTATTGCTTCGCACACGGGTTCGGAATGTTGGACATTACTCTGATTTATTTGTACCCATGTTTGTATGACTATTTACATTGCTTCGTGAATTCCATGACCGCTTAAGTTGCGTTCCTTCTCTGTCAACGGCCACAACCTTGCGCCCCGAAGCCGGGGTGGCGTTGTTCTCGACAACGTTGGCAGGTAACTTTGATCCGCCTATTACTGTTTCAGGAACAATAAGGCGGCGTGGATATGCGGAGGACAATAGTAAGCGCCCATATGTACAACGCTTCCACCGCCAGGCGAAGGACAAAAGGGAACCATGGCAATTATGGGGCGACTCATAACCGCTGTCACCTTCAGTACAGGGCTGTTGGCTTTCTGCTTCTCCCTTTCACGTTTCTTGCTTCGCTCCTAAGGAGCTCGCCATGTTTTTGAGCCTCCTCGCCGTCATTCCCTTCGTTCTCGGCGCGTCTGTTGGTGAGCAATGGCTGCGGTTGAACTTCAAACAGCGTGTGGCTGATATGGGAATAGCTGCTCAATCCACTCCTGCTGTTGTTTGCATTGCTGGTCAATGCCTTCAGGGGTACACGAACATCACGAGTGAGTCGTCCCTCTGTCGCCTGTTGCCCACGACACCGCGTCTATACCAAATGTGAGGCGGCTGCTGATGTATTATTTGTAGCTGGAGCGACGCTGTCTGCTCAAGGACTGCCAGCAAGTATACGACTCCTGCCAGGACAGTACACATCCAACACAAGTCCGCAACTACTCCATGTCGCTCTCACCTCATCCTCGCCCTCGCTTTCGCTGTCGCCTGGCTTCGCAAACGGAAACTCGACTTCGCTTTCCCTGCCACTCAACCTTGCTCTACAGCCGGGCATAGCAACGTATCCGCAAGCGAACTACTCAGGTCCAGCTACCTTCACTGCGCTTCCAACTAACAATGCTTCACGAGATTCCACGTCGACAGCCGCTAGCTCCGTCATGTTGTCATCTAATGTCTGGGTCGCCGTCGCCTCTGGATCAGGCTCGACGGACCGTCTCATCCTTTGGGACTCTATCCCCGATTTGTCGCAACTACCACCCGGCAATTCGTTGAGCAGCATATCTCTGCTCGACATTCAATCCTCTGCTTGCTCTCCGCCGTGTTCGGGAGCCGGGATATGCTCGGCATCGGGCACTTGCACCTGCCCCCCGGGCTTCACGGGCTCTTCCTGCGAGTCTTGTGCCTCCGGGTTTTTCGGTCCTCACTGTCAAGCGTGCCCAGCAGGTTGCACGTCGTGCGAAGACGGCATCTCTGGGAGCGGTCTCTGCCTGACGCCTACCGTCAACAACCCACCATCCTCGTGCAATTGTGTGAATGGTGTCTGTGGGTCGAACGGCCAGTGTGCGTGTAACGCTGGGTGGACTACTGCCTCGAATGGCACGGCTTGCGCGCAGTGCGCTGACGGTTTCTTCCTCGACTCTAACGGGAATTGCCAAGGTATGCAGCCCCTTTCTAGGCTAAGCTCTTGCTGATGATGTGATGCAGCGTGCCAGCTCGGTTGCACGCAATGCGCTGACAGCACAGGTGACTGCATCTCCTGCAAGTCTGGTTTCACCCAAAGTACCAATGACCGCACCGCGTGTATCGCACAGCAATCGACTACTTCGTCTGGAACCGTTTGTCCAGATGGCAGCTTCAGCAATGGCACCGCCTGCACACCCTGTTCGTCTCTTTGTAGCACCTGCAATGGCCCCACCTCGAACGACTGCATCATCTGCGGTGCAGGTCAATACTCGCTGAACAGCAGCTGTGTCTCCGCGAACGGGAACGGCGTATGCGAAGGCTCGAGCTTGATTGCAGACAACAACAAGCACGAGTGTGACGCCTGTCCGGCGAAGTGCACGTCCTGCCAAATCCCGAACTTCAATGTCGCGTCAACTGTGAATCAGTTACAGTGCACAGGGTGCTTGCCTGGGCTTGTGCTTTCGCAGGGACAATGTGTTGAGAGCTGCCCCTCCGGAACGTTCCTTAGTCCTCAGGACAACCTGACCTGTACCAGTACGTTCATCGGCTATTTGGACCACCTGCTTGATGCTGACACGTGTTCCAGCTTGCGATTCCTCTTGCACTACATGCGCCAGCTCATCCACGTTCTGCTTGACCTGTGCTAATAATCAGCTGGCGTCGGGTGGCAAATGCGTCTCGTCCTGCCCTTCCAACACATTCAGCTCTTCCGGCTCTTGCGTTCCCTGCCATCCCGACTGTGCCTCCTGTTCCGGATCTGCGTTCAACCAATGCTCGAGCTGCTCCTCCGAACTGCCCGTTCTGACGAATGGGCGCTGTCTCCCGACGTGCAGCCAGGGCCAGTTCTTTGACACGACTTCGTCCTCCTGCCAATCGTGCGACTCCAGCTGCTCAAGCTGTTCGGGTGCGGGTCCCAGCAACTGTCTCGCATGCTCGAGCTCGAGTCAGGTTCTGCAAAGCGGCTCATGTGTCCCTATTACGTGTCAGGGCTCCAACTCTGTCGTCCCTGGGATGGGCATTTGCCTCTCGGACTTGGTCGAAGTCCCTACACCATCGGGTACCAACTCCGCTGTACCACTGCCAACCATCAGCGGCATTGACACGCCTGTGTCTTCTACGCCACCATCCACAGGGACGACTCGTCCTCTTGCTTGGTGGGAGATTCTCCTCATGGCGCTCGGCTGCGCCTTCATCTTCCTCGTCATCCTCATACTCTGGCGGCGACATGCGCGTAAGAAGCGCGCCAAGGCGACAGCCATGTTTGCGAACGTGAAGCGGCTCGACCAGCCCAACAGCTGGCGGTGGCGACTCATTCGCTTTGGCGAACGGCTCTTTGGGCACAAGCGCAACAGGGCGGTGCCCGTGCCGCCATCCGAGCCCGAGCACGTCCGGATGGAGAAGCTGCGAGAGGTGGAGGAGGCGCGCCGGGGTCGCGACATGGACAAGGTTCTCGACGCGTACGACTATTCGCGGGCGGGCTCGAGCCGTGGGCCGTCCCCGCTGCCATCGCTGCGTGACTACGAACTTCGCGATCGCACCGAGAAGCGAGCGAAGCAGCGGCTCTCCGAGGCCAGCCTCTCGAACGACTCACTCTATTCACGCGCCACGGGCCACCCGCGCACGGGTCCCGAGCCGCGCCAGCCCGTGCGCACGAACCTTCGTGACCTGCTGCCGTCGCGCTTCTCAGCCACGACGATAAGTCAGTCGTCGCCGGAGCCCAGTCCGCCGCCTGCCCCAGCCTTCGCGGAAGAGTCTCGGCCACCGACGCTTGCTCAGGAGTACGCGCATTCGGTGACGCTGAACCTGCCTACAGAGTCGAGAGGCGAGTACTGGTTGCAGCCTGCAAACACAGGCAGCACGAACCCTTTCCGGAAAGAAGTCTAGGATCTTGTACCACTCGGCTACTCACGGACCCACGGATACTGTTATTCTTCACGCCCCTGGCACCCACTTTCGTTTCTTCTGTATATCACACACGCGCACGCAGCCGTACACTGTTCACGGCATCTGCATTTACTAATACAATTATTTTGGGTGAAGTCAGACAGGTGCGAAAGAAATCTTAGCCAGCCTAACTTGGTCGCACGGTTGTATTCCGCAAGTTCCAGTCTATATCATACATAGCATAGTGGTACAGGTAGGGTATGAGTGTGCATAGAGTCCTTCCGATGGCGATCGAGTCCGAAGAATAGTATTAATCCTAGGTCCGGGGAGTGGGAAACATTCTAGAGGAAAACGGGTATCAGCACACGTCGAACGTCGCGCCGAAAGAGTAGACATCAGAAGGAACAATTGGCAATATTTGGGATATCTCCAAGTGGGAGTCAGAACAGGTCTGAATCGTTCTCATCTTACGTATAAAGTAAGAGCTGCTACTCACCATGTGGCGATGACAGTTGGAGACGAGCGATGAGAAGACAAACAGTCTGGTAAAGACAGTGTCAGCATGTATATCACGAGTATGCAGGTGAAGTCAGAGAATAAAAAGGCAATACAAGTTATCCGCACACCCCGAAAGGTCGGTACAGGTCTGAAATGGTAATCATCACACGAGCGCAATACAGAATAGTAAGGCATTATAGACGTGAAAGAGAGACTTGCCTTATGCATGGGCCGGGAGTGGTGGCATAGCGGTAGGAGGTGGTAGCGCCGCAGGTGCCGGCTTGAACTGTCGGCGAGTTTGGCCATAAATCCACTCAGTTTCATCATCTTCAGGGGGCTGTTCAGCCGTTTGATCGCCAACGTCAGCGTCACAGTCCTCGACGAATATGGCGATCCCCTCGTCATTCTCGTGTTCTATCAGCATCTCAGCGCTGCTCTTATCCTCGCGCTCGACCTGTAGCTTCTTCAACGCAGCAATGATGTCATCTGCGAGGGGAGAACTGTTCGGGGCATCTTCCTGGATCTGCTCCCAGCCCACCGGGGGAGAGCCGGGTGGGGAGATAAGAAAGTTCTTCTCGAGTCGTGGGGGACGGAGAAGATCAGGATTATCGAGCTGGTCGAGGGGCGTGGGGTCAGCACGAAAGACGCGCAGCGTCACGCCAGGGCTGAAGGCCATGTAAGTCAGAGACAGAAGAAGAGAGGCGCGAAGAAGACTCACTGAAAGTCTGCGGCGTCGATGAAGAGACCATCAGAGCTCTCTTTAGCAAGTTCGACGGCCTCTTCATCATAGTAGATGACGAGTACCCTTCCGAAGGCCTTCAGCGGAGCCCACGTATGAATCTCGCCGAAGCCGTCGAAATACTGTCGCAAAGCGTATAGGACGGCGGGCTCAAAGAAAGCGCGCGGCATCTGGGTGACGACCAAAGTGTTCGTGCGTGAAGAATCATTCTGAGGCAAGGGCGGGGTGCTTGCTTCCAGAGACACTGATCCTCGCGAGGACAGAGAGGAGTTGCGTGAGTGGATGGTCATGTCGACGTGGTGGAAGAAGAGACAGGACTAGAGCATAAATTTAAAGCTTAACAAGCGCCCATTCACGTGGACATGACACGAATAGGCGCCCTAGCCTCTGGCGCAGCAACGGCAACGAGTTTCTTCCGCCGTTAACACAGGCTACTAGTACGGAGGGTAGCGTAGAATCAAAATACATTGCTAAATGACAATACAAGATGCATGGCTACAGATCTGTCGGGGAATCGGGTCCAATGACGCTTCATGCATTTACGCTTAAGGGCAGAGCATTTAGTAGTGCACTCATGCCGTTCAACAAACTAAACGTACCACGGATGGCTACAACATGGCGAGTATGCTGTGAAGGTGAAACAACGCAGCTCGTGATACATCTAAGACCGATCGCGGAGGCGATTCTCGACCGCTTCCTGCTTCCTCCTGAGGGCTTCGACCTTCTCCTCCTTCGATGCGTCGTATGAAATTGCAGTCTGATTGAATCTAAAGCAAAAGGTTCAGAGGTTGTTCTACGAGAACCGGTGAGACGATAACTACGGATTGTCCGGGGACTTCTGAAATTGTTTGAACAGGACCTCCTGTAAACAGCCGTCTCAGTAATAGTGTCGATAAAAACGATTAAGTCTCATACCTGGTATTGCGCGAGGCGCAGCCCTGGACGCTGAACATGCACATCATCAAGGCGGATTCCTGGAACAAGGAGTGTTTTCATACCTCCACCTTGAGATTCGGGAGCTCCTGCTCTTTGTATGCTTCGAAAGCCGCCTTGAACCGTCTCTGGATAATTGGGAGACTATCGATATCGCGCATACCTGGTGGGTGTACCAAACATAGAACGCACCTCTGGATGTTGCTCGATACCAGCAGCCCGCTGTCCGACACTCGCCTTGTCCATCTTGGCAGTGACAGTCTCCATCAGGTCCAAAGCATTGTCAATGCCGGTAGCTGAAAAGCTCTCTGGTTCTTCCTTCGGCACGTCTGCGACGCTAGGTCCGAGACCTCCACCAGCAGCGATTGCACCAGGACCTGCGGGCTTCGGTGCGGCTTTGGATGCAGCCTTCTTCGCGCCCGCTTTGGGCGAGGCCTTGGCTTTGGGCGCAGATGCTTCCTCTTCAGCCAGAATGCGAGCGTTCTCTGCTTTCCGCGCAAGCTCGGCCTTGCGCTTCTCCTCCTTATCCTCGACCTTCTTGTTTGACTTTGGGCCGTCCTGCCACTTCTCGGCCTCACGGTGCTCCTACAACAAAGAGCACGGTCATAAGCATATATCCATACTCACTGGCATTGTCTGCTGCGCACCTTCTCTGCAGCTGCAGCCTCCTGCTTCTTCGCCTCGTTCTCCGCCTTCTTCGCTCTCCCGGACTCCTTCTTCGCATTTCCGCCCTTTGGTGCCATTTCTACAACAATTTTATCAGATATTTATGCAGATGGAATGGTTTGTAACCCTATAGAGGAGATGATGGGCGAGGAGACGATACGGGTGAAGGATGTCGGTGAGCCTCACTCAAGCCTCGCACAATGCGTAGCACCCTAATCTAATCTAATCTTGACGCCTATATCTCATCGCTGCGATTTAATCTGATCTAGCTCCCTAAGTTAAGTTAAGTTAGGATGAACATGATCGCTACGTGACTAGGGCTGTGGCCGCCACCTATGCCCTGAATCATCCCTGCCACTGTCGAAAGCCTTGAGGATATTTCTTCTGCGTACAGGAAAGCACTGCGGGAAGGAGTATAGCTTTATCAGCTCGGAAATCTCCCAAGCGCTCCGTGATTCATGCGTGTGCAACGAGGCAAGCGATAAATGCGCGGACCCTCAGAACCTTTTTCTTGGTACTTACTTCGGCCTTGCCTCGCTGGTAGATTGTTGTAGCTGCTATATTTACCTGCGTATTCTTCAGATCATCAGTTCCGTTCCCCTTGCTGCTGCCACGACAGTTACGAGCAGTCCCGGGCTTACTATAAATTCGCGCTTTCACTCTGTTCGACGTAGCAATGGCGGATACTATCAGTAAGTGGTCGCCGGGTTCCTCCTGTGAGTTACTAGTTTCTGGGATTTTGGCATCTTTGCGCTAAAGGGAACGAACTAGACGGTCCCGTCTTGTCCCAGACGGACTTATACCTCTTGAACACTGACCTCGAGATCAATCCTGTCCTCACGAACAGTAATCCGGGCTTCCAGCTACTCTTCAATCTTAATACTGGTGCGTATGTGTCCGAATATTTGACGATATAACTCTCTAACAGACCGTACGTCTACGCCACAAGGACAAACCAGCGGTTTCAATGCGGATGCGCGCGACCGAGACCTCCCTTTTTCTGCGAAAGAAGAACCGGCAACTTTGCCCCGTGTATCCGAGATTATCATCATCACGGAGTATACCCCTTGGTGCACAGTCGTGAAGAACCCTAACGGAGTCGCGATGGGTGACATATGCTCGGCGATCTGGAAAGAGTAGGGCTCAAATTCAGGTTCCGAATCTCACCATCTGACAACGTTGTAGTTACACGGAGAATATGGTGACAGACAAGGAGTTCGAGTCTTTGGCCCCGCGAGTACAAGACCAAGTGCGGCGGCATGCGGCGGCAAGTGCGAATAACGGCATGTTTTCGTACTTCTCACCCGCCCAGCTTCCAACCCGCTTCAGGCGCGTCGGTAAGTGTCCTGCTTCTCACATCTGGTGCAACAGCTCATGCTACCCTTTCGTTAGACTGGCTGAGAGACAAGGTGTTCTTCGAGAAGCTCGCACGGAGAGACCCCTATGCCAAAGCTCGACTCGGTTTCTCGGCTCCAAATATCTTTGTTATGCTCCTCAACTCCTGAGACAGTGTATTTTATCATGATTACTGTACGCAACAATTGTTACTCAAACCATCGTGTACCTATGCTCTGTACTTTGTATTTCCTATGATACTGGCACCGGCGCCACCAGGCGCGCCCGGCCCGATGTTGTTCTGCGTGTCCAGCCGACGCCTGGTAACTGGCTTCGCGAGTGATGCTTTTGTGGTGCCTCTCGTTCTTTTATTCTTTGTGTCCATGAACCACACGAAAGGCCTGGTGGTCGCTGGGAAAGTTGCTATGGTACCCTATCCGGTGCGGATCAAGCACGGGCACCAAGAAGGTCGCTTGCCTCGAGGCAGACTCGGATCTGACAACTCGCTGATTGCGTTCTAGAGGTTTCCACGCCCCATGCTTTGACTTCAAATCATCCCCTGCTAGTTGAATAAGTCCTCGGCCTCGACGAACGAAGCCCTCTGCACAGTCCACAGTCCTGTATATACCTTGTAAGCTTGAGTCTCGTTCTGGGCGCACGATGGTCATGATGATATCCAGATCCCGAAGTTGAGGGCACGCAATTGACTCTGTTTGACTCGTGTCAAGGCTGTGATATTTTAGGTGAGAGGCTGTTCGTACTGCTATGTCTTATCCGTTCTTAAGTGCGGGCCTGCATGGCAGAACCAACTTCGCCAGGCCTCAGGACCCGCGAGTACGTGCCAGCAAGAACTCGAGTCAGATCTTACCGTAACGGCAGAAGCTCATCGTTTTTGGTATGTTGTTCGCTCATGCTATGCAGCACAGCAGTCCTCATGTCTTCGTGACAGACAATATCTTTGCCGAACAAGCTGCTGTTGGCCTAGACGCGCACTTAAAAGACTACTCGTCATGCACTTCACGCCTGTTATCCCAGAACCTCCAACTCCTGAAGGTCGGTCACCACCGGTTTCACCGCCTGTGGTGCCCACCTTTCCCCCCGAGTCTACTCCAAGGATGCCTGACTGGATGCGGTCTCAACAAGCTGCAGGCCCCAACTATGCCGCAGCCTATCCGACATCGACACCCTTCGCCGGAACCCAACAAATGCCCTTCCTCACTGTCCCAGGTGCAATGCCCGGTATGCCGCCAGGATCGTATTTCATGCCTACTGTCGCGCTTCCTCCCGGGATGCACCCTGGTATGGCTGCAGTCTCGCCCTCGATGCCCTCGATGAGGCCAGATGGGTTCTCAACGGACTGGACAGGGTATCCAGTATTCGCGAACGCATCGCCCCGCTCTGCTCCTGGATCTGCACCTGCCTCCGCGCACGGCACGCCCTGGGCCGCCCCAGGAGCGATGCCCGGCGCTACCCCGGCTATGCATCCCATGGCAGGGTTCTCAGCCCCCCCTCAGATGGGCTTCCCACCATTCGCTGCGTGGGGCGCGCAACCGCCCTATGCGACCCCTTTTGCACAACCGAGTGCATTTCCTGGCACAGCTTGGCCGGGAGCTACGCCATTCCATGCGCCTGGAGCTCCACCTGGATTCGGGCCACCTCCTGCAGCAGGAGGCGTCCCCGCAGCGGCTACAGGCTCATCGCAACCTGCCCACAGGCCGTCACGAGGTTCGGCGGATGGGCTTGACAAGTTTGATAAGTGGTCTGAGGATCCTTCCTGTATGCCCACTCCTTTTCGTGTATCGTGTCGTGGTTGACGAACTTCCGCAGATGGGCCCGTGCTGGACGCGTTCTTGGTAAAGATAGTCAAAGCCAACCTCGAACTGAACCCTTTGCTCGCTTCGCCGCCAGACAATCATGATGAGAGACCGTACTTGAAGTGGAACATGCTCTTCCCGACGGCTCAGTGCCAACGCTCCAGTGACCCCGGGCACCGCTCCTGGGCAGACGGCCGCCACCAGCCGGCGACTTGGCCGCGGGTCAAGTCTCTGCGCGTCTTTAGCCGCTGTGTTCCCTGGGAGCTGCAGGTGAAGGCCTCGGATGAAGAGCTCGGCGTGACCTGCGGCGACGTGATCGAGTGCATCCACGAATTCATGTACGGCCGCGTCACGCAGCAGCAGCTCGAGAATGCACCAGCGTCGCACCGACGGCTCGTTGGGCAGGCGTACTGGCACAACCGCTCAACCGCGCACGGCGTCCCCGGCGGACGCATGTTCAACACTCTCCTTCGCTGCGACTGGCTCGGACTTCAGACCATGTTCGGCGGCATCGTCGAACCGAGCGACGGCCTCGTGCAGGAACTCGCATGTGGGGCAGAGCTGCCGGCAGTGTTCGAGCTCAAGTGCCTGCAGCGATATCCTATGACCGAGGCGGAGATTCGTGAGCACCAGGCTCGGGAGGAATTGGCCCGCCAGGACGAAGAGCGGGCTGCGCGTAGGGCGCGGTCAAGGGGGACGTCCAGGACGACGTCGAGGGTGACTTCACGAGCGCCATCTCGTAACTCTCGGTCTGAGCAGAATACCACAACGTCAGACTCGGATGGGGACAGTTGAATAGCATATACTCGCTGTCTCAGGGTTCGCTATCGGATTATACCTGCTTTTGGATGATTCGGTGTCCCTTTCCCATCTTGATACGTGATTTATCTGCTATGTAGTTAGTACTTGTCTCATTGCTATCTTCCTCCATCCCTTTGCTTTAATCTGTTGTAGAAATCATGCTTCCCGCTGTATGCGACCCGTAGGTACTGTACCATTATCTCGCGATTTCTCAGACACAAGTTCACTGTACCATCCACCACTGTAATTAGGCATAGTCCGCATAAATCATTCCAGTTCCAATACGTATATATCCGTCTATCGACCTATGAACGCTCGCGCGACCCAAGCCCACAACAGAGCGAAGAACAGAGTCCAGATAGCGCTCGACCGCCGAACTGGCCCGAGGGCTGTCGCTGTCTGTAGAGCATCTTCAATACCGCACGCCATTGCGTCCATACTAAAGTTCTCGATGGCTCGACGCTTCGCCCGCTCAGCGAGTGCCTGGCGCTCCTCAACGGGCAGGTTGACGATTTCAGTGAGTGTGTCCGCCCAGACATCAGTGTCAGGCTCGCGCAGCCAGCCCGTGCGTTCGCCCTCCTTGTCAAGGACACTCTCGGTTGGGCCACCACTGTTGCAAGCCAGCACCGGTAAGCCGCAGTACATAGCCTCGACAGGGCCGATGCCGAAGTGCTCGTTGGCGGGGGTGTACAGAAGAGCCAGAGTCGATGCTGACCTCAGAAGAGCAGACCGTTGAGCAGTAGTGAAGTTGAGTAAGAACAAGACTGTGGGATCCTCCTGCGTGGTGTTGAATGGCGGGACATTCGTAGACGACGATTTGGGTGTGATGACGTTGTATGTCAATGAGTGCGCCTTAGCTCGGTCGATAAGCTTGACGAGTGTCATCATGTTGTCTTCCAAACGAGGATCGTATCCGCCTAGAGCCCGTGAGTCATGGTACACAAAGAAGCTTAGGCGGACGCACCCGCAATAACCAGGCGAAGGTTAGCTAGTTTAGATCCCGAGTTCAGCTTCTTCCGCAGTGCTGCAAAAGAGTCAATTGCGAGGGGTACGTTCTTCTTAGCTTCGAAACGGTTCAGCGACAAAAGGGTAGGCCGATCTCTATGCATATAGTAAGCTACAGCCATGGCTTAGGACACAGCAACTTACGACCGTACTTGAGCTACGTCTGCATCTGAGCCATCCGTAACCACGTTGTCGTAAGCAGCGAGGTTAATACCGGGGTATACAACGGCAGGAGTCGAGCCTATCGTGGGAAAGTGGGTCTCGAATACCCGTGCAGTAAACTTGGAATTTGCCAGGATCACGTCCGCATTGCCTAGGCGCAGTCCATTGTCCATCAGCTCGACGACACCTAGCAAGCAGAGTGTACTTACGAGTCGTGATCTCCTCTAGTTTGTCCACCGGGAAGCGGTACATTCTCTTCAGAAGCCCACCTCTCCGAGTTTGCCCTTCAACATAAGCTCCATCCGCGAGAAGCTTGTCGGGGAAGTGACAGTAGAAAACTACGCGCGTCCTGGCCAGGCCCCGTAGAAGCGGGACGCATGTCGAGAGTTGGTCGACGAAGTACACGTCGTACTTCGGAGCTCCAGGTCGCAGGAGATGGGCCACCAGATGGAGTTGTCGCGCAGTGGCAAAGAGTATGTGGAGCTTCCCCTTGTAGGAGCGAGGAATAGGCGGGGTTATGGCATGGACACTGAGTGTTCCTGAACGTCGGTCACGGACGTCCTGAGGTAAAGCGACGGCCACGTACCGTCACTGGTTTCCTCGAAGCAGTGCTTCGGATCGTGATGAGACGTGTATATATCTACTTTATGCCCTCGATTCTGGAGACCGAGAGCAGCATCGACAACCAGGCGTTCGGCACCGCCTGGATACCATGTCCGTGAGTAACGCGCCACGTAATGGCACTTTCGCGTACCTATGCCCAAGTCCGGATGCACGAAGGCAATCTTCAGCGGTTTGTTGCCTATAGGTGTAGACATCCTCGGCTAGTCGCTTTCTGTTCTTCAGCACGACGCGTTTTTTCACAGAGGGAGGGTGAGAGTACGTGGAAGGTGTGCTTTGGCGCCATCGTCTCGAACTCAGCTCACCCGCCCACCCTCGATATTTCTGATAGCAATAAATTACATAGGATCGAGCAAATTCTTAGCATGTTGCTCATGAGATGTCAAAAAATGCAAGAAGGCTAATTCGACCAAGAGTACACAACAGGGGAAGCGTAACTAGCAAGCATATGTAGACAATAGGTAGATGTTGAGAAGCTGTTGTAGATATCAAGCGTTGACGGTCATTGCGAAGTCCTTGAACCAGGTATACTGGTCTCGAGGCGTCTTGTATTCCTCCTCGTGTCCGCCAAAGAACGAGCTGAAACGGTACTTAGTTCCTCGAACGTAGAAGGCTGTATTATCGAGCTCACCTGAAAAACAAACCAGAGAACCCGATCGGTTGTGGGTCCTGGCTGAGTACCTGCACCGGGTTGCTCACGGACGTGGCCTCCACTACATATGTTGTAGTCGTACTGGTCGTCTGGAAATACACCGTCTGCGTTGATGTTGCCGGCGTCGTTGTCGCGGTTGAAGTATCTGTTTGGGTGCTGGCGATATCTGCAGGCGCGCTCCCTGGTGGTGCGGAAGCAGGAAGACCAACAAAAGCATAGGGTATGTACACAGCCTCTTGCCTTTTCAACGGAAGCGTTGAACCGAGGCCATTGAGCAATGGACTAAGCGGACCAAGAAGTCCTCCAAGTCCAGGATTTTGTGCTGGAGGTGGCGCTGGAGGTGCTTGAGAAGGTGGCGAGGGCTGTGGTGCGGCAGGCATTGGTGAGGGCTCAGGCGCAGGGGCCGGAGACGGGTCGGCCGTAGGTGGAACATCAGGCGTGTCGGGAGCATCCGACGGAGGGCTCATGTCGTCTCCGGACCCACCAGAGCTACCGTCGTCTCCGCCAGAGCTGTCTCCTTCCGAGCCGCCATCCGAATCGTCACCGTCAGGGTCATCATAGTCAGGATCGTCGGCTCCGTCGTCCCCTGAATCGTCATCAGGGTTTGGTGTCGCTGAAGCCACATCTCGGTAGAAGACGTCGTCGCGATTGATAACTTCGCGGCCGTCGACCTCCAGAACGAAGCCGCCGTCCTGCTGTCCAGGGGTGTTCAGCCACACGGTTTGCTTGACGTGTGTCCAACCTCCGGGTGTGAAGTTGAACGACCCTCGGCCAACGGACAGACCATACGTCTGGTCGCAAACAGACATTGGTGGGGTGGAGCATAGCGCCTCGGTCTGTCTGTCCTTCGGCGCGTACTGTGCACATCATGGCGGTCAATATCAAGCTGGAAAAACTGCACTGTTACTCACAAGATACAGTTCGCCCGCGCCCCCTTCCCGCCACATCAGCCGTGTACTGAAGCATGATAATGCATCGTCGCCCCCGGAGCACGTCTTGTGCCCCCCGTATATCCCAGGAAGCTTCCCCGCGAGCACCCAGTCGAAGTCGGCCGGGAAGAAAACGCTGTACTCGAGGCTGACGTTCTGGGCGTTGTGTATGTCGATTGGCGCCGCGTAGAAGTCCGCGCCACCCTGCGGCTGCGTCGTCGGGTTCACGGAGCCTGCGGGATAGAAGAGCTGCAAGACGGACGAGGAGTTATCCCAGGTGGGCGCCGTCGGCGGCGGCTCGTCGGCAGCGCCGGGAACCGTCGATGCCACGGCGAGGGGTGCCACGGTGGTTGCGCTCGCCTCTACGGGTATGCCCTGCACGACCTGCATATTGTTCTGTCCATATGCAAACTCGGAGACGTTGAAGCATGACAAGTCTGTAATCTGCGGCGGCACGGACCAGGCTGTTTGGTTAGCCGTAGACAAAGTCGACGTCGGCGCAGAGCTAGCCAAAGGAGCCGTAGTAATGACTTCAGTCGTCGCCACAGGCGGGTTTTCGATGGTGACAGTTATCGGCGGTGGAGTGATCGTGTTGGTTATAGTGACATAGTCGATGACAGTTGATGGCGGAAGAGATGGTGCAGGCGATGGCGCAGATGATGGCAGTGCCAGCGCCGGTGACGTTGGGGATGGTGCTGGCAAAGCAGCTTCGCTTGTCGACTCAGGTGATGGCGGTGAAGGGGCGGATTGTGCGGACGACGCAGACACAAGAAGGACGGTAGAGGTCTCCAGCACCTCTACATTCGACGTCACTACTGCGGTGACAACGACAAGTTCTGTGGTGGTATCCAGACCATCAGAGGACAGAACATCCAAGGGGAGCGAGAAACAGCGAGGCAAAAAGCGAGAAAAACATAACGAGAGTAGCAAGGCCCTCAAGGCCATGATCCGAAAGCGACGATATAGCAACGCAGAGCGAACTGCAGATCAAACAACTGTTAGCCTGACACTTTGTGCATACCATCCGACGTCAGCCCCGGCAGCCACGGGAGTCGTCAAGAACTTTGAGATCGGATCCAGGCTGACAATTGCAAGGTCCACAGAGCGGCACTACATCTCAGTCGAAACTGTAATATGACGTTCATTCAGCTATTGTACATGGTCTTGCTTCTCTTCTTGTCCGGAACTAAGAGCTGGGTTGGAATCCGGCCGGCATCCGCGCTCCCGCGGGCGGCGGGCACCTCGCTCTGAACTCGTTCGACATCTCGATCAGAGGCACCCACTGGACGTGCTCGTGGGTATTAACCCATTCGATGAAGCGTTCCTACAAAGACAGGATACGTTTAGTGTCAGTTAGACGGAGTAGCGCAGTACATACAAGCATGAGCAGGACGTGTGGTCTCCTGCAAAAGACTAGTCAGAAATATGCGGAAGTAATGCAGCCAATAACCGTACCCGCTAACGTCAGGATGGATCGTGAGTGGGAATATGAAGTTCTCTTCTTCGCTATTCGGACGTCAGCCTGACGAAGCGTATTCCCGGAAGACAGCGTACCGATAGAGGTATGTGAACATGTCTTTCCACAGATCCTCCACATCCCGCGTGTTTACCCATCCCTGGGAGTTGGGGCTGGCCTTGATGAACCTAAGCAGAGGGTAAACAATGCTGTAACCCCCTCCAGGGTACAACACTCACATTAGAGGTGGCATGTCGTCTAGATACCTGAGCGGCATTCTAAGCAATCACGGTTTCATCGCAGCGGGAATGGAATACCAGTTAGCAGGCACCTCCACAAGACCTGTCTCTTGACCACGTTTCAAGGGCTGCATCCAGGTGTGAGCACCAGCCGATCGGTCGACCTTATGCCAAAGGTCTCCGTCGCGAAGGTAATAGGCCTGAGAGCTGCAACGGAGGAAATTTTCAGTGGTATTCACAATTTACAGAAATTGCACGAACTCGCGCGCCATGTTTGAGTGATCTGGGCATACAGTCAGATGAGATGCACGAAATAAATCCTGTGTCAAAACTGACCATACTCGATGCCTTTCTCCAGAAGCATCGTCACGCCTTCGTTAGTGATGTCGAACCAGGGGGCGACGCTGCCCTTCGGAGGATTTCCGTGGTTGAACTTGGTCAGAAGGTCGAAAGTATGGTTCAGAACATCTGTCTGTTGCTGGGGGGTGAGCGATGTCGGATTCTGTGGAATTCATCAGCATGCGACACTTTTGGATTGGTACGCTGTATATGTACCTCATGAGAGTAGCCGTGAAGGCCGCTGGTGGGACGTTGTCAGCATCCGGCAGAAGAGCTGCTGCGACATGAATACCGACAGTTCATGACCCGCGTCACGGACTTTCGCCATCTGCTCGGGGAATGTCTCCAGACTGTGGCCAGGGATAAACCACGTCGCTTTAATGTTGTACTTGTCAAACAGCTTCAACAGACGCAGCGTTCCCACTTCTCCAGCATACATGCCCTGCACATAATTACTATCATGACGTGCATGTGTGGGAGAGATAGCCAAAAAGACCCACGCGCGAGATGTCCGAAGGACAGTCTTCGCCTCCGTAAGAGCCGAGCCTTTAGGGTGCCGTCAGTTTCGACAACGGAGGGTCTCGAGGACACTTACCAGCCTGCCACCGCATCGACGTCGACACCAAACCCAATCATAACTTTGCGTGGCATGTTGATTTGCTGCTGTTTCGACTGCTAGTTTGGCACCAGAGTGTGGCGAAGTGAGAGAGGTAAGACACAGACGTTGCCCTGCACTTTGAGCTTGTCATCGTCAGTCCGTATATATGCGAGACTAGGACTGCATATCAAGGGAGAAGCCCTCCATGAGGGTCAGCCCTGGGTGTGCGAATGAGACATTACAAAATTATGCCTTTCATTCTCATGAGGGTGGAAACATCGACCCTACGTCACGCTAATGTATAGCGGAAGAGTACAGAAGTGGCTAGTGCACCGCGAGCTCTGACGCAAATGAAAGTAGACAATTCTTTTCTACGCGACCACGCGCGCGCAGGGATGTCGTGCTGTGGGAGTGCCGTTCAGTGTTACTGAATAAAATCTAACACAGAAGCCGCTAATCGCGCTCCCTCTGTCTTCTCATGCGTTTCACAGTTTGCAGCTGATCATCGATTGCAGAGATGTCCAGTCGCCTGCTCAACCAATTTGATGATTTTTGGACGCTTACCGCAAGCAAGGTCGGTAAAGTACAATGCAAAATAATCATGAGCTCCGCTAACTCTGTATGCGCTCCCAAAATTAGTTCTCGGCAGAAGTTCTGGAGGTCAGTCTGCTCACTATTTGATCTCCCTGAGCTGCGTTCGTCATCCGCTGTCCGCCCTCGCTTTCACGTGGTATCAAGGCGAAGCGCAGGTCTGCTCTGCATGCAAGCAAAGTTAAGCGACGATGACATGGTTAAAGTTAGGGTTGTTCAGAGAGTTGGATGTCGGACGGACATTGTCGTCCGGGCAGAGATCGACAACAGCGGGCGCCAGCTGGTAGAACACTCGGCCGCCGGCGTCTCCCGCGCCACAAAATAGCGCCCAACGCTTGGCTGCGAACCCATGCTTGAGGTCGCGTCCTCGTCAGGACTATCATGCCGCTCGCTTGTGCAGCACAATTCCAGACATCGGAAGCCATACGTCGTGGCAAGTAATAATCCTGGGACTTCTCTACTATATGGTCGGGTCAGCTCATCAACGGGTTCAAGTTCACACCAGCAGCGACTCGGAGCGCTGCAGCTGTGACACCTCTTATACCTGGCGGGTGTCTTTAAGCGTCCTGGAATGCTTATGTATCGCGCACCGCAAGTAATGTGTCAATATCAACGCAAGGTACGACCTGTCCGTCCCTTATCTCTCACCTTTGTGCTGCGCTTCGGTGTGGTCATCTAAACGGTGCCATTCCGATCAGCTCGAGAAGCTCCCATCCGCACATGGCTTATCACAGACTACGACACGGTACCTCAAACATTACACCACTGCATTCTGCATTAGTAAATTTCCAGCCACGTCGCCCCCGCGGTTATCTTTTTCTCATGTACTTGCGGATTTTTCCCATTCAATACTATGGACATGGTGATTACGTCTCGGGAAGGGTCGCCCTCATCCTTACCTCTTGACGACCATGTCCGACTCCGAGAAGGGCAGCAAGCGCGCCGAAGTGACGACCACTGTCACCGCTTCTGGTCTCGCGGAGCGACGAAGTCCTAATGGCAGCCTGCTGAGTGTACGCCACGCTGACGATGCGCTTCTGGCGGAGCTTGGGTACAAGTCCGAATTCAAGCGAGAGTTCTCTGTGAGTCAATCACGGACTTCCTAAACTTGCATACACTGAAGAGTGCCTCATTTTAGATGCTCGAGACGATCGCCTTCGGCTTCTCCATCATGGGCGTCATCTCATCGGTCACTTCGACCTTCTCCTTCCCACTTGTTTCGGGTCCGTCAGGCTCAGCGGGCTGGCAAATAATGTGACTCACGTATCCGCAGGTGGTCATGTCGGTATGGTCTATGGATGGCTGATCCCCTGTCTGTTCGTTATGTCGGTGGCGGCCTGCATGGCAGAGCTCGCATCCTCCATGCCGTGAGCTATCTCATTCGCTCCACATCATTGGCGGCACGCTCATATTCTTCTAGCACGAGTGCTGGACTATACTACTTCTCGGCAAAGCTCGCACCTCCGAAATATTCCGCGCTTGCGAGCTGGATCACTGGATGGGCAAACATCACCGGCCAGGTGACACTCGTCTGCTCTATTGATTTCACATGGTGCGTGCTGTGTTAATGCGGACTCCATACATTTGTCTCTTATATATGCATGTAGTGCGCAGATGATCACGACTGCTGTGAACGTAGGCACGGACGGCAGAGTCGCACTTGGAAATGGTCCGACCTATGGGATCCTCCTTGCTCTCCTTTTCACCCATGGAATGCTCTGTTCCTCCGCAACCGGTGTGCTCGCGAGGTTGAACATATTCTATGTTATCATCACTGGTGCGTGTGGTACATGCTATGTGGCCTCGACGCTGAAATATGCTCTCAGTCGGGACGTCGATAGCGACAATCATTAGCTTGCTTGTCGTCTCTGGGGACCAAAGGGTGTCCACGAAAACTGCCTTCACTGACTTCGAAAATAATACGGGCTGGAGCAATAGTGCGTCCTGTCTCTAGATCATTCTGGAGTACAATACTGAAGGCTCTATTCGATAGATGGCTGGGCCTTCCTCATGGCTTTCACCGCGCCTATGTGGACCCTTACGGGATGTATGTCGTGCATCGCGACCTAGAGTGGTGCCTAGATTAACGTCCAGTTCAACAGACGACTCTGCTGCCCACATCTCTGAAGAGACAGCCGGCGCCGCTCGTGCTGCCCCCATCGCCATCCTTATCAGCGTCTTTGCAACAGCCTCGCTAGGCTGGCTTCTCTTTATCGCAGCATCGTTCGCAACCGCATCCGTGGACGCCATCCTTGACACCGACCTCCCGCTCCCAATGGGCCAGCTCTTTCTCAGCGTGCTGGGAAAGCGTGGCATGCTTGCCATATGGTCCTGTATCATTGTCGTGCAGGTGCGTCTGGCCGCCCGCCCTGCATATCGCGTATCGGAATCAGCACTGACAGCTCCATATCTGCGCAGTATGTGACCGGTGCTGCCCAGGCCGTTGATGCTTCCAGGGTCGTGTTCGCGTTCGCACGCGATAACGCGCTTCCCGGGTCTCGCTGGTGGAAGAAGATGAACAGGCACACGCAGACGCCGGTGAATGCGGTGTGGCTGGTCGTGGCGCTTGCTGGCCTCTGTGGCCTTCTGGGGTTCTCTGCGACTGCTCTGACATCGCTGGCGGGGTAGGCCTCCCTGGTCACACGACAGATGCGATGCTGACATCGCCTCTCCACAGCTCCGCCGTTATCGGGTTATATATATCTTACATCACTCCGATATTCTTGCGCCTTACCTCTGGGAGAAACAAGCTGGTTCCTGGGCCTTTCAGTCTCGGCAGATGGTACATGCCACTTGGTATAATCGCGGTTGCCTGGGTCTGCTTCATCACACTGCTCTTGTTATTCCCGCCAGTGGCGCATCCTACGGCGGGCACGATGAGTAGGCCGTCGCTTACTTTTGTTTATGCTATAAACTGACGCTTGCAGCAGACTACGCAGTGGTTATTGTCATGTCGGTGTTTATATTTGCCTCCGTGTCATGGATCGTGTCCGCAAGAAAATGGTTCATCGGACCGGTGACAACGGTCGAGGAGAGCTATCTGGAGAAAGAATCTGTAGGCCAATGACGAGACTTGGTGTGAGATGTCCATCGACGTCCGGTGTTTCTGCTCCTTCGTGTGTACCACTGGGACTTGTATCTACGATTCAAATACGATTCATTTTTTGCCACAATTCCGTCGATACGAGTCATAGTGAGCAAAAAATGTTCCGACACGGGGAATCGAACCTCGGGCTTTGCATTCTGTGCGCCGCGCGTGCACGCTTCTCCGCGCACTTTCACTGCCGTCTTCGTCTTGCTACGTACCTCAGCGATGCAGCCTGGATGTACAAAGTCCTCTTCTCATCCTCTCCTTTTGCACCGTCGCGGCCGTCGCGTTCGCTGCCATTAATGTCGCCATCGGCTGTCACTCATCTGGTCGACGCTACCTTCCTGTTGCCCCCCATGTTACCGCCCCTTTCGTGCTGCATCTACAAACAAGACTCGCGTTATCACTGTTGTTCTGTTACTTGCATGTCGCCGTACTGCGATGCATTTCATTTCGGAATTGCGGACCAAACATGCACTGTCCGACCACCTGTGGACTGGCACGAGCTGGCATAGCGTATACGCACTGTAGTTGGTGTTCGTGACAGTTTCGGCACGGGCATGTTTTCCAGAAAAGAGCTCGCGTGAGCGAAGTCTCAACTTTACTGGTCTTCGCATCTGGAAACTCCGGGCCATTCCTTTGACAGGAACTTGCACTGCCGCCTGGAGCCTGGAAGAGACAACAGGTGCGCCGAGGCCGGCACATGTATACTGCGGAACAATGTGGAAGTGCCTTTGATAGAGTTCATTATGGACCACTCTACGCTTCAGGATATCTGTGCCTATAAGTAGGCACGGCCTCAGAAACGCCGTAACGTCTAACCCTCCTTCTCGCCCTACTCATGTCTAACAGCACTGTCCCAGCGGACCCAGCCGTAGAGGTGCCCTTGTTCCAAGGCCGGCTGCCCTTGCTTGTGGAGCCAGCAGTCATGTAAGCAGGTTCGAAATGCAAGCTGGAAGGCTGCGGCTGACTCTCTGCGCAGCATCATGCTCCTTTGTCTAATGTGCTCCCCGACGAAGTCTCGCATCGACCAGGAAAAGTCAAAGCTTGGCTCTTTCTTTACACGATCATGGGCTCTGTGAGTATTATTTAGCTCCATTTGAAGCTTTATCTGAATCAAAACTTGCAACCAGAGTGGCCGCCGTGCAGCTCATCAACGTGTTTTACACCATCTTGATCTATGAGCGACATGATGGGGCATTTCTGACACTCGATACGCCTTCTTCGGTCTCCGATAAAACAGTGCCTGGTGTTCGGTGAGCTACGGCAATGCTACACCTATTCGAATCCTCATGATCGATGGTGAATGCGATCACTTCATAGGCCTGTTATGGTGAGTTGTGATGTGTATTATGTATGGTGCCTGTCTGATTAAGACTTGCAGTTCTCTGTACTCTTCGCAGTGAGTACTTTGGTTCCTCGTAGCATCGTCTTGACAGGACTCCGTTGACTGTGTCTACCAAGATGATTACGGTGTTCTACGCCCAAGTTGGAATGACCGTCATATACTCCCAAGGTAAGTCAACCGGACGGGCATAACTATATCAGATACTCTGACTGTCGTTTACTTGCGCAGCATCCAGAGGACGGAGCTTCAAAATACGGCTTGCCCTAGTGAGTAGCGTTGGTTTATGTGGTGCGCGACTGTTAGTTATCGCTTCTGTAGTTTGCACTAGCTGTCCTTGGATTTGGTATGTTCAAGTTGTCTGTCACTTCTTCCATGGGCTCTCATCTTGGTCATTCTAAGGGTGGACTGGAGGTACGTGGAATGTATCTGCATCTCCGTGCTGAGGGTATTCAATAATGGGCGCACAAGGTTCATGGATGTAAGTCATATCACCACAGCTCTGCTGAGCATTGGTTGACCAGTCGCAGCTCCTTCGGTCGTCTGTGGCCTGGGCGCACATTCGTGGAGGAACTCGAAGTAGGGAAGCTCCCTCGATCAAGCGTCTTCAGTCTCTGACCTGACGTTGCACAGTGGATGATGCTGGGGCAGATCTTCAGCATTTCTTTCGATGTCCTTATGTATGTGGCTCTCTGCCGTCTTCACCGAGAAGCTGATGCGGATAGGCAGCCGTGAGCACCATTTGCTGCATTTCCAAATTGACGATCCTGAGCATATCTTCACTTCAGCCAGCTGTCCAGATTAATCTCCATCGCATATGTCACGATCCAGATTTCTGTGGTATTGATGTGAGTCCGCGAGCTTACTGGCTAGAAGCTCGCTCTAAAGGCGCACAACAGGAGCCTGAGAGGTTTTGGCATGCTCTTCCGCATGGTGAGGCAAGCTACGTCATGGCGGTGACTACCAGGCTGATGTTGATATGTTAGCCCTGCAACGGATGGCTCGATTATACCTTCAAGATTGGTGGTGGATTAATCACCTGGAACAGTATGTTGCTCCTCTATTCCCTCTCCTACCACTCGCTTACTAGCTCCAACATTTACTCAGTTCATCTTTTATCATTTTTCCTTATGTAGGTTATCTTACTAGTACAATCACGTAGAAAAAGCGCATACTCACTTAAATCGCTCAGGTGGATTATGATCGAAGGCGATACGCAGGTCGCAGCTGGTGCAGGAAATCTCGCTTCGGAGAGCGACCCAATTGCGGCGGCCAAAGATACTGTGACGTTGATAGATGTCTAGGCTTCTGGTTCCTTCCTTGTGTCTGTGGCAAGTACTGAAATGATCTCGGTCACGGTGACAGGACCAAAGCACTACCACTTGTTGTAATCTAGACTTCCGACTCGGAAACATAACTTACTGCTGGTACACTACTAATTCATCTTTTACAATCATCTCTTGAGAGCCACACGTGCAGAGAGCCGCTTCGGCGTTGTGCGCCGTTGGCTACTTTACCTGCATCATACGGGCACGCAGTCACCAGTTAGATGTGGCTGGGTGCATATGATATGTCCTTACTCTATGGTGCCGCGACGCGCTCGTCTGCGTTGCGTTAATCACCATCTTGGCGTCTCCGGGTCCATGCCGTAATGCGTCTTATATAATGCGTTTGCCCACCTACTAGCAATACACCGGCTTTGTGTCTCGCCGACTCCAAGTCTACTTTCGCTGCCGCCTTCGTCTTGCTACGTACCTCAGCAATGCAGTCTGGGTGTCCAAATTCCCATCCTCTTCTCATTCTTTCTGCCTTTGCGCCGTCGCCGCCGTCGCGTTCGTTGCCGTCACTGTCGCCGCCGGCCATTGACCGTCTACCTTTCCTGTTTCTCGCGTGTTGCCGTCCCTTTCGTCCTGCATCTACGGACAGCGCGGGCGTTATCATTGCTGTTCTATTGCTTGTATGCCGCCCTGCAGTCGTGGGTTACAATGCGTTGTCCGACAGCTGGCACCTGCGGACCAGCACAAGTTGGATTACCTTATACGGACTATAGTCGGTGTTCGCGACGGACTCAGCACGGGCATGTTCTCGGAACAAGAGCGCGAGTCTCGAGCGCACTGGTCTTCGCATCGGACACTCCGGGCCATTCCACCGCTCGGAACCGGGAAGAGACAACAGGTGCGCTGAAGCCCTTTGATAGAGTTCGTTATGGACCACCCCACACAGTTCAACGCTTCAGGACATCTGCGCCTATGAGCAGGCACGGCCTCAGAAACGCCGTGACGTCTGACCCTCCTTCTCGCCCCACCCATGTCTAACAGCACTATCCCAACGGACCCAGCCGTAGAGGTGCCCTTATTCCAAGGCCGGCCGCCTTTGCTTGTTGTGCCAGCAGTCATGTCAGCAGGTTCGAAATGCAAGCTGGAAGGCTGCGGCTGACTCTCTGCACAGCATCCTGGCCCTTTGTCTGATATATGCCCCGAAGATGCCTCGCAATGGCCAGGAAAAGCCAAAGCTTGGCTCCTTCTTCGCACAATCGTGGGCTCTGTGGGTATTATCTAGCTCCACTTGAAGCTTTGTCTGAATCAAAACTTGCAACCAGAGTGGCCGTGCAGCTCATCAACGTGTTCTGCACCATCTGGATCTACAAGCGACATGATGGGCCACTTCTGACACTCGACACGCCTTCTTTGGTCTCCGACAAATCAGTGCCTGGTGTTCGGTGAGCCATAGCAATGTTACACTTATTTGAACCCTGATGACCGATGGCGAACGCTATCGCTTCGTAGGCCCGTTATAGTGAGCTGTGATGTGTTTTATGTATGGTGCCTATCTGATTAAGACTTGCAGTTATCTGTACTCTTCTCAGTGAGCACTTTGGTTCCTCGTAGCGTCGTCTTAACGGGACTCTGTTGACTGTGTCTACCAAGATGATTACGGTGTTCTACGCCCAAGTTGGAATGACCGTCATATACTCCCGAGGTGAGTCGGGCAGACGGCACAGGTGTATAAATGCGCTGACCGCCGTTTGCTTGCAAAGTATCCAAAGGACGAAGTCTCCGAATGCGGTCGGCCTTAGTGAGTAGTGTTGGCTTATATGTAGTGCGCAACTGGTAGTTGTTATTGTTTCTCCAGTTCGCATTGGCTGTCCTTGCAATCGGTACGTTCAAATCATGACACCTTTTCCATGAATTCTCACCTCGGCTGTTCTAAGGTTGGACTGAAGGTACGTGGAATGCGTCCGTATCTCTACATTGAGGGTATTCAACGATGGGTATGCAAGGCTCATGCGTGTAAGTCATCACCGCAGCTCTGCCGGGCGTTGGTTGATCACCGGTCGCAGCTCCTTCGGTCGTCTGTGGCCTGGACACACGTATGCGCAGGAACTCGAAGTAGGAGAACTCCTACGGTCAAGTGCCTCCAGTATCTGACCCGACCCTGCACAGTGGACGCTTTTGGGGCAGATCTTCAACACGGTCTTCGACAGCCTTATGTATGTGGCTCTCTGCCGTCTTCGCCGGGAAGCTGATGCAGATAGGCAACCGTGAGCACCATATCCTGCATTTTCAAATTGATGATCCTGAGCATACTTGCACTTCAGCCAGCTGTCCAGGTTGATCTCCATCGCATACATCACGATCCATTTTTCTATAATATTGACGTGAGTCAGCGAACTGACTGGTACGAAGCTCGCCCTAAAGGCACATGATAGGAATCTAAGAGCTTTCGGTATACTCTTCCGCACGGTGAGGCAAGCTACTTCATGGCGGTGTCTACCAGACTAATGTTGATGCGCCAGCCCCGTGATGGATGGCTTGACCACACCTTGAGGATTGGTGGTGGACTAGCCGCCTGGAATAGTATGTCGCTCCTACCTCTGTGCTCTTCTGGTACTCACTTACTAGCTCCGACACTTATTCAGTGCATTCAGTGCCATTTTTACTTATGTAAGCCAATTCAATAGCCTAATCACGCGGAAAAGCGCATACTTAGTTAAATCGCTCAGGCGGCGTACGATCGAAGACGACACGCGGGTCGCAGCTGGCGCAGGAAATCTCGCTTCGGAGAGTGACCCGATTGCGGCGGCCAACGACGCCATGATGTTAGTATATATTTAGGCTACTGGTTTCTTGCTTGTGTCCGTGGCCTGTACCGAAATAATCTCGTTAATAGGACCGAAGCACTACCACTTGTTGTAATCTAGGCTTCCGAAACATAACTTACTGCTGGTACACTACTAATTCATCTTTTACAATCATTGCTTGCGAATTACATGTGCAGGGAGCCGCCTCGGCATTGTGCGCCGTTGGCTACTTTACCTGCATCATGCGGGCATGCAGTCACCAGTTAGATGTGACTGGTGCGTGTGATGTGCCTGCACTCTTTAGTTTCATACGCAGACCCGGGGTCCATGCTGCGAGGCAAGTTCTTATGTCGCTATAGCAGTATAAGTGTAATGCTTTTCAGAAGGACACTTTAGGATGGCTACTATCTCTGGTTAAAAGGCGAGTTATAAAATATCTCATGAGCTTTGGCATCCCATGGAAGCTTCTCCAGTCTTCTCGACCTCTGAGACTCCTCTCCATCGCTCCGACCCCGAACCTCGAATACATGATGCTGCCCAGACCCGGGAAAAGACTCCACATAAAAATGTCTGGGGATGCGCCACGCAGCAGTTTCCGCTAAGAAGACAAGGCTGAGATTTCGTATAGAGGATAAGTCGCCAGGGACGTGCAGACTTTCGTTATCTTTCAAGACCTCAGCGCACGACCACTGAATCCTCATTTGCAGGTATTGCAGCGAAAAGAGTGAAAGCGACAAGAATAGTGAACACTAAAGAGAAGTGTCAGTGACCGCCTAGCCAGCTGTCCAACCGACTCACAAGTTCGAACGTGAGATCCTCACATCAATCGTCACATATATAGAGGTGTAACCTTAGCTGGAGTAAGCTCTCCTCTGTAGGGGACAAGACGCCGGGCAGCTGCGAAAGTTCGACGTCAGGCACGTTGAGATATAGCTCTAGGCTGGAAGGGCGAAAGTCGGCGAGCATGGTGTTGAGCCTCTGGTAATGTACCAGCCTAAAAATTGGCACAGAAGTTACGTCCGGGTGTTCCACTCTCTGCATTGGACGCCGAGGATGTACAAGCTGAGAATGTCTCCTGTAAGGCGGGCGAGCGAGGCCCACGGGTCCCGAATTTCCGGATTTAGGTTGAGATTGCGTGTCATCTCCACCTCCCCACCGGACCACATGACTTCCTCATGAGCACTTTCGAAAGAAAGCTCGCGAAGATTGAGAAAACAGGATTCTAGGACTCGGAGTTCGGCAGCGTCGCAGTCGCCCACATGAAGGGTAGTGACGAGCGGGTACCGAACACCCCGAGCCGATAGGTCGACGAATGTGACGGTCGCTTTCTTCAACGAGTGTCTAAAGGGTGACAGCACCGGAATGGGATCAACAAAGTGGTAGTACCCATGAAAATTGATCACGATTTCGAGGAGAGGAAGCCGTGTATTCTTGATAAATTTGTAGGTATGTTCGGTGAGGTTCTCGAGTTTCAGAGTCTGCAGCTTCGCCAAAGCCGAGATAGGAGGAAGAACCGACTTGTGAAGTTCTAGAAGGCGGCAGTCGTAAAAGTCAAGCCATTCGAGCTCTGTCAAGTGCGAGAAGAGGTCGGCGGTGAGTCTGCCCAACTCAAGGTCTTCGGCTTCCACAAGGAACTCAAGGCTCAGCTTACGCAGGAACCGAAAGCGTCGCCGATCTGCAAACATGAAGCGGCACAAAGATGAGAGTTGCTCGGCGCGCCAAATAAGAACTACGTCCTTCAAGAGCATTCGAGGGGCTATTACCCGCAAAGCCCGACACGTGCGTGACATCCGAGTGGTATCTGGGCGGTCGAGCCAGATCATAACCTCGGCGAGCACATCCCAGTTTAAGGGCATCTGACTTGTCGAGCATCGCCGCTAAAACTTGAGGACTCACTGCTGGTATATACATCTCTCTTCGAGCTGTGACATGGGATATGCTTTACGAAGAATGAGTCCACAAGCCGACGTTAGGCAAGTGGCCGCGCAGGAAGCAGGCATAGGCGTTGGGCGCTATAACATAGCCTTCGTCGGCAAAAAGGGACGGAGATTATATTGCATTAAAATGCAATATAATGCGATCCGGTCCGTTATCTTGCATTATAAACTCAAAAATCACTAAAAATCGCATTATAACGCATTATAAATGCCCGACGGTGCATTATAATGCATTATATTTGACCGCCCAATGTGCCGATGTTGGACCTCGACTCACGTGCCTCAACTTCAACGACGTTGGAACTTGGAATTGCCGTGAACGTCCTAGACAATATTAGCATTACCAAGAAGATTCTTGGCACTGTACATGCTAGATGCTCCGATGACACTGGGCCCGCTGTAAGTACTCATCCAATGCGCGGACATAGCTATGTGTTTACAGCTTCGTAGACATGGCTACCATTTCTTGGGGAATTACATGTACAGACAGCCGTCTCGGCTTAGACTCGCCAGCCAGGTCCGGTCGCTGCGCTCTGTGGGAGACCACGTGCGTCTTATTGCATCCCATTTGGGCAAGGGATGCGACGCGAGTTTCACAAGAAACCGGCATGGGACAAGCCTAGTCTCGGCTTCATGCATTGTCAGCTACCTTACCATCAAGCGGGGCACACTATCCCTAGTGTCATGTGTGGCGCCGACAGATGAGCACTTGGAAGTGGCCGAATACAGACACTGAGATACCATATACGAGAGATTGGTTAACGCGCCAAGTTTGCGGAGTAATCTTCAAGAACGAGCTCGTATGATGTCGCAAGCTAGGAAAATGGAGGTAAGTTGATGTTCTTACAGTGGAGTAACGTGTGATTATCCATTTCCGCTAGAGTAAACACCGTAGCTGCACAACAGAAAGTTGGTCTAACGGAAAGCCAGTCTACGTATGGACCATACCCATTGGATGGACGGCCGTCTGCAGAGGAAGGATCGGCAGATCTACAACTCTGATGTTTCGCGTACCATGGAATTTGAGCTTGCTGTCCACCACCCCGCCCTTATCCCTCGGTAACATAGAGTTGCTGCCGCAGGTGTCTAGACACGGCGTCAGTATCAGACCTATGATTTCCTCAAGATAGCGACTCACGCCAAGCAGATGAGGTGAACTTCCGTACGTATTCTGTTCGCAATCTGTTGTTAGTGCGATCCTCTGGGCAAGAAGTTACGGGCGCACCGTAGAGTTGCTCGTCCATCTGCACCTCTGGGCCTGGCAACTCCTCCTTCTCGATGATCTTACTGAACGGCTCGGTCTTCATGACCTTGCGGACAAATTTGACAGCCTCGGTCTTAATATCGAGGTCGATTTTTTCCTCGTAGGAGTGCGTATTGACGGCCGGGTCGGCCTTCGGGTCGGCGGACGTGATATGCTGCAGTGAGAGTCAGGTACACAGACAGGAGAACGAATAACGACTGAACCCACAATGCTGCCTCGGCTGAAGGGCCGCGAGAGGACTGACAGAATGTTCAGATACGGCTTCTCGGGCTCTGGGTTTGCAAAGAAGTGAATCATGAACGGGAAAAAGATCATCTCGAAGTCTGATACGTGCAGGTCTTCGAGCTGTTGAAGTTGGATCTCAAGCTGTTCCTTTCGTCCTGGTGGACAGGTGCACGCATTCTGGGCAAACTTCTCCTTCTCCCCGGGAACGAGTATGTCGGTGCGGTCACTAGCGCTTTGGATGGGAACAAATGTGGCACTATTGACCACCATTTTGATGGCGTCCGGAAGCCCACTGACATTTGCTTAACTTCAGGTTATGTTGGCATTGAGTATATATGACACGGCTCACAGGGCTATCCGCAGCTTCTCTGCCTGAGCCGGGTTTTTGAGCATATTGCCGGTGACAACATTCTGGTCTTCTCCAACCTCTGACATGTTAATCTCAGTAACGTTCTGTTAGAGAGCAACGGAAGAGCCCACTCCATCTGTTGACCCCCATTGAGCTATGCTCTTGAACATTGGTCCTGACGGAGGGCAACACGACCTTGACCTCGGTTCCAAGGGGCGTCGAAATCTCATGGTCGCATCGGTGACCGTGAAATTTTGAAGCCTCTTGGATAGAGGTTCCAGTCCGTCACGATTCTGCCATGGAACTTGCGAGAAGACATACCCAACAGATAGCACGACCTCTTTCTTGATAAAAACGGTGTAAACATGTCCGCCGTACTCGAATTCGACGCCAGATGCAGCGACATCTCCACCGCTCTCATCGGTTACGATCTTGCGAACATACGCATCAGTGAGTACTTTGAGGTTTGGCCTGTCGAGCGCAGGGAAAAGATAGGTCTGGCATGTCGTTGATGAGAGCTGGGGTGGGGGACAGCGAGCTTCGCACTCACTGTAGCAGAGTAAGCACGCTGGCGGATCTCTAGGTCGATATTAGAGAGGGCCTTGAAGGTACCCGTGACCTGGAGCGCCGTTAGACGGGGGATGGATATGTAAACAAGAGGCGCCAACATTTCCGTCTAACTATCTCGAATTTCAGATATATCATTGGTTTAACAGCAGGGGTCCACTTACGCTCGTAGTAATCGTCTCAACACCATACTTCGTCAAGCTCTGCAAAAAACCAGTTCATTACCAAGATTCGCTGTATCAGAATAATCTATCCTGACCTTTTGCAAGAGAGCTTCTGCACCAGAGCTGTCACGAGAGAAGCTGAGTGGTATAGGGCCTGTTGCTGCTCAGCCTGGCCCCAACAACGCACCAAACGCTCATACCGTCACCACCGACAAAGTCGGGATTGTACAGGTTCTTGAACTCCGAAAGCTCATTCTTCGATGAGGGATAGAACCTACGCCGCACGATCAGTGGCCAGTGCGCTGTGTCGACAACTCCAAGCAGGACGCACCTCTGAACTTTCTTGTGGCACTTGCAAAAGTTTTCCCATGTCCAACCTTCATTTCCCAATTTCCCAATGTCTGCAAGACAAAGATTGCAAACAGTGAAAGGTTGGCTGCCTAGTGGGGGGCAGAGGAACGTACTGTCGATGTCACAGAGTGGAGGAAGGGTCCACATCAATTAGTTCATCTGAGATGACCCACCCAAACCTCGGCTACTGATTCATACAGGAATGAGTGCCACATCTATGTCTACTAGTCATCCATACGCTTACCGGGGGACGTAATTTGCTGATCGCAGATCCTGGACTGTGGGGTAGTAGTGTATGGGTATTCATACTCAGAGTTTACGAGGAGCTTCAGACACGCAGCAGGATCTCCTATCGGGTAACTCAACGGGTCACTACTGAGCTGATGACGCGTAACATATGACTGCTTACTAACGAGTAGGTCGTTCAAGTGCGGCGGGCCCGCTTCAAGGAGAGCGACAGTGACATCTGGGTCCTCAGACAGACGGCTCGCGATGACACAGCCTGCAGTCTAGATTATTTATCAAGAAGCAAGCCATGACACCTATGTCATGAGACATACACCACCGCCTGAGTAATCGTCAGTAAGAGGTTGCCGTAGGAGCTTGTAAACGACGTCGAAGAACTCGCTGCTCACCAATGACGACGTAGTCAAAAGTCTTGTCAGCGATATCTTGAATATCTGCCGGTTCGCCGGCCATCGGTGTGCGCGAGTACTGCGAGAAAAGAGGGGTACGTGAGCATAAAGGTCTGACCCTCGAGTGCATTGTGGTGCCGTACCAGATCTATACCAGCTGATGAGCAACAGCAGAAGGTACGCAGTCAGAGCGGTGGTGAAAGCGGGGAGAACAGGAGTCGCCGTACATCCGCGTTTTTATACGGGGCATGGTGCCGAAATGATAACCAGCAGCGTTTTAGCACAGTCCACGAGAAGGAGACTCAGATAACCGCCATGTCTCAAAGGAGTGTTTGAAGATGTTGAGCACGATATTACCCTGACAAGAGTGTGATGGAGACTGTACACACCAATGGACACGTACATACCGACAAGAGCCAGGTGTCTGGCTCGCGGCTGGATATGGACGGCTAAGTGTTCAATGGAAAGTTGACTGGAGGATTCATCCTCAAGGCCTCAACGTTGAATAGCGCGGACGTCGTCTCGAGACAAGCGGAAAAATCGCGCTCCGGCAATATCGATGGTGCCTCAATCAGGTCTCCGACACACGGCAAGGCGTCCTCATTTAGTTTACTGCTACACATTTCCAAGAATATAGCTGAAAATCCTCCACGGTGACCCTTCGCCACCCTTAGATACGCCAGCCAGGTCCGGGTCGCTGCGCTCCGTGGGGGACCAGGTGCGTCTTATTGCATCCCATTTAAATTTCAGGCAAAGGATGCGACGCGAGCTTGCCCGGCGTGGGACCAGCCTACGCCCCCGGTCCATAACTGGTCCATAGTACCTGCACAACTTAAAAGAGGCGTTTGTCAACGCAAGACGGTGCGTGCGACAGTGTCGAAATCCGTTCCTGAAGGATCTGAACAGACAGCAGATACAGTAGACCACGGCCTTACTCCATCATGCATCATGCCGAACCTCTCGGTGAGCGGCGGGAAAGTATAGGCCTAAGAACTGCCATGGGAGCTGTTTTGGCCTGTCGTGAGCAAGTATCCCAAGCGTAGCTACGGTAGTTCGTTCCGCAGCGGTAGCTGTAAACCCATGCAAGCCATAGTCGTCGAACACGGAGCTAGAGAGAAAGAAAATGTGTCACCCAGGTCACGCAGAATCGCCAACGGCAAAAGCCAGAAAAGTGCAGTCGACCGATACACGAGATCAACTTCTGGTATCCTTATCCACCGCCTCGCTTCAGAAGTCGATTGACTCAGAGTTATCAAGCCATGGCGGATGCTCTGAGCTTCAGCTTCATAGCACTCCAGAGGATGAGGGTAAAAAATGAGATGGCGTATATAATAACCTCTGAGCGCCATGTTTGTAGTCGGTACCGGTGCCGGCATTGCTCCGCCTTCACCGCATTGCGGGTACGCCATCATATTAAATGACGTGAAAATTATGATCGTGGTTAGCGGAGGGCCCTCATAGAAGTATGCATATGGGTGGAACGTGTTGTCACGAACACTCTGTACAGCTCAGGACCTTCACGAAAACTGATCATGTTCACCCATAAATCCTCCTTTGTCATCCCGCTCCTCACACTTAGCTTTGGGAGCGCGGCATGCTCTGCGTCGTACCACAAGATTTCCCCGCCAAATACGATATTGCTTGGCTATCCCGGCGGCAATGTCACCGCCGGGGAGGAGGCGGTGGTTGGCGTTGAGGCAGGCGAGCTGCCCCATCCTTACTACGCGCTCGCATGGAACACGAGCATCAGCCTCGCCTTCCCGAATGGCACACACACCGAACTGTTGTCCATCAGCGACGGCGCGGGGTGCGCTCAGACTTTCTGGACTTCATCGTCGTCTCCACCAGGGCAGATCGGGTACAGCGCGAACCTCGATGCTAACTACACGAGCCAAACTGGCAGGTGAGTTGGGAAAGCAGCGTCTCTGGCGAACATCAAGGGCTGACACTGCTAGCAGCTACATGGTTTTTTGGAACACTACGTATGGCACTACGGACGACTCCACCGTAGCAAATCAAACTTTCTGCGATCCTACCCACCTTTCCTATCAAACCTGGATTGTGAATGCATCATTCGATGTCGTTCCGAAGACAGGTAACGGTGTCCTAGTTCCTTCATTGACCAAGGTCGCCCAGACCCTGATACCATCGCCCACGGGAACGATATGGGTCAGCAATGATGCACAAAACGCAGCCGCTGGCGTTGCGCCTTTGATTGGTACTGCACTCCTGGCGGCGTGGCAGTTATTATGAAAGCTCGCGTTCACGGGTAGGTTTTAGCTTTATGTGGGTCATGAGCAACTTGCTAACGTAGGCTTGCAGATTATCGGCGTACTCTAAGCCGGACAGCGCTCTAGTCTATATCATGCCCTGTATAGTGTTTATTGTGATAGTCACTCTCTAAGGGATAACTGAACATAAGAAACGCCTGACTTGTGCTGAAACCGATGAACTTATAGGCGACCATCTCTCCTGCGTCTTTCGATGAGTAAGAACGATACTACAATATGGACTAGTCAGATCACAGTCGCCAGGACAAAAGGACTATGCACATACCAATCAGTGAGTCCAAAGTGTCCATGGCGGCGGGGTCGACCTCTAGGTAAGGGTGCCGGGACATCCGGAGCATGGCCGCATGACGCTTCTCACGATGATAAACAGCGACGGGCTCGTCTTCTGACATGTCCTCTCTCACGAGCTGTAAAGGCGACCCATAAGAATACAATCCCGTAGAGACTTGGCGCATATACCGACCTCCAGTTGCCTGCGGTTTGCCCTCCAGGTGTACTTCTTCCCGTCTTTGCCAATAAACGCAGCCCTTCTGCAACATCAAAAATCAGCACAGCCCGCGCAGTCCGCAGCATGGCACTCACTTCATCCCCGCTGTGTCTGGCTCGAGACCACCCTCGAGGAAGCGGTGCGCGCTCACGCCCGCGCCGCCGTAGAGGCGGACTTCCTCCGCCTTGCCGTCGCCGTCGTTCTTCATCTCGCCGATGACGTCGAACTGGCGCGTGTTGGGGTCGAGCCGGCTGATCGTCGTGCGGTCGCGCGCCCACTTGGGGGTGATGACCTCGTAGTAAATCACGTCCGATTTGTTCGCGAGCACGACGTTCCGCAGGCTCGTCGTCGTCAGCATCAGCTTCTGGCGCGGGGGTTTCGAGGACTCGTTCTGTGGCATCGTGCTGGGTGGAATGGGTTGCTGTCAGGTCGCGGGCGCAGTGTCGACTCTCGTGAGCGCGGTTATAAACGAGAGGGCTGTCCGGAAGCCTGTGGGCTTGAATGATGCCCGGAGAAGCACAGTGAGAAATAACACGCCGCCCGCCACTTACATGGGACGTGGTTCTCAGAAGCGTGCAACTCTAAGGCACACAGTAGGCAAGTTCCCACCGAGGCAAATGATGGTCGCCGGGTGGCCGGAAAGTTCAGGCGCACAAAACACACGCCGGATAACGCTGCGAGGATATCTAGGATAGCGGTTGTTGTTGATTGCAAGTAATGTACACCGTGACACGTACAGGGCAAACATTGAAAACTCTAGGAGTACCCGAGCATGACAACCGTCCAAGTGGGCCCGCACGCAAAGCTTCATCGATACAAGTTGTGCCAGTAGATCAGAATGCACCGTTTGGTTCCGTCCAGTCGCCGAAGAGTAGGCTGATACTCTCGCCGTTGTGTGTTCGGCGGATGCTCTCCGCGATTGTTGGGCTGATGTCTATAGTGACCAGTTTGGAGCAGCCTTCCTGATGTGATTTTTGGGCTATGGTGTTTGTGACCTACAAAATATTGCAAATTAAGGATTATAAAAAAAGGAGTACAAGGATTGACTGTACGTACCACAAGTTGCTTGATGGGCAACTCCTCGATCTTACTCATATTCAGCTCGGACAAGAGGCCTGATTACTACATCAGACGAGACGAGAAGACACAGAGCTGTGAAACGTACCATGTGAAACAAGCGCATATATCTCTTTTGCGCCGTGTTCTTGCAGCGTCCGAGTAGCGAGCGTCAGAGTGTTGCCGGAGTCAATCATGTCGTCAACAAGAATGGCGACCTGCAGTCTCTAAGCTAAATATTGCTATTTTGACGAGAGAAGGACGTACCTTGTCGCGCACATCGCCAACCAAAACGTCCATTCTTTCCTCCTGGGAATTGTGGTTCTTGTTCGCCCGCTGCCTGTGAGTGAGAGCAAACTCAATGCCGAGTTTGTCTGCGATGGCGGTGACGCTGAAGATGTATTCAGCTTTGGGACGTTCGCCGCTGCATGATTTGTACGACTCACCGCTTCGCGCCGCCAGCGTCAGGGCTGACAATGATCCCATTCTTCCAGTCAGGAATGTTTTGCTTGATGTAGGATATCATCAGCGGCTCCGAGTAGAGGTTGTCCACTGGGAAGTCGAAGAAGCCCTGGATCTGGCTGGCGTGAAGGTCCATTGTAATGACATGGTCGCAGCCGGCTACAGCCAACATGTTTGCAACGAGCTTAGCGGTGATGGGCGCTCTAGATTTATCCTTCTTGTCCATCCTGGCGTAGGGGTAGCAGGGAATGACGGCCGTGATACGGCGGGCGGCGGAACCCTTGCAGGCGGAGATGAGGATGAGCAGCTCCATGAGGTTGTCATTCACATCGCTGCAGCCTGACTGGATGATGAAGACGTCCTCGTCACGAATGGACTCAGAGATCTTTACGTTGATTTCTCCGTTCGAGAAGTTTTTGACGGTGCAGGGTGTGAGAAGGACGTTGAGTCTGCATGTGAGGGTAAGAGAAAGCTAAGCGAATGACAGGTTCCCCAGCTGGGTGCTGCCTCTAGAAAGGTTCAGCTCACCGCTCGGCCACTGCTTGGGCGAGCTCGGGGTGGCTGTTCCCTGCGAGACAGTGTCAGCCTCCATGTCCGCTGTCCCCGGAGACATTATAGCTCACCCGTGAGGAGTCTAACAGAGTTTCCATGCAGCATGGCTGTATTCAAGTAGTATTAGAGCATGAAAGAGCGAGTTAGAATAAGAAATCAACGAGCGAGTGAGCGACAGAGGAGAAAAGAAGAGAAAAAGTCCTCCGCGCAGGCGCCCATACTGTCAATCAGACAGAAGCGCCCAAGTCCGTCATGGTCGCGAACCACAAGCAGGAACCAATCAAAAGTTTTGCGACGGTGAAATTTATTTCGCCTCGCAAGACCACACGTAACTGTGAGCGTTGGCGTAGTATGGACTGAGCAATCTATGCGGTGGATCTTCGGGTGGGCATGACGCTACCCATGTAACTTGAGTACTATTGGCTGATAAAGAACTATCATAAACCGCCAGTACATGCAACTGGCCAGCAGCCCAACGCAGTCACCAATAGTAATCACAGCGGCAATGGGGAATAAAAATTGCAGATAGTTCGCGTTTCAAATTTCAAGGTTAGAACTTAGCCAAGACTGCGAAAAGAAACGACGTGGCAGTACTAGTAGGTAGACCTCCAGACGGCCGAAGGCGCGTCTCGTGCCGTCAAGCAACAAGTCTGTCTGTAATTCCTGTCAGAACCCACCGTTCAATGTTAACTGCGACGTTCAACGTTAACGTTCAAGTTCTGTCCAATCAAAAGCGGGTTCTGCTTCATCGGCCGCGCTTTCTTTTTTGTCCATACAACGACGTCCTCGCCGCCATGAGTCCAGTACCGGTAAGGACTGGGTCGTTTTCCACTACTCATGTAGAACCCTATGACATTCTGCTTTCGGCTCTAGGCAACGAAGCTCAAAGGCCCTCGGGTTCATCTCCAGCTGCATACTCACGACCACCTGGTATGTCGCTGACAATTGTCCTGCGATGACTCTGACCATCACCTCACAAGCTGATCCGGCTGCGGCCCAGGTTGCGGCCACGCATGAAATCTGGTTCAGTTGATCAACAATCATGCTGTCTCAAGATACATAGAATGCCATCCCAGACGAATGTCTCCACCACGGCCTCTCCTCTCATGCTATCCGTCGGCTTCCTCCCAAAGGCAGTGTCCCAAGTCGTCCGAAGGTCAAAGTGACAATTCACTCCATGCTTTTCCTTAGTCCAGAACGGATCCCTGACGATTGTCAAGCGGTTGGCGAACCTGGAGATGTTTGGATGACCGATAGCTCAGTGCAGGTTCGAACAGCTACTGGATGGATCGACTGGACACCTAGGAATGCGAGAAAAAGTGGCATTTCTCACCCACATTTACCTGGCTTCAAGTTAGGATACCGGCCGCAAGCACAGTGCCTTGCCTATGGCTCGCCTGCTGGAGGCATACATGGCTGGCATGCGGAGTGGAGCCGGATGACCTTTGAGAGCCTATGCCAGTCGTTTCACAGTACCTTGGGTGCCCAGGCAGCGAAAGAAGCCACTGAACGCCTGGCCGAGACTGTTATAACACAACAAGGACAACTTGTCCCCTACATCTCTCTCACCTCGGCTGCAATTGCAGCTCTCGTGTATCCAATTTATTCACGCTGGACTGCGGGAGCTGACAATCGTCCGGTTGGCAAGGTGAGTCTGCCCATTTGATGGATTCAGCCAGGCTCTCACCCTTTCTAAGCAAACTTTGCCTCGCACGGTTCGCGACAAGCCCAAGTCCTCCACCTCGGGCAGTGGCCCCCTTCCGGATCTTCCCCTGTCCCACGAACTTTCTCCTGCCTGCCAGCCTCCAACTTCCCTCTCGTCGCGTCAGCCCTCACCGCTACCGGACCCTTCATCGCCTGAAAGCCCTGAACTCAGTCTTCGACTCACCCCGCCGCCAGCCCCGTTCCACACCTCAACCCCTCCTGCAGATGTCCGTTCGCCTTCGGCACCAAGCCGTACGAGTATTGTGCCTATAGATTTCTCCGCCCTATTCCGGCTTCCCGGCCTTCCAGCCGTCATCCAAGGCATCTTCAATCAAGAACTCGTACCAAAATACTGCGATCGGTGCGGTGGCGAGGTGCCATAATGAATGGGCGTCCATAATCCTGCGCCACGGTGGAAAGTCGAACAGCTCCAGCGAGGTTGCCGCTGTGGTTAGCAGCACGAAGATAGCTGCCTTTGATGTGTATGTTGGCCGATAGTCCCGCGGACGTCCCGGAAAGCGTCGGAAGATGGACAACGACGAAGGGAACGAGTAAAGCAGCCATAGGACGTTGTGTGTCATCCCGACTGCGAGGTTGAAAGCCATGTTATAGGCATAGTCGAAGCGAGGGAGAACGGAGAGGTAAGCAACATGACCGACATACGCCAGTGAGCACAACGTAGCCCACAGTAAATGAATTCTGCTTCGAGCGAGTGATGCTTTGGAAGGATGCGTCGAGAGAGGATATGGATGGTAGAGCCTGACTACGGTGTAGAACAGGGCGTATAGAATTGCGAGAGCCGCAGAGAAGTAGTCAAGCTTCTCAGTGATCGGCATATCTAGCATACCCAAAACAAATTTTTTCGTCAGAACAAGCCCCACAAGTTCGATGGAACGGCAGACCTCGCGTGTGGAAGACAGAGGACCAAATCCAAGCATTCAGGCTGACGGCGGCAAAGACGAGATAGTATTGCCTCATGGGGTGCCCCAATGGTATTCTTCGTTTGATCTTCATAGCTGCTTGCGCATGAAAGAGCATGTTCAAGAGCGAGAACGCGACCGACGCAGGCTCCTGCATGCCCGCGAATCGCCAGAACGGCCACTTGCCGTGGTATTGGTGGATCTTGTCCCCACTGACTATGGCGGCGTCGGTAATGTCATGCATGCAATGATACTTGCAATCATCGTTGCAAGTCCAGCGTGTGAGGCGGAGGGCGAGCGGCAGGGAGGGATACTCGGAAGTGCCACACGATCGTGCATTGCAGGATGAAACACAGTCGGTGTATACTTGAGCACGGTCCCCCGACGATGCATACGAGCAGCAAGCAAGAGCGAGTATAGTCCAGACCGGGAGGGAATGTCGCATCATCGAGCTGCGTTGCACATTGGTTGGAGGGCGGCGGCGTGGCGGGAGGCGGGAGTTGTGGGCGCCAGTGTACCCAAACCGTGAGAAATTCAGACTTCGTTGAGCCGGGCTCATCGTGGGAAATTAGCGACCTATTGCAGTATTAAGCAATTCCCGCCATACAGGCGCTTCGTATCTTACACACCGACCACGACATACCCGCGGCACTGTGGCTGGTATTTGGACCATCTGGGCCACCCGGGCGAGTCTGGACGCCACTTATACCCGCGGACTGTTGCTGCTGCTCTTTTTCCGCGGCCTGAACCGCTAGTTCTTGTCATGGCGTTCCGTGTGACAACCTACCCACCACCGCCAGCGATCCGCTCATCTCTCATAAAGAATCCTACCGATGCGCTGCCCCCAATTGAGGACCTAGAGACCCTTCAGGCTGACCTGAAGCTTTTGAAACTAAAAGCGCTCGAGCGGATGAAGAAAGCGGGAGATGATCTCATAGCAATGCAAGAGTCGTTCAAGCGAATCAAGGAGAGGGAAAAAGGGAAGGGAAAGGCGATAGAGAAAATCAAGAAGGAGCGTGGATGTGCGTATCTCTCACCTACATAGTGAAATTATTACTTAATCGCGCAACTTTCTGCTGATGTATTACTCGCGCGTTCTGGTGGCGGCCAGCAGCCACTCCGCTCTTGAATGGAGAAGACAAGAGACTCACGGCGCAACCGCAAAGCTTACTGAAGTCTCGGCTATCTTCCGTTGCCACGAGCGTAGCGCATTCTCGTGTCTCTTCACCGCCGCATGAACCACGAAAGGCGTGAGTCCGTCACCGCTGGTGTCTAATAACTATCCGGCTCATGCCAACTGAACAAGTCTCACAGACGATGCCAAGAAGAAGAAGAAGAAGCGGAAGAGAGATGATGACAGTGAAGCTGAGTCTGGTGTGTGGCCATGGTCTGTACGGTAGGCCACATGTCTCATCCTTTATCCAGAGCCTGTTAAGCACCGGAAGACCACACCAATTCCACAAAACACACATCCACATCCACCGCCTCCTAAGCCTGTCAAAAACCCAAGTACTGCTTCCCACTCTCATTCTCATGGCAAAGTAAGCGCTACACGGAATCTGTGACCAGATTAACATGAGATTGACATTTGACCAGGCGCAAACAGGACCAGATTTCTCTCTTCACGCGCAGATACCCCTTCTTCCGACTCGACCACCGATACCCTCACCTCCGATACCGGGTCCAAGTAAACCAACCGATGTTACGGACGACTTCAGCAGGGCGAGACCGCCGAATAATCAGGTGACTGCCACGACGTACTACACCAGTATTGAGCCCTATCTTCGGCCAATAAAGGAGGAAGATATCGGCTTCCTGGAATACACACACGACGAGGTCGAGCCGTTTATCATGCCCAAGCTGGGGCGACATTATTCAGAGGTGTGGGAAGAGGAGGACATGGCCCAGTATGGGTTTCCCCTACCTGGCACGGCTGCTGTCCGCTCGGGCATCACACTACCCGGCTCGAACTCAATGGCGCCTCTGCCCAAATGGGAGCCATCACAACTGCAGGAGACCGACCTCGTCACAGAAGAGCGGGGACACGGGCCGCTCACAGAACGACTGGTCAGTGCCATGATACCACTACAGAACGCTACCGAGTGGAAGGGTGTGAAAGCTGCTGAGGAGGCGATGGAGGGTCGACCAGGGACGAATGGTGCCGCTGCACAGGCCGCTCGAGATAAGATGAATGTCTATGACCTCGAGGAGCGCGTAAAGAACGTAATGCGCTTCCACAAGCTCCTTAACGATCTTGTGAGTAGTCTTAATCACGTGTATATACGTTCCGTGTTAACAATGCCACTAGCCTGACTTCTCAGAGGCTGTTGACGATCCAATAGCCACAGCTCTGCGGCACGCCCAGAAGGAGCTTCGCCAGGTCGTTGCCACGAACAAAGCCCGACGAGCGCGCCTCACAGCGATAGCGCGCGACCGTTTAGCATACCAGGAGTACGTAGAGCTGCGGGAAACTCTCGACAAGAACATCAGCCACCAGTATAACAAGCTGCAGAAGAAGGAGAACCCGAGGTCGCACAAGAAAAAGAAGAAGCCAGAGCCAAATGGGACGATCACGCCGAACGGAACGGTGCTCCCCGCGCCATCGCCCGCCGCGCTCGGGTTGCTGCAGGACGAGGATCTGAACCTAAACGTGCCCGAGCATCTCAAGCACCTCGTGCAAACGCGCCGGCAGTGGGTCGACAAGATCGGTGCCGTCTTCGAGGAGAAGGAGCGCAAAAACCCGGGCCGAATATGGGGTCTGTCCCATAGCAGCATATATGAGGGCGTCGAAGAGGAGGTACAGCAGGAGCTCGAGCGACTTGGTCCGCCGCCGAGACCTGGCCAGCGACCGCAGGTGAATGGTGCGGGTCCACGGATTAATGGTGTAGAGAAGGGGAAGGCGCGGGCGAAGGTTGAGGAGGTAGCGATGGAACTCGGCTGAGAGTTTCTTATTTATCCCGTATTACTATCGTACAGCTCTGTCATGTTCCCCCATCAGTTACAAGTCCACAGACAATACGCGACAGGAGGCTCTGACGGCGGAGCCTGCTACAAGTCGCTTTGCAACAGAAGCATGCAATCCATCATTAGTCAGACAACACTATGATACGTCGAGGTCCCCCTCAGCGGAGGCACTGACAGGTATGCCATCGCCCGTATCCATTGGTGTAGGCGCGTCCGCAGCCGCCGGATCTGCTTCTGTCTCTGACGCCTCTTCCTTCTCCTTCAGCTGCGCTCTAGCCTTGGTTCTTGTCTTGCCCCGCCCTTTACCGCGACGGTTAGCTCGACGAGCGGGGGCAGGCTCTGCGTCGTCTGCATCGTCTTCCCCTTCGCCCACTGTAGAGGCGGTCTTGCCCCGGGCCCGCGTTCGTCCGTTACGGGTACGGCCTCGTGTTTTGCGAGCAGAGGCATTGCGCCGTGACGCAGGCGCACTGTCCAGCTCCGGGTCGCCGTCGACATCGGCCTCTGCATCGCCGTCATTGTCGTTGTCGAAGAACTCGTTGGCCGCCTTGTGCGGGTCCTCGCGCTGCTCGCCCGCGAGCGCCGTGCTCCGCTCCTCGACCTTCTCTTCCCGCGTACGGTCCTCGTCCTCGAGCCATGCGCCGAGGCTCGGCGGAATCTCCTGCAGCGCGACACTCGGTGCGCCCTGGAGGTAGCGCAGCTTGTTCCGGACGGCGAGCGCGATGCGCTGCAGGGACGCGGGCGTGTTCTGGTTCTCGACGCGGCCCGTGAGGGGCGGGTGCAGCTTCCACTGGCTCTCGCGGAAGAAGGAGTCGTAGATTGTGACGGGCAGGCTGTCCGGGATCGACGCGCCAACGAGCACCGCGGTCTCGTACGTCCAGCACCGGCTCACGTTCTTGATCGTGTACCCGCCGCCGCCGACCACGAGCAGCGGCACACCGTACTTGCGCACAAAGTTGACGCACTCGCCGTGCGCAGCAATCGATAGGTTGAATGCACCCAGCCGGTCACAGCCTAGAGAGTCGGCACCGCATTGTAAGACTATTGCAGACGGGCGGAAGGCGGTAACGGTGTCGTCGACGACCGTCTTGAAGGTCGTGAGGTACATGTCGTCGTCGATGCCGTCCTGCAGCGGCACATTGAGGCAGAAGTGCTTTCCGAGACCAGCGCCGTTGTCGTCCAGCTTCCCTGTGCCCGGGAAAAAGTCACCGGTGTACTTGTGGAAGGACAGCGTCATGACCCGATTTGAGTTGTAAAAGGCAAATTCCACACCGTCTCCATGATGAATGTCGATGTCGATGTAAAGGACACGAGGGTGGAAACTGGTGCATATAAAATAGAATAGAATAGATCAGTGGCGACGTAATGTGAGCCGAATGAGCAAATGATTGCTCCTTACCGAAGCAATTCGAGGATCGCAAGGACGATGTCATTAACATAACAAAAACCGCTGGCCTCAGCCTTCTTCGCATGATGCAAGCCTCCTGACCAGTTGACTGCGATGTCAGTAGTGCCCGCGCAAAGCTTCCGGGCGGCCGCCAAGGACGCCCCAGCATACAGTTTGCAGAAGTCATACATATCCGCGAATATCGGACAATCTTCGACACAGTTGAATTGGTCAATAAGATGTTTCATCTCTCCTTGGTTCTGAGGCGTTACACTAACATTGTGAGCGCATGCTCGAGTCAAGACAGAGGGGCAAACCAGCCATACCGGCCAAGAAATTCGACATAATCACGGTCGTGATATGCCTCGAGTTCCGCCTGGGTTGCAGGGCGCGGGTCGTATATATGATGTATTTGCTTGTCGAGTCCGTACCCGAACACAAGTGCATTTGTCAGAGTAAGCCTGTGAGGCTTCATCGGATGTCGCTCCTGAAAAGAATGTAGGTCAATCATAAGCAGGACATTGACAGCGCGCGGACCGACTCCATAATGCTGAGCGCCAACTCCTTTCGGAGAGTAGTATGAGACTATGGGTCTTGAGTGAGGCTATATGAATCAACTTAGTTTGCGACCAGGATAGACTTGAGCCGTGCTCACATTTACTCGTTCCGTTATCGGAGTCGCGTATCCATGCGGACCGCGGTCATCAAAATAAGGTGTCGTAGAGAAAGTTTCGTATGTCCTGATAATCATGCAGGTTATCTGAAACTAGTTGCTGTTTTACAAGACTTGCCCCGGCGAGTGGAAGAAGGTTGAAGTGAGTTCGGTACAAGATCCCCTCAGGGAAATTCTCGATCTCGATCCTCCACGTGACTCTCAATATTACCACGAAGGTCAGAAATTCGGAGTAAAGTATCCGACCCACGCTCTTACCACTCGCATCTCATTCGAGACCTGCTCTGGTCTTCTGCAGCTCTGGCTGCCATCTAGCAAAAACTGGTGCTAATCCCACCATGGACCAAAATCATTTCTCGGATGCTGGCCCTTCCGGTCTCACCTCAGAGGCTAGCTCGGACACTATGATCGAATTGGCGACATTGGAAGACCACATGCTCGAACATAGACACCATCATAAGGATGAACGACCTCAGGACGACTATAGAGAGCCAGAGGAAGAGAATGGAGAGGACGATGATGTAGACAAAGCTCTGCTTTCGCCCAGAGAACGGCCTCCAGGGCAGGAACGTTCACGTTCACCTTCCCCTACCCGACAGACGAATACATGGGGCCAAGTGTCGCGGCTAGTCGTCGAGGTATGCACTCCTACATCTAGCTGGCTGACTCGAACCCATGTATTGTAATTAGACTGGCCCAACTCTGCTCCTCACGACTGTAGGACTGCTCTTTACAGGAGAGCTCCTCAACAGTGTTTCAGTATGTACTATCACCAAATTACCTTCTTATCCCTCATCGATGAACTCGTACATAGCACTGGAAGGCCATGTCAGAGGTCAATGAGCTCATCATGATTATTCCAGTAGTCTTGAATTTGAAGGGCAATCTCGAAATGAATCTCTCAGCCCGTCTAGGGACTGCAGCGAACGTGGGCGAGCTTGACAAACCTGCCGTACGACGAAAACTTATATTGGGCAACTTGTCATTGCTACAAGTGCAAGCTACCGTGGTGTCTTTCGTCGCTGCAGTTGTGGCGTTTGCTCTCGGAAGAATCATGCCGCCGCAGCCTACAGAGACCATCGCGCTGCCTGGAAGCGATCCGAGACCAGTCTCGAATGCTACATTAATTATCCGCAGTCTCGGTGCAAGGAAGCCAAGGCCTCCAGCAATTCCAGCCAAAGGGCCTGGCGGATTCCACGAGTGCGTGCCGCCAGTTGCTGGACAACGACAAATGTTGACATTTGCGTAGATTTACGCTGACGGCATCATCGACTATGCTTGCAGCCTGCCTATCCAGTGCACTTCTCGGCTCTTTCATGTGCGCTCTTGTTGTGCTTTGTCGCAAGTTTGGGCTGGATCCCGGTGAGTCGCTACCGAATCTCGCGCTGAACACAGCCTAACCTGACTGGTGCATTGCTGCTCTTAACTTCCACCAGATAATATTGCTCCTCCTGTCGCCGCTTGTCTTGGTGACCTCGTCACTCTTTCGCTCCTTGGCGTGGTCTCAGCACTCAACATCCACTTCGTCAATACACCTGTACCGCTCATCATCATCATCCTTCTCGCTGTGGGCGCCGTTGGCTGGGCGATAGTCACCCGCCGCAATCAATACGTTGGCAGCCTGCTGTTTCAGGGCTGGCTGCCACTGTTCGCCGCAATGATCATCAGCTGCGGCACAGGCATAGTTCTTGACATGTTCGTCAGCCGGTATGAGGGCTTCGCGATTCTTGCTATGGTCATCAGTGGTCAGTACGTTTATACAGCGAATACTGTGCATCACTGAGCGGTTCTGCTCAGGTCTTCCCGGCAACGTAGGCTCGATTCTCGTCTCGCGCCTATCGACTGCTCTTCATGCGAACGAGTATGAGATGGACCACCTACCCCATGCATCGACGGAGGACTTAGTCAAGACATCATCAGCACCCCCTCCAAACGCGCGCCTCGTCATGATCACACTCATTGGTGTTACTTTTCCCATTGAAATTGCATTCCTTGCCACTTTGCGTGCCGTAGGCTGGCTGCATGTGCCCGTTATCTTCCTGATCTTCTCGGTCATATTCTTCTGCATCGCTGTTCGTATATACCCCTCAAATCATCTGTTACACGCATTTCATCTGACCATTTTCGCAGGTCGTTGCTTCCCTTTTCCTCGCTCGGGCTCTTACCAATCTGCTGTGGAAACGCAAGCTCGACCCCGACATGTACGCCCTCCCGATCCACTCGGCCCTCGTCGACCTCATCGGCCAATTACTACTCGTCGTTTGCTTTGAGCTGGTGTCGCGCATCGGCGTGCCCGTCAAGGCGGGGATCGATAACTTTATGTGATACCTCTAGACTCGATACCATATCTTCGACATACAACCCTGCTTGTTTACTGGATGTCCTGTACGTCGCAGCTCCCTTACGGCACCTAATTTATTCCCTCAAGATATTTGTGCATTGCAGTGTAATCCTTGCTCTATCGCACGATTTTGTAACCTACATGTGTACATTTCTCCGTATATATCATGGCACTAATAGACCATACCGGATACATGGTAAAGGATGTGTAGCTGCTGTAGGGTGGATCGTTTAATCGCGCGGAGCCTTTGCAGCTTCCTTTTCGTTCTTCAGGATGTCCTCGACTGCCGAGCCGAACTGCTTGCGTTTCTCCAAGGACGGGGCAGGAGCTTGGGACGAGTAGCCGAGCTCTAGTAATACCGCACCCAGTCAGCGTGGAGGAGAGAAGGAGCTGGAGACGTACTCAGGCTAGGGTACTGCAGAGGGACCTCTTCGCTCTTGACAGGCAACGTCGAGAGGTCAAGAGGGAAGGACGGGCCGATCCACGCATTGCGAATCTCATGGTCCCTAAGACGTCATCGTCAGAACAGTCAACCCGTGTGTTCACGTTTGACGCACTTGCGCTGCGAATTCCGGGTCAGCAGCGTCGAGCGCATAGGAGATGAGCAAAGCTTACCTGCTCTCTGGTCAGCGGGTGAACAAGAATGCTACGGGCGAGATGTGGGGTTCAGAGTGGCTGTCGCAGCACACCGGGGCACGCACCTCAAGCTGCCGCGGTTCATACAAAGGTACGAAAATACGGAAGCAAACGACTCTGAGGGACACCAGATTTCATACGAGCCTACGAATATGATTGAGCGTGCTGATTTCTGCAGGTGGTGAGCTGAGTAGTCACCGACGGGGTGAGGACCAATGGGGTCCGTGTTAACACGGAACAGAGGGACGGCGACGAACGCCCCGTCTCTCCTTAAGCGCAACACAGCGTCGCGCAGCTCCAGAGCTGCTTGATGTTCATCTGCATTGCGTTGGTGGAAGTAGATGTCTACGGGCGCACGCTTGGCTCAGCTGCGAAGGCATGATAAGGACAAGCATGAGAACGCGCACGGAAGTGCCATTCCCTGAGAGTCAAAGTATTAGAAGGGTCAGGTCCAGCGACAGAAATATTACTACTTACTTGATTTCTGACTCTACCACCTCTTTCACGTCGGTCTGAGGTGCCATTAATATTGCGTCCGAGCTATCCCGTGATGACCGAGTGATAACCGCAGGAAGAGATATGGGGATTTTGAAACGGGTGTTGCCGTGATCGCATCAGTCCTGCTTGAGAGAAGACTCACTCCGCGCAAGTGAACCAGAAATACTCCGACATTGCCGAGAGGTCAGCGAGCCAATCGGATATGGTGGCATGCTGGACTACGGACGCGGCTGCGTGCATGTCTACGGGGCGGGCAGCGCTGTGGATGACACCCTGTTTAGTACCGTAGACGCAGGTGCTGCTTTCATGCTTGGGTTCAAGTTGAACGGCAGGTGATTCGCTTTGTGCCTTCTCCAGTTCGTATTTGCTCTCCAGGACAGGAAGCGGTGTTGGCATTGTTGGCATTGTTGGCACTTGCTCCGACCGACGGTTCCGCGGGACCCACAGCCAGGACGCGTCTCTGTCCAGATTCTAGCTGGGAAGATATTTAGCCCAACCACCTTTCAAGCCCAGCCTGTGCCGCTCGATCTGTTGATGGAGGACACCGAACAGCTGATATACTCTATTCCAGAAGTATGTGTAGGTATTGTGCTAAGATGATACCTTCGATAAACGAAACGTATTATGTTCCAAGCCCGAAAAATGCATGCTATAGCGCAAGCTGAGAATGGTCGCCGGCCACTGTAGAACAAATGCTCCGATGGTTGTGTTGTATGGGCATATTATCTCAGTTCTATGCGGCGCGACCATATAGTCACTCGCAGCTGCGACTGAATCCTGCATGTGTATTCCAGACGGCTTTTACTCCGTATTGGCGCCTCCGGCCGTCTTCCTTCTCACTCTCTTGTAAGCTGGGCCTCCATGCGGAGATCGTCCCAAGACCATCCAGTGGACGCCTTTCGGTGTAGATTTGTGGATATCGAGCTCCATAAATCTGCAAATGTCCGCGGACCGTGGCGAGCACGCACGAAAATCAGCTCTCCGCACGCCGCATTTGTACGTTGGTTTGTACTATTACCCTTTCTGAAATCACACTTAGCCTTGGCCGTATCCGCCGCCACGTCAACGGACACAGAATGAGCCCTTATTTCCGGATATCAATGGATTACCCGTGCTGCAACACCGGGTACCCTTTGGTCAGTTCAAAACATCAACGAGATCGATTGCTTCCCCCCCTCCCCCCGCCTCGCCATATCGAAGTTCGGCACACGCATTCAACCATGTCTATGACACTAGATTCCCGCCTATCCTACATCTCGCGCTTTAAACACACTTTCAGATGGTCTGATGCCTGTTTCTCCCAAATCACTGAAATTTGGATCAGCCATGAGCCGCAGTTTCGCAACATGTGAGAGGTCTCGTTAGTCTTCTGCACGATCTTTCTAGCATGCTAACGACAGAATGAACCAGTATCTTGGCTGTGGCGTGGGACGACCCGAATTCCCGTTACATGATCAAGTGCGGCTGTTCTGGGCTAGACAGTTCGCAGGGGGAGCCCATCAAGCTGGAGACCTGGAAAGAACTCGAGAGCTCGAGATTCCAGAATATGAAGGGCGAAGGATCGTACATGAATATACTGGAAGGATCTAGGCCGCTGACCTACCAGTAGCGTTGTGCGGGCTGGCTCGGCCTGAAAGCTACAGGTTACTCTAACGGATGGAATCACGTAAGTGAGGATTTGAGAGAGCATATGTTAAGTATCTGACCACTTCTACTCTCTATACAGACTTATTATATATGGATTGCGGGGGTATAAATGATGCCAGATATTTAATAACGCGAGCAAGCAAGGTGGACGCCTACTCTTTTCCATCAACTTCAACACAAAGTCTGTCTTCAGGTTAGACAGTGGACCAACGTGTAAGCGATATGTCCGGAGTGATATCCGTAGCACAAAACTTACCTGTTGATCACGATGTAGATCGCATCTACCTGCCTCTTGCAAATCGCGACTTGATGTGTTGGCCCAGGCCGAGCTATGGGCCTTGTAAGCCTTCCTACCAAAACACATCGACGTTTCAATTCGACTTAGGCTCGGCCTGTGAGAGCCCGGCTTGAACAGCCCAATTGCTTGAAGCTGGAGGAGTATGACACTGCCTGCTATTAGTGCTCTGCGCTAGAATATACTGGGACCAGTATCCTACTTAGTTTGAGCTCGTAGTATACATTTTCTCCAAATGTTATTATAGTTTTGTCTTGATCGTAGCCAGTTTCCGCAAACTTGACGTCATCTCTGTCAGCATATATTTGCTTGGGCTCGGTCAGCTCAAAGCGTCAGGTTTCTCTTTGTTTATTACCACCATGGCCTCTGTACCCTTTCCTCCTCTTGCGCTCGTGCCATATCTCACTCAGATCGCAGCCATCCTGACTGAGCGCAAGCAGAGCGTATGTGTCGCCGAGACTGCTGCAGGCGGGCTTATCTCGGCCTCACTCTTGTCTGTCCCCGGAGCCAGCGCGTACTATGCAGGTGGTTTGACGGTGTATACCCTTGCGTCTCGTACTACGTTCTGTGATTTTACGCCCGATGACTTCGTCAACTACCAGTAAGCAGCGCTCATGAGCTCAGTCCTGAGACCGCCGCTGAAAGGTACAAGGGGTCCCACGCCGGCGATTGTCGAGCGTCTCGCGACGAGTACACGAGCGAAGTTGCAAGCAACGTATGCTATCAGCGAGTCAGGTACCGCTGGACCGACAACGGCGAGGCCAACACAGACTCTGTGAGTTGCCGTTCGCTACGTCATAGCTCTACACAAACTTTAGATCGCTTTCCGCCATGTAGTGGTTACGTCGCACTCGCTATCGCAACTCCAAGCGGGGTCATAAGCAGGGAACTTAAGACCGGGACATCGGATAGGCAGACGAACATGGTCCTCTTCGCGGAGGAGGCGCTGAAGTTCTTCCTTCAAGTGTTGAAGGGGGAGATCGCAGAGCGGAAAATGGCTCTTTAAATTGCAGAGATGCCAGGAACTGACTTACTGGATGACATTTGGATATGCTTCGACTAACCATGCGACTGATAGGTAGTCGTTTGCCCTGTCCCGACTTCATCTGCCTCAGAGTACATGTAATCTTGAGCAGGACGTTGTGCCATTCTATGCAAGGTGGTTGGATTTGGCTATGTCCAGGGAATATGACAACCGTGCGCCTGTGAGACCGCTGCTTGCCTTTCGATAGAAACGATCTCGAAAGGGATGTTTAGCATAAAGATAAGAAATTAAGCAGAGACCTAGACTGCATGATGCTGAGCATGCCGGTAGCTTCGATATGGTAGCAAGGATGTCGATGAAGGTGAGCATGAAGTCGCATCATTTCACCAGGCGCCATATGCGCTTATCATGGACGTTGTGGCGTTTAAATTCTGGCCAGGATCCTCGCGAACAAAATTATAAGATTTGCGCAGTCCGCAGGGATGCCGACATGAGTCCGCTAATTCAATTCTAGACCAGCGAGAAACCTGTACTTCAGTGTTAAATCCATGAAAAATTTATTGCGTGAGGCCGATGAATGCGGCGCCGAGGTAGATGCAAACGGCAGAGCAACATCCGACTCATACCGTTACGGCGACTCCGTTGACACCACTGACTGCGCCTTGCAACATTTGAAACTTGATAAAATATAAGTCTCTCCGCGCTTCTTATTCCTGTCAAACATGGTCATTCACGAGGAGGGATGCGCAATCATCTCCAACAGGCTACGCAGTGCACGCTCCCATTATCGATGAATTCAGCTGATGACTACAGATGCAGAAGGTAATGTTGCCCCTGCTCGTTAGTGTAATAGGTTCGCTCGATGGAAGCCTGAGTTTGAATTTTTTGAGGATTTATGGTCGCCTACATCCTATTCGTTACAAGGCAAAGCTTACCACCGCAAAACTTGGAACGTCTACGCAATCATACTATCTTATGGCTGATTCGCTGCTACCATTGGACACCGAGTAAAACAGGTTTTAGTTTTACCAAGAGCTTTATAATACATCCTAGGATTCATCTATGCCAGGTTACAGCTGGATTAAAGCTCAGACGCCGTGTTACGGTCTCGAACGGGGGATGTGGTTCGGTTCGCTATACCATAACGGCCTAAAGGATGCTATAATTGCATGGGTCCCCCAGCCGTTCCTATCTCACCAGAGCAAGCAGCGTACGTCAATGGGTAGGCCGTCACCGGTGCACGGGTTGCGGATGCACTGATACGCGGGCCAGCACGCGTGCGCGCGTCGCGTAAGGATGAGCGTAACTGTCCGCCGGGCCGCGTTACGCCGCGTCTCACTGGAATTTGCACATGTAGAAGTGTCAGCGAAGTCCAGGGATCGTCAAGGATCGTCGCCGCAGTGCAGATCGCGCTTGAGACATGCCACACCTGCCTTGAGGCATATTTAGTCGCGTGCTCGTCTATTCACATCCGTCAACGCGGTTGCAGCACTGCACGACGCATGGCAGCACATGGTGTACAGACTTACGCTAGTGTTATTTTGAGCAATTTCGCGCTGCGTTCCAGGTTGCTGGGGTGGTTCTTCCGGTCGCAGTCGGTTACGTGGCTTGCGTAGCATGAAATCTGAGATTTGATGACATCAAATCTCACGCTTATCTCCGGCGCTCCTGAATATACGAGATAAGATAAAAGCAGAATTAGATGCCGGAGACTCTAGTGCGGGATAATTGTCGCAAACTGAAGAGCACTAGAGCGAGACGTACGTAAACAGCTGTATCTTCTTCAAGCGATGGCCTTCTTAAAGAGTCCCGTCGACGATAAGCACCTTGTCTCAGCCGTGCCACGCAGGCATCGCTTGTTGAGTGGCACGGCCGAGACAAGCCAACTACGCTTAGAGGTGTCGGGAGGCCGGTCAAGCGCGTACGTACACGGCAGCGTCTTCCAGAGGTTGTATGATAAGTGATTCTGAATGGAGAACCACTGACGTCTGATAAGAGCACCCACCGTGATGTGCCGCCAGCTGTTACGCCATAGCTGGCGGCCGTTGAAGGGAGACGTCTGGCGGCCGAGAACGCACCAGGTTCGACGTAATGTATACTGTACGGCCTGCCGCGCTGTGCATCCTTCGCTCTAGAGGCTTCCAGCGAGGCACAGCGCCTCGGGTCCCATTAGTTGCCAGCGTCGTGAGAAAGTTCGCACTCCACTTGCCCGCGGCAAGCCCAGCGAAGAGCAGCTGCGCCAATCGGCAGAAGAGCACCTGCCCATTCGGTCGAAGGTTCCAGGGTTGTCTGGGTGCCCAGATGCGGTGCCCACAAGCGCAAGAGCACAGCGGCGGTAAGCTTGTTATCTGAATGCAATCTCTATTGGATCTCAGTGGGGATTCAAGATAGGTTGCGATTGGTCGCATTGACATTGTCCTTACGTGTACAGGGGCTGCCGAAGGGAGAGCATCGCCGAGCACCGATCGGTTTTCCGGAAGGCGAGGGCGAGTACGGGCAGGCACGGATGTGCACTGCGCGCGGACTCGCTACTCAGCAAACAGAGACGTCATGGCATGGTTGGCTATGCACTGGCGGTATTCAACAAGGAGCTGCCGTCCCGACTGGCTGATGACCTAAGCTATTCTTGTTCTACGAATTCAAGCGAGGATGCTCACCTCAGCGGTGTCCGGGCTGTTCCGACTATAGAAATTCGCATTCATTGTGGCGTTAGGATGAGAAAAACTGTCGCACGATCTGCCTCCGGGGAACGGCGCAGCTTGCAGTGACTCCTGTGCGACAAGAGGATCAGCAGTGAGCGCTTCTGGAGAGGCAGGTCAGGAGTGACTATTGTGCGGTTCAGGGGTAGGTCGAACTTGCGCCTTCGCCGCCCGATGACAGCAAATTGCGAGGGACGGCCTAAACGCAAGCACCTATGGTGTTAAAGTTTCATTGGGAATCGGGGTCCACAGTGGGGGCAGTACAAGGTTTGCACGTGTAATCATGGCCGCAGTTGAGAGACCAGCCCGTGGTGGGCTCACAAAGTAAGAAGTAAAGCAGAGCGATTGAATGAATAATGCTGCTGAGCTAAGAATGGTGGGTCAGCCGGTGGTCAGCCTCGGAGCGCTCTTAGGAGGCTTTGGGGAGCATCGGACACCTTGCCAGTACTCTATTGCATGTATGTAACAAACGTCAGCTGTGCCATGAGTACTACGGTTTTTGGTGAGTAAACGGCCAGGCTGATAACAAGCATACCATAGCTGGACCGGTGTGTATACAGTGATTGGGGTCTACCCACGTCAGAGCGATACCTAGGAAGTCCAACGTGCCTTCTTGAAGTCAAATATTCGGCATGCACGAGAGAAGGCACTGGTTCTCATGCATGATGGGCTCGGAGGTGAGGATGAATGTCTCGGCGCATTCAAAAGTGACCCATCCGCCAACGTCAAGTGCGCTAGAATACAACACCGGTCCAGGAATAGCGTGGCAAGAGACAGCACACTGGAGATAACATAGAGGAACACAAGTAAGAATGTACCCTCGCAAGCAGGGCGGAGTAGGCGGTGGAGAACGAAGGACAGGGACGGCCGAGAAGGCGACCGGGATTTCCGCAAGGGATGATGGGCACAGCGTCCATCAGCACGACAGCGAATGGACCGGGTGGGAGCTGTCGCACGTTGTTGTCGGGTAGTTGGACCGACAGTAGAAACGCAAACAGTGGAGCAGCAAATTTGCTATTACCGTTCAAACTGCGAGTGTGAGTACAGATGAGATGTCTGGCACGGGTCGGCGTCGAGCGTCGAGCGGCCACAGGAAAACGGAGAGGTCTGCTGGAGGCAGCGTCAGGCTGAGCTGGTCGAGAATGCCGTCGGCGTCGAGACCGGCAAGATCGTTGTCAGGAGGCGGTGACGGCGTCTGGCAGTGCGCCCAGACACGAACTGGTTCGATCGATTGATCGAATTGCCTTATTTAGAGGGTGTACATAGTTTTAGAGACCACCGCTGAGCTTGAATCTAAGATAGATCTAATTCAGGACTGGGATTTTAGACTCCAGCGCCTATGGCTTATCTGGGACCCCGGGCGATAGTCGAAGCTCGCGTTCGCATATCTCAGCTTGGCGCCACCAAGCTTTTTCCTCGTCTCACCAGTTCCTTTTCCTCCAACGTCCACCACCCCCGGCGACGGCGGCGGCGACGAGTGCAGCGTGGTCCCCGACGCTCCCTGTATCGAGGTAGGCTGGTCTGACCCACAGCACCCGTTGTCCGATCGACTGACACATCTCTCCCCTCCTATCTGGTTCAGATTCGTTTCATAGCCGAGAAAGTCTCTCGCATCGCCTCAGCCTCCTCGTTTATCGTCCCTCTTCCTCTTCACTTTTCGCTACAGTTCGTCCTTTTTTCTTCTTCCCTCCTGTCTCGCGGCGTGAGCTCACAATCTCAGCCAGCCGCCGCGGCCAGCCTCCTCCTTCTAGCCCGTCTGGGTCCCGTCCGCCTCTCGCGACACCCCTCCTAGCGGCTCACAGACACGCTCTGTCCTTCTTGTCCCATTGCCTTTGACGACCACACTTTTTTTCGACCTCTATATCTTCAGAATCTTACGACGTCATTCACGACTGTGAGTTATACCATATACGACACTCGGGTCTCGCCCGGTCTGTTAAAGTCTCCACCTCGACATCAGCTAACTCTGTTCCGTGTCTTTCACCTCCAGACCCGGATACTTATGACCACTGTGTGCTCGTATTCAACCACTACGCACTCACCTTACATGGACCACTCTTTCCGTCATGCCAACAGCGCTGGTCAGGCTCTTCCGCACATCCCTAGGAGAACGTCACATACACGCACCCCTTCATGGTCCTCATCCATGACATCGACGTTTACAACTCCCAGCAAGCCAACAATGCCTGCCAAGGTTGTCGTTCAGCCCCCGTCGCCACCTGACGCCTCAGTAGTTCAACAGCAGGTTGCTTCCACATCCACCCCCGGTACGTCTAGCGGAAGTGGTTCGGACACGTATGTGGAGATGGCTTCGCCCAAGCCCCGACGTGCGCGGGGTTACCAACGCGCGCCGATTCCATCCATGGTTCCACCAGAGCGGTCGACCCCTATCCCTGCTGTGCTGGCAGCCAGGGCTGAAGAAACAACGGTACCGTTTCCGACGTTCGATACGACTCCTCGCGCTTCGACCTCGATGTTTGCACCGAAGCCGAGGCCTGGCATCTCGCCGTTGACCACGCTCAATCCGAAGGCGGACATCCTGCCGGCTCGTTCAGTGTCCGTCAACATTTCGTCAATGGGACGGAAAAAGTCGGGCGAACCTTTGAAGTCATCCTTGAAGTCACGCCGTCCGATCGTGCGTGGCGACCTCAGTGTTGTCACCGGTCCTCTCAGCAGCAAGAGCGAGCCGAGCACGCCGACGCATATCAAAAGCGTGCACTTTGACAAACAGCTGGAGCACGTGAAGCTCTTCCTGGCCGAACAGAAGCCTGCAGCTGTCAGCCGCGACGGCAGTCCCACGGACGACACTAGTGGCACGGAAAGCGATTTCCCCGCGTTCATCTACGGAGCAGACGAGGAGAAGAAGGGCAAGTTGCAGATGCAGGTGACTGGGCTGCGCGAGGAGAGTGAGGAAGAGAGGGGGAGGGCGGATGTGAAGCTGGAGAAGCTGGAACTGGGCGAGGACGGCATGAGCGCCACCGGCCACATCCGCGTGCGGAACCTGACATTCGAGAAGTGGGTCGCGGTACGCTTCACCTTCGACTGGTGGCAAACCACGAGCGAGGTTACAGCGCGATACGTGGAGAGCCTGCCCGACGGCGCGTGCGATCGCTTCCAGTTCACGATCCGACTCAACGACATGATGAGCCGGATAGATGAAAAAACGATGCTTCTCGCTGTCAGATACTCGGCTGCAGGTCGAGAGATCTGGGACAACAACTGCGGCGAGAACTACAAGGTTACGTTCTCCTACCAGAAGGTTCTACGAGTACAGCGGAAGAACGCCGCCGACGATGCTGGTAAGGCCGCAGGCATCGCTGATCTCAAGAGCAAGCTCGAAAAGGTGGCATCGGGGGACGAGCCACGCGCTACTGTCGGTGGCTTCTTGGCTTCGCGGACGTCGCGAACGCGCTCGCTGTCGCCGTCCGGCCCGAAATCCGGTAAATCCGAGGACGACGACGACGATGAGAGCTTCACTCTCAAGTCGAACAAGCCGCTTTCGTCTCGCTACGATTTCTCCGCGTCGCTCAAGAGCCCCTGGCGCCGATCGCCCTCAAATGACTCGACGCCCGTTCCCGCAGGCGACCGTTACAGGACGATCACGTATCCGACGACTTTTCCTCAGTTCCCTCGGAGCACGATCTCAGCAGATAAGCGCACGTTTGTCGCTTTGACGCGCGGCTCCCCTCGTATTTTTGACGGAGATGACACTGACGCGCAGTCGAATGTGCGGTCTTACTACGCTGACTCGGATCTTGAAGATACGCCGGTGCCTGCCATAACCCGGAAGCCCGCGCGCAACCACCAGCGTGGATATTTCGACCTGGGTGTCGCACCATCGGCAAGCGGTGTTCGCAGGACGCCACCCGGTTCGCCCTTTGGCCCACTCGCGGGATCTCCCTCGGGTAGCGGACGCAACTCGCCCGTTGGGTCCGAGTCCTCCATTCCAGCGATTGCAACGGACGCTTTCGAGATGCCCAAGATCATCGGAGCCCAGCGCATGTGGCGGGTTCCGAGTGGCGGTAGTGAAGACAGTACGCCCTCGAGCAACGACGACAGCTCGCGTAGCTCGAGCCCGGATGGCAGCCCGTACGAACTTCCGATTGCTCTCCAGCCGGACAGCTTCGCGCACAGCCCGAGCCCTGGTGACAAGGGCAGCTACGACGCGTTCCTCAATCGGTACGTGCACCAGTCTGTCGATGCTTTTATTCTGGATGCTAACTCTAGCAATAGCTTCTGCTTCTACACTGGCTCGGACTCCTTACTCGACGTCCCGTCAGAGCTGCATCGCTCGCATTCTGCATCGAGCGTTGAAGAGTTCTTGTCCACGTCCCCCTACGTCGGTACGGACTACCGCATGGCTACGCCGACGCGGTCGTCGAGCTTCGACGACGTTGTCACCATGAGTGGCTCGGTGACGCCCACTGCTCAAAGCGTCGCTGCGGGCATAATCGCCTCGTCGCCGCCTCAGCCCATGGCTGCGTTCGCTCACTGATTCCGAACTGCGTCTCATGACCTTGGTTGCCGAAAGATAGACGACATTATCGCAATGCCCTAGACTGCCTGCAAGCTCATTCGCGACTTTCATCTGCATACCCTCGCAACGCATCGTCCTCCCGCCCTTGCATACCACCACAGCGCACGAGTCATGACCGCGGAGGAAAAGAGAGAACAGCTCCTCTCCCCATTTTTATCTTCTAGTGTACATATATTTTTTCTCGTCTTGGATTCTCTTATTCTTGATTTATTCCAGATAGGACATTACTCCCAGGCTCTTCGCCGCGGTCGTCTGCATCCCCTGTCTCACCATACACGTAGATGACATGCATCCCATTCTCCACCACGTACAGTCTCTCAATCGTGCAGTCTCTTTTCTTTTCCACGATTTTGCGTCACACACTACCCTTCATCCCCCACCTTTTCAATAGTCTCCTGTCTCTTCTCTCTCTTCTCTCTGTCTGTCTGTCTCGATCTTCACGTGTATGCCGGCCGCGGCGTAGGTCGTGTGTCCCATCTCCGGCATTGTAAAGTACTTAGCTCCCCCTGGTCGACCGGCGCTCAGCAGTGAGTGCGGGTACGATGCGTAATGCTCCCTCGTCATGTCTTTCCCCATCCTACATCTAGACGCAATGATCATGACCTTCATGGATCTATTTCATACACGTGGACAAATGTGCGCTTTGGAGTGTTCAGATTTGTAAACTCAAGCGAAGCTTCAGGGAAGATGGCCGTGTGGGAGCGAACGATCAGACGACGGTATTTAGTCAGAAAGGTGCAATTTGCAGCTTCTCCTCTCACCGAGTCGGACTTGGCAGCGTTCGTGAGAAGAATCATGTAAGCAAGATGTGTCTATCCGACGAACTGTTGCTAAACCTCCCGGTCGGTCACGAAAGGCCTTCCGCATCCTTCGGACTCGGACTGTCGAGAGCGCTGGTGCTTTCCCGTCCGGGCTCACGACATATTCCGACTTTGAGCAGCTGCGTAAAGGCTGCGCGCACGTCATACGCTCGCTTGATAACTCAAAGCTGTCTTGCAAAGCCTGGACCAGCTGCAGGAGTGGGCTTTGTGGCGTCCGGCAACGACCGAACGCGATACATCATCCGTGCTCACTCAGCACGCACGAGCCAACGTCCCTTCGCATCATCCACGATGGCCGCTGCACCTTTCCCGCCGCCGTCTCTCACGCCCTACGTGACCAAGATCGCAGCAATCCTGACGGAGCGCAAACAGAGCGTATGCGTCGCAGAAACAGCGGCCGGCGGCCTCATCTCGGCTGCGCTGCTCTCCGTGCCCGGGGCGAGCGCGTACTACGCCGGGGGCTTGACGGTGTACACCCCCACGTCGCGCATCGCATTCTCTGGCTTCACGCCCGAAGACTTTGCCGACTATCGGTACGCATCGCGTTGTGCTCTCGGCGAATCGTCGCTGACTTGGACCTGCTCGCACAGGGGTCCGACGCCACAGATAGTCGAGCGTCTTGCCGTGCACGCACACAAGACGCTGCAGGCGACGTACGCCCTTGGCGAGTCCGGGATTGCTGGTCCTACTGCTGGTCCAACGCGGACTCGGACGTCGTAAGTGCCTCGCTTCTTTCCTTGCGGCCCTGAGCACGCGTGGGTCTGACCGTGGTTTTATTTCATGTCTTTTCGGGTCTTTTGTTTTCCGTTTCGGCGGTACAGCGGGTATGTCGCACTCGCTGTTGCCACCCAGGACGGAGTGGTGAGCAAGGAGATTGAGACGGGTACGTTTGATAGGCAGACGAACATGGTGCTCTTCACGGAGGAGGCGTTGAAGTTCCTTCTCCAAGTGCTTACGGGAGAGGTTACGGAACAGAAGACTGCTTCATAAACCGGCCTGATGTCACACTCATGAATGACGTCAATACAATCCGCCCAATTGGCAGCCCATGTTTGTTAGAGTGATATCCTGGCTCAGCTTGGTGCAAGCCCACGGGAGCTTCGGCGTCACGGAGGCGAGGTTACGACGGGTTACAGTCGGGCCGTACGGCGCATACGCGACGCGACTCGCGTCCAAATCACGCTAACGCACGCGTCGGTCGGGGAATAAGCGGACGGATGACCTCGTAATCAATATATTCTTAGAATTTTCGAGCATTTTACCCCGCAATATCCGGCATCCATTCTTGCGTGTGTCCGGTGACCTGGACGTACGTTAGCGTACGTTGCAGCGTGACGTGAGTGTGTCCGGAGCTTCATGTGTTGATGTGGTAGGTCAATCTCGTCTAAAGACTCGTACACACGAGCGGAGTGGCTGTTGTCTAGGGAGAAGCTGGCGCTTGGGCACGCCGTAGCAATGCTATAACCTACTGGCACATCTGTTCTGACGATGAACCTTCCCTGAAACAGCGAAGAATCACCGGGAGACAAAGTCCTGTGCAGGGTACCCGCCGCATTAAGCAGTCATGAAGGTCCGTGATCTGGGGTAAGTACAATGGAATGACCCCGTTACTCTGCAATATATACCGGCGGAAGTACCTCTAAAGCTGCAACGGGGCCCTCCCGGTGTGTGATTGGCAGCCTGTATCAAGAGTAAGCTTCTATGCGAACGGTAGATTTAGCTACGAACCGTCTACCACGTTAATACCTTTTACAAGTGCATTAATTACGTGTAGATACTGCAAGAAGTTACGGAGGAAGGTTAGCGGTACCTGAAGAGCTTTCGACTAGTGCCTTCGATGGACGATTCGCGTTTGACCGCCGGTACCGAAGGCCGCTGCTGGGCGATACCGGAGCGCAATATGACACAAGTTATATTATGAATTGCAGTCGACCAGTAGCAGATATACGTGGCTAGCGAAGCTGTCTTCGCAAGTATCCCCTCTCCGGCACAGGTAGCCCGGACGTTGTAAAGCCAATCAAAACGTCGATCCTGCACAAGCACCTAAAGGAGCAGCATTTTCTCAGCGAGACTGAGTAGCTATCATGTAACTGCGAGATTGCTGGCTTGCAAAGAGGTTATACAAATGTACTTTAGCTGTCCCTGCGTCCCTATGGCCTCTGAAGCGATAAGAGAGGACGAAAGCGCTATCGCGCAGCGCGCTGCGTCGTTCCTTGCCGGCGTTTGCCGGAAGTTCGGATGCAAAGGTTTTGCTCCGGCCTGGACGTCGAGCCTGAAGTCATGCACCTTCCGCTCACTTGACTTCACCACGCACGCAGTACCCACCCTCCTTACTCTCCACCACCACCTCCTGCCTGGATATGCCTTGCTAACAACATCGACTTGTTGGCGTCGTCAACCAAATTCCTCTCCTTCACATCCGGTTTCAAGAGCACCTAGTTACAGGCGTCGCTGCGCCTGCGATTGGCTACGTAAGTTGTAGACACCGTTAGCATCTGCGGAATACACGAGAGGCTGCAGTGGGACTAGGTTTCGGTATAAAGGTATGCACCACCTCTTTCCTACCTTTGTACGACCTACCATCCGCCCCGCACACGTCGGGCCCGCGCGAAATAATGTCGCGTAAGTCATGGCGACTCCACAAGTATCTTGCACGTATGTTTGGCTGCGACTTTACCCCCTCGAGGTACCTGAGAGCCATGTCACACGGTGGCCGGCGAAGTGGTGCCAGTGACCAATGGTTCACCTGATGCCGTTCGTAGCGCGGTCCGCACGAACGTTCGCTCATATCTACTCGCTTGCGTGTGCACCTTCTGTGTGTGAACTCGTGTACTTATCCTTCCCGCCTGCACCACAGGATCACTACTCTACGTTTTTTGCTAGCAATGTTGGAAAACTGGAACTTTCATGGCTCGCATTCGCACTTCGCTTCGTCTGCATCGGGGTCTTCGCTAGGGGGACAGTCGCACCTCAGCATACTCTCGAGCCCCTCGTCGATGTCGTCTTCCTTATCCGATGTGCATCCGCCCTCTCAAGCACCGTCCCCATCCCCTTCTTTCTCGAGCGGCAGGAAGACGAATGCGTTTTTTGCATCCCCCTTTTCCGACTTGAGCTCGCCGGAGCCTGTCCCCCCTCCGCCGTTAGCGCGTTCTTCGTCCTTCGTCTCGAGCTCATCACAGCCGTCGACTCGCGAGCGACCTGACGACGACAACGACAGTACCCCGCGCTTGTCGTCTGCGGCGCCACCCAAGGTCGCCGGGTCCCTCATGGACACGTTCTTCAGACCCGCGTCATTCGACTCCCATCCCACGCCCCCGCCAAGCATTCACTCTTTGGGGAGTGCACCCACTTCTCCCGAGGCGTCTCCGCCGTCGTCGCCACGGTCCGGCGCGAAGCACCGGCAGCCGCCGCTCTCGCGAATATTTCCGTCGCGCGCACGCTACACAGCAGTCGACGCTCTACCTTCCCGGCAGACCTCGCTGCGCACACATTCGCCTCTGCCGGATGCACACGCGTTCCCGCCGAACATCCAGTCTAGCGGCCGCCGGCACTTCGTCGACCTGGAGGAAGAGCCTGTCATAAGTACCAGTCCCGAGCGTATGTCTGCGCCGCCACAGCCCCCCGTGCCTGAACCAGAGGAGAAGCCCAGGCCGAAAGCCCTCAACGTGCTGATCCTGCCGTCCGCCGGAGAGTCCAGCCTGCCAACCCCCGTCTCGATTGCGCAGGCGACGCCGCCACCCAGTGGTCCCCCGCCCCCTTTGAAACTCGGCGACATTATCACTGAAATATTTGCGTCCAACGTCGACTCTCACGACGCTGGGGTGCCTGATGGCACACTGAAGCTCGAGCTTCTGCGTACACTCGGCCAAGGCGCGTTCAGCAGCGTCTGGCTTGCGCGCGACGTCAGTGGGCGGATTGGCGGTCTCGAAGTCGTACGCAAGAGCAGCCTAAGACGTAGCCTGAGCAAGAGCTCAGCTCGCAGCAGTGGTAGCATTCGTCGGAAGACGAGATCGCTGAGGAAGAAGCTCGAGGGAGCGGCGCCGCAGGTTCACTTTGATAACGGGGGACGCTTCGGCCATGGTGAACGTCTCGGGAGCGAGGATAGTCAGAGTGGATGGTTCAAGGAGGGGGAACACAGAGGTCGCTCGGAAGGCGAGCAGGGGCGGCTGGTTGCGTTGAAGATGACAGACAGGACGTTGTGCGATAAGGATGATAGGACGCGTGTGAGCTTCATACGTGAAGTTGAAGTACTTAAGGTGTGTATTGCATGCATATATGCGGTTTTGGCTGACAGTTGGCCAGCACATATCTCACCCGTCCATCGTTTCCTACATCCACGCTTTCAGCACTCCCGCATATCACGTCCTTGTGCTGGAGCATATACTTGGCGGCGAGCTCTTTGATCTCGTGTCGACTCCAGAGCTACATGCACAGCTGGATGAGCCTCTGCTTCGACGTATCTTTGGCGAGCTGTGCAGGGCAGTCAGCTGGATGCACGCGGTGGGACTTGTCCACCGTGACATTAAGCTTGAAAGTACGTGCGCTTTGTCCACCTTGTTTTGAGCTGCAGCTGATGATCCGTTTATTCAGATATCATGCTTACCCGTCCTGCATTCTCAGACCCATCGAACGCCTCCGCCCTCATCAAGCTCACCGATTTTGGCCTTTCGAGGTTTATTGATCCTGCAACCCCCCTCCTTACAACGCGATGCGGTTCAGAGTCATACGCGGCTCCGGAGCTTGTCACTGGTCGTCCGTATGATGGGCGTGATACCGACGCATGGGCATGCGGCGTCGTCTTATATGCTCTCGCTACACGGAGATTACCCTTCGACTCTGCAGACACGACACGTGACGACAACATGCGACACGAGGAACGAGCAGCCCTTCCTGGAGGCGAACAGAGGCGAGTCAGGGGCCCACGGAGAGACGAGCGGGCTGAGCGCAAGGCGCTGCTCATGCGCATCGCCAACGGCGAGTACTCCTGGCCCGAAACGTCGCCGATGACCACCGAACCATTGCGTGGGACCGCCCTTGCGCAAAGCGAGGGTATGCGGCGCGTGGTCGGCCGCTTGCTTGTGCGCAACCCGCAAAAGCGCACGCGCCTCGCTCAGTTATGGGGTGACGAGTGGCTCCATGGCGAAGGCGCTCCGCCGGTGCCGTCGCTGCCCGATAGCATGAGTCCGAGCACTGAAGTCACTCCTGTGCATGACAACGTGAGCGTCATTAGCGATGACACGGTATCCGAGGCGTCGCCCGACATCATCGACCCAGAGGAGGAATTTTTGGACGAAGATGAGGACGCCGCAGATGGCGTCCTTGTTGATGAACAAGACATCGGGCCGGACAGCGTTGCTCGGCAAGAACACTGAGGCATACTTCCTTTTACACCCACAACCTCCGACATCTAGACGACTCGCATATCCAGAGCCTTATGTTTTCTCCCTTGTGCATCCTTCCATAACGTTTGCCCACCATTATGCTGTGCTCCCATGTTGTGTTGTCGCTGTTACCCTGTGCATCATCATCATTGTCATCATCATTCCACACATCCTCGCACATACATAGTCATCCATCTTCATCACCCAGCGCCACTGTTTCCCCCTCACCTCTTTGTGTTTGTACTAGCCGTACCTTATTCCGTCGTCTGGATGGGAGAAAAGCCCAAAGGTATCATTATATACCTCCCATCGCTATATTGGTACGTAGGCCCTCTCGAGATTTGTTAGTCTGTTTGCTACAGTAAAGGGTTGTTGTCTCCTGTAATGCTCTTCTTTGTTTGTGGCTTCCTGAGAACACGGATAGTGTAAAGTGGTTCAAGGCGGCCTTCTTGTGTGTAGGTTCAGTTAGAGCTCAATAGATATCACTTGGGTGGATGGTCTTCCGGACGAATAAGCTGTGTGACATCTTACATTGCACTGTGCGCTGTCAGTCAGCGCTGAGCTCGGGTAAATGCAGCGTTTTTTAGGATCCAGAACAAAGTACTAGAGATAATACCGCCCAGGGGCATCGCGAACACGTTACAGGCAAGAAATCTGACGTGCAGCGTTGTCCGCCAAACTACTTCATGACGCTAAAATCATGCCAAGAGCCAGAATACTGTCTTATTGACCAGACTATCACACCGCGCAGATAATCTCGCCGTGCACCATTGTCAACCAGCCATCTTCGTCCGCAGCCCATGCCCTCCAAGTCTGCGCCACCCGTTCGAGGTCCTCTTGGGTGGCGAATCCGTTCTTAATCGCGGTGGGTGCGAAGTTCGATTGCAGAGTCCTGTCAGCCCATAGACCGCCAAGCCAAGCGCGCTCCTCGGGGGTGTGGTAGTTCCAGGTGCCTGCGCTGCACGTCACTCGCGCAGGATCGAACCCGGCCTGCCGCGCCCAGGCGTGCAGCCGGCGACCACAGTCGGGTGTGCCGCCGTTCCCACGTGCGACGCGCAGGTAGAGGTCGAGCCAGTGGTCCATGGCCGCGCTGTCGGGGTACCAGGACGTCGCGCAGAAGTTGACGTCGCGGACGGCGACGATGCCGCCGGGCCGCGTGACGCGGCGCATCTCACGCAGCGCCTGCACGGGGTCTGTGATGTGCTGGAGCACCTGGTGCGCGTGTGTGACGTCGAAGGAGGCATCGGCGAAAGGCAGCGCGTGCACATCGCCTGTCGTGAAGCTGATGTTCTGCACGGCCCGCGCAGCGGCGGATGCGCGTGCGTTTTCGAGGACGCTGGATGCGTAGTCGAGCGCGGTGACGTGACCCTGGGGCACGTAGGTAGCGAGATCAGTGGAGATGGTTCCGGGCCCGCATCCGACGTCGAGGATGGTCATGTCTGGCTTCAGATGCGGGAGAAGATATGCGGCAGAGTTGATTGCTGTACGCGAGCTATGCGAACGCAAGACAGGCTCGCTGTGACCATGGGTGTAGACGGCTTCCTTCGTGGCGGACATATTTCAATATCGGGGGCTACTGGCCTGAGCAACGTGTCACATATGAATGTACAGCAATGGAGGCTATGGCATACCGTATATCGCTATGAGTGAAGAAGTGGAGGTCTCCTGGCGTAAAAGCTGCAGTGGACTCTATATAAATGATGTGAGCCAGTCGAGTCAGACGTCTTTCGGCCGAAGACGACGATAAGGCGCGTCAGTGCCATATGCCATTTGATGCAGATGCATTATTTTCCAGGTGCCGTGAGATTTTATGGCAGTGTGCGTCACGGTGACGAATAGCCGTCTCCGAAACTTACCTTAAATCTCGGCTTTTAACACAATGAGCCCTCTGGCAAAGTGGCAAGGCAGCGACAAATCCAGGAGCGAGACAAAACGCCCAAAGCGCAAAAGCGCTGCGGAAGTAATAAACACCAGAGGTTTTTCAGCTACTTGACAGCCGGCGGAGTGTCTGTTATGCAACTGCTCTTGAGACATTGGAGATGGTGCTTTCGCTATCTGCCGGACGCCACAATGCCCTTTCCCATCACGTGACCTTCCCGTTGCTAGATTGTCATGGCCTATCTGTCGTCGCAACTTGACTGCATTCGCAGCCAACAATCTACCCTACTCGTATGACAAAATTATAACATCGTGAATCAGACCATGCACTGGAACATCCACAATAGCCTGGTTATATAATTGCCTTCTTGCTCCGAGTCTTCAAGTTGCTCCGTATGGATTCAGACAGGGCTTGAGGGAAGCTGCGTTGTCTACAATTATGGCAAAATCACTCCGCCATTTCTATCAGAAAAATTGGCACGCAGAGGCTGTACAGAGTATGCCAATGGTTTTTTTTTATACGCAGTCAACCCCTTCTTACAGATCTGAGAGGGTCACATTGGTGGGTTCATTGCAGAGGACAGCCCTCATCGTCCACGCCGCCCTGAATAGCATGTAGGTTGCATAATCTGTATAAGCAGCATTGCTCTAATAAGAAATTTTTAAGCTACGTCTACTCATCCGAGTACCAGGAACAGTCCGGGTTCCACCACGGTTTGTACATTGTCGTCCCCCAGAACTCGTCCCAAGCTGCGCTTCCCGTTACGACATCTGACAGCTTCTTTACACTCTCAGGACTATCTCCATCATTAGCGACCTTGAATACTCGTCTCTCCGGCGGGTATGAATGACCAACAGCGACAAATAGAAGCGTCGGGATGTACCACATCGCTTGCTGCGCCATACCCACCAAATCGAGGTTACCAACTCGGAGCGCCTCCATCTTCTCCAGCTGATCGGACTCAGGGAAGCGTGCCACTACCGCGGCCACCGTGTCCCATGTCCAACAGACAAAAATATCGAGTGTGCGCAAAACGAATGCTGATAATGTTTCGAGCACGTTGTTCTGAAAAAGCCGTGAGAGCCGCATAGAGTGACGGGTAAGGGACAAACACGCACAATGTGTGAATTAGGGTCCATGCACCAGTCATATTCGAGCGTTAACTCGAGTTCTGCCAACCTGCCTTTGATGGGAGCCAGATACACGGCCAGCGACAGTGGGTCGAATCTCGGTATCCGAAGCCTGATACTAAGGCTTGTCGGGCGGACATCAGTGAGGATAGCGGCCAGCCTCCGACCGTCGACCGCCGAAGATAGTGATTGGCGGGCTACATCGACATAACCCACGCTGCAGCGTATTCCGAGCATGTACAGCTCCAAGACGGTGCTCGAGAGCCGACGGAGAGACGGCCACGTACTGCGCGTTTGCAACGCAAGATTCGACAGCCGGTTCTCCTCAACATCCTCCACCGTATACCCATTCGGATATATATGCATGTAAAAATCTTGCAGATTCGGGAAACAGAGCGCGATGCGCTCGAGCTCGGTAGCATCGTCGAGATTTGTCGAAAGGCTGAGGACGCGGGGGTACTGAATCTCGGTGCTGTGGAACGCGACCCCGACAACGTCCATGGCGCGTAACGAACCCTTAAAGCGCGCGAACACCGGGACGGGGTCAATCAGCCTGCGGAGGCGGGTGAAATTGGCATCAATTCCCGTAAGTGGTGCCTTCATCTTCTTGAGCAGGACGAATGTTCCATCGGTGAAAGAGCTGATTTGAAGCGTTCGAAGCTTCTCCAGATTTGTGAAGGCACAGCCTGCCCGGTTGTCAATATCCAAGATTTTGCAGTCGTGCAACTTGAATAGTCTGAGCTCTGTGGCTTGCACAAGGATATCGGCCATGAGCTTTCCCAGCTGGGGCATGTAGAATAACTGCCGATTCGGCGACAGCATCAGCCGCGTCAGATACTGAAAGCCGTTGTGTCGCCCACTGAACATGAACTGGCAAAACGACAAAAATTGCCAGGGTTTGTGGCGCGTGACACTCTCGCACTCGCCCCGCGACAGCAGGATTCGCGGGGCAGCCCGAAGCAGGATGTGACAAGTGCGCGACATCCTACTGGCATCTTCGCAATCCAGAAAAGACATAATCTCCGTAAGGATGTCCCAGTTGAGACTCATCTGGGACGCGGTCAAGAGGGAGAAGAAATCGAACAAGATCAGTACTGTGTTTCGGCACGAGTTGGGTGCTTACAGTGCCAGTACTAGTGGATCTGATACCGTCAAAGTGTCTAGCATCTGCAGTATCAAGCATTTTATTCCCTGCACCAGCGTCGGGGAAGGCATTCATAGGTGGTCCAACACTCCTGGATGTATGTAGCTGAGGGCACTCGCGCGTTTAAATTATGGTATCCAAAGTCACATGAGGCCAACGTTTTGCGCGCCACGAAAGAGCGCTACGACTGGCCAGGCGACCAAAGTGTACAGCCCATTCTTTGTGAAAAATACCTGTCTTCACACCAGAAGAGGCGGTGTCTATACTCATGGTGAGTTGTGCTTGTATAACAGCACTCTAAGACCCTCAGCCCTGACTCACCGGGAATGCTCAGAGAACTAGTATCTGCGTGTAATGTGATTCGTAACCTTGTTAAGTACTTACTATATCTCCTGTGCAAGAATGAGGTCATCTCTCGGAGACTGCATGTGTGTAGCTACAATATAAATGTCCTTGGTCTAGGTGCCTGCTGCTAAGAAGTCAACCCTAACCTCACGACAAGCACGGTTCGGCAAGAGAGATTTAGCGCGCGTTCCGTCTCTCCGTGTCGTCCTTCGTCACCCACCCGGCGTTCATTCCAAACGGGCTGAAAGTCTGCAGACTATCAAGTCATGGCGAGCACGAGCTCGTTACCCGTCCTTCTACCCTCAAAAGCCTTACCTTCCCAAGACATCTCTCCATTTGAATGGCAGCCAAAGCGAAACTTGTCCAACCCATGTCAACCTCCCCCAGAAGATATGACTCCAGAACAGGAAGCGGCGGCCGCGAGGTTGTCGCTGGACGGCAAATTCAGAAAAGTGCGACCGAGGAGGACCGTCGACTATGGTGGGCCTATGGGCAGATGGACACTGGTGAGCACGCTTGCCGTATCACAATACAATGCAGCGTCTGAATTCTTTTTGTCTTACTGTAATTCAGCTCCGAAAATTACGGCCATCACCAACATACACCCCGTACCTAAGGCCTGCACCTCCGTACATTATTGATGTAGGATGGGAACGCTCGATGCATGTATCATACAGAAACAACTCACGAATATATCGTTGCATTATCAGCTGCTTCCTCCGAAGGCATATCCAGACAACGCGTCCACGTCACTCTGTACGAAGTTTGTGCATACATCCACCAACAAAATCCGATGTCCCGTTAACTGCGTCACGGTAAGCACGCGTCATCATTCTCAGAGCGTGCAAATCTCATTTGCTCGTAGTGGACGCCCGAAGGCCGTCGCGTGCTCACGGGCTCGACCAGCGGCGAGTTTACGCTCTGGAACGGCCTGACCTTCAATTTCGAGACGATCCTACAAGCGCACGACAGCGCGGTGCGGACGATGCAATTCTCGCATTCTGGGCTCTACCTGGCTTCAGCAGACCAGAGTGGCGTTATCAAGTATTTTCAGCCAAACATGAACAACTTGACCGCCTGGCAAGGCCATCGTGAAGCCATCCGAGATGTGAGCTTCAGCCCGGACGACGGCAGGTTTGCCACGGCCAGTGATGACTCTACCATTCGGATCTGGTCGTTTGAAGAAAGCAGAGAGGAGCGCGTTCTCACAGGTCAGCTGCTCTTGCTGACGATAAGGCGTTCCTGACTCTGCTGCAGGCCACGGCTGGGACGTGAAGTGTGTGCAATGGCATAAGACGAAAGGTCTACTTGTCTCGGGAAGTAAAGACAACATGATCAAGTTTTGGGATCCACGATCAGGGACTGTACTTTCCACTCTGTACGTGTCTTGCCGGTCATACCTTGTGCATCGATTTGACATACACATATAGACACTATCACAAGAATACCATCCAAGCACTGCAGTGGTCTCCAGATGGCAACTTGGTCGCCAGTGCTTCTCGTGACCAGACCGTCCGTGTCTTCGACATCCGTGCCATGAAGGAGTTCCGAGTGCTCAGGGGACACAAGAAGGAAGTTTGCTGTGAGTTATTCCTCGATGATGCATGTTCATCTATTTCACAAATTTCACTGCCCAGCTCTGGCCTGGCACCCCCTCCACCCCATCCTCGTCTCCGGCGGCTCGGAGGGTGCCGTTCTGCACTGGGATCTCTCTGCGGCTGCCATCCCAGAGCCATCCTCAGGTCCTTCGACAACAGGCATCCAGACCGGCCCACGCGCGACGCTCTCGCAGGCGCACGACTCGAACGTCTGGTCGATGATGTACCACCCGATGGGACACATCCTCGTGACGGCCTCGAACGATCACACGACGCGCTTCTGGTGCCGCGAGCGGCCAGGCGACGCGTCGTCGGTCTTCTCCGGCGGGGGCGAGAAGCCGCCTGAGGCAAGTGGTCAGGACGACGACGACGACGACGCGTTTGTGCCCGGCTTTAGCAGCGCCGCGTGGGACGAGGGCGTGGGACCGGCCGCAAACGGGCAGGACCCCTACGCGAGAGACGAGGACGCCATCCCCGGGTTCGGGGGCGCCGCAGAGACTATCCCCGGGTTTGATGCGAACAGCGTGCCTGCGCCGCATCCTGGCAGGCAAAACGGCTCCATGCACCAGGAGGATGCGAGCTATGGACGAATGGACGACGATCAGTGGGGTCGCGGTGGTGGTGGTGGCAGCGGCGGTGGCAGCGGTAGCGGGGGTAGCGGCTATGGTCGTGGTGATAGCGGGTATAATCGAGAGGGACGCGGTGGCGGGTACGATCGTGGTGGTGGCTACGGTGGCGATGGGGGAGGTGGTGGATATGGTCGTGGTGGGCGTGGTGGAGGAAGATGGGGAAACCGTCGCCCGAGGTACTGAGCTTCGTATAGGCAACACTACCTTTGCTTTTTGTTTCATACCGTGTATTGAATCAAACATCACTCGATGAAGTATTGTCGCTCCACCAGGCAGAGCAATTCGGAGGTTACGGGAACACTATGTGCAGTGGATCAATGCAGCCTCTCGTCTGCACTGTCTCCTAGCACAGGTTCAACCTCTTCATTTTCAAGTTGTGAGCCTGGTTTCGGCTGTTTCGTCTATTGTTTGGCCTTAAAGCTGGGTCTTCTCCATTGCCATAAACCATGCTGTGATATCTGCACGAACACATTCGGTAGCGACCATGAATATAGGGCTGGTGCCCCTGCACGTTGGTAGTAAGCTGTTCAACAGCGTACGCCGAGATGACCCTCAGCACATGGAGATCCCGGGAATAATAGTAGACAACGAGATGAACAGCGTAGCAGTAGGTATTGTTGCAGAAATCTGAACTACAATGAGCAGTACAACAGGCCCGATATTATTACAAGTGACGTTTCTGCAGACCGTGAATGCGAACGAAGACCCGATAAACTAGACCTCCACCATCATGACCGCGTTTTCCGCTGCTGCAATTGGGTCGAAGTTCTCGTGAGCGAGATCCGTGGCACCAGCCGCCACCTGAAGATCTTCGAGCGCACGAAGCCTGAGGGATTGAATCATATTGAGTATGCACTTGTACTTGCATTTTCACACAAGCAAACAGCTTACATGACAAATAGTGAGATAACATGCACTGATCAAATATGATCGTGGTAAGTCGATGGGGAATTGGGAAAGTATAGCGACGTACTATTCCCACCCGTTATGAAAATGCCAAGTTCGATGGTATAGTCGAGCCATCCGTGTAAGGGCTATTATAAGAGCATCAGTGTAGTGATCAGCATTATGATATAGCATGACTTACCACGCCGAAAATAAAAGTGCTAACCGCCATCAAGTTCCTGTCACGTAGCTTCAGACTAGCAGGCTTCGAGTGAGTCAGTTCGCGGGCTTACAGCAAAAACAGGGACACATTGTACGTGATGTCTGCTATGTGGAGCAACCTGGAAAGCCGGCTGAAATAACATACACGTCCATGTTGGCGACTTGTTGGTACAGGACATAGTACTCACGGTTTCTTATCCGGGGCAACTTCCCGGCGAAGGCGCCAGAATGCCACAGTCAAAAGTATGTCGAACGCGATGAAAGATAATTGTCCCAGCAGTATTAGCTTTGCATAATTAGGGTCGCATGTTTACGACAATTGCTCGGGAAACTCTCTTGCCTCAATGTTCTGTATGGCTGTGCGTTCAGGGCGCCAGTTGTGGGAGATTCTGCGACCAGTCAATCAGGGAGGCTGAGCGACCTACGGGGGTGTAACTCACGCCACGAGTGAACCTTAGGTATCCGTGATTGGGCACCCTTAGTACGGGAGCATGCCAGAGTATTGTACATACCTAGAGCCCAGCCTAGCAACAAGCAGGGTTAGAACCTCTGGGATCTGTGGTAGTCACCGTATACATACCAAATGGAAAAAGAGCCAGTACGAGCTGCCATATAAACGTTGAGTGCTGATCGTGCCGCTCAGAAGTTTCGGCACTACTCACTAGGGAGTATAACATCCTGGTACATCGTTGGCTGGATTCTTTGCAAGCTGACGGTCGTCAATGTCCCCAATAAACCCGTGCATATATGCTTATCTCACCACTATAGTACACAGAGACCATTGAGACTTGATAGCACCCAGAAGTGATAGTCTTATTATCCACGATCAATAAAGGCACGCCGAAGTGCTAGAAGTACTCACAGTCCAGAGCACGGAGAACTGCAGGCGTCGATCAGATCACCACTCGTAGACGGATTATATCCAGACTTACTGCGACCGCGGCAACTGTGCTGTGGAGGATACTGTCCATCATCGGTGAGGAGGTTCTAAGGAGACGTAGTACTATCGTGGCTCACCCAGTTCCGGTTAAAGCGGGCGTATCGAGCATCATAGGCGGCTCGTCATATTGCAAGTACATCCCACAAACACAAAATACATTGATGAGCTGCATGATCACACTGATTGGGTGGGATAGTGTTGAGCTGCACGATCGCACCGATTGGGAGGGGCGGTTTAGATAAAGCTTCGTGCGGAGATGTACTCACAAATTGAACGACAGGATCCTTTTAACCGACAGCTTCTTGCTGTCGCCCACTGCAGCATGGTGCTTCCTCAGCCCTGGGGCATACGCGATAGAAAGAGCTAGGATACTACGCAGAGGGTCAGCAATAACCGCCGGCCCCGCATCTTGAGTGTGCTTACATGACTGCTGGTACCACGAGCAAAGGCGGTCGGCCTTTGAACAAGAACACTTCCGGGGCCTGGTCCGCTGGTACAGTAATATTAGACATGGGTAGAACGAGCGAGGGGGGGAGGGGGGTAGACGTCACGGCAGTCCGCAGGCCACACCCGCTTATATCTGCAAATACTCTGTTTGGTGATCATGTGAGGCGATAAACAGCTTGAACGAACTCTATGAGTGGTACTCCCACGATACTTTGCGCTCACCTCATTGCGGGTGTTGTGGTTCCGACTCCGGACGGGCTGGTATCGATGCAAACTCTCGTCGAAGAAACGGCCCGGAATATCGAGAGCTCACTCGAGCTCTTGTGATGACACACAAGAAACAAATACAATATCCTAGTACTTGTCCCGAGGACTTGCAAACACTTTCACCCCTGGACGTTGCGTGCCATGTGCCAACAACATTAGAAACGTTGAGCAGCCTGAGGGTGAGTCATGGTAGACAGCTCTGCTCTTGCCTTTTGTTTCATACCTCGTATTTGTATTGAATCACACACCACCCGAATAAGCTGTATCGCTTACAGCCGTTTGCAGAAAGCTTGTCACTTCGACGGAGAAAGAAAGAAAGAGAGAAACCCAAGACAGACAGGCGCCCTTTGCTTATTGGCTCGGGCTGATCCCGAAAAGGGTGACAAGAGCGCTCTGACATAAGCATGCCGGACAGTCGTCGCTGTCTGGCGCAATAGCTAGTATCCTCAAATTTACAAGAATGTTCTACACACTGCAGACGTTAAATTATATATTGTAGAATTTTTTAGTATATATAAAATTGCGATAATGATGAATATCGCTGAATTGCAAAGGCGCCTAATGATAAGCGCTAGTCTCTTCTCTTCCCTCCCGTCGAAAGCGACAAGCTTTTTGCAAACGGCTGGGGGTTACGGGACACTGCAGTGAACCGATGCTGCTTCTTGTCTGTACTTCTACTACCACAGCTTCGATTTCTCCACTTTGTGAGGCTGGTTCCGACTGTTCCGTCTATTTATTGAACTTGTCTTCCCCAGCCTTGCAATCACGCTGTGGTATATCTGCACGGACACAATCAGCAACGGCCATGGGCTAGCTTTGATAGTAAACTGTTCGATAGCACATGCCGAGTCGACCGTCCGTACATGGTGATTCCAGGGAAGAATAGTACGACGAGCAGTACATTGGGCCCAATATCATTACAAGCAACGTTTCCGCACAGACCGTGGATGCGAGCGAAGGCCCGGCAGCCTAGACATCTACCAACATTACTGCGTCTTTCATTGCTGCAATTGAGTTGTTCTCGTGAGCGCGATCTGTGGCACCAGCTGTAACCTGAGAGTCTTCGAGCACATGGAACCTAAGGAATTGAGCTGAGCATACACTTCTCCTTGCATCATCGCACGGGCAAACAGCTTACATGATGAACAGTGAGATAACGTGTACTGATCAAATAGTATTGTGGTTAGTCAATGGGCATTGGGAGAATATAGTGACGTACAATTCCCGCTCGTCAAGAAACCGCCAAGTCCGATGGTACAGCCGAGCCATCCGTTGTAGGACTAGCACAAAAGTATAAGTGTGATAGTTAATGTTATGATATAGTACACCCTACCACACCCAGGAGAGTGCAAGCAAATCTCAGGTTCCTGCCGCGTAGCCTCAGACCAGCATGCTTCACGTGAGTCAATTCACAAGCTTACAGGAAAAGCTGGGATGCGTTGTACGTGATGAATGCTATGTGAAGTAACCTGGAAAGCCGGCTAGAACAACAAACACGTTCATGTTGGCGACTTGTTGGCACAGGACATGGTACTCACGGTTCCTTATCCGGGGCAACGTCCCGGCGAAGGCGCCAGAATGCCGCAGTCAAAAGCAAGTCAAACGCGATGAAAAATGAATCTCCCAGCATCATCAACTATACATCATTAGAGTCGCATGCTTGAGACACTTGACCGAAGTAATTCTCTTACGTTAATTTCCTGTACGGCTGTGTGCTCAGGCCACCAATTATAGGAGATTCTGTGGCCGGTCAATCGGAGAGGCTGGGCGACCCAGTATAGAGATGTAACTCACGCAACTTGTGAACCTTAGGTATTTGTGATTGAGCACCCCCATTATGGGACTTCGCCGATACATAGTACCCACCTAAAATACAGCCTAGCAATGACCAAGTTTAGAACTCCCAAAGGTCGTGATAGACCACTGGATGCATACCGAACGGGAGAGCAGCCAGTGCAATCTGTGTAGACGATGAGTGCTAATCCCGCTGCGCAGAAGCCTCAGCGCTACTCACTAGGCAGCATACCATCCTGGTACTGCTTCGACTGAATTCCGTGCAAGCTAGTGGCCATCAGCACCCCCAGTAAATCCGTGCCCATCTGTTCATCTCACCGTTATGGTACTCGGCGACCATCAAGACTTGAGAACACCCGGCAGTGATAGTCTTGTCGTTCATGATCAATAGAGGCACGTTGAGGCGATACTAAGGACTGAAGTGCTCACTGTCCAGAGCGTGGAGAACTACAAGTGTCGATCAGACCACCACTCGTAGACGTGGTATATCCCGACTTACTGTGACCGTGGCAAATGCGCCGTGGGGAATACTGCCCTCACCGAGTAAGAGACTCTGGGAAGATGTCGCACTATCATGGCTCACCCGGTTCCAGCTGAAGCGGGGGTATCGAGCATCAGAGGCTGCACATCATGTCGCAAGTACATCCAACAGACACCGAATACACTGATGAACTGCATGGCTACACTGATTGGGAGACGGTTTAGACGAAGCTTCATATGAAGCCAGCAAGATGTACTCACAAATAGGACGACAGGATCTTTTTGGCCTGCAGTTTTTTCTCGCTATCACCTAATGCGGCACGATGACTCCTCAGGCCTGGGGCGTACACGATAGAAAGAGCTAGGATGCTACGCACAGAGTCAGCAATAACCTCTTAGCTCGCATCTTGAGCGTGCTTACATGACTGCTGGTATCACGAGCAAAGGCGGTCGGCCTTTGAACAAGAGTGCCCCTGGGGCCTGGTTCGCTGGTACAGTACGGTTGGACATGGGTAGGATGAATGGTGGGTTAGACATCATGGCAATCCCGCGAGCCGCACCTACTTATAGGCGCAGATATGATTCTGAATAGTGACCATGTGAGTCAGTGCATAACGAACTCTATCAATGGTACCTCCACAATGTTCCGCACTCACCTACCTCAATGCGCGCGGGTGTTATGTATAACCCTGACTGAGATCGGCTGACGCAACTTCTCATCAAAGAAATGGCCCACATACGAAGGCCCGTGCGCTCGAGAGCCCGCGTGGGCTCTTGTGATAACACACAAGAAGCAAGTACCTTAACAACTGGCCCGGGGACTTACGGAGAGTTCCACCCCTAGATGTTGTGTGTGTATTGTGTGTGCATCAACAACGTTAGTAATACTGAGAAGGGTGTGTCATAGTCGAGGGGAATGACAGCCATAATGGGCTTGTCAAACTTGTGCTCAGAGATGCAACAATAGCTGGCGCTGCCACGAAATGTACATTCCCCGACGTTAGAAAAAAATCCTAAATGATAACACGTCAGACTAGGTGTCGTCCTGGATCGTTCGTGCTTCCTCTCCAACAGGCTTGTGGCCCTCGAGCAAGCTTTACTCCCGAGGCAGATGAGTGGCAGGCTCGCGCATGGCGCGATACCTGTCAAAATTGTTCAATAAATGTATCTCAGCCGCATTGAGTACTCAGCACGCGAGGCGCACACTCACAGGCAGAGGAGCAGAAGAGGACGCACTTGCAGGTGACGAGTCGGTGAGAGCACTCATGCGAGAAATTGAGACGCACTATCCCTAAAGAGCTCAAATATCAGAAGCTGCCATGCTATAGAGCCGCCAACAGTGTACATTCCAGTACAGCCTTGAGTCCTTCTCCCACTACACCGGATGACATGAGCTTGTGGATGACATGTGTATGCACTGCGAGGACTTACCACGCCCAAATTTTGAGCGATAATCGGGCCATTGCTATACTGAGGTCAATAACATATATAATCACGAGCTAAAACATTTACAGAACGATCACAACCGTGCCCGTGGCCCAGGTTGTTACGCGACACATCTAGTCAAACAAACTATCGGAGATGCGCATAGAATGAGACTCATCACCAGCAAACGAAGCAGTAAAATTACTTACGGTTTTTCCTCATGGGTAGGACTCTCGATTAGTGCGAGCAGTGCGAGAGGGAAGGCATTGCAGCAGAGTGCCAGCATCTCGCCAGTAGTCACTAGCTGTTTGTGTATCGATCGGCTCAGTTTGCGATTCATGGAGGATGAAATAATCTCACGACAAGGTAGTTCTTGACCGTGATGCCGGGAAAGATGACTCCCGTCATGCTGAATTTGCTCGTCAGCCGTGCTAACAAAGGATGGTATCAGCTGACATACGCGGCTCCTGTAAAAATCGAATAGAGCTTTGATTAGACCAAAAGTTGCGGAGCTTGATCCGAACGTAAGTTATTACCCATTGAATATGCTGGTGACTATAAGGATCGAATTTGAACCCTGGGAGACCAATAACTCACCGTATACAATAACCAAACTTGAAGCCGTGTACTGAAACTACCCGAGTCAAGGTTAGCGGAGCCCGATGAAACAGAAGCACCCATGGCTCACGTTTGCCACCCACAACTTCCTGTTCCGCCCCATAAATACTAATTCCAGTGTTAATGAGCGTAAAACATACGTCGCGAGCGGCGCGTACTCGTATGCAGCATGCGAGCGATGCCGTGCGATGCAATGAGACCAGAGAACGCCTGGAGTGCAGCAGTAAGATGTATGCGGTCTGATCAGAACTGAAATCCTATACCGTGCAGAGGAAGATGTCTAAGTGTGATTGCTAGGTGTATGGCAGTTGTTACAGTGCTTAAGAATGACATATCAGCAAGGCGCTGTGTACGGAACTTTAAGCAAATTCTCGGCGACGAATTACTAAACAACCCACTAAAGTGAAAGTCCACGGAAAGCATTAAGGACCGTGTCCTCAAGCGCCAGAGAGATGCGGCTAGCAAACCAGTATAGATGGACGAGGCTCATAACATGGACGAGCTGCACGCCGAAACTGGCCGTCACATGCGTAGGTAAGCATGTATTGGCCTGGCATTTCACTTACAGGATGCAACAAGTGTGGCTGATGCCGCCCTTCGGAAACATGAGGTCTTGTCTTTTCTCCTTGCTAGAGAGGCTTTTCCAAGGGATCAGCTTGTAGACGAGGATTAAGGCGCTTTACACGGGATACCGTCAGCATATGACCGATAACAGCGTGATATGTCGACACGTACAATATAGAAGGTATCAAAAGCAGAGGTAGAGGCTCTTCAAGAAAGACTATGCCCTCCGTAGCGCTATCAAGGTTGTCGAGCATAGCAGTGGTCAATGGGAAGCTTTAGTCGCTTTCTAGGAGCCACCATGCGCTGCTGCCGGGGCTGTGCGATCATCAGTATTGTTCAGCAAGCTCTCGCTGAGCATGAAAACTGGAACTTTTCCAGGTCGGGTATTCAATCATAAACGAAGATAATGGTTCAGCGAGCTTTGAGCGGACGAGCACACCTGAGAAACTTGACTTCAAATATAGAGGGAGGTATAGGCGCCTATTGCCGATGAGCCGGAACCTTTCGGCGCATCAGGGCATGAATGCGGCTGCAAATGTACGCGCTACAACTCGTCGAGAGCATCTTGCACTAGACCACCGGGTTGAGCCACAGCTATACAGAAGCTCACAGATGTCCGACAAGCTGCCATCCGCAAGTCCAACTTCCGCTAATGCCAGCCCTCGCGGAACTTTGACAGATGTTCTGACGAAACTTGTGCACGGCTCTGCGCCGTTTATATCTACATTTTTGCTCATCCATCTCTCTGCCTCTGCCCTGGCGAGTCTCGGAGGCTCTTCTCTATCCTCGCAAGTCATGGTAAGCACCTCTAACCCGTCCGAATTCCTACGGCCAATAACATGCATTCAGATATTAGGACGAGAATACTACCAGACCTCGTTCGGGGAGACGTATCTTCTATATACTCCCTTGATGATTCACTCGACGTCCGGCCTCGCCAAACGCTTGCTCGCACCGCGGACCGCTCGCAAGTTGAGCAGCCTCTTCGCGCTCGCGGGCTATTCCAGCATGTTTTTCCTCCTCCCGATCCACTACCTCGCCCACCGCGAGTACCCCGCAGACCCGTCACCGCCGATCTATTCCTTCGGCCCCTCAGAACTCGACTTCGAGTACGTCAAATACGGGCTGCAAGCCTGGCCATGGCGGAGCTGGCTTCTGTACACCGGGCTCGTTGCCGCCGTCGCTTGGCATGCCACCGAGGGCATGCAGATTATCTGGAACACGTACTTCAGGGAAAAGCTTGGCGGGTGGAGGAGCACTTCTAAGTCTCACTTACTGAATGCCGCCGTTATCGTCGTGCCAGTCTTGGCTGGCATCTTTGTCATGGCAAGGGAGCCTTCGTTCGCATCCTCGTCTTTCATCCCACGTTATGAGGCTGCTCTTCGTCAGTGCTGGGTGTACCGGGTTTAGCCACAGCTACTGTTCTTGTTCGCTCCTGCTAATTCTCGTATGCTCCGAACTAAGGTCTTTGTTGCCACTAGATTCGTATATTTACTACTAGACAACAGTGCCATGCGCCTCATTGGAACAGAATTCAGATTCTCCTGTCAATCCTTCGGGCCTACTCAATAGCGTAAGTTCTGTCCCTTCTTCATCCGCCGCAGTTGCCGAGTTTGCCCCGGCAAATGACAGTTCCCCTCCAGCGACTACAGTGCCATCAAGGCCCCACTCAGTGATCCCGTGCAGCTGTGCATCGCGATCATGAAGATTGAGGATACATCTTGACATCATGGTTACAGAGATGCTATTGTTGATTAATTAGACTTCTACACTTGCGACGTCAGCGCAAGATGGTACACACCTGCTGGCAAGCGTGGATAGAATGCCTTTCAGAACGGGCTATCTCGGGAGTGCAAATACTGAGCTTGCTGTTGAACACGATGGACTGGAGGTGAACACATACCGACAACGTCTTCAGCGGTTGTCAGCAACATCGTACTATACTTGCGGAGAACGAAAAGCTCACATAGAAAGTTAGTACGTTAGCACACTGGGCACATGCCATGACGCTGCGAGATAATATGAGATACGATGGTGTCGCCAGTGTTTGCACAACGAGACTTACGCAAAATACAACACTCCTGTGTAAGATTGCGATAGGTGTGATCTGCACGTTGAATGGAGACTAAGCACGTACCGTCGCGGTATATAATTCCCACCAGGCTACTTCGTCCTGCAGCCGCAAGCTGAGAGCGCTCCTTGAATGCTTTAACCAGAGTCAACAGAACTATCAAGAGGTCGTAGGCAAACAGCGCTTCCCATGCAGCGGCAAGACCTTTTGTCAGAGGTTCAGCCCGCGTGGTCATCCGAGTCTAGCTCAAACTTACGCTTCGCACTGAGATATCGAAATGTTAGATGTAAAGAGACCGTGCATTCAATCCCCACTCACGTATTATCATCTAGGGCGGCATGGCACCCCGAGGCTACAGTGCCGGACTTCTGGCCCATTATGGACCACTGTAGCAGAATAAGTCGGCATAAACAGGATGATAGCGAAAATGGTGGCACGTACAATACCAAGTGAGACGAAGACTGCGGCAGCGATGAGCACAACTGCTGCAACGCAGCGGTTTCGTCCATAGAGCGCATATACGCGCAGAAATTGGTTCACTGATAGCTGTCTATCAGGCGAAAGGTGCATGCTTCAGATATAAACAAAACTTGCCAGTGACGATGATCTGTAGGACGCCTATTACTATTTGGCGGTAAAGAGTGAACGCTTGACAGCTGCATTAACCGTGCCTTAGCTTCGTTCAGTCGGATACCAGAGAAGAGTTGACCCACGCCTGGCTGTAGGCTGAGCAAAAAGGTCATACGTCTAGCACGTCATGTACTCACTTCCTCGGCCGAGGCGGTTGGAAAGCTGGAGAAGATGGTAGCTGGAACCTATGCAAGTTGTCTCGTTTAGTGTAAGCCATGTTTCATGTAACCCACATACTGTGAGTAACGCAACATAGCGGCTGATAAGAAACATAACAGAGGCCTTCCTTCTGGGTCGTTGCCATATGCGCCGATATTCGCTGTCGAGTGTGATGACATGGTCGTACAATAGAATCACTGGAGGTAAAAGGATGGCTATTAGGGTGGCCTCCCTCGCGAATGATGCACCCTTACCGCAAGATATGAGAGTGAAGGAATTCTGAACGAAGCTGGGGAACTTCGTGAGCTCTCAAACCGCACTGACAACATTATCGCTTACAGTTGAGACTGCAGAGAACGCGAGGCCGTATTCATGGAGCTTGAGGCGGGCGGTGCCGAGCAAGGTCCCAAGAAAGCAGGGTTTCATGTAGCTAGCGGTCACCTGCAAGCGGAAAACAGTTGCAGCACCGGGCACTACGCTAATGGTCCTAGTACACGACAAGGGGTCAGTGACAGGGGTGGGGGCTGCTCCATACGTACTACTAGAAGCATTTTTAACGTAGTACCGAATGGGGCCACGGCGAGATGTGCGGTTGCAGTAAGCATTGACATGCGTGAGAAACGACTACAGATTGCGGGTAACTCAGATCTCAGTAGATACAAGCCGTCGAATCGTGGCCTTGCGCAGCTAGCAGTCGAGATAGGTGGTATTGGCACGCAGCGCTGGCGAGAAGCTTGCTGCTAGTTACCAGCACATCGACGGCGTATCGCGGCTTCATGAGTGTCCCGCCCATGCGCCACTTATCAGATCGCTCAGATGGCCGTACACACGTTATCTCCATGCGGTTGGCCGCCATAGTGGTATTGAATACAGTTCGTAAGAATGTCTTCGCCGTCTTCGCCGTGGGTAACTGAGGAAGATCGCAGCGGCAGGCAATGTAAGCATCGGCCAATCAAAAGCAATGGCAGGACATATTCCACTCCCTGTTATCAAGAAGTGACATTGATGCAACGAAGTCCACGACCTTTGAACTATATTGCCCACGAAAGAGTAGCCCAATATGGTCCAGAGCAACCCGATTAACAACATTCCTACACTTCTAACGTCACTATCCAGGTGTTAAGAGTATACTCATGCAAACAATAGGCGTACCTCAAAGGATTCATGCTTGCGTAACAGTATCAGCTACAGCCGGCGGATTCTTATTTCCACCGACCCGAGCCTTAACAAATTCCTTACCGGCCCTCTTCAACAGCGCCCGCCTTGCGAAACCACGCATGTCAACATACACGAGTACGATGTTGCGTGCTGTGTGTGAGGCGAGGTGTGTCGACCGCTGTGCTTCCGGACCATACCTATAGGCGCACGGTCACTACGGGATGTAATATGATGCGTGGTGAAACTTACTTGTGTCCCACAACAGCGCCAAGACTGTCTGTGCCGACCTCAAACACCCGCCGCGCCGAGTCGTCCACTGTCGTGATGATCAGGTTCGCTGACATAAAAAGCTTGTCCTTGATGCCGGGCGGACCCTTCGATGTCTCAGGCTCGACCTCTTCGGCCTCCTCGCTTTCGGAAACGGTCTTCTCAGACTGCCCGCGCGTAACCTGTAGCCTGCGCTTAGGCGTGTACACTGCATATGGCGGGGGTGGCCCCTGAAGTTCGGGCGAAGCATACGGCGGGGTGCTGCTCGCGCTTGCAGGTGCGCTGTTTGACGGGGTCGGTGATGTGCTCTTGCTTTTCCCGCCCATCGCGCGAGTGATCATGTCCCCAATCATGTCAGACGTGCGCTGTGTCACCGCACGAGCTGAACCGCTGAACGCATGCGCCTTGGCTAACGCATTTGACGAAGCGGACGGCGTCAGCCCTGGGTTCGGAGATGCGTCGCCTGGAGGAATCTTCGGGGATCCCGGCTTTGAGTGCGCGATGTAGAAACTTGAGGCGGATGTTATGCCCGTGACCAGCAGTGACGTAGAACCAGAGATTGCTTGGCTTCAGTACATGCACGTCAGCGATGGTAGTATGCAAGCCCGAGAGGGAGACTAACCTGATCAGTGTAGCACCTTTCATGAGCCAGTCCTGCTCCTCAGGCGGAACCGCGCTTGCAATGACCTCTCGCGCTTCGAGGAGGTCGTCACTAATAGCACCGACCGGCCCCGCGCCTGTGCATGCATCGTACATAGCTGGCTGCATCTCGAGCACGACAGGGTCCGACGCCGCTGCGTTGTTCGGCACAGTCGAGTCTTCGCGGATGTCCAGCTGATTTGGGAACTCGCCAACGATGTCTCCATTGGACTCGTCCATAAGCACCAGGCGGCCACGGAGGTCGGGGTCTGCAACTGGCTTCGCATGTTCCACATTATCCTTGACATTCGACTGGTGCTCATGGTGCGCCGGTTGAGCAGAGGGAGTGCGAGGGCGCGCAGGGAGAGACGGTGGGGCAAGTGTTGAGGACTCATGAGCCCAGGACAGGTCTGTATACTGCATGAGGAGATGGTCCAAGGCCTCTATGTCGTGCGCAAGGTGCGGGGCGTCTTCTGTAGGTGGCGGGATGACAAGGTGAACCGTCGAGTCGCCTTTCTCCTGACCGCTCTGCACTGCGTTCCCTGGATCAAAGGCATATGTCCGCTGCCCGTTATGAGCGATGAAGAGTTTCACAGGGGTTCCAGGACCGAGCCTGAGAGAATGCGATCCGAGGTGGAACACGAGAGCTAGTCTGGTGTCTGGGCCATCGCTATTGGAGAGACACTCTACGGCGAGTTGGCCGGACTGTGACGTTGAGGATGTCCGGAGAGCGACCTGCGGCAGGGTGAGCAGCGTGAAAGACATCGTGGTCCAAGTGAAAGCGGAGGTGGTGCACGGCAAGTGCACGGAGGCACTAGCTTGCCCACCTCGGCCGTTTCCCGTTGTGAGCTCCGCCAAGTGCGACCAGAAGACACAGCCAAGAATAGGCATAGCTTCCGGATTGCATTCCGGGTATAAGCTGAGGAGGTGAATACTGCAGTAGCATTGTCGTTGGTGGTGGTAGGAGGAACGGGAAGGGCGTCTTCGTTGGCGAGCGCATGAACTTCATCAGCTGCAGCAACTTCGACCGCCCACCACATCCTGCGCCGGAACACCATCATGTCCGGACCGTCTGTGGACTCTTCAAAGTGAGTTGCGAGGTCATTTACTATGCAGGAGAGTATACAAAGCGCGCACAGATGGCGACACCTCCCACCGCCTCCGGGATTCAGCAACACACCAGTGCGTCATGGTGCTTCTACCACTCCGTCAGCCGCTTATAAGCTACAGGCCAAAGCCAGTGCCCCGAGCAAGGCCTCGACGGCTGTCTCGGCGAACTATGAGACGTTGAAGGACAAACGAGCATGGGATTTCGCCATCTCCCCAGCAAAGTCACTGCCCATGCAAGCATTCATGCTTTACATGTCGGGAGGTGGTGTTCAGATTTTCAGCATGGGCATCGTCTTCATGTTGCTCTTGAGCCCGTTTAAGAACCTTGCAGGGGTTAACAGCGGTGCGCACTATGCTTCTGTGCGTATGTTCAGTGCTGACAGGCCCACAGCCTTCGCACCGTTTGCGCCTGTGCCCACCGGGAAGAAGGCCGCCCCCAATCCGGGAGCCCTAACGACACTGGTTCTGCAGAAGGTCGTCTATCTCCTATGCAATCTGCTCACTTTGGCACTCGGGCTCTGGAAATGCCATTCTATGGGATTGCTGCCAACAGGGACTGGGGACTGGCTTGCATTCGAGACGCGTAGCCAGGTGAGCGTCTTCGTCTTCTTGCTGCTATACTACCACGCTCAAAACTCTTTCAGCCCCCAGAGTTTGTACTGCTGTAGTCTGATTCCATCAAGGATTCGGACATCTTGGAGAATGTTCAATGTATCATTGGCATCCCGATGAAACTGTGCGGATCATGGGCCCATGAGTTCTTTTTTCTTCTTCTTCAGAGGGCATGTGGGTTAAGTCCATGATATTCTGGTGAGACGCCGTACGACGCTCCTTTAGCTCATACACAACTTGGATGTATTGCGCTGCTGAAGCCAGCTGCTAACGATTGATGGAGCTCGTTCCATACGCGCAACGGGTCCAGCCCGCGGTGAGGTGTTACGCTTCGACTCTTGACATTCCTGCCTCTGCTTGTATCTTATGAGTCGCACATATTACCGAGGTGTGCTCAATAGCCGAGGCTTGCCGAGTGCGATCCAGTGGACGAGCAGCCTCCTGAAACGCGCTTCTCCTGGCGCCACGTAAGATATATATATGGTGGGTAGACCGGTCACAGAGCTTGAGCTCAGCGCTCATCGATCATCTCTGACCAGCAGCATGAGTGTGCAGTCAGGCATGCAGATCGCTATCATTGGCGGCGGTGTCTGTGGGCTTACCTGTGCGGCCGCTCTGGCTCAGAAGGGCATTAACGCACATATCTATGAGGCTAGGGTGCGTGCGCATCGTTCTTGTTGTCTCCTTTCCCTAATTAATGTTTACGTACGTGTTGCAGGCCAAGCTCGGCGAGATCGGTGCTGGAATCGGATTAGGTACCTTACTTGGATCAGAACCCCTTCACCTTAGCTGACTATGCTGGCCCTTCAGGGTGCAATGCACTTGCTATCATGCGCGAGCTTGGATCTTATGACGACATCCTCGCGAACACGGCGGAGCCCGGACGTCCCAATCTCCGCGGCTTTAGCTTGGTCTTAGGTGCCGATGGGCATGAAGAGCTATACACCGTGGGTGTTTTCATCCGTGTGTACGCGGATGACGGCTCAATTAACGGGGACAGAGGCCGACGCCACCTGAAGAGTATGGTGCGGCTATTCATAGGCATGCACCCTACTTTTACGCTAGAGCCTTGCCTCGTTGACACATCGATAGAGGAGCGTTTCTCGAAACACTTGCCAAGCATATCGACCCAGCATACATTCACTTTAACAAGCGCGCGATTGCGGTTACGACAACGGAGGGCAAGACCGATCAGTCCGTGATTACGTTCGAGGACGGGACTACCGCCAAGGCAGACGTCGTGCTGATCGCGGACGGCGTGAAGTCGTCTCTCCGTAGTGTAGTTACCAGCCAAGATGTGAGGGAGACGCTGTCATTCAGCAACACGGTCTGTTATCGCGGGCTTGTCACACAAGAGCAGGCTGCCGCACGGGGCGTGGACACAAGCTACTGGGACCGTCCATCCGTGTGTCTCGGGGCTGGCAAGGTAAGAAGGGGTCAGAGCCTCTAGTGAATGACGCAACTAACAAGTACTCAGCATATAGTCATATATCCCATCTCTAAGGGCGCGGTAGTGAGTCTACTTCTCTGCTACGATGCTCAGGCGGCCGACGTCTACTGACACTGGCGTCGTCTAAGATTAACATTGCCGCCTTTGTGGCGCGGTACGACGTGCCAATCGGGCATACTAGCATCGCTCGGAGCCCAGAGCAGCCCTCAGTGGAAGTCGTCTCTAACCAAGAGCTGATGGATCAATATACCGACTTCGGCGGCAGTATCCGTGCTGTGCTTGGGTGCATCGACAAGCCGAACAAGTGGTATATTAGCGTTGTGTACCCACACCTGAAGACATACGTGCGAGGCAAGGTGGCGCTGCTCGGGGATGCGGTAGGCAACTTTAGCGTGTGTATGCATCAGTGATAACTGATCCAGCGTGCTAGGCACATGGTATGCTGCCTCACTTGTATGCTGGAGCTGGGCAAGGTGCCGAGGATGGGTGGCTCTTAGCACAGTTGCTCAGCCATCCTCAGACAAGTGCACAAAACGCGGAGGTCTCTATCTGAGGCACTGATTCTAATTGCTCTGCGTATTCACTTTTTGTTTACAGGAAGTGCTGGAAATCTACGACGAACTCCGAAGACCCCGCTCTCAAAAGATTTGGGACCAGACCCTGGAGGCTGGAAAAGTGCAGGATGGAATGGGTCTAGGTGGGCTCACGGCAGATAGCGTAGTAGCGGGCCAGCAGCTCGACTATATCAACAGCTATCAATTGGGTGAGGATGTTCGGGAAGCTGTTGAGCTGTTGAAAGCTAGAGGTGTCTTCGCGTAAATCCTATAACCTCTATCACGTCGCGTGAGCCATATTTACATGCCTCTCTGGTCTCTGATATGACTTCATACTACCATGTCGCTTACATTTATTGTACTTGTGATATCCACAAGCACTACGAGCTACTGACGGATGGTATCAGTGGCGTGTTCCTCGCGCGGAGAGCGTTTACGCGTTGTTTGGATCTGACGCTTATTGGCCACGCATTCAGCAAGAGATGGGTCTCGGAGCTCGGATTCTGAGTTTTTGACATTCTGTTCGTTCCCCCCTCCGCCAGACCTTGTCTGTATCCTTGTTCTGAGTGAAAGTGAGCCCGAAGGAGAGCTCAATGGACGGGGACCAAGACATTCCCACGCACACGCCAATTACGAGGAGGCCATCGAAATCGATGCGAGTTGGTTCCCGCCTCCATCCGCGCTTGGAGAACCCCAAGTACAATTCACCATGGACCCAATGAGACATGGAAATCAAGGGAGAGTAGTGACTGTGAAGAGTAATACGTTCAGACTCCAGTCCTTGCCTCAGCACAATTACTACCATTACGACGGTGAGTCCCAAACGATGTGTGCTAGTCTTTCAACGACGCGAATTCTTGCCCTAGTCAGTGAGTATCTTGTTTCATGCGCCCGGTGACGCGTTCAAACGACGGATTCACAGCTATCAAGCAGCTCAACGTCAGACAGCGTGATGGAACGACCGTGGACAAAGAATTGAAGGCCGGTCAACGGTATACCGACATCATTGATGCAATGCATGTGCAGAACGCGCAGTATTTTGTCAAACGCGCCTCTTACGATGGCGTGAAGAACTTGTATTCTCCAGTCCAGATCCAGGGAGTTTCGCAGGTCGGATTAAGTTTGCCTTCGTAGACAGATTATCTGAATTAGACATGCCTCATGACGCTTCTTTCGCAGTTCCGCGTGGTTATCGAAGAGCGTGCCTTTCAAGTCACTCTTAGCCAAGTCGGCGTGATAGATATCAAGTAAGTCAAGGCCAGATGCTTGAAGCTGCCTGCTGATAGTTTATTCCAGTCTCTTCCGCGTCTTGACATCAGCTCAAGGTGCAAGTGCAAGTCTGGGGACAGGCCCTCAAGCAGTCGCGGTGAACTTATTGCAGGTCCTTGTGTCGCAGGCACCGCATATGTGAGCTGCAGCTTACGATATTTGAAGATATAAATGCGCTGACTATGCCCAGGACCCACAAGTTTTCTCCTCATGCCAAATCATTTTACCTCAACTCTTTTTCGAGGCCCCTTCCTGGGGGCTTGGTGGCACTTTCTGGCTTTTTCCAGTATGTTCTTCGTACGTTTTTGGTATGATTGTGTGCAAAAGAGAGCTCATCAATAGCGTCGCAGGAGCGTGCGCCCCGTTCTCAACCAATTTATCGTTAATGTAGATACGACAACCGCAGCCTTGTGAGCCGACAACGTGCTAATTGGTACATGACTTCTTATCAATCGCCTTGTGCAGCTATCCAGCTGTTTCTCTGCAGGATCTGGCCATGCAGTTCATCAACACCCGCACGCCGCGCGACCTTCACATGAGATGCCAAGATTCTCGAGAGCTTGAGAGGCTGCGGCGATTCCTCTTCAAAGTCGCAGTTAGGATCGATATGCCAGGAAAGAGAAGAGACGCAAAGCGGTATATCACGAAGCTTGTCCCACGAGCGGGATACTTCACTTTTGAAAAGGGGGGTACCATGATTACGGTCAAAGTAAGCGATGCGATCGTCCTACGCCAACGCATGCTCACCTTCCCCCAGGATCACTATGCTGAGGCGTACAATCTTGCGCTGAAGGACCCTGAGCTATTTGGCGTACAGTTCGGGGGCGATGCTGTCTTCCCTGCTGAACTGTGCATCGTAGTGCCGGGGCAGCGATACAAGAGGAAACTGGACCCTGAACAGACGAGGAAATTCTTGGAGGCATCGGTGAGGAAACCGGGGCTGCGGCTAGAAGAGATCACGACCGCGGTCAAAGGCTCGGTACTCCATTTTCGTTACAACATGCGTGGCATGGTCTTGACCGGGAGATTGCCAGGTGCTCGAATACCGCAGGTCACCATATATGCTGGACGCGGGTGTAACTGTGGACCCGACGCCTCTTGAGATCCAAGCACGCGAGCTTCCGCCTGTTCCAGTGGCATACGGGAACAACCTTACTGAGGCCTGTCGTTTTCTGTGGTGAATTAGCCTCGAAATCTAATACGTAACCGTTGCAGACGCCGAATGGTGGTGCGTGGAATGTTATGAGGAAGAAGTTTATCAATCCGGCCACTATAAAAGCTTGGGGTGTGGTCAGCTTCGACCATGGACGGAACGCGATACAAGAAGTACCACAGTTTGTTTCAAAATTATTTGCCAACATGCAGAATCTAGGTACGTGGTCAACTATCTTTCTGTATCCTTTTTCATATTCAGAAAATCGCAGGAATGGGTGTGTGGTCTTATCTGTATTGGCCATATGTGACCGTTTATTAACTTTGAGAAGTATTCACGTGTCCCCCGCCGGGCCATCCCGATTTTGTACTGGATCAAGGCAACCAAGCGGACGTCCAGGGGGTGCGCACACCGCTTTATATGCGTCCTCTGACTGATTCCTCCTCAGAGCTTGGATAGGGCCGGTATGAAAGCGGTAGCACGCCTTCCGAAATTGCAAGGCGTAGACAAGAACGGACGACCTTCTCAAGAAATGCAGAAGCCGGATTTCATGTTGGTGATCCTTCCTGAGCACGCCCCCGAATTACGCAAAGCTACGAAGTGGTGGGGCGATGTGCTAAGGGGCATTCCGACACAGTGTGTGGTGCGTACTCTCCTCTATTGTCGCTAGACCGCAATAAATCATTATTTGACCTCAGCGCCACGGTAAATACAACAACCAGAAAAGGCAGGACCAGTATTGCAACAATGTTGCTCTCAAGTGCGTCGACAATTCTCGGCTCGCTAATTTTTGCTCATCAGATCCGACCAGGATTAACACCAAGACCCGCGGCGTGAACTTTGTGCCAGTTAGCCTGATGAAGAATCAACTCCCGGACACCATGGTCGTTGGTACGTGACAAGCTTTCGGCGAGCATTCATTGCTCATCTCGCGCATCAGGCTGCGACGTCAGCCACCCCGGTCCTGGAGTGCGCAATCGCCCATCTATCGCGAGCGTTGTGTCGTCGTGGCACCATACGCAAAGCCAATACGCAGTCTTCCTCGACTGCCTGGCGCCGCGCCAAGAGATCATTGAGTCGCTCGCACCTATGATGGTGGTAAGGCTTTCCCGCGACACGCGTTGCGGACCCCGCGCTCACTAGTGTGCATGTTTTCAGGAAGCTGTCAAGTTCTATGCTGGCAGGGTGGGTGCGCTGCCGAAGACCATCCTCCTGTATCGCGACGGCGTCTCGGAAGGGGAGTATGCCCAAGTTGAAGAAGGAGAGATCAGGGAACTGAGAAGTATGGCTTACCGTAGCTGTGTTGTCCTCTGCTTATCCGTGTTCCTTGCAGAGGCGTTGGCGAACACATTCAACACGAACTTCCGACTGGTGTTCATCGTGGTCGGCAAGAGGTCAGCGGCTCGACATGTGCAGCGGTAGGGAGCATAGTTGTGCTTACGACCTTGGCAGACACCACGTGCGGTTCTTCCCGAAAGACGCGTAAGAACTTCTCCCCACAATAAATCTATTATCTCAGTACACTTATGACGTTCTTGTACAGGAGCCAGGGTGATCATCTCGGGAACTGCCGGCCTGGCCTCGTGGTCGACAAGGACATTGTGCACTCATCTCTCCCTGACTTCTACCTCCAGTCGCACGGCGGCCTCATCGGGAGTACGCTCGCGCCTTACTAATTTCTGCGCTCATGCTAATGTATAAATCGCAGCCTCCCGTCCTAGTCACTACGTCGTTCTGCAGAATGACGCCCAATGGTCGGCGGACCAGTAAATGCACCGCACTTTCGTTTGGTATTTTCAGTGACTGATAGCATTGTGTAGGCTTCAGAGCATTTCGTACGAGCTGTGTCACGTCTACGCCGCTGCTACGCGCTCTGTGTCCATCCCTGCGCCTGTGTACTGTGAGTCTCTTCACTATGCATCCCCAGCACGCACTCACCCTATGCTTGTCCACCAGACGCAGATGTAAGCTCTCTCCGTCTTTGCCTATTGTTTAAATACTTACTGCTGTATTCAGCGCGCATGCACTCGCGCCGCATTTCAGTTTGCGCAGGACGCAGGTGTGCCCGACTATGAGTCCTCAACGAACGATGACGACTCCTTCGACATCGAGGCCTGGCGCAGGGCGTTGAAGCAGTCAAGCATCCCGCACAGAATGTACTTCGTGTAGCTGCCACGTCCTGCGGCCTTCCTGCCTTGCCTTACTATTCGCCCCATTGTGCTTCTATGTCGTGTCTGCCTCTGTTCTGCCTCGAGACCGACTTTCAGAATGTGTGTGTACGAATATGAACCAACGATGTAGCTTTAGTTGGATGTTATCCTTTTGAATGGACGAAATATACTGGTTTACTTTGTGGACTTCTAGATAGGTGTGGATTGCGTGCAGAATACCGAATCGACTGAACGCAAGGGTCCCGGACACCGTCGGCGCTTAAGGGTCCGCGAGCTCAACGAGCGTCTTTGGGTTCGCTGCGGGCACCGCGCTGTGCGTGGCCTCTGTGGCCTCGGAACGTCTCGAAGAGAGGTGGCGATGAATGGGGCCATGGATAAGATGACGATGACGACGACGACTACCATAGCCTCGCATTGGTATGTACCTATGTAGACTTAAATCTATTATATTTCTGCTCTACTGTACTTTGCTTCGTGGTGTCGCGTCGGTACTAGTGTCGTGGGCTCCCTGCGAGGTCGAGTATCGGGCGTTGGCGCAGTAGCCTGGTGAGCCTCCTAACCTCTTGACTGGCTCTGACACACACAATGGCTGACATCTGTTCAAGCCGCCCCTGTCGTGAGGGGCACACAGAAGTTTTGGCCGGCTGCTTACGCTACTCGTATGCATCCTTGTTATGTAGTACAAAATCAAGTTAATCAGCTGTGGCTCGTCATGCAAGTCACCTCCCCTCATCCCGTGTATTTGTACACCATGAATGCTGCTGCCACCATACCCTGGGAAACGACATGGTATCGGAAAGCTGTGCTAAGGACAACGGCAGGTGTACATACCGGCGACGAGCCACGACGAATGGCGGGCTACCAAACCAGTGATACGGTGGCCCGCGCCTCCGCCGGATTCTGGCGTCTAAAGGTCCGCGGTCAGTCGATCTATCGCTCTCATTGCGTGTGATCAGCCTATGGACCAGTCGCAAATGTCGATTTTTTATTGTATTTTATTTTAAATTGGACTACATGTTCGCAACGTGTTGCCCGTGGGCGAGAATGTCCCCCACCACCAGAGAATCCGCTACAGACCTTGCGTCAGCATAGCCGAAATGCAAGGAGGTACGAAATGAACATATACAGGCGGATTTAGGTGGTATTACAGGGTCATTGTATACAACTACACGCGAAAGCCATACATGGGCAAGAAGTCCGTCAGTCCGACGTCAATCAGGTCTGCTCTAGGCTCAACAAAAACACATGTCATATGCCCAGCTTCAGGGCAGTATATCAAATAACAAGGGCCAAGCACCCACTCAGCAACAGGCTGACGAGGACACCGGCGGGGTAGGTGCAATCGGGCGACAAGCTGAGTGCGGCGTTGGAAGCGCCGGGTACAGGGAGGAAATGCTTAGAATCCGAGGCCTGTTGGGCGGCAGATTCCTTGAAGAAGTTTCGAGATCATGAACAGAAGTCTGCGGAAGGGGTGAGCGAAGCGTACCTTGAAAGCGGCGATGCCGACGAGGATGCCTGCCGCGAAAAAGACAGCAGCTATCAGGAGCCAGATGACACCCCACACTAGATGTGATTGTTGTAGTTAATACGGCCAAAGACTAGATGTACACGGTTGGCGAACCTTGAGACGGACAGCAGCCGCATATCTTGGCGAAGGACGAAGCGTCCGAACCGTTCACTTTACGAGCAATGGTGTCATCTATAAGCAGAAGTTAGATACCTGGCGGTCGATGTAAGAATAGCCGATACCTATGACGTCCCAGAGTACATAAAGGCACGACATGACGCCAATAAATAGCACCTTTCAGTACGATGAGCGCTAGGACGGGACCTCAGGCCTCAACCTCAGAAACTTACGAAATAGCGTAAGGCCACGCCACCCGCGACAAACCAAAACAGGACAATCAAGCCGGTCATGCCCAGAATGAGAAGCCAAGTTCTACATTTGTATCAATGGGATTGACGGCTCGTAGCGCGTCAAATGTGACGCACAGTATCTCGCGCCTTGCCCACCACAGAGTGAACAGGAAGAACCCCGCAAGCACCAGGCACGCGATCTTGCTCGCATTAGTGTCGAATCCGCAGGCGATGAGCGCAGCACCGATGAAGCTTGACCCAAGGTAGCCCGCAGGCAAGGTAAGCCACGGTATGCCGCCGGACATCCGAGTTGCACCACCTTCGTCCGCTGCAACGCTCAAAAGGTCAGCACCTTGCGCGGGATGCGACAATCACAGCAGGCTTACGGTCCAGTTCGATAGAATGAATGGTTGCGCATGTGAGGACTACGCTGCAATGCTCAGAGATCTGCTGATGATCATAATGTGCACAACTGACTGCCCATGATAGCGTGGCTCATCTGTGTTCGACGGCGGCTCAGTACAAGGTTTACGCGCGTACGTCGTCATGTGAAGTTTGTTCTTACCTCGTGGAAGCCGACGGTGAGCAATCTGGTCATGTGCGCATAAGCTATGACGTCTCGTAGACCATGGATAGTAATGGCTCACTTGAAAGGATACACTGCCTGCCGTTCAGATGTGCTCCCAGCGAAGCCAGGACAAGCCACTCACAGATCATAGTTAGGTATGGTACGTGCCTACGCGCAGTCTAATCAGTCCTACTGAGCGACGCAGAGCGTACCAACCCACCATAAAATGGCTATGGCTACAATATAGCATGCTGCTACGATAAGCGTAATTCTCTGGGTCGCATTAGGTGTGAGGGTCGACTGCGCGTCTCGTGCGAAGAGATAGACCGGGTGGCTCAAGAACGAGCGGTCTGCTTCCAAGCCTGCCTGCGACGAAAAGTTGAGATGAGGCATTCAGGTCGTCAAAGCTCGTAAGGGAAGAGAGAAAAAGTAAGGCAGATGGTGGTGGTTCGAGGCCAAGAGATTGCCAATGTACGGTTCGCCTGCGCAGAGGCGACCGAACGTGGAAAATCATCAGCTTTTTTGACACCTTACTCGCATGTGCCCTTTCTGCCGCTCAGGCTGTGTACGCAGATATATTATGGGAGGCGAATTTTTGAATTGTTGCATACAGCTATGCAACTGACGAGCACAAGATGATGGTCCGCTCGGGAAAGCAAGTCCAGGGCGCGGATGGAGGAGATATGGCGGGCGCTACAACTCCGGAATCACCGGGGTCGAGATTACTATTTCGGGTGCGCCGGCCGGCACAAGCCGGAAAGAAAGCGTCACCTCGAGCTCACCGCCTGAGCCATCGACCAACACCATCCCCACGTCGTCCTTCACTGTTTTGACAACATGGGGGACGAATATCCAGGTCTTTTTCGTACGTTCAATCTTTCCAGCCGTACAGACCACCACTGACCATCCACTAGGCTCGGAGACGATGAGCTTGGTGCAGATGATCATTCCAACTGAAGTCGCACACGATACCATTGCAGAGCTGGGAGAGCTTGGTGACGTTCAGTTCAAAGATGTGTGTACACTGTCATAGTGCGATGGATACGACTACTCATTATGCTTCACAGTTGAACCCTAATGTCAACCCGTTCCAACGCTCTTATGTTGGCGAAATTCGCCGCATTGATGAGATGTCTCGTCGTGTCCGTTTCTTCACAACGCAAATCCAGAAAGAGAAGCAGACAATTCCTATTCGACCTCTCTATGACTGCTTGCCCCTCACCACTGTTGGACCTCGTGCTGCGCAGACCATTGACGAACTTGATACGAAGCTGACCGAACACGAGTCGAGGCTCGTCCAGATGAATGACTCGTACCAGCAACTTTGCGAGCGCACGAAGGAGCTTGTTGAGGCTCGCCACGTCTTGCGCGAAACCGCTGTCTTTTTCGATGCGGTACGTGACTGTGTGGAGGCTTTTCGGCTCCTGTGCTAACTGCGCGCTCAGGCTGCGCAGGCTCAGCCTGAGATTCGCAGCTCTTTCGACGATAGTTCTGCACCGCTACTGCAGCACGATGACCGCGAAGCTCAGTACTCGGGCAACGTCCAGTTCGACCTTGAGTATGTTCACCAGTCTGGGCCGGGGCCACGTTCGCACTAACCGTATACGCTAGGTTCGTCGCAGGTACCATTGAGCGTTCTCGGCTGCCCACCTTCGAACGCGTCCTCTGGCGTGTTCTTCGTGGTAACCTTTACATGAACCATACCGACATCCAGGAGCCGTTCGTCGATCCTGCCACTGGTGCTGAGACGCGTAAGAATGTCTTCATTATCTTCGCGCACGGTGACGTTTTGCTCGCGAAGATTCGTAAAGTCGCAGAGTCTATGGGTGCGACTATTTACCCCATTGACTCCAACGCTGACAAGCGAGCGGATGCTCTGCGCGAGGTGACCCAACGTCTCGAAGACCTTCAAGTCGTACTCTATAACACTGGCAATAATCGTCGCATGGAGCTGGTCACCGTTGGTGAGAGCTTGGCGAGCTGGCAGGACGTCGTCAGGAAGGAGAAGATGATCTACGAGACGCTGAATCTGCTCAACTACGATGTTCGTCGCAAGACGCTCATCGCTGAGGGCTGGTGCCCTACCCGCGATATCGCGATGATACAGGTTGCTCTGCGTCATGCTACGGTAAATATCGCACCTTTTGTGCTCCGCTGCGATACCGATTGTTTTTGCAGGAGGAGTCTGGTACAAACGTCCCGCCGATTTTGCATGAGCTGAAGACGAACAAGAAGCCGCCCACCTTCCAACGCACGAACAAATTCACTGAGGCCTTCCAGACTATCATGGACAGCTACGGTATTGCCACTTACCAAGAAGTCAACCCTGGTCTCTTTGCCGTCATCACCTTCCCCTTCTTGTTCGCCGTCATGTTCGGTGATATTGGTCACGGCACCATCATCTTCCTCGCTGCTGTCTGGATGATCTTGAGGGAGAAGCAGTGGGCAAAAGCAGACCTTGGAGAGATTATCGGTACCTTCTTCTAGTAAGTGTTGCGATCATTGAACGTCGATTATAGCTAACCGTGAGTGTAGTGGTCGTTATATCATCCTGCTCATGGGCGCGTTCTCTATCTACACTGGTTTCATATACAACGATATTTTCTCCAAGACGCTTCACCTGTTCCACTCTGGCTGGGACTTCTCTGAGAACTCTGGAAACCGAGCCGCTGTGCCTAATGGTCATGTTTATCCCTTCGGTCTGGACCCTGGCTGGCACGGTGCGGAGAACGCACTCATTTTCACCAACTCGTACAAGATGAAGATGTCCATTGTTCTCGGTGTCATCCACGTATGTTCACTTCAAGTGTCTGTACTGCAGCCACTCATCGATTTTCCCTCGTAGATGACTTTCGCACTGTGCTTGCAAGTGCCGAATCACATTCGTTTCAACCGTATCTCGGATATCTACACGAACTTCATTCCTCAGATGCTCTTCCTGCAGTCCATTTTTGGCTACCTGGTCTTGTGCATCCTGTACAAGTGGAGCGTGGATTGGGAGCAGTCGCCCACGGCGCCGCCATCCCTGCTCAACATGTTGATCGGGATGTTCCTGTCGCCTGGGTCCGTAGAACCTGACTCACAGCTCTACCGCGGTCAAGGTCCCATTCAGACGATTCTGCTTCTCATTGCGTTGGTCTGCGTTCCCTGGCTTCTCGTGGCGAAGCCGTATCTACAATACCAAGAGATGAAGAAGATCAAGGGCCAAGGATATATCGGGCTAGGAGGGGAAGATACGATCGGCGAGCATGCGACAGACGAGCAGCTCGAGGGCGAAGAAGAAGGTAACGGCAGGGCTGCAACAGAAGATGCGCAGGAGGATGAGGTGCGTTTTGTGTCTATCATGGATGGTTATCAGGTTTCCACTTTGGGAGGGCTATGCGAATGATGCGCATAGATGCTCGCTGCACTGTCCCATATGTGGATGCATCGGCGACTCAGTACGGCCCTGGCGCCGTTCTCTTGCTCTCCTCGTTTTCTTCCTCGTGTTCAGCGTGCGTTTTTGCTTACAGTGATTTGACGATTAGGAACATCACGATTTCAGCGAGGTTGTGATCCACCAGGTGATCCATACCATCGAGTTCTGCCTCGGATGCATCTCGCACACCGCGTCTTACCTCCGACTATGGGCGCTATCGCTCGCACATGCCCAACTTTCCGAGGTTTTGTGGGACATGACTCTCGCATCTGTCCTCGGCGTCGGAGGTATTATTGGAATTGTCGGGCTGGCAGCAGTCGGCGTGATGTGGTTCGTCCTCACGGTCTTCATCCTGTGTATCATGGAGGTACGTCCACAGCCGATTGAATTGGGGTCTTGATCTATATCACGGAGGTCTGACATCGGATCGGTTGCAGGGTCTCTCTGCCTTCTTGCACGCGCTTCGTCTCCATTGGGTGGAAGCGAACAGCAAGCACTACCAGGCGGGCGGATATGTACGTACAGTTTTGCAACACGTCTTGGCCGTGCTGACCGATCACCCCGTAGCAATTCCAACCGCTCAGCTTCGCAGATGTGAGCGAGGATTAATGACTGCAACATCGATGCGCCTGGTAATTTCAGCGATGTGTAAGCGAGTAGCATGTTCAATATACTGCCGATGGTGCACGGCAACAAGAGAGAGCGAGGCCCTTGACGGGCGTGTGCATTTCCGAGCCGTTCGTAAGTTCAGCCGGCGTCCCTTTAGGACAAAGATGAAGCCGGGGCTATGCGCGGTGCCCCACACACGGTGCACAGCCCGGCTGCGAATACCCCGCACGAGGCAGCGCCTTTCCGAGGATGTGCGAAGTTTGGGCGAGCGGAATCGGGAAATGGCATGGAGCAGCACCGGATTCCCCGTTAGACGCCTGAAAGCCATGTGGCTTGATCATCTTTTTTGCTTTTTTTTTCTCTTTGCTATAAAGGTTAGGACGGTCTCGCTCTGTCTGCCATCCCACCTCTTTCCCCTTCCCTCTTTTTCTCTCTTTCTAGACACCTTAGAGGTGAGTAGCGGCCTCCCCGTCTCGCTGCGGCAGTACAGAACTAACTGTCTCTACAGCCTTGTGCCTATAGAACTAGAGGAACTAGAGGAACTAGACTTTTCCATATACCTCCTCCTTTCACGAACCTAGACACTATACCATCTTTTAACGTACGTGCAGCCTGCTTCTGCACTCAAAGAGCCGTCTCCTAACTGTCTCCGCTCACAGATGCCGGCTGTTACTGCTACCCCCTCTGCTGCTACCACTCCTGCTTCCCTCAAGGCCGCTGTTGCGCCTGTTGCGCCTGCTCAGGGCCAGTTTGATATTACTGGCCTCTTTGTTGCCGACAAGGCTGCCCGTTCGGCCGCAGCTGCCCAGCTTGCCGCGCTCGCTGAAAAGGAAGGTCCCGCTGCACTTCAATCCGTCGGCTTCACCGATGCCGTCGTGAAGGCTCTGAACGACAAGAAGTCCCCCGCTGCCCGCGAAGGTGCCGCTAATGCGGTCGCTGCCTTCGCGCAGTCGCCTGCTGTCCGAGCCTTTGAGCCTCTCTTCGTCGACAGCGGCATCTACGCTGCTCTCCTCGAGGCCTTCGCCGATAAGATGCCCGCTGTCAGGACGGCGGCCATCGAGGCTGTGCGTCTGTACGTCGCCGCCATGAACCCCTGGGCTACCCGCCTTGTCCTACCTGTTCTCCTCCACGAGATTAAGACCGCCGGCAAGTGGCAAATCAAGACCGGCTCGCTCGCCATCCTTGACCAGCTCATCGCCAGTGCTCCCACTCAGGTTGCGCGCGCGACCCCTGACATTGTCCCCATCCTCTCCGAGGCGATTTGGGACACCAAGGCTGATGTCAAGAAGGCGGCTCGCGCTACCCTCGAGAAGACGACTGCGCTTGTGTCCAACAAGGATATTGAGCGTTTTATCCCGGCCCTCATCGACGCCCTTGTCAACCCCGTCGAGAAGGTCGTCCCCACCATTGGTCTCCTGTCAGCTACCACTTTCGTCTCTGAGGTCGACTCCCCGACCCTGTCGCTCATGGTCCCGCTTCTCGCGCGTGGTCTTACCGAGAAGCTGACCGCTACCAAGCGTAAGGTCGCTGTCATTGTCGATAACATGTCCAAGCTCGTCGATTCCGAGGTTACCGTCCGCCCCTTCGTTCCCAAGCTGCTTCCCGGCCTCATCAAGGTCGAGTCGACCATTGGTGATCCCGAGGCCCGCGGTGTTGTCGGCCGTGCTATTGCTACCCTCCGCCAGGTTGGCAACGTCCCCACTGGCGACGGCACCGACCTCCCCCCGCTCAAGCTTGCGGACGAGAAGCAGCTCGCGCAATCGCTCATTGCCATCTACAAGAAGCTTGGTGCCAACCCCGTTCCCTCTGCCGGTAACGCCGAGACCATCTATGCCTCCAACCTCGCGATGAACCTCGTCAATGCCAAAGAGTTCGACACCAACCAGTGGCAGGGTCTCGTCCCTTACCTCGCTTTCCTTACCGCGACCCCTGAGCCCGTCACTGTTGCCAACGAGTGGGTCGTCAAGTCCGCTACCATCGGCGAAGATGCCGACGAGGCTCTCGAGGACGAGGAGGAGGGCGAGGACCTTTGCGACTGCCAGTTCTCACTCGCTTACGGTGCTAAGATCCTGCTCAACACCGCTACCCTCCGTCTCAAGCGCGGCAACCGCTACGGTCTCTGCGGTCGCAACGGTACCGGCAAGTCGACGCTCATGCGTGCCATCACCAACGGTCAGGTCGAAGGCTTCCCCTCGCCCGACGAGGTCCGCACATTCTACGTCGAGCACGACATCGACGGCTCTGAGGCTGACACCTCCGTCCTCGAGTTCATTGTCTCCGACAAGCGTGTTCAGGCCTCCAAGGAAGAGATCGTCGAGGCGCTCGCGTCCGTCGGTTTCTCTGACGATCGTCAGGCGCAGCCCATCGGCTCGCTCTCCGGTGGTTGGAAGATGAAGCTTGCGCTCGCCCGCGCGATGCTCTTCAAGGCTGACATTCTGCTGCTCGATGAGCCGACTAACCACTTGGACGTCGTCAACGTCGCTTGGCTCGAGAGCTACCTCACGAGCTTGACCACTTGCACTTCCAGTACGTTGGCAACCACTTTTCTTCATTGCATACCGAGTTGATACTAACGCCTTATCTACAGTCATCGTCTCGCACGACTCCGGTTTCTTGAACAATGTCATCACCGATGTCCTCCACCTCAACCGCTTCAAGCTTAAGCGCTACCGCGGGAACCTCGAGGCCTTCATGAAGGCCGTTCCTGAGGCTCGCTCATACTACACGCTCGAGGCATCCGAGGACTATCAGTTCAAGCTCCCCGACCCCCCTCTGCTCGAGGGTGTCAAGACCAAGGAGAAGTCGCTGCTCAAGATGCGCAGTGTCGGCTTCAAGTATCCGACGCAGACCCAGCAGCAGCTCTACGACGTCACTCTCCAGGTGTCGCTCTCCTCTCGTGTCGCTGTCCTCGGTCCCAATGGTTCCGGCAAGTCGACCCTCGTCAAGCTGCTCATCGGTGACACCGAGCCAAACTGCGGCGGTGAGATCTGGAAGCACCCTAACCTGGTCATCGGCTACGTCGCCCAGCACGCGTTCCACCACATCGATCAGCACCTCGACAAGACTCCTCTCGAGTACATGCTCTGGCGTTACCAGACCGGCGAGGATCTTGAGGAGATGATGAAGGGTTCGCGTCAGATCTCCGAGGAGGAGCAGAAGAAGATGAAGGAGGGTTCCACCGTCGTCGTTGAGGGTCAGAAACGCCTTATTGACGAGATCCTGACTCGCAAGAAGCTCAAGCAGTCGTACGAGTACGAGATCTCTTTCAAGGGCCTCTCATCATCCGAGAACATTTGGATGCCCCGTGACGAGCTCATCAAGCGTGGCTTCGAGAAGAAGGTCCTAGAGGTCGACACCCGCGAGGCCCAGCGCCTCGGCCTCCTCCGCCCTCTCGTTCGTCGCGAGATTGAGAAACACTTCGCCGACTTCGGTCTCGACCCGGAGTTCGTCTCGCACAACACCATGCGCGGTCTTTCCGGTGGTCAGAAGGTCAAGGTCGTCCTCGGCGCCGCGACTTGGCGCCGGCCGCACGTCATGTGTCTCGACGAGCCGACGAACTACCTCGACCGCGAGTCGCTCGCGGCGCTCATCAAGGCCCTCAAGGAGTTCGAGGGCGGTGTACTCATCATCACGCACAACCGCGACTTCTCCGAGTCCATCTGCAAGGAGGTCTGGGCGATGCGCGACGGCCGCCTTGAGGCGTCCGGCCACAACTGGGTCGAGGGCCAGGGCTCTGGCCCGCGCATCGACAAGAAGGCCGGCGAGGACGACGACCAGTACGACGCGATGGGTAACAAAGTCGATGTCAACAAGAAGAAGAAGCTCACCTCCGCCGAGGCCCGCAAGGCGAAGAAGGACCGTATGGCACGTCGTAAGCGTGGCGAGGAGGTCTACAGCGACGAAGAGCTCTAAGCGAAAACCAAAAAGTAAAATCATGTGTAGTGTTTTGCGTCCCCTTCCGTCTGTTGTTGTTAATCTGGATCGTCGTCGCACACATCTGTTGTTTATTGTTCAAGGACGTTCTCGGTCAATATCTGTATGATTTCTTGTACTCCATATCTCTCTAGAGCAGCAATAATGATTGTCATGAAATCGTGTTTCCTTTGTGAACGCAATGGGTCGGCGAGCGTAATCGTAACGGTGTTCAGCCGCATTTTGTCATACGCCGTCTGAGCCGCGAGTCTTCAAGACTTTTGTGCTATTGTTTTTCTCTGTCTGCGAACCATCTCAACTCTGACGGGAGATATAAAGGGGCTAGTCTGCGCCGAGTGGACCTGAGTGAACCGTCCCAGATCCGCGGTGTCCACAGATCTACATGGTGTCGGTAAGTCAGAGCGGGCCAAGACGTAGCTGATGTTCACAAAACTAGACCCAATAACTACAGCTACTGTCTTGTTACCTCGGTAAACAAATGTTACTTACCCCGCTTTAATGATCCACGTGTAACATTTAATGATCGCCTTTTTTACAAAAACCCGCGTAATACGAACGCAAGTAAAATGCCTCCTCGTCTCTGCATGTAGATACCTGCTGTCGGACTCATGTCATAAATTTCCAGCCCTCCGTATAGCCGGCGTCATGGCTGACAGCTTGCGAGGACGAGTGCTATTGGGGGGCGAAACCGTGGGAAACGGCGGCGGCGTTAAATTCGCTCTCCCGCCCATACGTTCCGGTCGTCTCCCTCCCCAACCTCCCCAGCCTCCCCCAACGCGCAGCCGGCGAAGAAAACCACGATGGCCGGCGAAGACGAGCTTGCGTACCTCAAGAGCCTCGTGAAGCAGCTGAACGGAAAGATCGAGGCGCTCGAGCAGAAGGCGAAGAGCGCGGTGACGGGCAAGCCCACGCCCGCCCAGCAGCTACGCACGATCCTCGTCGGGCCCCCGGGCGCAGGTGAGCCGCGTCCGACGTGTCGTTCTGTGATTGTGGCGAGCTGAGGCGTCCCCGCAGGCAAGGGTACGCAGGCACCCAAGATCAAGGAGAAGTTCTGCGTCTGCCACCTCGCCACGGGCGACATGCTCCGCCAGCAGGTCGCGGCCAAGACGCCACTCGGCGTCGAGGCGAAGAAGATCATGGATGCCGGCGGGCTCGTCAGCGACGATATCATGGTAGGCATGATCAAGGACCAGCTAGAGACCAACAAGGGCTGCAAGAACGGGTGCGTAGGACGTCGCGTGTATCTACCCCTCCCTGCGAATACCAGTTCCTGGTCGTTTTTGACGCGACTGCGTCGTGTCGTGTGCACCGCAACATCTGAGACTCGGGCCGCAGCCTCAACTAAGTCTGGCTGCGTACATGCGAGACAAACCGACCCAAACACGATGTCCGCGTGCACGAGTGCCTCCCAAAGCGAAACAGGCTGGACTCGAAGCTTTGCTGCGTGTGGTACCGAGTATTGTCGGATGGTGCGACTTCCGCATCGTTCGCTGCTCCATCTGTCTCAGGACAAGGTCTGGCCCGAAGACCACAGCTGCCCTGTTCTCATCTGTCGCTTATGCTTTCTTCTCCCATGAAATATTTCGAAGCTGTTGGCACTGACTGTCGACTTCACAGTTTCGTCCTTGATGGTTTCCCTCGTACCGTTCCCCAGGCCGAGAAGCTCGATGCCATGCTTGCCGACCGCAAGGAGAAGCTTGACTCTGTCGTCGAGCTCGTCATCCCCGACCAGCTACTCATCTCGCGCATTACCGGCCGCCTCATCCATCCCGCCAGTGGCCGCACGTACCACCGCGAGTTCAAGTGCGTATTGTCCTCTCTTCTCCCGCCCCCGCTGATCCTGTTGCGATAGCCCGCCGAAAAAGCCGATGGTCGACGACGTCACCGGAGAGCCGCTCATCCAGCGGTCGGACGACAACGTCGAGGCCCTGCGGAAACGGCTCACGGTGTACCACAACCAGACAGGCCCGGTCGTGGACTACTACAAGACGAAGAACCTCTGGCGCCCGATCGACGCTGCTCAGGCGCCGAGCGTCGTCTGGGAAAACTTGGCCAAGGTCTTCACGGCGAAGAAGGATTGAAATCCTCTGCTTTCGCAGCTGTGAACGGCATATAAACTAGAATATACTTACCTGTGCCATGGACTTCTTTTTTATTTTTCGGCAGTGCTACCGCTGAACAAGAACTAGCTTGTGCCCTGCGCAATCACAGCAGCCAGATGGCCGGCGTGTCAAACTATGTAACAAAAACGCGACAGCGCGTTCCGTACTCAGCCGGGTGGGAGGTTCATAGATGAGAATCAGTTTGAAAAGATGGATCGTATGCTGTTGCTGCAGATCAGGCCTTTCAAGGTTGTATATCCCAGGATCAGCTACGGGCGATGCATATGCACATCACGTCCATATGCACTTCCGCCATCGCGCTCACAGGCCTCTGCAGTTCGTAACAAGCCATGCACCGCCTCACATACGACCTTCAGATGAAGATCTGTGCCGCATGATGTAGAACACGCTAAGAGTCAAGACCACACATTCGTGCCAAGCAAATCACGTACTGTATATCGGTGTGAGTTCAAACCGTTGCCACGTGCACAGAAGCAATATGTCTCACTGTCGAGGAGCGACGAAATAGCAACCCCCTTTCACGCGATAGACACTCGCTGAGAAGTTCAGGGGCCAGCTTGCCTAACGCAGCTGCGAAAAGTGCGAGCTAGGGACGAACATTTTCAGGGACGAATGCACGTCATCTACCGTCGGTCCCGACAGCATTTCTTCTCTTTTTGCCTGAACCTTCGGGTAAACCTCAAAAACTGAGGCATCGGATGACGTTTCCGCCGCATTGATACGTCGATATCGCGGTATGTCCGGCTTCTGCTTTATTTCTGATCTCAATTCATTTTGCTTCTGTCCGCAGGATGTCTGCAGCTGCGGCGCAGGCTACTGATGACTATCAAAATGACTCGAAATACACGACGCGTAGCATAATTTTGTTTTCTTGTGTCTTTCTCGATTTGACAGTGCAAGCGCCTGGGCGGGGGCGCATCAGGCGCATCAAAGCAGCCGGCATTTACCACCCGTGTCCTATTGCTTCCAAAAGCAGTAACTAAGTTTGCCAAGCACCCGTCAGAAAAAGGCCGCCAGTGCAGCCTCGGCAACAGATTCGGCCTCTCCTTTTCTCGGTAGGCGACCGATGTGCGAAGAACGCCTGTACAGTGTGCTATATAGCGGCGGCTATCAAGAATCCGCAAGGCAAGCACACGGGCCCTGGTGGCGTGCGGTCTGCCCCAGGTCCACTGAGAACGCGCGCACAATCCGACGTGCGTCGGACGCCGTGTGCCTTCGGGCGTCGGAAGCTAATCCCTGCCACCCCTAGAGCACGTGCAACGATGCAGTACTCCTGTTCTCGCGAATCCCATTCGAGGGTGCTCCCGGAGCCAATTGAGATGCATCATACAAAAGCTGCGCGGGAGCTTCTCTGCTACAAGCCGGAGGCTGAACTACGTGTAGCAGCGTCGGCGGCACCGTGGCTCCGTGCATCGAGAGGAGGCGATATGTGGGGTGTGGCGCTTTAGGAGAGACGCACAATAATAACGCCCGACGCTGAAGTAAAAGCGAGGACGGGGCGTCTGTACGGGATACAGGCGGGATAAAGTGATATCTGCTCTGCCTTGGCACTAGCACTGCCGTTTCATACATGCACCCCTGCTATCGCCACCGTAGCGGCAGTCGATACAAGACGCGCCATGTGGCACGGGTGGAGGCTAACGCCCTTAGAGATAGTAGTGACTGAACACGACGGACGGTCCAAGGCTATAGCATGGCATCAAGAGATGCGTCTCGCGGGCTGTGATAATGGCACCGACTAGAGGTGACCGGCAAGAGACCATGGAGATCATGATGGCGCGCCCTTGCACTGGAAATACTAGGGCAAATCGTCGGCACCGCGGCTGCCGAAGCCAGAGCTATCACTCGCTAATCAATAATGCTGAGATTCTCACGCGACCGCTATGCGGTGGAGGGTACGGCGCAACGCTCGCTATGCCTTGAAGGTCGCCAGCACCACAGCCGGACAAACCTTGATGCATGATGCATTTCTGTGCGAGAAGAGAAAATGTAAGCATGCTGCTTGTTACGAAGTTTGCTATAGGCGCTGTGAAATCAATGTCGGCTTCTGGATGATCTATCCGCTAGGACCGACGACGCTGTAGGCCGACGTCGTTACTCCGAATGACGGCGACGGCTTACTCGAGCGGTGGGAGCCGGATGCTCAGCGCTCAGTCAGGAGACGATAAGCTGGCGATTTCTCGTGACGTTATTCGTAAGAATACGGCTGCAGCTTGTGGAGGAACGGTTGGGCGGGAGATAATTCCTCCGGTGCCGTTAGAAACAGACAATGTGCAGCTGCGGCGGTTGGTTGCCAGAAATGCGAGAAGCGGCGGTTGGCTACGAGAGATACGAAAGAAATGGAGGTGAAACAGGACGAAATATTTGGGAGATCGACCCAGATCAACGGGCGACCGAGAGCCGCTCGGCCATTCAACTGCTGAGCGCCGAGACACCCCCCTCTGAACTCTCCGCGTAGCGATTAGAGCTGTGGCAGGGGCTGCAGTCGCCTAGTCGCCTGTGTCCCTTGCGACTTTCCAGAATTGTAACTTTCAGCCCATCACACAAGTCTGGATGTACTTTAGATCATACACACGCGTATATATATCCCTTACTACCCCCACGCTCCCTGTGGATCACTCCGCTGCCCATCTCATCTTCGCTAACTGAATCATCGCCCAGCTTTTGTCTTCCTTCTTCCAGGCGCCCTCCTCTTAGCACTCTTATACCACCAGACCTCGGCGCAAGCATCGAGACCAGTTCCTTTACCTATACCCCCTTTCATACGTGTCCGGTGATCCTGCTCGCCATGAAGACAGCAAACGCCCTTCAACGCGGGAAGGCTTGCTTGAACTGCAGGAAACGCAAGATGGCAAGTGTAGTGTCCATGTCACCTGTCTGGATCCTGACCCCAGCCCGTGGGCCCATAGAGGTGCGATGGCCAACGCCCCGTCTGCGGGCAATGCATCAAGGGCAATCGTGACAGCGAGTGCCAGTACTACGATAAGAAGCAGGTCAGCCGAACCGAGCTGCTGCGAGCCAAGGTCGCCAAGCTGGAGGCCCGTCTGCGTGAGCTAGAGGTCGAGCACTCCTCGGGCTCGTCAAGCAGCTCCACACCTGCGCCCATGTCGCCCTCGTCGCCCTCGTTATCAACGGCACGGTCGTCGCCGTCCGAGGAGCTGATCCTGCTCCAGCCGCCAGGTGCGTGTTCAGGTCTCGATGCCATTTCGGTAAACTCTAGACTGATGTGGGCGCGCGCGTCCTGGTCAGGAATCACACTGCCTTCTAGTTCCTCGGCGCCTATTGAGCTGGAATCCTGGGATGATGATGATCACTTTGCACTGGGTCCCGGGTCCTCCTCAGATCTTTCGAGCTCCCGGGACTCATCCCTCTCCTCGACACCATGGCTTTCCGATTTTTTCGATATCCCCTCCTTCCTTAACGACCCATTTTTCTCTGCAGGCGATTTTTCTCCGGGTCTTGTATCACAAGAGCCGCGCCTCGAGTCTCCTAGTCACTGGGAAGAAGCGGACTCTGTGATGTGTCAGAACAAACAAAAACTGTTCGTATCTTCCCATGATCATATGATTGGCCTGTACGCTTACCACTGCCGCGACCGGCACTTAGTCTGGACGTATTTTTCGCCCATCGTCACCAATGTGCGTTTGACGTCCACGTCGACAGATTTCGCGCCTCGATATCCCTTGGGCCCACCCAGCAACCGCATCCCGCGCTCCTGGATGCGATGTACCTCATGGCCTGCTACTTCTCCCAGATGCCCGCCGCCCAGGAAGGCTACTACCTCCAGCGCGCGCTCACGGGCATCTCCTCGTCCCTGCAGGACAGCGACCGTCTCATCCAGATCCTGCAGGCGTCTTGCCTGATTGCGTTCTACTTCTTTAGCCGCGGGAGGACGCTCGAGGGCTACTACCACTCCTCAACCGCGGCCCGGCTCGCGGTCAGCCTTGGTCTCCATCAGATCAAGGGCGAGGAGTGGTACCGCCTGCAGTTTGACGCTGCAGCAGTCGCGCAGCCTGCCTTCCTCGCGTTCAAGTCCTCGCTGCAGCTCCCCGCTCCGAAAGACTCCATCGAGTACACGGAGAGGGTGGCGGCCTTCTGGCAGGTCTTTCAGGTTGACCGGGCCTGGTCCGTGGCAAGTGGATTGCCTGCCGCGCTTCCAGATGACGACAATAGTCCTCGTGCCCGAGTGGAGACAACATGGCCAGCAGCGATTGGTGACACGCAGGTGAGCGGGACAATCTAGAAGCTGCGAAGAAGAAGTTGTGGCTGACGATTCGGCGCTTGCAGGACATTCTCGAATACATGCAGCCGCAGAACTTCATCGCCAACACAAAGCTTAACCCGTACCTCCGCGCGAAGGCGACAACGCTGTTTGAGAGGTCGTATCGCCTGGCAGCCAGTACGTCGCTCGGTCTGCTCGCCGCCCTTGTCAGGAGGATCTGAACGCTAATGACAGAAACGATGGACAACGACGACCTGTTCTGGTCGCAGCACAACAGTCTTGATTGCGAGCTGATACAGTTCGGCGCAAATATGCCCCAGCTTACGTCGTCCGTCTACCAAGACCAGCTCTCACAGAACGACCTCGAGCTCGTTTCGATCCACACGCTCCTGCACGCATCAACGATCCATCTCCACCGCGACCTCCTTATGCTCCCGACGTCGTACCACCGCTGCGTGGGCGCGGCCGGTGCCGTCACTGGCATGATCAAGGAGCTCAACGAGGGCGACTACGCGTTCCTCAACCCCATAATCAGCGTACGTAAAATCACGTTCTGCGACCCGTGTGATCGCATGCTGAACACAGTCGCCCGTTAGACCTGCTGGAGGTCTGCTGCGCACGTCTACCTGGCGGTCCTCGAGCTGCAGCAACAGCGGTCACGCCTGACGCAGGCCCTGCTGGCGACCGTGAACACCGAGCTCGACGCGCTCGTAGGCGCCCTGCGGCTGCTGGGCCGGGTCTTTCCTCTTGCAGGTGAGCAGATCTCCGATGCCCCACGCGTACCTCACAGACGGGTGTGGCTGACCCGCGCTCTATCAGCACATGATGCACGACGGACAGAATCAGAGCGGGCGATGCGGCTCTCTGTCCTGTTCGCGCCTTCGTAGGCCTCTCTCTGTGCCTGGCATGCCCTGTCCCCAGTGTGCCCCTAGTAATTATTGTCCTGTATAATGGTCCTTACACAGTTAGGTTATTCGGCAGCTGTCACTGTTTGTATCCATAGCTCTCCCTCATGCCCTTTCACGCCCCCTCTGAATGACGTCTGCATAAGCATTCCGGTCCAGGATATCCCATGCACTAGATTACGGAATTGTATTAATGTAGCACAGCACATGGTGCATGTAATATACGACTCGAATTCGGAATACTCGAGCTCCATTCCTCGTCAGGCGTCACTGGGGCATCCACAGCGAGCTCCAGCAGCTCGGGGGGCGCCCTCGACAACGTTTCACACCAAGCAGATCTTTGTCTGCGTCGACAGATCGATCATAGGTTACGTGCCTCGAGCACTTCGGAAAGAAGCAGAAGGTCCAGCCGTAGTCCGCGAGCCGTCGGCATAATGCCACAGGAGGCATTTTCCTGTGTCTTGACACGAGTGCCATCGGAGGTTCCGGACAACTGAGAGGACCCCGGAAAGACCCATGTCGTGCGATTCCGGTCAATTCGTGCCCCTCGGAAACTTTGAACGGCTTTCCGCAGCTCGGTGCAGGCGCGAACCATGTCTTCCTCACGCACACGCGTCGTAATGGGCGTTCGTGCCCACAGGAGGACAGCACCCGATCGCGCACCGTGTCGTTCCGCTGCCTGGCCCCTACTCCGACATTCTTCAAATGCTGCAGGGGGCCAGGCAGATATATTTATGAGCAGCGGGGCGCCACTAAGATCTGTGTCATTGACGTCGTCGGTCTCTCTCTCGATGCTGTTCCCCGGGGTGTGGAGAGACTGTCAATGCGGCGGACTAGTCTGTCAGCCGCGTTTAGATGGCCGGCAACGCCAAGCAACAGCTGCACGAGACCGCATCACGCGCTATAGATACCGTGCAAGGGTACAGGATGGGGTGCCTCAATTGAGCTGAAGAAGGGGGTGAATGTACACGCGACGCTGCATGAGATTGCGAGAGCCGCAGAGTTCGACCGCGCTGTGCCATCTGGCAAGCTCCGCCCTCAAATGCCGAGAGACCAACGATATGGCGCAGCACGAGAGTTATATAATTTGTCCATCGCCCGCCGGAGACATCAGCAGCACCGCGAGGGTATAGTTGCGGTCGAGCCCCGTCCAGGATGGTCACTAGTGCGCGACAATTAGTCGCGACCCACAGTGTCCACCGAACTCAAATGGTACGAGTCTGTAGCGTGCGGAATCAGCAGGGCACTACATAACACATTCTCAAGAGGGGGTGAAGGGCCCGCTCGAGAGTCGGTACGGACTTGAGGATGGGGGCTATCATGTGCTACCGTGCAGCGCGGGAGAAATGCGTCCGGCACCTGTCCGAGGACGCGGCACATGCAGATCCTGTTGATCGAGTCACATCTCTAATTCTCCTGCGCGCGTTACGATGCAGGAGATTAGCGGACAGACCGTCAGGCGGTCTACTCCGCGTGAGCCCGTTGATGGCATTAAGCTTGTGAGAAACGTTAGAGCAAGGCGCCGTGGGCCTTCGAAAGCATCATAGCGCGCGTGTCATTGGTAGTGGTATGCCCGCACCGCAGCTTACATAGCGACTGGAATTTTTTTGCATCTGCATCTGACCTGAGGCGGAGGAGTAGTTGGTAAATCAGTGCAGTTTGGAATTAAAGCTCCTAGCTTCGTTATCTCAGGCTTCAGGGCCCTAGCTGGTTTAAGAAGAACCTTACGGTGAGATAACGTATTGCAAATATTCTGCGGAAGACTTGCGACACTTTCTCTCGGCCTCCTCGTCGCGCTAGCAGCTGGATCTTTCCAGGAGGAAGCTGAGGTGAGAACTATACCTGCCATATCCGGTCGTCCTATCGAAGCTCATTGCTTAGTCATCAGTTTAGGCGTTCAATAAAGTAGGCTCCCGCTCAAGGGAGAAGCGGAGTCAAGTCAGGCTCTCAGGTAAGTTGGAACATGAGGCAAGGACCCTGCACTGAGTGAATGGAAGAAACTTGTATGGTGTACATTACAGCGCTCCGTCGCGAGTAACCAATCAGAAGATAAGATAGTATCGATTGGTCAAGCGAATACGAGCTACTACGGTATGGTCTCGAGAGGCAGGATCGTCGGACCTGGGTAACAGTGGCACAACCACCGGTCGCACGGGTGGGAGGAATCATGACCGAGGGCGCAGCACGTAGGTATGCAAGCTAACAACCCACATAAATATAATATACAATCCAACAATCCATATAAATATGATATACAAATCGATAATCCATATAGATATACAATCAACGATCCACATAAATACACAAACCAACAATCAAGCAATCCGACGCTCGCACAGCTATCTGCGTTCTCGCAAGTGGAACGTTACGACGAGAATGACGCTGACAGCGAACCCTACACCGAACCCAAACAGCACCAACACATCCCGAGAATAGTTGCCTGGACCAAAGTCAAACAGCTGCCAAACGTCTCAGTTAGTATGCCGGCAGATCGGAAGACTAGCACGTACTAGGTCCATGACTAAACTCGCCGAAAGGTCCACTGGCACGCCTTGCAGCGTGTCCTGGATCATAAGGCCCGAGCCGACTTCGTTCACGGACAGCGCTTCTAGCGTGAACTTGAGAGGACACAACCACTGAAGCCAACGAATGGCCTGTGGGATATTGCCCAAATTAACGAAGAATCCCGCAAAGGTCATCTGGTATAGTGCCGTGAGTGCACTTAGCAGGATGGCTACGCCGCCATTGTTGAACCAGCACGCAAGCAAGAAGTTCTGCAAGCGCCATGAGCGCCTGAACGTAATCTCGCGGGAGGGAGCTTACGAAAAGCGTCATGGCTAAAGTGTACAAGACGAGAATGAGCAGGAACTTGAAGAAATGGGTCGCGTCCGGTGCAAGACCGGCCATCCAGTACGTTCTATGCCACGCGTCAGGTGCACGTAATATAGGTGTAACGGGCACGGTAACTTACATTGTCGAGACCACGATGGTGGGAATGATGCGCAACGGTACGACATCGAAGATGAAGCGCGAAAGTAACCAGGCGGTCGGGCTGGCGGCGTTGTGTTAGCCCGCGAATAATCGCATCGACTGCATGATGAACGCACCCGTAGTAACGCGCAGAACGCTCTCGTAGAAAGAGCGGTCGAGACTCGATAATATGGTACAGCGCGCTCAGAGTAGAAAACGCTATAAGAGCGCCCTGAGCGGAATATCAGACCATCACCGGCTGTCTCTGAGATCAAAGATCAACGTACCAAGAAGAAGAGGCAGCCCACACGTGACTGGAATCCTGCAATTGTAATCCCCGTCTTGAAATAGAGGCCGCCTGGAGATGAAACTTAGCAAGAGCTACGATAATAGCGCCGCCTGTACGCACCAACGAAAACACCGAGTACACAGGCTACGGCAATGTGTGTGAAAAACAGCGTAAGATCCCTACGCGAGAATAGGTCAGAAAACGCGAACAGCGCACAACAAGGGCCAGCGCACCTCCTCAGTATCTTCCATTCCCGTCCTGACAGCACCTCAAGCTGCGTCAAGAAAGTTGTCGCGTACCCCGGGCGAGCATCTTTGAAATCACCAAGGGCCAGCTGGTGTACACTCGAGCCGGCAGAGTAACCTTTCTCGAGCGTGCTATCGTTAATCAATGTCTCATTGCTGAGACCACCACCCAGCTCCGGCGTGTCCGGCACTAGCGCCGGCTGAATCGCCTGGAAAATCAACACGGGCGGATCGCTGGCAATTTCTAGCAGGTAGTCGGCGACATTGTACCCCTCAAGGTATGGAACGCCTAGGTACGCGAAGTAGGTTGCTGGCGCAAAGCCGCCTGGCCCTGAGTACAGCGCGCGGCCGTGCGAAAGCAGCAGAACCTGGTCGAAAGAATGGTAAAGCTGTGAACTACAGCGCTGGTGAGCAATGAAGGCTAGGGACATTTTCTGACTGCCGTTACACACCTCGGTTGGTGCACAGACGCTATCACCACCGTCGGGTTCTGTTCGTCATGTGCTACGGCATGTAGCACCTTCGTGACTTTTGCCGCAGAAACCGAGTCCAAGCCCGAGGTAGGCTCGTCTAGGATCAAGACGTCCGGCAGCGCCACGAGCTCCAGGCCGATGCTCACCCGACGCATCTCGCCGCCACTGATGCCTCTCTTCTCGCCATCACCAATGCGGACGTCCCGCACCTTTGTCAAGCCCAGCTTGTCGATAACGTCGTCCACGCGAGCACGTTTCTCCGTGATGGGTACATTTTCTGGAATCCGGAGTTCCGCAGCAACCAGCAGCGCCTCATAAACGGTCAGTGTTGGCGGCAGCACGTCCTGCTGCGACACGAAGCCGACCCTGGGTTGCCGGGAATGGAAAGTCACCGAACCCGCCATGCGACCGGTCTTGTTCTTGCCGGCGAGTATTTCGATCAGAGTTGTTTTGCCGGCACCTAGGTCCTGCAATGCTCAGCCACCGCTTCGGCTACTAAGAGCGGGCCACACGTACCGCTAGGGCCAAGGATGGCCATCATCTGGCCAGGCTCGAGCCGGCCGGATACGTCGTCGAGAACGACCTTGTGGTCGCTCAGGTCGTCGCTTGCATGACGCCGCCGCCGCAGCCCACCGAACAGAGTGTTTCCATGTGTGGAAGGCACGAAGTAGCTGAGATTCGTCCATTCGGCAGTGACGCCACCAAAACTGACTGGCCGTCCGCCATAGCCACTACGCCTCGCACGCCGCTGCACAAGCCATCCATACAGCAGGAAGGCCAGGGCGAGTGCGATAAGGCTGCAAACGACAGCCAGCCCGCCGATAACACCACCACTAAGGGACGTCCCATGCGAAGTGTCGCTCGAGGTAGTCGAGTTTCCCGACGTGGTATCGATCACATCCTGCGCAACGCACTCGCCAAAGGTGCATCCGGTAAGAGAGAGGCCCGCAGATCCGAAGACTTGGTTGATGACCTGCTGCTTGAACGCACAATTCGCGGTGTTGTTCTGAGGAGATGGTGCGTCGCAGGATACTTCAAGTGCGCCGGAGAGCGTGTTGAGCACGCCTGAAAGATCAGTAGCTGGAACCTGACCGCAGAAGGTAGAGTTGGCAATGCATTGGCACTGAAGATTCTGGCAAGTCCAGTCGGAGCTCCCGGAGTCAGAGCCTTCTTGTTGAGTGCAAGAGTTCGCCGTGCAGTAGAACTGCTCTTCGCCGTCGTAGAATAGCTGGGCGTAAAGGGAGCCATTGGGCCCGAAGCCTGTGGTGTTTGGCAGAGGTGTCAAAGAATTGTTCAATGTCCGCAGGACGTTCAGGGTAGATGAAAGTGGGTATAGTGCTTGCAGAGTGGGGTTCTGGGACAGCTCAGTACAATACTGGGTGACTTGACGACTTTGCTACTCACGTTGACCTGACAGCTCATCTCCCCAGCCGTATATACCGTCGCTTGACTGTTGCATGTCAGAGTGTCATTTAGGCCAGTCGACGCCCCCAGATCCGCACTGCTGGAGATCGAGCCCTGTGGACTCACCGAAGCGAATGCTGCCTGACACGCCTTCGCTGTCTGGCAGACATTGCATCCTACGCCCGTCCAGCCATCCTCGCAGGAACAGCTCGCCGCAGAAAGATTTGCTAAGTTCCCTGAAATTGGCGCGAGCGGCCGACTGGAGCCCTGGAAGATGTTGCCTCCGCACGCAGGCTGCCCGCAGGTAGGCCCGCCGAAGCCCACAGGGCAGGCGCAAGAGGTCCCGTTGGCAACGCCGAAGTTGAGGCAGTTGGACGAGTTTGACATGGTAGGAAACGGAGCATGGTGCGACAGCAAGACAGCGAGAAGTACTTAGCTACTTGCGCTCGGAGGCCAGATAGACGGGTGCTTCAAGGGTGAGCTGCGGGTGGATTGTAGATGTTAAACATGCAGAAGTCTCGTCTGTCTGTAGCTCAGACGTATGATATGTGCACTGCATACACACCATACATGCAAAGAAAATGAATTTGTGGAAGGAGCACAGCTGAGTTCGATTGGCGCCGGGTGGTTTACGAGACTTATAACATAACACATCAATTCAATTTCACTCATCCAAGACCACTTCCCTCAGACCCTGCGAAACTCGTGTCAAGCCGGCCAGAGGCAAGACGTTCTAGTAGTCAAACTAATCTGTGTAAAGAGCCACTACCTGTGTCGCTTGACACAAGTTTCACAGGGCCTGAGGCCTGAGGGTGCATTACTTACATATAAAGGTTTGGGCACCGCAGTATTTACTTTAACTGGCACAAGGGCGGGCAGCGGCGCATCATTTCTATTTCTGGTACTTAGCACTGCCTTTCTGCAGGGACTCAGCCAATCATGGATGCACGACTGGATGCACCAATGACTGGAGATGATGCATGATGTCCAGTCGCGCCCGCCCCGAGCTGAGTCCGGGTTTGATCGCGGGAACAGCCCTGGCTGGATGTCGCCACTATCATACCGCGTCTTATCTACTCTTGTTTGCTGTGCAAAATTTGGTGGGGACGCCACGTATCCCAGGATGGTCGCTGAGTATCTCTTGGGCGTGCATTGTCGGAGAGAATGTGGTACAAAGCAAGTTCATCGGATGCTCGGAACCCGGAGGTAAGAAAAATGAAGTCCGCTTATACTTCCATTGAGATGACTATTTGATCCCGCGTTGGTTACCTTGAATATAAGGCTTCTGATATGCATCTTGCACTTGGCTTCCACAACGTCAGGACGTCTCTCACATACACGACCTGAAGGATGATGTCTGATTACTCGGACGACGATGGGAGTATGTATGACTACGATTCTGACGCAATCAGTGTAGAAGAGGTATGTCCGACGCATCCCACGCCGCAACGGAGCCCGCGTCATAGCCGCTAAATGCATAGAGTCCCTACAGGACGACGATGTTGCTCCAGCGACGAAAAACAAGGGCAAAGAGAAGAGCACTCCGTTCGATGCGCGAAGTCTATCGATAGAGGCCCTGCAAGATGCAGTGGCAAAGGACATCCGCCGTGTGGCGGACTTGACGGGCCTCCAGGTGAGCACGGACGATTGTTTCGTGACGCTGCGTGCTGAATGGCATCGGAGCCCCCAATAGCCTCGATATTGCTTCAGTACTTCCGATGGAATGAAGACAAGCTGCTAGAACGATTCATGGACTCGTCGCAGGACGTGCTCCGCGAGGTCGGCGAGCCGCAGAACGGCCCGTCCCAGGAGACGGCCCGCCGCCCTTCGAAGCGTGCCCGCCTAGATACACCATCTGAATTTATGTGCATGATATGCTGCGACACGCCACCCATAGAAGAGGCGTCCGACATTCGCTGCGGGCACAAATTCTGCTCCAGTTGCTGGAAAGAGTATGTCATGACGAAGATCAAACAGGAGGGCCAGTGTTTCTTCAAGTGCATGCAAGACGGATGTGCCGTTACTGTGGACGAACCAAACATTAAGCAGCTTGCCGATGATGCTACTTTCGAGAGGTGTGTTCCTCGTGCGTTCCCTAGAATGAATCCTTAATCTATTCTACTTACAGATACAAAGAACTGCTACGGGAGTCCTACGTCGGCTCCAATGCCAATTTGAGGTTCTGTCCACATCCTGGCTGTGCAGAGACTGTGTGGTGCACAGGCGGCCGAGGGCAGTCTCTACTTACCGAAGTTCCCACCGTACGGTGTAGTAAAGGCCACAGCTTCTGTTTTGGATGTGGCCACGATTCGGACCACCGCCCGCTGATATGCAGGCTTGTCCCCGTGTGGATCAAGAATGCGCGCGACGACGCAGGCACATCGCAGTGGCTCAAGGCGAACACGCGATCCTGTCCCAAATGTGGGAACAGCATCGAGAAAAACGGCGGCTGCAAGTATGATTCCACGCCACTCTGCTTCCCACCAGCCCGCTGACGCGTGAGCTTCCCAGCCGCATCCTCTGCCGACACTGTCAGTACCAATTCTGCTGGCTGTGCATGAAGAAGTGGGAGTCGCACGGGTACAACAACGCGATTTGTAACGCGTGGCAGGAACCCGAGCCCGACGAGGGCACGAACGAGGCAAAGAAGAATCTCGAGAAGTGGCTCTTCTACTTTGACCGCTTCAATAATCACGAGCTCTCGGCGAAACTGGACCAGGACCTTTGCCAACGGACGGAAGAGAAGATGCTCGAGGTACAGGAGACGTCGCAGTTGTCGTGGATTGAGGTACGTCTAGGTGCGTTATCCGGTTAGACTAGAGCTGATGAGTCGTTGTAGTCGAAGTTCATGCAGCAGGCTGTCGATGTGCTGACGGCATGTCGCTTAACGTTGAAGTGGTCTTACGCTATGGCGTACTTCTTGACACCAGGCAACCAGAAGCAGATTTTTGAAGACCTTCAGGCGTATGTATCGTCCTGTAGAACGTAAGACATATGTACTGATCTGTTGACAGAGACCTTGAGAAGGCTGTTGAGGAGCTCTCACAGATGCTGGAGGAAGACATCGAGACGAAGACTGTCAAGGCTCTGCGCCTGCGTATGGTGGATAAGACGGTGCGTTCTCAGACAGGCCACGAATTGAGCTCGCGTTTACGCGATTTGCAGGTTTATGTACGTGGTAGGCACGATGTCTTGCTCCAGGACACCGCCGCTGGTCTTGCCGAGGGGCGGTGGTCGTGGATCATCCCGGTAGAGTGATGCAATGAACGGAACTCTTGGCAGGATTACGAACAATCGCATGACACTAAATTTTTTTTCATTGTGGTCGGGTGTATGTTCCAATGAGAGGTGGTATTGCCTATAGTATTAGTCGAATTATAGTTCAAAGCATGCACGACAGAACGCGAGAGGGAGCGGTACTGGTTGTCCTGAGAGCATCGCCACATCAATTACACCTTGAAGCCGTAACCCCGCATGCAGGCAATATGGGCCTGGACGAGCTCCTTGCACTTCTCCGTCGCCTCCGAAGAGTCGTGCTTGAGGAAGCAGTCGTCACGCACGGACTTTGTTTGTGGGCAAGCGCAGCATCTAGTGAGACCGTGAACGACAGCGGTGAATGTGGAAAAAGAAGCGACACGTACGGCTTCAGGCCCTCCGGGTTCAGTGGATTCTGCTTGGGATCTGTTGGGTCGAATGGCTTCGCCTCGGGTGCAGGCGTGGGGGAAGAGCCTCCCCACCACGATGAGATCTGACTTCAGCTTAATAAAATGTGCTGAACGCGCACGGACACTACACTCACCGAGCCAAGCATAATTGCAGAGAACTAGAGCAGAGGAGGTGATACAGGGACAAGAAAGTGTGTGCGGCGAGCAGTCCCGGCCCTCGGTCAGCGGTGACAAACCAAGCGCATCGGGTTAGGTGCTATTTCTTAGGGTTAAGGTCGGATATTCATAGCGGTGTCACGTGCAATTGCGACGTGGACGGTGAACGCAGCTGGTAGTTCACAGGTCTGCGACCATCTCCTCCGTATGTTTTTCAAGCGTGTGGTAGCTCTCCTCGGGCTTGTCCTGGCCGCGTGTGCGCGGTCCAGCACAGGCGACTCTGTCCTCGTCGTCCTTGACTCCTCACTCGACAAGGAAGCCTACTCCGTCTTCTGGGATGGTCTCGTAGACAAAGGTTACAGTCTCACATTCCGTTCGCACAAAGATGCGCGGCCGGCAGTCGTCGAGGACGAGGTCGCGCAATTCAACCACGTCGTCGTCTTTGCGCCGGACTCGAAAAGTGCGTAACTGCGCCCTTCCCATTGACGCATGCGTGGCTCAACTCACTGCAGACCTCCCGCAGGACTTGACACCGCAGTCGCTCGTCGCGCTGCTTGACAAGGGAACGAACCTCCTGCTCGCACTCTCCTCGAAGAAGCAGACGACGATCAACACCCTCGCCTCCGAGTTTTCGCTCGTCCTTCCACCACCGGGCACGCCGCTCATCTCGCACTTCCCCGCCCGCGACACGCCTGCGACGGTCGTGCCCGTCCCGCCGCCGCACGCGCACCCCGTGCTCACCGCGGGCCTCCCGCCGGTGTGGTTCTCGGGTGTGCCGTTCGCGTACACGCCGAACCCGCTCCTCCTCCCGCTCCTCAACGCGCCCGCAGAGGCTTTCGCGGCGGACACGACGAGCGACGCAGGCGCGGACGCTGTCGTTGAGGCTGCGGACAGGGCCGGCGAGGGCCTCTGGGCAGGTAGTTCGCTTGCACTCGCCGCAGGCTTCCAGGCGACGACCGGTGCACGTGCAACGTTTGTGGGCGGTGTGGAGATGTTCAGTAACGAGTTCGCGCAGAAGGAGCTTCCTCAGTAAGTGGCAGACATGCTTGTTTCGTGGCGGTATGCTTAGCGCGCGGTAGGGGCAAGCTGTCTGGTAACAAGCAATTTGCGCAAGACGTTGCCAGCTGGTCTTTCCAGGAAAGCAATGCGCTTAGGATTGACAAGGTTAAGCACCACCGTGTGAACGAGACAGAACCGCGGGAGACATACACCATCAACGACAACGTCGTGCGTACCTTTCAGTGACGCTCGCTTTGAGCAAGAGTGACACTTTGAGCCTAGGTCTTCACCATGCACGTTTCGAAGTTCAACTCCAACAAGGACACTTGGGAGCCGTACTCTGGCATCCAGGACATGCAGCTCGAGTTCACGATGCTCGACCCGCACATCCGCACCGCGCTGTCTCCCGTGCCCGGCCAGCCCGGCGAGTACTCTGTCACCTTCCGCGTACCGGACAGGCACGGCGTCTTTAAATTCATCGTTGACCACAAGCGCAAGGGGTGAGTTTCCTCTTTTCTGTGCCCTCTGCCTTCATACGCTCACGCATGCGCAGGTGGACGCACCTCCAGAGCACGACCGTCGTCCCTGTCGTTCCACCACAGCATGACGAGTACCCGCGCTTCCTGAGCGCGGCGTGGCCGTATTACATCGGCGCGATGAGCACGAGCGTCGGCTTCGTACTCTTCTCTGCGCTCTGGCTCGCGGGCGACGACCGCGAGGGCAAGAAGAAGGGCATCAAAACGGAGTAGGCTCTTATGGTGTTATCTCAATATACCATCTGCTTTCTGGATCTGTGTTCAGTCGGCATGTAGAAGGGCACAAAAATGCTATTTATGATGGTACAGGATGCATTGCTACGCAGTCATTGTTGGGAACTCGATAGGATAAGAGATCGGAAACGATGTTGAGGAAGGTAGGAAGGCCAATGTCGTCAACCATGGTGGTGTCGTCATGCGGTCAGTATCGATACGCTCAAGAAGGTGTTAATAATTCAGGTGAATGAGACGTGGACTGCTGCTCCGCCAGGTACTGGAGGTAGTATTTCTCGTCATCACTGTCCTCGCCGTCGCTCTCTGTGTGAGGTCTAATCCCACCATTATTGCGGCATCTCTCAATCCTCTTCCACACCTTCTCTGCTCTTTGCCTTAATGCTCTGTCTGGAACGCGCACACGCTCTCGCTTGGCAACATCCACCAGGGCCTGGGCGGAGGTAATCTCCCGTTCGATGATTATCAAACCAAAGAAGGTCAGGACGGCTGTCAATTGCGGTGAGCGCTGGTGTTCGGGGCTGGAACAGAGACTGAATACGCACGAGGTCGCCAGAGTTCTAGGTTCATGGCAGTGTGCCAAAGCTCCTCGCAGCCGAAACGCAGGGGGTTGGGCGCCATCGCACCTTCGATGACTTTAAGGCGGCGTTTGCACTTGTGTGGCGTGGCGTTTTCAAAGTCGATGACGAACGGACCAAAGTTTTCCTCGATTTTTCTGAAGAGGACGTTGCGCTCGTCGTAGTCGTTGTGCTGCACGCCAGCGAGATGGATCTTGTTGAGTGCCTGCCATATGTCGGCGCTGAGGGGACAGTTCGTGAGCGTGTGTGGCACGCGAGAGCAGGCTGAGTATGCTGCTCACCGGTCCCATACGTCCAACGACGCGAAACCCTTTGGTTCTTCCACAGGCTTGCCGACATGTTCTAGCACGAGACAGATCAGAGGCACGTCTTCGAACGTGACGCCATGGTAGAGGCCATAACAGCGGGGCACGTATTGGCCTTGGAGTTTCTTCAGCTGGTTGTCGTAGAGGTCGAACTCTTTCTGCACGGCTTCATGATTGGACTTGCCGATGCCAAACTTGAGAACAATGGGACCAAGAGGAATATCCGCTGCAGTTTGCGTGACGTTTCCCTCGCAGACATCGCGACAGCCACCGACAAGCTCTAGAAGGCTGTACGCGCCTTCGACGACGACGCATGTCACATCGGCAGAGCCCTGGTCTGCAACGCGGGACGTGAGTTCGAGAGGAAGGATATCCTGGTCGGGGTTAAATTTGACGAGAATGCTGGTCATGTTTGCAAAGAGGGGGGAAGGAGCGAAAGGAGCGGGGTGGTGGCTCGGAATGACGTTGAGGCCTCTCCCTTGCAAAAGAAATCCCGTATCTCTTTCGCGTCACCCCTAGCGGATCACCCATGTACAAGCCTTCAGCGCTTCAGCTTCAGCATGTGTGACGACGGTCAGCACATCTCCCGCGGACGCGCAGTCCGCCTTGTCTAGCGGAGGGCCTCGTCTGGAGCGAATCCTTAACTTCCAGCTTCTGACCCGTTGTGAACGTCCCTTCATGACGAAGATCCTTGCACGAATCACAGCAGCGGACCTTCAGTGAGAAGAACACCGAAGGCCGAGTTCATTGCGTCGATGCGGCCTTCCGTCGACCATGGGGGCATCAAGGAGCACTTCGATCAGCCAACTTGGTCTAATTCTTCTGCTCCCGTACTTCCACAAGGCCTTGTTCACCACGCCATAGTGGTGGAAAATAGAATGCAGAAAATCTTGGCCATTGTAGAGGTCAAGACCTCGGACGCCCTGAAGGACGTCACAACTAGAACTGCGGGAACTCTTGGCGAGCTACCGAGTGTTCCGCTGACCTCTGAGCCAGCCCAGCAAGGTCATATCATAAAGTTTGCTGGCTAAAGAGCCGCGCCGCACTCACGAGTTCTCGCACGAAGGTACTCTGTTAGGTGCGTCTCGGGGCATGTTTTGCGAAGGGTTTGAGCTTATGCATGACATAACATAGGTTTAGCAGGAAATAGTCCAGTAGAAGGTTGACTTCAACATCTTAACCATGTACGACCTTGTCTACTTCGTATACAGGAAGGAGAAGATCATGTACCTCTCCCGTCCATATCGTCGCACAGAATCTCCGGGTCTGGCTGTCCAGGCGGTCCTCGGACTGATTCTGGGGAAGATCTTGCGTACACTGTGGGAGAGAAAGCTGCTTGCAGACATTGAGAGGCCTGATTGGTGGCCAGAATCAGTTGACACTGTCTCAGATGACACAATCGGGGTCCATCCTGAGTACGTGCTGGCGGAGCAGGGCTTAAGAGTACCTCGGTCGCTGCCCGCCGTATAGCTCCTCTATCAAATAAAAAAATCCTGAGTACGTAAAGAACGAGATATTTCATTTCATCGATTCACTTCATTGACGCCACTGCAGCACATTGACGTGGATACGCATGAATCTGATGCAGGTAACGGAGGTGGCAGCGAAGCTGATGTTACCGACAATGCGAGCTGGAAGACACCCCTGCCGTTCGCGCAGCTGACAGGACTCATAGGAGGCACGGTAGATTGTAGTTGATTGAGCCTTTCGCTCGCGGGTAGTTGAGTCGTGTCGACGAGCGGCGCAATAATGTAAAAATTTCCAGTCACATTCCATCTCCATCGTCATGTACAATTGTGAAGCCTGGCTGAAGTACGACGCGCTCAATGCGCCGCCAGACGCGATCAGAAACCGGTCACATGCGGGTGTGACAAGCGCGTTCTTTCATTCGCGACGACTCGGAGTTCGTTGCACTTCGAGTTTGTTGCGCTTCATCTCCCATATTGAGAACCTTGAATAAGTTGCTGTTCGCCTCGGCTCACAGAACGGGCCAGCCCCATGCATTGCTTTTCACGTCAAATGCGGCAGGAAAATTTGTCACATCCCCCGCCTCACACACAAGCCTTGCGATACGACGCTGTGGACGGTTTTTTGAGAGGTGTGCACTGTATTTTATAACAGCGTGTTGCATACTACCCCTCAATATTCTATGGGGTCGACGTTATATTGTGTGGACTCCCAGGGGCCCGACCGATTACTCACACCGTTCTCACAGAGGACGCCACGGTCATTGACTCCACCTGCGGTCGCTGAGGACATGTAAATCAGCCCGTGGTAACATTCTAATGGCGACATCGTACTTCAAAGGCGCTCAAGGATAATCGAGCCAGAATGCTCTCAGGAAGGGCGTATAGCGAGCAGCCCATGAGGCCTGAGGCTGCAAGGCCGCTGTATCCCCTCGTGCTACGGCCTGTTCAGATTTGGAACGACATCGAGACGTCATTCCTGCGCCTCCTACCTGAGTATTGTGGTTTTAGTCCATTACACCTCGGCAACGACGAAATAGGTTAAGCTGACTACGTCACGTCACTATGAATCACTCATGAGTGTTATGGCGCATCGAGCCTCGCTATGTCAATGCTCCTGCACGATCCAAGGGTGTTGCTAGCGTGATCAGCACTGAGTTGCATTGCCGCCTCATGAAGTAAATGCAGTCTCGTTATAAGACGTATATTATACCATCCCGCAGCCGAACTTGTGCGATACATGTACAGGCACATTTCCGGGTGATCGATACCAAAACGGGGAACGCGTACAATATGACCTTCGCGGGACGTCTTCCCTGCTTCACTCTAGCCACTCATCGAGGGTTACTGCAAGCAACAAGTTAGCATCTCTTGTTGGTCATTATCGGCAACACCGCTCCGACGTCTTACCTACCGGCCATCTAGTACTATGCGATTCATCACGACTCGGAGACTGTTTATAGTCCCCGGAACAGACGGGTCTGAATCGCCATCGGGGTGGAAGTAGAGCCGTCCACGAGTATGTGGCAAGGACATGGCCCAGACGAAGGCATCGCGTTCTTCAGGTGTTATGGCTCTCGCGGGTCCATAGCTACCCCAAGCCAGACGAACTCTGGTGCTCGAGTCAGGTGGTATGCACGAGTGCAGAGTCTGATCGAGTCCTGTGATGTCGCCAAGGCTGTCGGCACGAACAATTATGAATCGGAGTGTCCGTACATGCTCTGGGTGTCGAGAGAAGAGCTCCTTGAAGAGTGTACGAACGAACAGACGCAGAAATGTGCATGGGAACGACAGGGCGAGGTCAAATGAGACGAGCGACGTGCACAGATCCAAGTTGAGGCCCGTGCGAGCTGTCTCTTGTGTACCTGTCAAGGAAGCATCAACTATTGTTGTGAAGTGATTACCTGCACACGTACCTTCATCATCCAGCGACGAACTCAAATTTAGACTTAAATGCTCAAGTGTTCGGTGAGCGTGACGAATGAGTTTGCCCACTTCTTCCGTACCCGAATGTCCACTGGTAACACCGCACCGCAGAGAAAGACTGGTCAGTGTATTCTCCGACATCATGGGGAGAAGAGGACCCGCGAAGAGGTAATTCAAATTACTGCAAAGCGACAAACTTTGCAGGTTTATGCACGCCGGTAGTGACTGCTTCGCATAAGTAATGACGTCTTCTGTAGGGTAGTCGTAAACGCCCTGCGATTGAGACCATCTCGAGCGCCGTCAGGTTGGAAGAAAGGAGGAAGAGATCGAGGAAGGTGTACAGCCCCTCAATCTGCGTGAGCCGATCCAACCGCAAAGATGCAAAGGAGTGAGCTGCATCCCGATGTTTGATGCGACCGACGATCCGTAGGAGAGAGATATGAAGGGTGTGCAGAAAAGGTAGTTTGACGACCACGTTCCAGATCGATGTAAGGGATACCGGATGTGGTAGGACGCTGCAAATCTTCAGCGTACGTATGTTATGCGTTACTGAAGGGGGGGGGGGGGGCTCGGGAAAGGAAAGCGGAGAATTCGCACAGAGTATTTTCAAGTTGTTCTTGAAAGTCGTCACAATCGTTATCTAGTCCTTTGACACGGATCTCGACACGCCTAAAGAGGTGGAGTCGCACTCGGAGAGCCCAGGCCCGGCAGACTAGGCAACACTTTTGCAAGACACCACGAGTCTCCAGCTGGCCAAGGTGATCGATGATGATGTCGACGATCTCGCGGGGGAACACGCAGCTAATATCCCCGTGTTCTGGCGAATTGTCCACAATCTTCATCTGATCGCAGGTACCACCCAAATCACTGGTGATACCGCCTTCACCCTTGTCAGAGCCTCGATGACTGTTCTCAATCAAATTCTCACCATGAGCGATGTCGTGGAGGCCGCCCAACGAAGCTCTGGCTCAGCATCCTCATACTGTACACCCGAGGCAACCTAGTACAGTAAGTCGTGTTGTCTGGGTAGAAGCAGATAACTTGAGCTTACTGTCGCCAACGAGGATGTCTCCATCCAGTCAATAATACTGCTGGGTGAGCACGAGTAGCTGAGACTGAAAAGTTGACGGAAGAAGCGCGTTCTCACTGAGTTGGAGCCCATAGCTCGCGAGCTATACGTCATGTATTACTGTATTACTATTACTATATTACTGCATTACTGTTGCACCATTATTACATTTATCTTATTATGATACACTTTCTTACGCCCTCTTCCCTCCCTCGTCGACGTCTTATATATCCTTTGGCTTAGATCGTGCTACATGTTAGCTGCTCTCGTTTCTCTATCGCTCGGGACGTGTGAGCAGTGCATGAGACATGAGACATCAGATTAAGGACGTTCAAGGTGTGCCGAAGGGTCACCGCAATGAGTATTGTGGCGGTAAAGGTTGGTCGCTATGCCCTCTCGACCGCGCGCAGCGCGGCTTGCCGATCTGTGCTACAGGCTAAGCTGAACCCTGTGCATTTTTCTCAGCCAGGCCTGTGTCCGCGCGACTCGTCGCCGTCGCCTATGTTCGTCGTAGCCGGAAGAACAGAAGGTGCTGACCACGGCATTTAACACCCGTGCCGCAGAACTGTGGCCACGAAGGCAGCGCCGGTCGCGGGGCGCAGCGAAGCCACCTCTTGTCTCGCATATGGACGCCACGGCGAGCTGAAGACGACGGCAGCAAGGACATACCGAATCGAAGTCTCTCCTGCGCATCCTCGAGTTCCCACCCATCTATCATCCCCCAATTGCCTCTTGTCCGCCCGTCTCTCCATGCGGCAAGCAGAAGGCTGTTGTTGGTTTGAACGTTCATCCTAGCAGGTGTAGTGTTGCAAATATAGCGAGCGCCATCTCCCGAAACTGCGACGTCAGTGTTTCCGCGCAGGGCTGCGCAGCCCGTGGTCTCTTCGGTTCCTGGGATATAAAGCCCGTGAGTGATTCGGGAGCGAGCGAATGCAAACCACCTCATCTGCCCTCTGGCTGCACGATGTCGTGGGGAAAGATTCCGCGCTTCTCGACTTTGTAACATGATAACGATGCGTCCGCATGCCCCGGGGTGATGCAGTGCACGCCACGATGCCTGGTGACGAAAGCCAGTTAGGAAGGCGTGCAGGAACGTCTTGCACGGGCGACGATGGCTGGCGGCGTCCCGTCCGTCCCCCGCCATGGCCGCGCTCGGACAAGATGCATCGTCGGCTGGCCCGGACCAAGCGACACCTCCAAGCGACGCCTGATTGACGCGGCGGTGTGCCAAAGCACGCGCATGCATTCTGTCGGCAGCATTTTGCCGCCCTCTTCGTAAGATTCCTCCGTCTCTTGTCTGTCTTTTCGTCCCTTCCTCCCTCTCTTTTCCCGCAGAGAGCGACGGCCTCCCCTCCCTCGACCTCCCGCTCTCCTCTCAAGTCTTGCTTCGACAGCGGTATTCGTTCGGGCTGGGAGATGCTGCCACAAGTGCTCTTCCTTCTCTCGCTCTTTGCGGGTATCTTTGCGCAAGACGGCTCGGTTACGGGGCCGACGTCCTCCCCAGAGGCTGCTGGCTACAGCTGCGACCCGACCCAGTGCAAGCTCCCCAATTGCAACTGTGCCAGCACCGACCCGCCTGGTGGTCTCGATCCGGTGAGTTCGAGCAGTCTGAGCTATTCCATTTTGGTTCTCCGCCGTCCTATGCTCTGCAGGGGACATGTGGGTTTGTCTTGCTCCAAAGGAGCCTTGTGTGTAGTCTGCCTCGCTCAGTCGGCAGATGTCTATTGCGTGCCCTCGAGGTTCGCCTTGCCTAGACAGCTGGCTGGTCGCGCAAGGCAGCCGCCGCCTGCAAGAAGTAATCCGAAAGACTGTCAGCACGGAACGGGACGTTCGTGGCGGTACTAGGGGGGTCTGTCTTGCCTAGTGTGCGCCACCGTCTTACTCTTGCGCATCCGCTGACGTTTACACCCCGCGGTCGGTTTGCGTCCACTATATGCCGTGCCTCACGACGAGCATGATCCTACCTACGTCGCGCATGTATTGCCCCTAGAGCTCTCTGTAGTCTGTATTTCGTGACTCCGCTGCTGACACGCCTTCCCACAGTCGGTCGTCCCCCAGTTCGTCGTCTTCACCGCGGACGATGCCGTCCAGAGCTACACCATCGACGCCATCAATCAGTTCCTCGCGCACCGCAAGAACCCGAACGGATGTGCACCTACAATGACCTACTTCACGTCGCTCAACTACACGAACTACACGCTTGTGACGGACTGGTTTGTCGCCGGAAATGAGATCGCCGTACGTCCCTCCGCCGCCTCTTCGTGAGCACACCACCCGCTGACCACGCGACGACGTTTCAGGACCACACGTACGTCCAGACCTCTCTGTTCAGCGCCTGCGCAGGTAGGCTGACACTTGTGTGCGCAGGATGACCCACGTCGGGAGCCCAGGCGCGGACCAGATCAACGGGAACCTGATCGCGCTGAACGCGCTCGCGGGCATCCCGCTGAGCGCGGTGCGCGGCTTCCGCGCGCCGTACCTGAACTACACGCCCGAGACGCTCGAGCTGCTCGCCGCGGCCGGGTTCACGTACGACTCGAGCGCGTCGGCCGCGACGCCCGTCACGGATCCGAACACGGACGCGTGGTGGCCGTACACGCTTGACTACGGCATGGCGAACGACTGCCTCGCCGTGCCCGGCCTCTGCAAGGGCGCGCCGAAGCTGCCTGGCTTCTGGGAGGTGCCGATGTACGCGTTCTTCGACACGCGCGGCGTGGCGGGGATACACCTGATGGACCCCTGGCTGTGAGTGTCGAGCATGGAACTGCTACCTGCGGCGAACTGACTGCATGTGTACAGAGACACGGCGAACGGCGCGTCGGCGGTGAACGACTCGGCGACGCTCGCGTACATGCAGTCTACGTTCAACGACCACTATCACGGGAAGCGCCAGCCGATCGGGCTCTACACGCATCCCATCCACCTCGCAGTACGCATACACTCACATCTGGTGCTAGCCCGTGGACTCATCTGTGTCTTTGGCTCTCGTAGACCGGCTACCCCGGCGTCGCGGCGCCCACCTCGACGATCAACATGATCAACCAGTTCCTCGACTGGGTGCAGAACCAGCAGGACGGTACGCACCCTCCCTTTTGCCCTCGTCCCGCATACTTTTTTACTTGCTGAGCGGCGCCGCACACGCAGTGTGGATCGTGTCGACGGGCCAGCTGCTGGACTGGGTGCGGAACCCGGTGCCGGCGTCGGAGCTGAACACGATCGGGTCCTTCAAGTGCTCGACGCCGCAGGTCGACCCGGGCCGCAAGATCTGCAACGGCGTCCCGCAGAACGAGGCGGGCCTCCTCAGCCAGTGCGACTTCCCCGACTTCCCGTTCTTTACCTGCGTGCGTGTGCCCGCCCGCCCCCCGTTTGTACGTTTGAGCGAGAGCTGATGGAAGTGCGGTGGTAGTACGGGTGCCCCGTCGAGCCGCCGACCGTCGATGACCCAAACCCCGAGCAGCAGGTCCCTGCTGGTCAGCAGCCACGTTACCGCTGTGAGTCCCCCTTCCGTACTGTACCTGTGTGTCCCGCGCTCACTATCACCACCACCACCACCACCACCACCACCACCACCACCACAGTGCCCGCGAACTGCTCGACACCCTTCTGGGACCCGATCGCAGGCAACTGCATCTGCACGGCCTCGACGTGTGCGTTCGTGGACAACTCGCGGCCGATCGGGGTGCGTATGCTCCTTCGCTCCGGTATGTGCATACTGTTCTGCTGCTGACGCGTTTTCTCTCTCTTTCTGTGTGTGCGCGCCGGGACAGCCGAACGGCGCGAACCTCACAGGCGGCGGCACAGGCAGCGGCCCGCTCTCGTCGGCGGCCGCGACGGCGACGGCGGATCCGTATGTGCCGTTTAACGGCAATAATGCCGCGCCGCGCGCTGCTGCGCCCGACGCTGCGTCGGCGGTGGTGCTCGGGACGGTCGTTGCTGTTGCAGGGATCTTTGCGGTGCTTTGAGGCGGGTGGATTGGGCTTCTGGTCTGGCTCGTTTAGGGACCGTTTGGTGCGGGGTCGAACAGCTCGCTGCGTATGCGCTCACATGGACTCTCGGGACATTACACTGCATTTAATCTTACACGTCACTCGGGTACATCGGGACTTTGCTTCTCTTAATTTCTTACTTTAATCAGTCTTTCGCGTTGCTCTACTACAGTCTTTACGCCATAATATGCACAAATCACGTATGTAGCGGGTTTGTTTTAATGCATCTTTTGCTTAATATCCGGTCTTTGGCGTGTCTTCGGGGACCCAGTTCCTGTGTTGACGTACTCTACTCGCCCCGCTTCAACACCTTGAAGTCGAAAACTATAAACGCAGTGGTAACCAGTCAAGGAAAGCAGAAAGAGTGATATCACTCACCATCTGGTCTGGAGTAGTGCCCAACAACGTCCATAGATAACTTGCCACGAGCGACATCGTCCAGGTCCAGGTCAGCAGTGAGAACACCCTCCTGCTTCCGCAATGGACCAGCCAGGACCTTTCCAAGAGGGCTGATAATGACGCTGCCTCCCGCGATCATGACATTCGGCTCGTTCGGGTCATTCTCGTTGGCCGCAGCATGCCCTTCAGGGTAATCCTTGTTTTCGGCGTATTGAACTGCTGAGAGGACAAAGCAACGTCCTTCGAGAGCAATGTGGTGCATCGAGTGTTGCCAGCCCTCACCGTCGTCGATTGTCGGTGCACAATAGATCTGGGTGCCCTGGGAGTAATAGAACGTGCGAACTGCGGGAATCTAGATAAGAGGACAAACGGAGGGTACGAACCGTGACTACGTACCCAACGGCATGTAATTCTCCCTGGAGAATTATTCAGCAATGCCACGCAACGACAGCTTTCATGATAGCACCTACCAGCACATCGTTGCCGAGATTTTGGCCTTCACAGCCTGTTCTTCGCCTTTCGGGATAAATGTAGCCTCGTGAACTGGCATATGTGCTGCATCTCCTTGCCCCCAAACGATTCTTTCCGCCACGGTAGGCACCAGTTTGCGGTGCTTGGCGACATAACCCTGGACAGGGTCCACGAAGACCGCCGTGCAGTAGAGCGTGCCCAAATGCCGCTCAACTACCCCCACTACCAGAAATACGCCGGTCTCCCGGCTGATGGCTTCCATCCGCGCCACGGCGTCCGAGCCGGGGACCTCGATCGCAGAGCTGTGGTATCTGACGAACTCATCCCTGCCCTCAGAAGAAGGCGTGGAGCCGATGCGACAGCCAAACGTGCTGTACATTGGATAACCGCCCACACTACGATATGGTGAGTACGATATGAGCTCACAAATCACGGAGAAACTCACAAGGCCTCAGGGAATACCGCTAGCCGCGAACCCTCCTGCGCAGCCTGACGCGTGAAGCGGTCGAGCTTATCGAGCGTATCGGGAAGGGAATACTGCGCGGCGCATGTCTGTACGACAGACGCACGGATGGTGTTCTTTCCTGGCATCTTGCTGCTGAAGGCTGGGTTTTCAGCTTGTTGTCAGCTGCGGCCTGAGCCCTCGCTATTTGAAGTTTTCGAAGCTGATGAGTTATCACACGAGTTGACATCGTGGTGGAAATCTCGCAACAGTTACTAATACAAACCCGATAGCTGAGAGCGTAGACGGGTAGTCACTAGTGTGTACTAAGCGGCCAGCTGGCAACTGGAGCATGCTGGCAGCGGATGACGCGGTGGGCAATTCCTATGGAGAGCACTTGGTAGAAGGGTGGTCTTCCCTATGCCACCTCACACGATGGCCGTCGAGTAGCGCATCCTTTTCGCCCTGCACAAAGATCGGATTGTGTGTAACGCCCGATCGGACGTTCGGGTGGGACAGACGAGCGGCATTCGGCTTTGTTACACTGTGGCAATGACCGTGCGTCTGTGACGTGGCGAGGCAGCTTCTCGCCGCTGCGTACTGCCTGATTGGCCTGTCGATGACTACAAACACAGAATAGAAAAGACAGAGTAAAAGAACAGTGGACGTCGCGCAGAGTTTACACAAAACTGGGCGACACTGCGATGGTAAGATGTTAAGGACCTTCTTCTCGAGACGCTCGTAAATCCAATTTGTGCCTTCGTCGCTACTAACCACACCGCCCAACCAACCCGTTACATTGTGAGCCCCAAGCACAGTGACTTAATCGTACCAAAGTACTAATGCCTGACTCACGTCGGCCTCCGCTATCAGCCTATGCAGAGTATCATTTTCTTACCTCGTTTTTATTGCAGGGAGCTTGAGGAAGTCCTGGCCTAAATTTCTATGTAAGTGTAACCCCTTTATCTTCTGCACTGTGACCAAGAGGGTCAGAACTTCGGATGGCTATCCAAGACTGTGTGCTGCTTGCTCTGAGAGAGTCCCAAGCAAGCGTCATACAGTGTGGCTTGGAACAGTATTGAAATAATCCTGGAAATCACTGCTGTCTGCTGGCAGATAGCCTGAGGTGCAACTGATTGATATGTATCAGAGAAAGGTAGGACAACAGTGCCCAACCTGTGGCTCCCTGCTCTCAAAATTGAGTGATACATGAGGTTGGCAAGCTTGTTGTGTTATAAGCAACTGCCCAGTTGAGCTGCTGTAAGTGTGACTGCAGCAAAGTGTCATGAATATTACATACTCCGGATGGTTCTCCCAGATTCTCTAGTATTCTTTCACTTTCTATACACCTTCATATATTTGTAGTATATTCTAGGTATTGAGTCTGACATGTATATAAGGGGCTCATACTGCTCAATAACAAGCCAGACTCGAGCTGGTCTTTCCTCACCTACTTTCCTCTCGTCTGTCTCCTCAGCTTTGTCGTAGCCCAGTCCAGTTGGATTGTTGGTTGCTGACACAAAGCAGAGGCTCAGAGCCTGAGTGACAGTGAGCAGCTGGGGCTAATATTGATGGGCTGAAATCTTATTGTGCAAACCTGGGTCTGCTGCAGCAAAATGATTGAGTTAAATAACTGCTAAATATTCTTCATGCGCTATTTGTTTCCAGAGCATGCTATTGACCATGCAATATTCAGTAAAGTGGGTGCAAGGGTTGGCTCAGTTGTCTTTCTCAGATGCTACTGATTGAAGCATAGTCCCGATCAACGCCAGATAGCCGCCCTCCACCAACCCTTCAGTTTCTCTTCCAAAAACTCGTCGATAATTATGCTGGACAGGTCTTCGTTCCCGAAGCCGCTCCTCTCCCAAAAAAGGGCCGACAAACAAAAGCCTGCAAAGGACAAGACGAAGATGAAGACGGCCCAGCCGGCGGTCGTGCACACGCCGCATGGGAAGAACGAGGGGACGAACACCGACTGGGCGTACCGGCCGCCTGCAGGGACGGTCGTCTTCGATGGCGAGCTTGACGAAGAGTTCGACTGGGAGAGCGTGAACGCCGATGAGGACCTCGAGCTCTGGATCGTGCGGGTGCCCGAAGGTGTGCGTGCGACCCTCTCCTAACACCATGCGTCAGCGAGGCTCGAGCAGTGTACCCGTACAGGTCAAGCCGAAGCACCTGCAGAACCTGAAGCTCGACGCGCCGTTGTTGACGAACACGACGGCGCGCATCGGCGCGCTCGAACGCAAGGCTGCCGCCGCGTACGACGTCTGGGCCCTCGCCGACGAGCCGCACGACGCCGTCGCCGCGGACGAGATGCGGACGCTGCAGCCGCTGCTCCCGCGCAAGAAGAAGGGCACGCAGTTTTACGCCGGTGCGCGCCGCCTCTGCTCTGCCCGAGGAGCTCGTTCTGACCGTCCTTGCAGCGCCAGACGTACCCGTGCGGCGGATAGTCCTCTTTGCGCGTGCACCTCAGCCGGATGTCGAGTCTTCAGGTGAGAACTCAAAAGATACATCCTGGGCGACCTTCCAGAACCCGCCGCGGCCGTCGTATCCCAAGGAGATGCTCAAGCACCGGTTCCTGCCTGTCGGTGCAGAGACACCGGCGCCGAAGGCCGAGGACAACTTAGAGACTGAGACGCTTGAGCTAAAACACACTGACGGTCCCGAGAGCAAGACGAAGAAGCGCAAGGTCGAGGGAGGTGGTGGCAAAAAGTCGAAAAAGCTGAAGAGCAAGGAGTAGATGCACTGCTTTCTCGTACGATATATACATATACTCAATCACTGTGATAGTTTGAAGTATCCAGAAGCTAGTTAATATCAAAAGCAAACAGCGATATCCCCGCAACAGCATATCGTACTACATCTAGGCTGCTTTTACTTCTAGCGTGTCCGTTTTTTGAGGAGGAAAACTGTCATAGCTGGGCAAGCAGATAATCCTCTATTGGTCATGGGGGTACGCGAATCGTGACATTCTCGACGACATACTCCGAGTCGGCGTATCCTAAAACCTGCGCAATCTGCGAGCTACAAGACTGTCAACACGGGCTGAAGTAGAAGCCAACCCGGAGGCAACCATACCTCTTGAGCCCTTTCACGCGGGTGATCTGCGCCGAGTTGTAGTTCGCCAGCCCACGGCCAACTTCCTCGAGCTCCCAGTCCTCGCTCTCGTCCCTACCGCCGTCCAGCACGACGTGGTCTTCCTCTGGCAGTGTCTTCGTCGGCACCGACGGCGTCGTGTCCCCGCCGCCCAGGTCCGCCACCACCGAGCTCCCGAGCAGATCGTCAATGGTCGAGATCGACGACGCGAGCGACGCGTCTGCGGGCAACACAGGCGTGCCGGGCTGCGTCTCACCGCCGCGAAGGTACGCCTCGCGGGCACGCTCTGCCTCGTGTGCGTCCGCGGCGTCGCTGCCGCCGCCGCCGGGCGCCGCGGACGCAGGCGCACGGCGCACGGCGATGCGCACGGCCTGGCCGGACGCGAACGCGCCGCGCACGCCACGCACGCCCGCCGCGAGGAGCCGCCCGCCGGACTCGCGCCGCGCGAGCACATGGTGCGCGCCCCCGTCAACGATGACGGTCCCCGCCGGGTGCAGCGTGTGGCTCGTCCACGCCTTGAGGTCGCGCAGCGGCGTCGGCGAGGGCTTGAAGAGCGTGTGCGGTGGACGTTCTGCCGCGCGCGGTGGGTCGGCGGCGGGGCCTGGCGCGGGACTCGCGCGCCCGGACCGCAGCGCGTTGTTGTACTCGAGGATGCGGAAGATCGCCTTGGGGTCCTTGCTCGACGTGATCACCGTCGTCACGCCCGCGGCGGTCGCGATCTCGGCCGCGATCAGCTTCGTCTCCATCCCGCCCGTGCCGAGGTTCGAGCCGAGCGTGGTCGTGCTCACTGATTCCAGGCGTGGGCCGTCGGTGAGCACCGTTGCGCGAGGTCAGAGTCGCAGACGGCGGAGCTCACCTTGCGAGCGGATCGTCGCGATGGAGGAGACTTCTTCGATGCGCTTTGCTGTTGGATCTTTCCGCGGGTTCGTGGTGTAAAGGCTGTCGACGTCCGTCAGAAGGAAGAGGTAGTCCGCGTGGATCATCGAGGATGTTATAGCAGACAGCGTATCGTTATCACCGAATTTGATTTCCTATGAAAAAAAGATCGAGGTTGTTTTAAGGAGAGAGCTGTCAGTACTTACGCTGACCGACACGGTATCATTTTCATTCACGATGGGTACAACACCCAGTGAGAGCAGCTCTTTGAATGTATTGACGGCATTCAGATATCGGGTACGCTACAGAAAGCTTAGAGAGAGCTAGTAGAGGCACTGTATGAGACTCACGTCCGAAATATCACCCCTAGTTAACAGCACCTGGGCTATAGGCTGGCCGAGCTGTCCAAACAGGTTGTCCCACAAAGCAATCAGCCTGCCTTGACCGATGGCAGCCAACGCCTGGGCATCAGCTCAGCATTATGTTAAGAAAAACATGCAGTGCACTCGCCTGCTTCCCAGACAAGCTCTTTGGCTTGCTAGCCATCTCCATGCGCTTCAGTCCGACTCCGATGGCGCCCGAGCTGACCAGGACAACCTTGTGGCCAAGCTCCCTCAGCTGGACGACAGTTTCTACGAGGCCAGAGAGCGTCGAGAGCAGTGGTTGGTGTGTAGTTTCATGAACGATAGACGAGGTTCCTGTGCAGAGTGTTCAGTGTGGTCGCAGGTGCTTGCCGTCGGCTACGACGCACCGAGCTTTATAACGATCGTGTTGGGTGAACCATGGCGAGGACGAGCCATGGATTTCATTTCTGCACAAATGCTATGTTCTAAAGATATGAGCTGGGTGGCACCAAGGCCTGCGATGGAGGAAATGGCAAGTCAGTGATTCATGGCAAGCCCGAGCTGATGGCGCTCATGCCTGCGTTTGGAAATGGAGCGGGAGCACGCGGCGGCTAATGCCCTAGCGGCGGCGGCTAGCCTGTATACTTTCAATAGCAGCGAGAATACGCATCTGCCATCGACTTTTCGGCCTCAATCATCTGTGCGCCCCGGAGGGCTATTGATTGGATGGAAACATTCTCATCGGCGACAGTAAGTTCAAGTTCTCTATCGCGTCCCAAACAATGTAACTTCTAGTGTATTAGGCTGCTTCGGATGCAGAGTGTGAAAAGGCTGGGCCAAGCGTTTTGTTGGGCCGCAATCTCGACGTCGCACATGGTGAGGACTTGATTAGGAGCAGCTATCGCGGCGCTGACAAGGGTGAAGGCGGTGTTGCCAGTGGTTTCGGTCGCTCTTGCGACGAGATGAGGACTTTAGACAACTCGTTGGAACCTGGAGATAAGTATTGACTGCGTGTTCCCTCGCAAGATCGTCGACTTCATCATCGATCATCTTGGCCAGCTGAAGTCTCGCGGCGTCTTGCAAAAAGTGTTGCCTAGTCTGTCGGGCTTGGGTTCCTCGGGTGCGACTCCACCTCTTTAGGCGTGTCACAATCCACCTCGAAGAATCAGATGACGACTGCGATCACTCGCGACAACACACTCTGCACGAATTTTCTACTTTCCTATCCCAAGCTCCCCCTTCAGTAACGCATAACACACGTGCGCTGACAATTTCGGGCATCCAATCGAGACCGACGGTGTCTCTTACATCCATTCGGAATGTGGCCGTCAAACTACCTTCCCTGCACGCTCTTGGTATCTCTTCCCTAAGAGTTTGCGGTCGCATCAAACATCAAGACGTAGTTCACTCCTTCGCATCCCTGCAGTCGCTTCAGTACATGGAGATGGAGGGGCTGTACACCTTCCTCGACCTCCTCTTGCTTTCTGCCAACCTGACGGCATTCGAACTCTCATCAGTCGCAGATGCTGACCGCCACCTTGCAGAATATGTTAGTTTCCGTGGACATGCGTGGGCTTGCGGAGCTTGACGCTTTACCCAAGTTATATGAGCTGTCTATTCGTGGATCGTCTTCTCCTCATAATATCGGAGAATACTCTGACTAGTCTTTCCCTGTGGTGTACTTAGTGTCACCAGCAAACAAGTAGCTACGAAAACTTGGGGCAAGCTCATCCGTCGCGCTCACCGAACATTTGAACATATGAGACTAAATTTCCTTTCGTCGCTGGCCGATAAAGGTACGTGTGTAGAGGCTCGCTTTACAGCAATAGTTGAGACTTTTCTGGCAGGTACACAAGAGATGGCCTGCACCGGCCTCAACTTGGATCTGTGCACGTCGCTCGTCTCGTTTGACCTCGCTTTGGTCTACTCAAGCACGTTTTTTCGTTCGTACACTGTTCAAACTTAGCTCTTCTCTCGACGCATAGAGCACGTACGGACACTCCGGTTCATAGTTATCCGCATTCACCACCTTGACAATATCACGGGACTCGATCAGACTCTACACTCGTGCATGCCACCTGACACGAGCACCAGAGCTCATCTGGCCTTGGGTGGCTCTGGACCTGGGAGAGTCGCAATGCCTCAAGAACGCGATGCCTTCGTGCAAGCCATGCCCCTGCTGCACGCTCGCGGACGGCTCTACTTCCACCCCGACGGCGATTCCGACCCGTCTGTTCCGTGGGATGCCTGTGCTAAAGTGGACCGCAAGTAGTCTTATGATCAATCACATTGTAGTGGATGGCTGGCGGGTATGAGGTCGGAGCCATTTTGCAAACAAAGGATGCTGGCTTGTCTCTTGCAGCTGCCCTCCATGAGCGGTAAGAGCAAACCAAGGAAGACGTCCCGCGAAGCTCGCTGTACGCGTTCTCCGTCTCGGTGTCGATTGCTCAGAAATGTACCTCCAGCTCCTGTACATGTAACGCACAATCAGTTCCGTTGCGGAATGGTATAATTTTATACGTATAATAACAAGACTGCATTCAGTCCATGAGACGGTAATACAACTCAGCGCTGATCGCGCTAGCAGCACCCATAGAAACCTTGGGTCGTGCAGTGGCATCGACATGGGCCCGATACACCCATGATGCTTATGAGCGACTTCCCACCGTTGGACGTTTAGTTTCGTTTCTCGGTCTCCGTCTAGTTTAGCATGCATTCTCACGATCATAACATTTTCTTACTGCCTATGAACCATTTGTTACAGTCTTGCAGCACCGATTTACACTTAAATTTACACTTAATCAACAAACCTTAGGTATTGGTTGTATATGACCCCGTTACGTAATGTACAATCCGGAACTTTCAAAATACTAGCAGCGAGAACACGCATGTCCCGTCGACTTTTCAACCTCAGCTACCTGTAATCGCCCAGCAGGATTATTGATCGGATGGAGACATTCAAGTTGGCGACAGTAAGTTCAAGTCCCTTACTGCGTCCCAGACAGCACGACTTACTGTACTAGGTTGCCTCGGATGCACAGCATAAGAATGCAGAGCCCAGCGTTTTGTTGGGCAGCATTCACAACATCGCACATGGTGAGAAGCTAGTTGAGAACAGCCATAAAGGCGCTGACAAGGATGAAGGCGGCGTTACCGGTGGCTTGGGCGGCACTTGCGACGAGACGAGGATTGTAGACAGCCCATTGGAACCCGGAGATGTTGGTTGCGTGTTCCCTCGTGAGATTGTCGATTTCATCATCGACCATCTTGGCCAGCCAGAGTCTCGCAGTGTCTTGCAAGAGTGCTGCCTAGTCTGTCGGGCCTGGGTTCCTCGGGTGCGACTCCACCTCTTTAGACGTATCAAGATCCGCGTCGAAAAACTAGGTGGCGATTGCAATGATCCGCGACAGGATACTCTGCACGCATTTTCCGCATTCCTGTCCCAAGCTCCCCCTTCAGTAACTCATAACATACGTGAGCTGGAGGTTTCAGGCGTCCGACCACGGCCGACAGTGTCTCTTACATCCATTTGGAACGTGGCCATCAAACTACCTTCCCTACACACCCTTCGTACCTCTTTCCTAAGAATCGTTGGTCGCATTGAACATCGGGATGCAGTTCACTCCTTTACATCTCTGCAGCTGGACAGTTTTATAAGTATTGACGCATTCCTTGGCCTCCTCCTGCTTTCTTCTAACCCGATAACACTCGAAATGTCCCCAATCGCACTCGTCTTCGGCGACATTGCAGAAGGTGTCAATGCTTATATGAAGCCATCACCACCGGCGTGCGTGAGGCTGCGAAGTTTGACGCTTTTCAGAGATCATATGAACTCTCTATTCGCGGGCCATCTTCTCCCTATGATATCGGAGAATGCGCTGACCAGTCTCTCCTTGTGGTGCATTGTCACCGACGAACAAATGGATCTGAGAAATGCGGGCAAGCTCATCCGCCACGCTCACCGGACACTTGAACATCTAAGTCTCAAGTTGAGTTCGTCGCTGGATGATGAAGGTACGTATGCAAGTAATCACTTTACAACAATAGTTGATGCTTCCGTGGCAGGTACACAAGAGATAGCTCGCACGGGCCTCAACTTGGATCTGTGCACGTCGCTCGCCTCGTTTGACCTCAATCTGTCATATACACGTACATTTCTGCGTCTGTTCGTTCGCACACTCTTCAAGGAGCTCTTCTCTCGACGCCCAGAGCATATACGGACACTCCAGTTCATAGTTTTTCGCGTCGACAGCCTTGACGACATCACGGGACTCGACCAGACTCTGCACTCATCCATGCCACCTGGCTCGAGCACCAGGGTTCGTCTGGCTTGGGGTGGCTTTGGACCTGCGAGAGCCGTAACACCTGAAGAACGTGATGCCTTCGTGGAAGCCATGCCCCTGCTGCGTGATCGTGGACGACTCTACTTTCACCCCGATGGCGATTCCAACCTATCTATTCCGTGGAATGCCTGTGCTGAGGTGCACGGCTGTAGATAATCTTGTAGTGAATTGAATGGCTGGCGGGTAAGAAATCGAAGTGGTCTTGCCAATAATGACTAGCAAGGGATGCTGACTTGTCATTTCTACTAGACCTTCATGGGTGGTCATAATAAACCGAGGAAGGCGTCCCACGGAGGTCGCTGTATGCGTTCTCCGTCTCAGTATCAATCACCCAGAAGCGCACGCCCGACTTCTGTACATGTGTCGCACAAGTTTGGTTGTGGAATGGTATAACATATGTATAATGAATACCTTGGGTAGTGCGGCGGCATCGATATGGGCTCGATGCGCCGGCATGACACTCATGAGTGACCTCCCACCGCTAGACTTCTAGTTTCTCAATCCCCATCTATTATCACGATCATAACGTTATCTTACCGCCTTTTAGCCCTTTGTTACTATGTGCTTACAAACTAATTAGGCCATATACACCGCCGTTACATAACGTACAGCGAACGAAACTTTAAGCTACTAGCAGCTATAAAATCCATCTCCCGTCGACTTTCGAACCTCAGCTGCCTGTACTCATCCAGCAGTATCAATGATTGGATGGAGACATTCTCATTAGCCACAGTAAGTTCAAGTCCTCTACTGCGTCCCTGGCATAGTACGATTTACCGTGGCACCAGACTGCCTCGGATGCGCAGTGTGAGAATGCTGAGCCAAGTATTTTGTTGGGCAGTAATCACGACATCGTACATGGTGAGGACATGAGTGAGAACACTTATCAGGGTGCTGACAAGGGTGAAGGCGGCGTTGCCAGTGGCGCTGGCTTGTATGGCATCTGTGATGAGATGAGGACTGTAAGTCACTCGCTGGAACCCGGAGACATCAGCTGCGTGTTCCCCCGCGAAATCGTCGATTTCATCATCGATCATCTTGGCCAGCTGAAGTTTCGCGGCGTCTTGCAAAAGTGCTGCCTAGTCTGCCGGGCCTGGGTTCCTCGGGTGCGACTCCACCTTTTCAGGCGTGTCACAATCTATGTCGAAGGACCAGGCGATTTCACTGGCTCGCAACAAAGTATTCTGGGCGAATTTTCCGCGTTCTTGTCACAAGCCCCTCCTTCAGTAACTCATAACATACATACGCTTCATATCTCAGGCTACGCACGGCCAGCAGTGTTTCTTACATCCATTTGGAACGCGGCCGTCAAACTACCTTCCCTACACACCCTTCGTACATCTCTCCTAAGAATTGTCGGTCGCATCGAACATCAGGATGCAATTCACTCCTTTACATCTCTGCAGCTGAATGACCACACGGATATTAACGACCTGTGCACCTTCCTCGACCTCCTCCTGCTTTCTTCCAACCTGGCGGCATTCAAAAGCTCACCAACCGCACATGGTTACCGCTGCCCTGCGTATGATTACCCTCCACAAAAATTTAGTCCACCATCGGCGGGCATGGGCCTGCGGAGCTTGATGCTTAACACAAGTGATATGATTTATCTATTCGCGGATCGTCTTTTCCCCATAGTATCGGAAAACACGCTGACCAGTCTATCCCTGTCGTGCCTTGTCACCAACAAACAAACGGATACGAGAAATGTGGGCAAGCTCATCCGCCACGCTCACCAGACACTTGAACATATAAGTCTCAAGTTGAGTCCGCCGCCGGCCGATAGAGGTACACTTGCAGAGGCGTGCTCTACAGCACTAGTTGACGCTGTTCCGGCAGGTACACGAGAGTTGGCTTGCACAGGCCTCAACTTAGATCTGTGCACGTCGCTCGTCTCGTTTGACCTTGATCTGTCGTCCACAAGCACATTCGTACTCTTGTTCGCTCATACACTCTTCAAGGAGTTCTTCTCTCGACACCCAGAGCACGTACGGATACTCCGGTTCATAGTTATTCATACCTGCAGCCTTGACGACATCAAGGAACTTGACCAGACTCTACAGCACATGCCATCTGACTCGAGCACCAGAGTTCATCTGTCCTGGGGCAGCCATGGAAAATCGAGAAAATCGAGAAAATCGGAAGCGATAACACCTGAAGAACGCGATGCCTTCGTGGAAGCCATGCCCTCACTACATGCTCGTGGACAGCTCTACTTCCACCCCGATGACGATTCAGATTCATCTGTTCCGTGGGACGCCTGTGCTGAGGTGGACTGTGAATAGCTTCGTGGTGAGCCGCATTGTAGTGAATGGCTGGCAGGTAAGATTCCGGAGTTATCTTGCAGACAAGGGGTGTTGACTTGTCACTTGCAGTAGGCCTCAATGAGTGGTCAGAATAAACAAAAGAAGATGTCTAGCGGAAGTCGCTGTACGCGTTCTCCGTATCGATCACTCAAGAGTACGTTTCTAAGTCCCTGTATATGTATGATGCAGATTAGGCTGCGAAATGGTGTGTAATATATAGATGATACTGGGACTGCATCCAACCCATGAGACGGCAATGCAATGCGGCCCAACGCTGCTCACGTTAGCGGTACCCAAGAGACCGTCAGGTTGGGTAGTGGCATCGACGTGAACTCGATGCGCCCATGGCATTCACGACTGAGTGGTGACTATGTAACTTCCCTATCGTTTGTCTGGTAGGTGTCCTCGCGTGCTAGTCGAGCAAGGGAATTTTTCGTATTGCGAGACAGGATAAGTGTATGCAACTCGTCCACACTCCCAGTACCCGTACTCTAAGTATTCCTAGGCCTTGCACCAACTTTCAACATGTCACGGTCACCATTAGGAAAATCAGCATGAACGTGCATGAACAGACGACTACCAAAGCAAAATAATCCGTGACTTATACGACGTCTATATACGACCACTTACATATTAGACGCCTATATAAGAATGTCACTTACGTCCATAACTTACCCTCCTACGTTTGTTACTTACTGGCACTGGTCAGTTGCATCTGTCGGCAACGAGTCCTTCCGCACCACCAAATGGCTGCAAGTGTCCATCTTGATACTTGATGCCTCTTCCTTAATCCCTACCCATTCATCGACGCCTGGCTTTCTTTCTAAACCTGCTGTGAGCCTGAAATATACGCGCAAAGATAATCATTTTGACATCCTTAGTCGGCGACAAAGCGACAAATGCCCAATCAGCACCTCCGCTACCCACGTCCATCCATACAACTATTTGCACTTGATCACAGATCTTTCGAAGGATGCAGTCTTGTTTCTGATTCGAAATACAGAGATGTTCGCACCCTGATTTCTCGACGGTCTGTGCACTCCCAGCGATCCTCCTCCCTCGCTGACTTCTTGTCGCTCGTATCTAGCCCCTGTTTTTGAGTGCGTGTACATCCACATCAAGCTGTACACTACATGGCCGTTAGAAATGCGGGACAGCGCCGCGGAGAGCCACAATTGCCGCTTGTCGTCGCCGACCCTGAGACGTACGCGTGACGCCTGGGCCCGCTGCAGAGTCTCGGGATGCGGCTCGTGCTTGAGCCTCTTCACACGCAGAGAGCCTGACGTGCGGCACTAAGCGCGCTTTGACCCTGTGTGCTCTTGATTGTCGTTGTCGCGGAGAATGGTGGCCTCAGAGACAAGGACGCAAGCTCAGCTCTGTGTCGCCCACGGTGAGGGGTCACGACTATTGGTGCGCCCCGTTCTGCCCTTGCGGCATGTTCTGAGGCATTTCTGACCTTTTCGCGGCTTTCCAGCACAGAGAAAACGTATTCACAGCCATTCCCAGTCCATTCGCTTGGTCTGCATGTGCACAGCGGTGTCTATCACCCCAATGTTGAGAAGGTGAGACATTCTGAATAGAGCTCTGTATTCTATGCTGATTAGCTATGTGTGCTTCTATCGCATGTCTGCATGGCAAGACGCAGCGCGAAATTGAAGTCGGTGCCTGTAACTGTACCAGTCAGCGGCGTCCGTGCCACTTCGTGTGACGGCACCGTCACGAGCAAATCTGCGGTACATATCGGCGAATAGCCTAATTCAGCTACATTCAGGGCCTGAAGATAATCCGCAGTTTTGCGAGTGGCGTACGACCATGTCGTAGGCATCGTACTCGACCAAGGCCCATGCCGTCAGAGCAGGAGCCAGAAGCTCTGTTCACTCCGACGAAGGTCGCTTTGTTGGAAGCTGGTGCGTACGTTGTACACTGCAGCTCATGTAGTCCAGGTATCTGACTGGGGCTTTGTCCAGAAGGATGTTTGGAAGAACTGTCCCCATCTCGCCCGCCGACACAGAACGGCTCAAGAGCTTGGACATGGCTGCCACTGCTTTCCGCTAAGAAAATGTGGGCAATGAGAGAGAAGTCAATCTCTATTGATCTCATAGTTTGCTATGGGTGCCGACGACGGGGTCGCAGCGCACCCTTGCTGCGTCCATCGACGCGGAAAAATCTCTGGCCCGCGTTCAGCAGCCTGAACCTACAGGCGGGGCGGTGGAAGGTTCGCACACATGTTGATAACACGATAGGATATCGTGGAAGTTGACCGATGCTGATCGGGGGGCGACTTGTCAGGTGGCATTGAAAACGTGCGGCCTTTTATTATGATGATCCTTCGGGCGTATCATATGTAGGTTCACATCTTCTGATATCATCCCTGAGCGACGCCCCGCTGAAGTCCATCGAGCCCACGAGTTGCTTGGGCTATGTGCAGGCTAGCAGAGAGTGCATGGTGTCCGGCTCTGTCACGTCCAACCTGCCGTGGGTCTTCCGCCCAACTACAATACGACCTGTGTCGACGAGAAGGACGCAGACTGTTACCTCCGCTCAGGTCGGATGTGCCATGTGCTCACAATCTCGGGGCGTGAGTACGTGCACTCTCGAGCCAGCGCTCGTGCGCCTCGACTCTCGACTCATCTTTCCAAGTCTCACATCGGAAGCTTTCAGCGGCCAGTTTCGTTCTTGGGCGCCGCGGGTTCAATGTTCGCGGGACGGCCGGGGCTGGCTTGCAGTCTTCCCACGAACTCGTCATATACCCCAATCCAGTTTGTACAGATCGTCTTAGCAGTGCAAGGCACCACATACACTAAGTGCCGCGTAATTAAGACTCATTGGTGCTCTTGGATCTGTACTCAACAATAAAGCAAGAGGTGAATTGCGAATACCCCCGAGCTTCTAAATTCACCCGCGTCGGTCTTACGCAAATTCCAGACGTCAGCGAATCTGTTCTCTGTGGATTTTGATTCTGATGGGTCTGCGGGACAGCTTGTAGCAGTCTGTGGGTCTACCTCTTTCCGTCGACAGGCGACGTCGATTTTGGGGGTGCGCTTGGAAAGTTCTTACCGGGGTGCCGTGTCCGCCATACGCGTGAAAGCGCGTCCGCGGCTGTATAATAAATTGTTGTTGGTGCGGTAAGGCCTCGAGAGTTGACGGAAGAGGTGGCGCGCTTGGGGGTTTCAAACAGCTAGTGATTATTCTTTGTGGGCGCACCTTGAGCGACCCGCCTTCCTTATTCGTGCCCCTGTGTCGGTCTATTTGCTCAGATGCTTTACGTGCCTCCCGGCCTTTGTCCCTTTCACCATGCCGATTTAATTATGACTGGCTGCATGCGACGCATGGTTCTGGAACGCTGGCGGAGTCACCATTCTCGGTCTGATGCCGTAGATCTTGGTTTCTTGCGCCCTGATCTAGGGCGAAGCCACCCACGGATGATGCTTTGGTCCGTGGTGTCTGCTCTCGATCAACCGGAAGGTTGGCAAGCACTGAGTGAGCAAGTACGGTTTGCTGACTTTTGGCCTACCACAAGATGTCAGCTAGCGCGAAGATTTGAGTAAAGGGCATCATACATGTAACTCGTGACGTGTCCATACCTGGATCCAAACATATCGAAGGGATCCACAGCTCCTGATGCCGGATTCAGCTCAGCCGTATGGCTGCGTTCCAGCTACCTCGGCAGCCCCCCTATGCCCCTGTCCGTCGGGACAGGACTGAATTGTCGGGGTGGAACAGGCCGACGGCCTGTTGTAAGTCTAACAATTAGTGCATGGAGCTCAAAGATCTACAGGCGTCACTGACGGCCGACGTTCCAGCTGGACTGCGAGGTGAAGTACGACTGCGAACGAAGCAAAGATCGTTTGTGCCATGGCGAGAGCTCTCGTTCCTCCACGCGGGCGTGGTGTTATTTTTTCGGCATCTCTGATGCATTGTAAGTCCGCGGTCTTTGCTCATGGCATGCCGCCGTACACGCTCCCTTGACCCACCCACTCGGCCGGCCTGATCATGCAGAGCTCGGCCAAACGTAAACTGACACGACTGGATCTCCGCTCGTGCCGCGTGTTGGCACAGTTTATGGGCCACCCCTGGTAACGTCTGCGGCGTCCGGTAAGATCGGGATCGAGCTGGGAAGGTATCGTCCGGACAAACGCGAATACTATGACTCAGAAATACTGTAACGCACGGAGCTGGAAGGGGGTCTGCAACGGCCGCTAGTATTGTCCGCACGGGGAATGTCGACAGTAATGCTTAGGCTGCAAGCTGGTCATCGACTGTAACGCCTTGGTCGGGGTTGTGTCGTCGGTTGGGTAAACTTGGACTGCAAGTACAGTACGTGAAACAGCTCTGATGCATGCGGATAACTGCAACCAGCGCCGCTCCTTCCGGAAAGGGATCACCCGTCTTGCGTTCGGCAGTCTCGTAGCCTCATGGCTCCAGCCCACGAGCGTGCTATCTCTCTACTTGCACCGAGCCTATTGGACCACCACTCGTATCAGTGAGGTTTCTAATCGAACTTTAAACTTGTGATGGGTGTTCCAGGCCGACCATTAGTAGTAGTTGTTCAGTGACGATCGAGGGTGACCGCAGGCCTAGCCATTCGTGCGGAACCGTCAGATCATGAAATTGTGGCCCCGCCAAACGGAACAATGAGTCGGCGTACCCTAATCGTCTCCGGGGTGCGAAAGGAGCTTCTCTAGCGTGAAGGTCGTATAAAAGCCCAGCGTATATCAGATCGTTTCCGCCTCGACCTGACACTTGCTACTCCATCTCGCCTTCATGACCACTCCGTTGCCTCTAGTATACCCTGACGTCTGCGGCTGGAATGCCAGCACCAACACCCTAGACCAGATCATCCCCTCTGCTTCCTCGTCTGTTATGCCTCCTCCTCAAACTTCGTCACCTCATCCGTCACCCATCACTGTCCTAGAGCCTGTCCCCGTGCGCCCCGCATGCTCTCGTCAGCCATCCCGAACGCCACGTCGCAGCGACGACCCGAATCATGTGCCCCGGCCGCGCAACGCCTTCTTCATCTTCCGCTGCGAGTTCACACGCAAGCACACTGGGGAGGCAAAGGACTCGACCCGTTCGTCCACCCCCGAGAAGGTGCTCTCAAAACGTGCCGGTGCGGCCTGGGCGGCGATGTCCGATGCTGAGAAGGGGCCATACCGTGATGAGGCGAAGAAGGAGAGTAAGAGGCACACCTTGGAGAATCCTGGGTATCGCTACAAGCCGAAGCGGAAGAAGCCTCCCCAGCGACGCACCACGGGGCCTGTGACCCGCCGCGAGCAGGTGGAGTCCCTAGTCCAGTTGCGTGAGGGTACCTCCGCGAGACTCGCCGAGTCGACTTCTGGCTGCCCTCACAGCCACGCGTCATCGTCGCCTGAGCCCGACGGACCCGTTACGCCGCGCGATTTGCAGCACCGTCGTTCGATGTCGCTGCCGCACATCGACGGGGTGGACCACCTCAGCCCGTACTCGTACACCCACACCTACTTCATCACGCCCGCGTCGTGCTCGTCTAGCCCTAGCCCTGATCCGCAGCGGAACGGCAGGAGGTTGAGCTCCGCCCGACAGCGATCATTCTCGCCGAACATGTACATCCCACCACCTGATCTGTCTTTTGACCTGGAGTTTGCCGAGGCGACTGCGCCATTCGCATTGTTCTCACCACGCGGCTCGACCGTCTCCCTCCCCGAGCTGAGCTCACTGCAGGATTTCACGTTCTATGATGATGGGAGCAGTGTGCGTTTCTCTTCTTCCTTAGGAGTGGCCTTCGAGCTAATCCTCCCTTGCAGACTTATTCAACGCCTCAAATCTCGCCGGCGGCGTCGATGTACGACATCAGCCAGCCAGAATGCTTCGCGGCTCCGCTCGTCCCGCAGCAGCACGAGTTGTCTGCACCTGCCTTTAACCGGAGACATCGCTCGAACACGGCGCCAAGCGCGACGATGTCCCCGCTCGCCTTCCTGAGCTCGTCTCTGAGCAACTGGAACGGCGAGGCCCCGCCGCCCGTCACGCTCACGCGAGGCAGCACGGCGCCTGCGCTCACGATCTCGCCGCCGGACCCGTCCGCGTCGCTCTTGCTGGGGCAGCCGCCGATCCAGGTCATCACGGACGAGGCGGACTACGGGTACGGGACGCTCCTCGCGCCAGGCATCGACCTCGACCCCGACCGCACGCCTCGGCGCGCGGACTTTGCGCCGAACGTGCAGGCGCTGTACGCCCCGCCCTACGTCCCGACACCGCCGCTGCCGCCGGGCTACCCGCAGCCTGTCTGCACGGACGTGCCGCTCGCGCACGCCTCACCCGGCGAGGCGTACGCGCTCGAGTCGTACAGCGAGGGTCTCGGCGCGTTCGACATCACTCCAGCGATCTACGACATGTCGCCCTTCGAAGATATCGACTTTAGTGATTTCCTCCACGTGAGCCAGTGACGCCACTTTGGACCGCCGCCCAGCGCCTGGGGGCTGCACCTCCCTCAGCGCACCTCTCTCACGGCGGCGCACCTGCGATACCCTCTTCCTTTTCTTCAAAATCTCGCGGACTATCTATGTAATGTATGTTTCAGTGTTTGGCTCCGCACCGTGCTTGCAAACCTCCTCTCAATTATTGTGTAGCGTACTCTAACGGTGTTTACGACCCCTTCATAACTATTATTGTATCCTATAGCTTTTCCACGCCTCACTGAAATGATCATAAAACGTTTTTCATGTCTACACCCTCAGTGATTTCTACTCCACTACTTATCATTGCTTTTTTTCCACGGACCGTTGATACCCGCCTTTACGTAGTCTGTTGCAAAGTTTTCTACTTTATGTTCGCGAATAACTAGCAATAGGGTCGAAGATTATTTGAGGATAAGAGAGCGATGACACATCTAGAACTGACAGGATCAGCAGATGATAAGTAAATAGAGAAGGAGAACAGCGCAGATAGATGGGTGTCGCAACTTTGCGGGCGCGCCATCGGAGCGCCCCATTCCCTATTCGGGTGTTCGCGCCCTTAATCGTAATTTCGCGCGAGATATATCACGGTACGGTACATGTGCACTCTATTCTGAGCTCACATTGGCTGTATTCAATCGTAAAACCGCAGTGGTATGCTGTGGGCATGATAAAGGAGCGAAAGGGTATGTGTTGAAATAAGAATGGCGTCCGCAGGGAAGGTTAGGGTAGCCCCACAGGCGCTTTCTTGCCACCAAGCTGCCGCCGCGCGGGCCCGAGTCTTGGTTTCGCCTCTACCACGACCACTTCACGACCCTCTGCCTGTAATCTAGGGCAGCCACGAACATGCCACACATCGCACCATATGCAGACTCTGCGGCCATAGCGGACAGGCTCGCTAGCAGCATCCAGTTCCCAGTGAGAACTTTCCTGCACTTTGCCCTCGTGCCCAAGGCCGTAATCTGTGCGCCCACAGGCCCCGCCGCGCCGTGCTTCGGACAGCGTCCCAGAGATCGGCGGCTCGCCCGCGGGCTTCATCATCCTCATCGTCGTCCTCTCTGCCATCTTCCTCATCTCGAGCGCTGGCGTCTTCGTCCTCCTGCGCGCGCACCGGGACGACCCTTACGAGCGCCATGCCCGCCGCGTCCTGTCCGGCCGGCGCGAAGACGTCGCGCGCCAGATGCCGCTGGGGCCGCCGGGGCTCAGGGAGAAGCTCAAGGGTCTGTTTCAAGGGCGCGGCCGCCGCGGCGGTTGGGTCAGGGCGAGTTCGGGGGACGATGCGTGGGACGCCTCGGAGCCTGCGGCGCGCGGCGCCCCATATGACCCGCCGAGCGGGCCCCTGCCGAAGAGCAACTTTGGGGTGCACAAGAGCGACACGATGGAGTCTGTCGAGCTCGCGGCGCCGACGCTCAAGGACGTTGCTCTCCCCACGCTATCCTACGATGACCCGTACTCGTCGTCCCCGCCCCCCTTGGAGCGGAGTGCTGGGCGCTCCTCACCTGGACGGCGAAGCGTCAGCGACGACGACGAGGGTCCCTTTGACGCTATCCCAGCGGATAGGGTGCCGCGCACGTTTGAGAATGGGACGAGGTTCAAGGAGAGTCTCTAAAATACGTTGCTGCGTCGCCATGACGCCTCTCTATCTAACCCTCGGGCTGTCCATTCTCCCACATCATGCATCGTCATACGTGTACTCACTGCAATCTGTGTATCGTTATCGCAGGCCTTCATTCATGCGCCCGGTGTATTCGTAGTCTCATACGCTGTCCCGTCATGTTGTAATTCTAGTCTTCGCATTTGTAACGCTGTTCATCATTACGTTCCGTATCGCAAGCGATGTTATGACGACTTTAGGTTCAGGAACCATACAAGTAACAGAGGTCGGGAAGAAGGCGCCAGGCGGAGATACCATAAAGCGTGGGAAACATACGGGACTTGCCCTGTATGGCAGGTCGTCGTCCTAAATTCGCGCACAGGACGAGCTGTCGCCTTTGCCTCCGTGCTATGAAGATTGTGCTGCGGATTGTGGCCCATTGAGTACTGATGCACTGATGTGTAGGTGTACACGTACACGGCTTTCAAAATTGTCGACAGCGTCCCGGGGCTCGTGACATCTAGGCGCCCATAGGCGAAGTTGACGCTTGCCATCGCAGGCATGGTGCACTCTCACCTTCATCTCGAGACGTCTATCATGCGCTTGTTCCTCAGCACTCTCCGCTCGATAGAAGACATCGATAGATATCCGTGGAACTGTTTGCTATACGTGGCCTGATGCGATGGGTATCGGACGCCAACGGAAGAGTTCGCGCATCGCCTGGACAAACCTCCTAGGCTTCGTTCTCAATCGCCGGTCGCGCGCAGGCTCTTGGGGTTTTCAGGTGGTGCCGTCCCATGACTGTAGAACCCCTGTTCTGTCGTCCGAATGTTCACCTGTCTCATCATGTCGCTTGCGCGTGTTCGACTCGGCGTGTAATGCGTCTCGCCGCTCGCGCTCGGGGGGCCTTTGGGTCTTGATCCAACGAAGGTCGGGCCACCCCAAAATTCCCGTAGGCTGATATCTCAAGCTTGCTCTGATGACCATTCTCTGCAGATCGCCACTGCCTTTACGTTTAGCTGCCGCTGTGTTCACAGGCTCGCTCCGGCGGACAGCGCAAGACGCGTCGGAGGTTGGGCTGAAGTCAGGGCCCGCGGCCTTCTTCCGATCGTGCTCGCGGCCTGGGCTCGCAGCTGGCCGACAGCCTTCACAACCAGAAAATCGAGGAATGGACAGGGATGCTCCTGCTGAGACGGGCGCCAGCTGCGCCACGTGGGATCCCGTTATAGTAGCCAGGGCAGGCGAAGAGGAACCTGAGGGCTTTTGGCTGTTCGCCCGCTCCGAATCCAGCAGCGCATGGGGATCTCCTCTTTGTGATATGATCCCTCTTTACAATTTTCCGTCCTTTCCTTTTCTCAGAGCGCGCGGAGTTTTCGTCGAACTAGCCGCAATGGATTTATACCAGGTCAGACCCGCTCTCTCCTGCGTCCCCCCCGGTCGAGCCACTCCCTCACGCTGCTGGCCCCTTCAGCATGGACCCAGACACCAGCTCCACCCTCGAAAAGTCCCCCGTCCCGCTCAGCCCCGCCTTCTCTGAGGAGGAGGCGTTGGCCGCGACGCGCACGGTTGCCTTTGACTACCACGACAATGGCGACATCAGCGAGGAGAAAGTCCACCACGGCCACCTCCGCCCGCGTGGGGTCGAGATGAAGCGCGAGATGACCAAGGAAGACAAGGAGCTCGCCGCCGCCGGCTACGAGCACCTCGACGAGCAGAAGGTCAAGGGCAAGAAAGGCGAGCCCTCAGACCTGGACAAGGTCGACATCCAAGAGCACCATCTCGCGTTCCCCGAGCTCTCCAAGGCTCTCGAGGCCACCATCGACACAAAGGACCCGGGCTCGTCATACGGTCTCACGTCCGAGGACGCGAAGGCACGGCTCGCACGCGATGGTCACAACATCCTCACGCCCCCGAAGAAGAAGTCGGCCCTGCGCAAGGTACGCCGCTGTCTTCTGCTGTCGCGGTGCATCGATTGACCGATCGTAAATTACTGCCTATCAGTACATCGACTGCCTCATTACCATGTTCAACATCCTGCTGATCATCGCCGGCATCTTGGAGTACGTGCTGCTGGGAATTAACTTCAAGGTCAGTGCCGCCGCCGGCCCGCATGAGGCGAACCCTGCGTGCTCACATGTCCCCACGTACAGGACAACTTCGCGAACACGTATCTCGGTGGAATCCTCATCGCTGTTGCTTTCCTAAACGCGTTCATCGAATTCTATCAGCTCCAGAAGTCCGAGGCCATCCTGGCTTCTTTTCTGGCGATGATCCCGCCGTCGTGCCGAATCGTCCGCGACGGTACCCTGACCTCTATCCCCGCCGCAGACCTCGTAAAGGGCGACATCGTTCTGGTGGTGAGTGCATTGGCCCACGTCGCGCCGTTGAGCCTGAACAGAAGGTTTCCTTTGCGTGTTAGCGCGTAGGCGATAAGACGCCCGCCGACCTCGTGTTGTTCGCGTCTACGGATTTGAAGGTCGACAACAGCAGTCTGACCGGAGAGTCCGAACCGCAGGAGCGTTTCGCCCTGCCGAACGGTACGCCTGCGCGACCCGTGGAAGCAGAAAACTTGGTGCGCAGAGCCGATCTGCTGTTTTACTTTGTCCGATGTTGATCGTATCTGCAGCTTTTCAATTCTACGCTCGTGGTCAATGGCGAAGGCTGGGGCAGTGAGTCGCATGCAGCTTGCGCGACCCTTGATCGTTTCTCATCACGTCCCATACAGTCGTCGTGCGCACTGGTGACCACACCCTCATCGGTACGATAGCCTCTGCTCTCTTGCGCCGCACGTCCTGATGACCCTTTGCACAGGTCAAATTGCGGCCCTGACGGGCGGCGAGTCCGGAAACCAGAGCCCACTGGGAAAGGAAATGTGAGCGGCCGTCTGTTTCTTGCAGGACCGGTTGCAAATTTCTGACTACCACCCCTAATGTGCGCGTGTACAGCGGGCGCTTTGTCATGATGGTCTCGGGCATCGCCATCTTGTTCGCTGTCGTGTTCTTCGTCGTCGGCATTACGACTGCCTACAAGGGCAAGGCTGCCCAGACGGTCACTTTTGCGGTCTCGTGAGTGCACACGCGCTCTCATTGGCCGGGCAACTCTAACGATGCTGCAGCATTCTCGTCGCTTTCGTCCCCGAGGGATTGCCGTCGGTCGTCACGCTGCTGCTGTCTATCGCAGCCAAGCGCATGGCGGCGCAGAATGTTCTGGTCAAAGATTTGCAAGGTGTCGAAACCCTGGGCTCGGTCGGTCATTTTGGGCTTCGCTTAAAAAATTGTCGTTCTGACGCATGCTCCATGCAGTTGACCCTGTTGGCTACCGATAAGACGGGAACGTTGACTAGGAACCAGATGACGGTATGTTATCTTCGTGACGTCGCGAGAACGAGAACTAACGAATTGCGACAAGGTTACTAACATCTGGAGCGGAGAAAAGATGTACTCGGCCTTCCAGGTACGTTACCTTCGTCTTCTCCCGAAAGCACGTTGCTCAACTGTGACGTGATAGTCCAATAACGACAGCGCGGAGACAACATCGTTCTCCATTGACGCAGGTGGCATGCGCGAAACCGTGGACATCGCAGCCCTCAACTCGCGTGTCAAGTTTGACAGGACAGACGTTCCATTCGAACAGCGTGCGATCCTCGGTGATGCTACGGAGACAGGCCTCATTCGTTTCGCCGGTCGGTACCTCCAGGACTACGACGAGCATCAGAAGAAGCACCCCAAGGTCTTCGAGATCCCGTTCAACTCGACGAACAAGTGGGCCCTCGTCATCGTGCGTGCATGTCGTCATCGCCTGTCGGCACTGCTTCTGACCCGGACTCTGCACAGCTCGATAAGCCCCACAGCGAAGGTGTGCTCACCGCGTACATCAAAGGCGCGCCCGAGCGCGTCCTCGCCAAGTGTTCCACGTACCTCAAGGACGGCCAGCAGCTCCCGATCTCCGACGACTTCCGCAGGGAGTACGATGAAGCGTACAACGTCAGTCACCGCCGCAGTGGGGCAGTTTGTGGGCGACACTGACCTTGCGTGTTGTTACAGTACATGGCCTCGCGTGGACACCGTGTCATCGCATGCGCCCAGCGTCTCCTGCCGTCGCCCGACTACGACCAGACGACGGCCTTCTCGAAGACGGACGCGCAGTACCCGGGCACGGACTACTGCTTCGTCTCGCTGACGTCGCTCGAGGACCCGCCGAAGCACGGCGTGCGGGAGGCGATCGGCACGCTCCGCCTCGCGGGCATCAAGGTCATGATGGTCACCGGCGACCACCCGAAGACGGCGGAGGCGATCGCGCGCAAGATCAACCTCATCATCAGCGACACGAAGGAGACGCTGAGCACGAAGACGGGGCGGCCGATCGAGGAGATCTACGAGGACGAGGTCGACGCCGTCGTCGTCCACGGTGACGACATCGACGGCCTCCAGGGCTGGCAGTGGGACCAGAGTGCGTGTCGTTTGTTTCTTTTTCGGCGATCTGCGCGCACCTTGCGTTTGGGAACGGGCCGTATCTGACCGATCTGCAGTCTTTGCGAAACAGGAGATCGTCTTCGCGCGTACTTCGCCGCAGCACAAGCTTGAGATCGGTGAGTTAGCCCATGCTTCCTGCGAGGGTTAACGGCCCCACTTACTCCGCGCGCTTGCCACAGTCAAACGTGCTCAGGCCCTTGGTCACATCGTTGGAGTGTACGTTATCGCTTTCTTCCTAGTCTGTCATTCAGCACTCATGGATGAATGTTCAGGACCGGAGACGGCGTGAACGACTCGCCTGCTCTGAAGAAGGTGCGTTTCTGTGCCTGCTGCGCAAACATTGCGAAGTTCTTCTGACCGACGTCCCCAGGCCGATCTCGGTATCGCCATGAACATCTCAGGCTCAGATGTCTCCAAAGAGGCAGCGAACATGATCCTGCTCGGTACAGTCCTTCGCCTGCCCCATGACTATTCCGGCCTAATTTTTCACCTTTCCAGATGACAATTTTGCGTCTACTGTCAGTGAGTATCCGTCCATCAGATATCCGGATGTCCGGATGCTGACATGTTATTATAGAGGGTGTTGCGGAAGGACGTCAGATCTTCGTCAACCTTAAGCGTTCTATCCAGTACACCATTTCTCACAGTACACCGGAGGTTATTCCGCAACTGCTCTGTGAGTTACCGTTGTGCTGGTGCGCACCCGCAGCCCGCTAATCGGGTCCGACCTGTTCAGATGTTGTCGTCCCTATCCCTCTGCCGCTGCCCGCTATCCTTATCTTGGTTATCGGTACGTTGCGGCGGAGGTCCGGTTTGTTCCAAGGCTGACAATTCTTCCCAGATCTCGGGTTTGAGCTGTTCGTTGCTGTACGTATCTCGGATGCGATTGTATTTGTCAGTGAAGCTGAACGTGCACACAGCTTTCGTTCGCTTGGGACAAGCCGGAGACGGTGGATGGCCTCATGAGAATGTCGCCTCGGAAGCCCGGTACGTAGACCTCGAGTACTTTGTCGCGATGAACGCTAAACCGACTTGGGCATAGTCAACAACCACACCATCCTGACTCGCAAGAAGAAGGCCCTGCGGCGCACTAAGACCTTACTCCGCGACCCAGAGACGGACGAAATTATCCCGCCGTCCCGCCTGTCCGTCTGGATTTCGAAACTGCAGGCGCCGTTCACTCGTGCCTTCTGGGAGGATCGCTTTGAGCGTAACGACGACGAGACCCTTGTCGACGTCAAGCTGCTCAGCTACTCGTACCTGGAAGCCGGCCTCATCGAGACCATTGGAGCGTAGGTGCCATTCAGACGTCGTACCTGCCAATCATTAATTCATCTCGCGCTCTAGTTTGGTCGGCTACTTTGTCGTGTTCTTCAAAAGTGGCTTCTCACCGGCCGATCTGCGCAGAGCCCAACTTGCTGGCAGTGCGTAGCCCGCGTCAGACCTGTCGTCATGATCGTCGCGCTGATCGTGCTCTCCCTCTTTCTAGCCTACTTTGAGAAGTCGAGTCCTGACTTCACCAACAACCGCGGGCAGGTGATCGGCGCATCCCAACAGGTCGACGCCCTCGCGAAGGCCCAGTCCATCGTCTACCTGTCGGTTTTCATTATCCAGTGCTTCAATGTCTTCGCCGTCAAGGCCAAGTTCTCGTTCCCCTTTGGGCGCAACGTCGTCGGGAACTACTGGAACTTTGCTGGCATCGTCGGTGGTGCCTGCCTTGGCATGTTCATCATCTACACCCCGCCGCTGCACGTCGTCTTTGGAGGCACCGACAAGCTCTCGCCCCTGTATTGGCTCATCCCCGCCGCATTCGGCGTCCTGCTACTCGTCTGGGCGAGTATCCGCGTCGTGTTAATGAAAAAGAGTGTCGAGAACGCGCGAGTGAAGGACATCAAGGGTTTGATGATGTGTAAGTGCCGCCTCTCTTGCCAGCTCGTGGTCAACAGTGCTGACGTTACATTGCAGTCCCGACGATGCGCACCATGAGCATGCGTTCAAAACACTAACACATGCCGTGACCAATATGCGATGCGGCTTCCCCTCCGCAGAAAGCCCGTCATCGCCCAATATACCTGTACAACAGCCAGATATCCCTGCACGAGCACGCTCATCATACCTTACGACCCATCATGTTCGATGCGAACGCTATATCACCCTTGTAGTCCTGTAATGATTTTCCTATCCCCATTGCTCCACAAGCACTGGATCATGACTATCAACTGCATTCTTGTCTGTCACCTTTCATGTTTGCAAGCTGTCGACGTTGCTCAGTACTCTAATGCCAATCCGATTGTGATGACGTTGGTGTGTGTGCGTTGGTAGACGAGACCTGAGATCTAAGATTTGGTTATGAGGTGTGTCCGGAGGGTATGGCGAAGCAAAAGTCGTGTCGTGGATGTCAACAGAGCGCGTGAGAAACCCGAAATACCGTGATCCGCCTTGCCATTTCTATCAAAGCGCCGACCCGTAGTCGCGCTTGATGGCGGCGTGCCGGGACGCCATTGAGCCGTCTCGTCAGTGCTTTCACTGTCGTTTGCGCAGAGTGAAGGCAACAAGTAAGTGTAGCGGCGACCGTCGGCCGAGTATTTAGCGTTTGCGCTGAATCCCCTTCCACGCTGGGTGAGTACGGGTAATTGAGGCTGAAAAGTTAGTAGAAGATGCATATTCTCGCTGCTGGTGTATTAAAACCTCCGCGTTGGCCGTGCGTGTGTTGCATCGCGAGAAAGTTAAACTACAACACTGGGCTCATGAGTGTCATGGGCGCATGTCGATGTCGCCACATGACTCAAGGTTTTTAGCATGACCAGCGGTGAGTTCTATTGCCGTCTCATAGAGTGGGTGCAGTCTTCTTATTATACACATATGATACCATTACACAACCAAACTTGTGCGATAAATGTACAGAAGTTGGCACGCTTCTGTGTGATCGATACCGAGACGAAGAACGGGTACAACGACCTCCGCGGGACGTCTTCCTCGGATTATTATGGGCACCCATTGAGACCTATGAGGAGCAAGTCAGCATCCCTCGCCATTCATAATCGGCAAGACCATTCCGACCTCTTACCTGCCAACCATTCACTGCAATAGGATTAACCACGAGACTACTTACAAGCCCACCTCAACACATGCATCCCACGGAACAGACGGGTCTGAATCGCCATCGGGGTGGAAGTAGAGCCGCCCGCGACCATGCAGCAGGGGCATAGCCTCCACAAAGGCATCGCGGTCCTCAGGTTTTATGTGTCTCGCACTTTCACGAATACGCCAGGCCAGACGAACCCTGGTGCTCGAGCCGGGTGGCATGTACAAGTGTAGAGTCTGGTCGAGTCCTGTGATGTCGTCAAGGCTGTCGGCGCGAACAACTATGAACCGGAGTGTCTCTGCATGCCCTGGTCGTCGAGAAAAGAGCTCTCTGAAGAGTGTACGAACGAACAAGAGTATGAATGTGCTTGTGGACGATAGATCGAGGTCAATCGAGACGAGCGATGTGCACAGATCCAAGTTGAGTCCCGTGCGAGCTGCCTCTTGTGTGACTGTCCCATGTGTACCTGTCACAGAAGCATCAGCTATTGCTGTAACGAGTGATCATCCGCACACGCACCTTCATCGTCCCGCGTAAAACCCAAATTTAGACTCAAACGTTCAAGCGTTAGGCGAGCGTGACGGATGAGCTTGCCTACGTCTTCCGTATTCACTTGTCCATCGGTGACAACGCACCGCAAGGAGAGACTGGTCAGCATGTTCTCCGATAACATGGGAAGAAGAAGACCCGCGAATAGAGAGTTCATACACTCTGTCATAAGCGTCAAACTTCGCAGGCGTATGCATACCGGTGGTGACTGCTTCGCATAAGCGCTAACATTTTCTGCAACGTTGCCGATACCGACTGCATATGAGGGTATTTCGAGTGCTATCGGGTTGGAGACGATTAAGAGGAGGTCGAGGAATCTCTCAACCATCACAAAGGTATCCAGCCGCAGGGTTGTGAAGGAGTGAACTGTGTCCTGATGTTCGATGCGACCAACAAGCTGTACGGAAGAGATATGGAGGGTGTGCAGGGAAGGTAGTCTGACGGCCACGTTCCGAATAGATGTAAGAGACACCGCCGCTATCGGTCGGCCGCCCGATATCTTCAGCGCACGTATACTACGCGTTACTGAAGGGGGAGCTTGGGCCAGGAAAGCGGAAAATTCGAGCAGAGCATCCTGTGGCGAGCCGCGGTCGTTACGTCTTTTTTTGATGCGGATCGCGACGCGCCTAAAGAGGTGGTGTCGCACCCGAGGAACCCAAGCCCAGCAGACTAGGCAGCACTGTCGCAAGACATCGAGAGACTCCGGCTGCCCAAGTTGATCGATGATAATGTCGACGATTTCGCGAGGGAACACGCGGCCAATATCTTCCGGTTCCAACGACTTGTCTACGGTCCTCATCTCGTCGCAAGGGCCATCCAGGTCACTGGCAACGCCGCCTTCACCCTTGTCAGCGCTCTGATAACTGCTTTCAGTCAGATCCTCACCATGTGCGATGTCGTGGTAGCGGCCCAACGAATCGCTTGGCTCAGCATTTTCGCATTGCACATCCGAGGCAGCCTAGTGCAGTGGTAGTGAGCCGTGTTGTCCGGGACGCAGCAGAGAACTTACTGTCGCCAGCATTAATATCTCTATCCAATCAACAACCCTGCTGGGCTCGCACAGGTGAGCGAGGTTGAAAAGTCGACGGGAGCTGGGTGTTCTCGCTGCTGGTATTTTAAAGAATCTGAGTCACCGATCGGCGTCAAGTATCAGACCTATATCAGGTTTCATATGCCTATTTGGCAAGACTCAGTGTGCTCCAGACTGGAGGCGATGACCACGCTGCGCTTTCCGACTGTGTGCTGTAGTATTCTGCTGGTGTTCTGTAAGGAGGGCTAAGCAACTTGCTTGACATGTTGGAGCTTCCGTCCCGGCTCGCGTTGCCCAAGCTCTGAACCGTCTGTCAGCCTCATGCAGATGATGATTATTGCTGTGGCCCAACCCTACACGTACAGCATCCATGTCTTTGTCCTGTTTTTTCTCGTCGGGATTGCTTTCAAGACAGCCACATAGGAAAAGTGTTCTGGGTCTACCTTATTCATTATACATATATGTAACCAAACTTGTGCGATACATGTACAGAAGTTGGGCGCATGCCTCTGGGTGATTGATACTGAGACGGAGAACGCATACGACGACCTCTGTGGGACGCTTTCCTCGGTTTATTATGACCATCCGTGAAGGTCTAGTAGAACATCATCGTTGGCAAGACCGCTCCGACCTCTTACCTGCCAGCCATTCAGTACAATGCAATTCACCACGAGACTATCTACAGCCGTGCACCTCAGCACAGGCATCCCACGGGATAGATAGGTCCGAATCGCCATCGGGGTGGAAGTAGAGTCGTCCACGAGCATACAGCAGGGGCATGGCTTCCAGTCACGAAGGCATTGCGTTCTTCAGGTGTTACGGCTCTCGCGGGTCCAAAGCCACCCCAAGCCAGACGAAGTCTGGTGCTCGAGTCAGGTGGCATGTACGAGTGTAGAGTCTGATCGAGTCCTGTGATGTCGGCAAGGCTGTTGGCGCGAACAGCCGTGAATAAGAGTGTTCGTACGTGCTCTGCACGTCGAGAGAAGAGCTCCCTGAAGAGCGTACGAACAAACGGGAGTATGAGTGTGCTTGTGGACGACGGATTAAGAGCGACGTGCACAGATCCAGGTCTAACTGAGGCCCGTGCGGGCCGTCTCTTGTGTACCTGCCAGAGAAGTATCAACTATTGTTGTAGAGTGATTATCCACACGTTTACCTTGATCCTCCAGCGACGAACTAGCCTCATCATTGGTGAGGATGTCTGCAGTCTCACCTATGCGGCTGCACTTGAGAAAAAGAATGTGAGTACCCATGTCTACGGGACCAGGAAGTAGGTATATTACAATTTGTCGTCGGAGGAGTCTTGCGCTTGCCACCGCATGTATAATGTATCGACTTGCCACACACCTGTCGAATTTTGCGTGCTGGGGCAGCTCGGAAAGATCGGCACAGGAATCGGACTCGGTGAGCATACCTCTTGCTATGTGCCAGGAAAGTTGTGCTGGTAGGCACGGCTTTGGAAGGTGCAAAGGTCCTAGCGAGCATGCGCCCGCTCAACGCGTACGACGACATCCTCGCACAACTCGCGGAGGCCGAGCACTCGATTATCCGGGGCTTTCGCTAAATGTTTAGCATCGAGGGCCACAGGAAGATCTTTACTCCCCGTCCCATTCGTAACTCGAGCTGTGGCGTAGCTTCGACTGTGGCTTTCCCTGGCACTAGAAGAGTGCAACGCGACCGCGCAGGGCCGCACGGCGTTCCTCGACGCTCTCGTCAAACAACTCGACCCTGTCTGTCCGCACCTGGGAAAGAAACACCTTGCGGTCTCTGAGTCTGGCTGTCCGTCTCCTCAGATGGTCACGCACTTCGAGGACGTAGAGACGGACGTCGTCTTGCTCGGCGGGGATGTACAGCATGTAGTAAAGATGGGAATAGATGCCTCCTGCCAAGATGGTAAATCACTTGCCGGCGGTTTCACGTGCTTGGGATCCTAGAGAATAAAAACCAACAGTAAAGCATCAGTATGGGCGCACTTTGCCAGCACTCTTCGAAAGACCTTGCCTGGGCGAAGTTGCCCTTTCGGGCAGCAACGCATTTCCATCTAGTATCCTAGATACAAGAGCAGTGATATACAATCCATAATCCAAGAATCGATCATAAGTCGTGTATTAGCCGTTCCTTCGAACTCCTGTACCGCATTGCCTGATTACTGCGTCTTCACCTTCTCCGACGGCGCTTTCACAGCGGGCTTCTTCTCAGCGACCGCGAATATCTTGTACGTTCTGACGGAGAACAGCCCGGCGAGGATGACGGCGCATACCGCACGCGCGATCTCTGGGTCCACGGGTTCGACACTCCCGACTCCGTCCTCACCGACGGAAGCCCCGCCAATCCAGCCCAGTGCAGAGTAGTGCAACCCGGTCCAGTAGGGCTGCGCGTGCGTCAGCGTAGCGTAGAGGGCGGTGATGATTGGTGCGACCCAAATGTCGGTGGTCGTCCAGCCGTACGGGAGAACCTCCGGAGGCGTCGAAAGCGTGAGCGGGTAGGGTTGAAGGAAGTTGAACATGTTGATGAGCAGGAAGCCTCCGTTGGCCGTTACCTGCACCACGAAGCAGGGTGAGCAAACGCACAAACATCAGGATAAACATCTACGTACGAGGGACGTGAGAAGCAGTGTCCACGGGGAGTTCGCGATGGTGGGCGACGAGTGTGAAACGACTGCGGGGGGGATGAGATTACAAAGCAGGTATGCGCGCGTAAGACCGTCAAGAAGCGCGAGCGGGAGCTCGCTGCTCATGGATAGCTCAGGGACGTTCTGCATGAACTCTACCCAGCCCTGTGTCACGACGTAGAGGATAGGAATGGCTCCGGAAAGCATGAACGAGGGAGTCTGCTGGAGGTAGGGTGCTGCGACGCAGTAAGCACTAGCTTGTGGACCAGTGGCGAGAGACGTACCAGTGATTGCTTCTCCGCCGTATATGACAAGCAACGTCGCGAGAGCCTCCCGCACAAACGACCTCTCCTCGACCTTCCTAATTTCAGCTGCGGCCTGGACACGCTCGTCGTGCTTCGCCCGGAGCTGCTCGCGAACCTGGCGCAGCACCAGACACAGCCGGAAGCATGCTGCAATATCGAGCAGGGTGATGGGCATGCCGGCGAGGCTGCTGAACGGCTGCATCGGGTTCAACACGGCACGATAAAATTCTGCTACAGGCTCGAAGAGGATCGACATCGTGGATGACACGTCTGACGGCGGCGAGAGAGGCAAGGGCAAGGAAGGAGCCTGAGGGGAGCGCTTTTGGGAGCGCGGGCATCCCGCGGGAAGGCGGGAGCACGTGACTGATAGAGGGTTTGATAGGACGCCTTCGGTCCGCATTTGGCAGTCGTCCTTGTTTGCTTGTTTGCTTTCGAGCATGGCCCGGGTGAGACTAGGACTCCGGCGCTGGGACAGCATAAAGTCCCAGTGACCCCAAAAGAGAAGCCGCACTCTGCCCTCTTATAAGCTGGCTCTGGGTATAGGTAGGGTTGAGGCAGTTCGATATCCCTAGGCTTTGCACCTCGCATCTCCACCCAAATTCCTTCGTCGTATGGGAAACCCTGGGACTCTACGAGGCAAAGGCCAACAACACGATGAAGCCAACATTTTGTCATCTTGTGATCTAATCTCTCCAATAGCTTTGCCAGCAGCGAGCAATGCTCCGCCTCCACACAGGATCCCATTTATTGATGGTGATCCCCTGTGGATGTATCCTCCTGGCGACCCGCATCATTTCCTATCGGCGTTGGTGCGAGCGGTGGAAAGTAAGCTATATGTTATATTGTACCCCAGCAAGTCTCAATGCTCTGCCATATAGTGCTTTCAGTCCTAGGAAAACATAATGCTCTTCATGGAGATATCAATCCATCCACCGTCATGTTCAAGGACGGGATTACAGATGCAAAAAGAACAGATCATATTTAAATGATCGATTTGGATCCGTGCCATAAGGATCTTGGTCGAAAAATCAATAATTTGGACCGTGGCCCCTCCGAATCGCTTATCGTAGCTCCTCCGTTGAGAGTGAGTCATCATTCAGAGTACGTATAGACCGCGAGCACACCGCTTATTACACGATATAGTTACCGCCTATCACTACGTGGTTTGCAGCCCTTGAGACGCTCAAGAACTTGAAAGCTGCGAGCCACGCTCCAAGGAGTAGTCAACCTACCGGTACCGTCCACCACATCCACCACGATCTTGAGTCCCTGATATGGGTCGCCACATACTCCTTGTATCAGCGAGCCTATGAGATATCAATGTACCCTCAAAGCGGCTGGGACGTGTCCCACCAGGAGGTCATCGAGGACGCACTTAACACTGACTTTGGCAACTCCGACGCAGGCACCGTCGAAAGTCGGCGGAAGGCGATGGCAAGCCGCGGACTATCCGGTCTGTACAGCGTGCTCCGGTACTTTGATGACGAGCTGCGTGACTTTGTGCTGGGGTTGATGGACCTCGTGCATGCGCAGAACCGCAACGATCTCCCAGCCTTGCCGCACACAGCCACTTCGTCTGTGCCACAGATGGAAGTTGAGGTGCTGACATGCGAGAGTCTCAGGAGGTATATTGATTCGTACATATCTGAGCATTGCAATGTCAGGACGTGACGATCCCGTCGATATTACTTCTCTTTGTACGATGGCGATATGTTGACACCCACTTCCTCCATAGTTCTCAGTTTCCACGATAACTATTCTTCAGGCATCCGCGCTATTCTTCCGTCGTAACCTGCTATCACTACTAGATATCCTGCCATCCGCTCAATGCGCATAGCCACAGGCACGAGTTTTGATACACCAGAGTGTGCCTCATTGCGACTCAAGATCAGATACGGCTGCAGGCGTTGCCATCTCGGAACACGGAGCATAAGGAATCGTTCGCGGAAAAAACCACCCTGTGACCCAGACTGCCATGGGTTGATCGGAGAGACAGTCGTGCATTGATGCTGCAGTGATGTCTGGGCATGGTACAGGCCCACCTGCGCCATATCCAAGAGCCGGTACCTCGTGCAACGAGTAATGTGAGACCTTGTTTAGCGAAACTACCCGTACCGGGCGTAATAACTCTGGGGAGGCTTGCCCTTCAAGTAAAAAAATACTTACATGGAGCGATGGGACCTAAGCAATATTGTGAGCTCAGGGACAGCCGCTGTTCGCCCCGAAAACAATGGGTACAACAGGAAAACTCTGGTTTGTATTGATTAGGGGGTTGTGATGCAGCAGTCTAGATTCCCACTGTGCGCACTGCGAGTATCGCGTGCAGTCATATGGATGCTATTACCTTGCTCGCTGCTCCGTCAGCGCGCGATACCGACGGCACGCCGAAAGCAGCGCAGCATCCCTACTCTGATCAAATCTGAGGTTGTACTAGTTAGTCATTGCGAAATTGCGCTACACGAAACAGACAGACCTCGCATACAGGAAGCGAACGACCCTTAGTCAAACAAGACCCTAGTTTGTCTGTTGTAAGGAGAGTACTTAATTCATCAATAGCGTCGAGATCACCCGACCGTCCATTTTGGTATAATAAACCTAACCTTCCGTGTAGAATAAATCCTGTTTGAAAACCCCAAACTTGTCATTTTTGCGGGACGCACCTCTGGATTCCACATACGTACTTTTTATACGCGACAGAGAGAGGGAACGGTGTACTCGGGAGCAGTGCTCGGCTGTGGGGAAGGAAACGAATTCGAACTCCGCCAAGCGAGCGACCTGGCGTCCGCCAGAGCCTCACACTCATCACCACTGCCTCCAACGTCGCTCACATACTTCTTTCGACGCCCGTCTCTCCTTGCCTTCTCACGAACTTGCCTGTACATATACAGCTTCTACGACGGATCTGCCTGCATACGACCACCGCATAAACACCGAAAGCACGTCACCTGCTGTACAAACCGACTGAAGCGCAATGGCAGAACAGAGCAACTTCGACTTTCTCTTCAAGGTGTGTGCTACCTCCATAGGGCTTCCTTTATTACCCTGGGTGCTACAGGGTGCATTATATCAGGCAGAACTGACGTCGTCGGCCTGCCTTTGTAGGTCGTCCTGATTGGAGATTCGGGTGTCGGCAAATCGTACGTTGTCATGTCTGCATACACTCTTGTTCATCATATGCTCACGACCGCCATCGACGCCTAGTAACCGTATGTGCCCAACACTGCCATGAGATTATGCACAGCGCCGCTTACCAGATTCCTTTTCTGTCTTATCTGTATCCCTTGCTGCGCTCGTATTTGGCGGGTCGTCTCTACGCACCGACAGTTCTCTCGCGATTCACGCGGAACGAATTCAATCTCGAGTCCAAATCAACAATCGGTGTCGAGTTTGCGACACGCTCACTGGCTATCGATGGCAAGACTGTGAAGGCGCAGATTTGGGATACCGGTGCGTGCCCCATCGTCCTCATTATCTCTGCTGCGATTGACCCAGGGCCCTGGACTCGCTCCTGCAGCTGGCCAGGAACGTTATCGCGCGATCACGTCTGCGTACTACCGCGGTGCGGTCGGTGCGCTGCTCGTGTACGACATCTCGAAACACCAGACATACAGCAACGTCACGCGATGGCTGAAGGAGCTCCGGGATCACGCAGACCAGAACATTGTGATCATGCTCGTCGGCAACAAAAGCGATCTGAAACACCTCCGGGCGGTGCCCACAGACGAGGCCAAGGCATTTTCGTCGGAGAACGGACTGTCGTTCATCGAGACTTCGGCGCTGGACGCCTCGAACGTCGAGTCTGCCTTCCAGACTATCCTGACTGGTTAGTCCTTGCGCTTCCTGTGCCGCGCACACTCGTGTGCTGACGCCATTGGGTAGATATCTACCGGATCGTGTCGAGCAAGTCCCTTGAGCAGTCGGCTGACCCGATCAAGCCCTCAACTGGCGACAATATCCTTGTGACACCGAGCGTCGATCCGCAAGCGCAGTCGGGGAGCAAGTGCTGTTAGACGTAGGGCTGTGTGGACGATGCCAGGATCATCGGATTTCTCTGTACATAGCGATACTTGGTCTTTGTTGTAATTCTCGTGTTTTCGACCTCTTCGAGACATTTGCCACGTCAATGAATGTGCAATTATTGTGGTCAGCGCAAAATGCAACACGCACAAAAAGATGTGTTATATACTCAAAACCACATCTTGTATGCGTGGTACAATGGTGCAGTGGCTGTAACGGCCCTAAACCGGGAATGTGAGGTGGTCTAACGCTCCAACGGATTTCCCCGTCTGTGCGCTGGTTCAAGACCGTCCCCTCCAGAAAACTTGGTGCCCCGTTTACCGCCCGCGGCGTAAGCCGTGGATTTGGTTCGGGAGAGTCTGTCCTTGACTGGCCAGGGAAGCAATTCCGCAACCTGCAGGACACACCGAGTTAGTCGTCGGAGACAAGGACGAGTCGTCTGTTCGCGCGGATGGGCCGTGCCCCTTGCAAACCTTCTTTTCTTTCTTTTTTCTTTCTTTTTCCTCACAGCTCGCCTTCAGCGCACAAGTCTCTCATCGCTTATCCAGCACTCAGAAAACATCTTGCGAAAGAGCTGTTCGCTTGGTATTGGTAAATAGCATCTGCTTGCCAGGTCATTCACTTCTTCAACTCATCATCTGTGCCTGAAGTTGAACTTGAAGATAGTCACCATCGAGGCCCGCAGCACTGCTGCAACTCTCGCCCTTCATGCAACCAGTGACTAGTGACTTGTTGGGACACCTTGTAGATGGACATGGGCTGGATATCATCAAACTCTGGGCCCGTCGGATCTCAGCTGGCTGCGGTGTATATTCTTATGACCACTTTTTGTCCTTAGAATGGCACAGGCGAACATCTCGCTACAACACTGTCGACAAAAAAAAGCAACAGCGCGGGTGTACACGTTCCGGAAAGCTTTGCCTCTGTGCACATGAGATCTCTCACTTGTCTCTCGCTGGCAAGTGATATCTAGTAAGTCTTCGTGAATGAATTGCTTGCGTATGCGCTGAATTCGAGTGATACAATTCTTCGTGCTGTGCACAGACTCGTAGAATCCAGAAGCAACGCTTTGTGTGCATAACAAGAAGTTGCTTACTACTATCAAGGTATCTCCACGAGCTTACACGCGTATAAATACTTTATACCCTGACTGGCCTCCCAGATTGCTCACGACTCAGCACTGCATGAAAATTTTGTTACAGGTTGGTCTGTCCTTGAAATTAACGGCGGGAAGCCATGGTTCAGGATGGAGCTGGGCGTATACGGGCAAGGTTAACTTATCAGCGCACCGCCGCTCTCCAGTCCGGCTGCCGAATGAGTGGCACACCCATCGTTTCTGCGTGGTATGTACGCGCTTTTGTTCGTGGGTTCCATCGATGATCGGCTTGAGATTCCCATCCCCCAGAAAGCGACACTATGGGCCCAGGCATCCCGTTTGTCCTCGCATCACGCCACTACCATCAACTTGCGCCGAGTCGTGACCGTTAATTTGGTAGACATGTTTGTGCGAAAACAAAGCTTTTGGTACCAGAAGCTCAATGCCGCCTTTGGGACTTGCAGCCGAACCAGGAGCCGGGCGCCGATGAGACAGGATGGAGCAATACGAATGGCGCGGCCGCATTTGACACCCTGAAATCACTAGCCAGTCCGCAGCTAGCTTCACCCGGTCGCCTCGAGGTGTACACCTCGCCTTTGGAACAATGTTTTGCGTACGCAGCCGAAGACTCACTCCCACTCTTCCGTGTCTACCCATCACTAAAGATAACGTGGCCTCCTTTGGTGCGACCCTTGTGGCCTATTGTGGTGTGAGTATAAGTACAACGGCTCAGAAGAAGCTTGACTCGCGTCACGCAGCTCTTCACTCACAACACCTGCCCAGCTCTCCTCCGACTATGCCTCGCGACACAAGTTCAAGCGCGGTCTCGCCCACGGCTCCTGTCAAGCAGGACAAGAAACCATATACCAGGTCGCCCCAGAAACTGGTGCGTACCCATGTAGCCGTTATAAACCACTCTCCGCTGACGCTCATAGCAGAAGACTATGTGGATATCCCAGCCTGGGCAGCCGCGACAGCTGCACCAGCCGCGAAGCCTCAAAGCATCCGGGACGCACGTCCTCTTCGGTGAAGGCAGTCGCCAGGATAACAAGTCCAAGCCGACACTCCAGGAATCAGCTGTGCAGAGGTTGTTCCTGGCGCTGAACGCCATGGAACTGGGTGCTAACCAGACAGAACACCAGGGAAGATCTGCACAAGAGCTGAGTCTTGTGAACGTCGTCCTCCGACACAGCTTTAGTAGCTGTGCATTGAAGGGCTATCTCGACGACGCACAACACGGGTGGGTCCAGCGCACGGATTATGCTAATGTTGCGGAGGACCTCGAGGTTTACGACCAGAAGGCGAGTATCTAACTCGCGTTTTCTTTGTTCTAACATATTTCTGACTTCCTTGATCAGATGCACAAACCCACGATCCACGGGGATGTCAAACGTCTTGTTATCGTCTCTCCAGAAGGGGCCCTGGCCGCCGACCGAATCGTCAAGAATGAGCAACGTGGCAAGAAGAGTGCCTTTATCATCACGTCCTCCTTGTGGGCCTACGCGCTATCGACCACCTTCGGCGGTGAGCCCTTCTTCCTCTTCTACCGGCACGCCGGGAACCTGTCCAGCCTCAAGTACTACGGCCGGTGCAAGCTGCACTATCAGCAGGACCACCTTTCGGGACATGACTGGGACGAGCTGCAGCCAACAGTGCGTGCCTCTCCTTCTCAATATGATCCCCTGTTGACGATGACCTGTTCTAGGAACAGAACGTCGTGACAAGCCTCCTTCGCAAGTTCCGCAACCTCGAAATTCAGGGACAGATCCAGAGCCCCGTCTCACTTTCAGAGCTCGCGCCGCGGACTCATTCGCGTATCTACATCATCGAACGTGATGGCCAGGCCCTTCCGTTTTTCCAGCATGTTAAGGCGGCTGAGGCGATGGTCTTGGTCACGCCTTGGCAGATCGCCGCAGAGGCGAAGGGTTTGCATCATCATAAATAGATATGCAAGATGCGTTATGGATGCCTACTAACGCTGTTTACTATGACGCTGAAACTCATATTCGCTTTTCAGTTTTCTCTCTCCGATTCTCGAGGTTACTAACCAGTATAGCCCTATGCGATAGACTTGTCATTGTTTCTGTAAATTATGCGCTATAATGATATGGCTTATTCCCTCAAGCATGCCAGCTGTCATCTTCTGCGAGAAATCCCGCCTGTATTAGCTCCGCATGAGGAAGTTAATCTCGGGTCGGAGGTGACTGCCGACACTGAGATGCGTGTGGAGACCGGGACTTTGCCATATGGGGTGCACTTGCGTCTGCTAGTGGACTCAGTCCTAAATTCAAGAGTACGACCTCACAGGCAAGCTGACTTAGGTTGTTCAGGGACCCATATGTTGTTTGAGGAACATCTGAGGGACGTTGCATCTCCAACGGGGAAACCTCACCAGGGACTTTCACGATGCAGCTCTATCTCTGAAACACAGTGGCGAGAATGACATCTTCTGGTTAGAACGAACCGCGAAGTTAGCAGATATCACGAGAAAGTATGCACATGATAGAAAGCGCTAACTGTACCACCGATAAGCAGATGGCTCAAGATACGCCTACAGTAATTATACAGGAGCAGCCTCACCGCCTCGAGTCACGACCACCATACCGGTCGCGAGACGGCGACTTCGAATACCTCTTGCGCTCGCGGTAGTCATCCCGGGGTCTATCCTTCCTGTCGTAACCATCTCGCCCGCCCTCTCGACGGCGCGGCGGCGTAACTGAACGCGAGCGAGACCTGTCGCGGCGTGCTCTCGGCGGTGGCGACGGCGAACGCATAGGCGAGCGGTGGCGGCTGCGCTCGCGGTCTCTGCGGTCCGGGCTATGGTCCCGTCGGCGGGGCGGCGGCGAGTCTCTGCGCGACCTGTACCGGTCATCATCGCGGTCCCGATCACGGTCCCGGTCGTCCCTGCGCCTGTTGCGGTCGTCGTCAGGTCGACGGTGAGGCGGCGAGGGTGAGCGGCGGCCGGAACGAGGCGGTGGGGACGGCGGATCGTCACGTCCGCGGCCGTTTCGTGAGGGCGAGCGGCGGCGGCGGTTGGAGCGTCGGGAGTCGTCAGAATCGGTATCGCTGGGGGACGAGTCCGAGTCGGAACTAGAGTCGGTGTCCGAGTCCGAGTCCGAATCCGAGTCTGTTGCGTCAGAAGATGAAGATTCGTTCTCGAGCATAGCCCTGCGCTGCTCCATTATGATTCTCGGCGCATTCTAGAGGAGCAGTCAGGCACTCGCGATATACATGAGCATGGATTGACCACGTACCTTCAGATGCTCACGCATCTCCTCTGTCACGACACCAAGACCAATACTTGTGAAATAGTTGATGGCGAACCGGGTGTCCTTCGGGTTGTCCATGGGGAACATGCTATTGCACACCCTCCGGATCTCGTCGTCCTTGAAGCGCTCCGCAACCATCTTCAGGCCCATGGACTCCGTCATCTCCTGGAGCATGATCTTCAGGAAGATACGGCTGCTGGAAGTCGTATCATCTTCGGCGAGCCTAACGCATTCCATGACGCCCCATGAGATGGAGTCGGTGCAGAAGAGATGGCCGAAGAAACGAGCGATGTTCCGGAGACGATTTGTTTCGTATCGGTGAATAGTGGTATAGTAGTCCGTGAAAGCGAGCTCGAATGATTCGTTCCAAACCCGGTTCAGCTTGCAGAAACGCTCTCCAATTAAACCGTAGAACGTCGAGTACGATCGTTCCTGCGAGCAACATTCGATGATCATTTTGCACAACTCGATCTACGTGAGTTATGCGTTAGTTACCTCACATGAGCATCCAGTCATAGTAACATACCTCTTGGCCCTCCTTCAGTTGCACCTTCAGCAACTTGTGGACGGCTTCCTCGTAGTTCAGCGCGTTCATGATGGTCAAGTAGATGACACGTCGAAGATTGACCAAGTTGGTCTCGGTCCTGTCTTCGATGCCCTCCTTCTCCTCAACAGCTTCCTCCTGGTCAGAGTCCTCTTCGGACTCCTCTTCAGAACCGGACTCGTCGTCTTCATCGTCTTCGCCTAAAATTTCAGCCTTGATGGCTTTATACTTCTCTTCGTTCTCCAAGTAGTTCGGGTCCAGCTTGAAAATGTTGAGACCTTCCTGGACCTGAAGTTCGTCCTCAAGAGAGACCTGGTGAGTGATCTGCTCATCCTCCTCGACCAAGTCTAAGCCTTCGGGGATAATGGGATTGTCCTTGAACTTGTCCTTCCGAACCTGCATGAGGACTTCGATCATGTACTGTACACGGTGGCTAATGGCACCCTCGTTGAGCACAGCACGAAAGCGCTCGAAGACGGAAGCGTTGGCTTTGGGTGAGTTCTCCGTGAGGAATGCACCAACTTCGCGCATAAAGCCGACAGCGATTTCGATGGAGTCGTCGGTAGGGCGTTCAAGCAGAAGGATCAGGATTTGAAGAGCGAGAATCTCGTGAGCGACTTGCTGGTTCACGAGGTGGGCGACGAAGGTAGTGGTAGAATGACATACAGTCTATAGTACGTTGTCAGTGGAAACAGATGACATCCCGCAAAAGTGGAGTTCGCACCTTGTCATTACGCTTGAATGACCTCCTGAACTGACTGATCAAACGGGTGACCACCAGCTCTCCCACCTGAGGCAGCTTCGTGTTGATGACAGCGACGAGAGCAGCGAATACGGGTGTGAAGGGCAAACTGGCAGCTTGAGCCTTCATGATGCTCCTAGCAAACAGCCCACGACCATGAATAAGATTCTCCTGAAACAGTTCGGGGAGGACGTTTTTGATGTTCAGAACGTTGACTCGATTGACAATACCGGTGATAGACTTGCGCAGCGCATCCCACGAGAGTCGCTGGTATTCTGCGCTGGTCTTGTCCTTGGCAGCGGCTTCTTGAAGAGCACGAAGGCGGGCAGGCGGCATGTACACGCCGCCAGAGCGGGTGTTCGTGAGCTTGGCGAACTCTGCTCTTGCATCGAGGTCCTTCTCCCTCTCCTTCCCCTTGCCCTTGTCTTCGCCCTTCTCCAGCTTCTCCAACTCCATGGCTGCAACACGGGCAGCCAGCGCACGCTCTCGTTCTGCGCGCCGCTCGGGGTCAGCATCCTGGACTTTGGGAACCTCAACCAATCGAGTCCTGGGTGGTGGAGATGCCGACCTGCGACGTGTATATGGAGGAGCGTCAGAGCTCTCCGGTGAAGGAGACCTGGATGTAACCGTTAATTTGCATGCCACATAACCATCACAGTTGCATGCACACCTCTTCCTCTTTTGAAGTGAAGCATCCACGTCCATAGATGCAGTCGGGCTCATGGTCGCGGTCGCCATCGTGGCCACTGTGCAAGGTGGAGGGGAACACCAACCAATTTGACAAGCTTTCGGAGAGCGGCGGCTATCGGGCGCAGTAGTTTTCCTCATCTGGTTTATAACAGTGCAAATTCTGGCGAGTTCATTGATTGTCCTGATTTTGCCTGTCTATGGAAATTCCCTCACTGTGATTCTCAATGAGCGTCCGGACTCTTTCCTGCACCGATGCAGCGTCCATTGGGGCGATAAATACGCAAGAGTTTAGTCCAAGAGACTAGTGACAGAACACCGACAACCTCTCGAGATGTCAGCTTTGCCGAGTTTCCCGCCAATTACCAGAGTATGTGAATAGCTCGCATTCTGAGGCTCTGAAGTGGAGCTAACCACTCAACAGCTGAGTAAGAACGTTGTGAGGCTTCTGGGACAGGTACAGCCCAAGTGAAATGAACATTCAACAAGCTAATTGCTGGTTCAGAACCCAGGAAATTTTACACTACAGGGTACGACTACCCCCTCGTGACCATTTGGTTGGCGGGCTGACGTGGTCGTAGGAACCAATACGTACCTCGTCGGCCAGACGAGCCCGTATGTCCTCATTGACACAGGTGAAGGGCGGGATGCTTACATCCCCATACTCGATGAAGCTCTCGGCTCGCCTTCCAACGATCCAAATGTCCCAGAGATAGGCGACATCATTCTCACTCACAGACACCACGATCACACAGACGGTCTTCCCTCTGTACTTGCTCTACTTCGACGTCGTTGGACTAGTAAGAACCCAGATATCGCCTTCCTTGCTCCCCGAGTGCACAAGCTCCCCCTTATGACGCCGAAACTCAGCGCTGTGCTGGAGACACTTCCCCAAGGTTCCTTCGCACTGAACGCCTCAGGCAGCGTGCTACACGATCTACACGAGGGCCAGACCCTCCCCGTCACTGCCGCCGACGCAGGCACGAAAACTAAAGGCATGTTCCTCGAGGTCGTGCACACGCCAGGTCACACTCCCGACTCGCTCTGCCTCTTCTTCGACGCCGACCGCGCGCTCTTCACGGCCGACACCGTGCTCGGGCAGAGCAGCACCGTCTTCGAGGATCTCGGGCAGTACATGGCGAGCCTGCGCAAACTCGCTGTGCTCAATGGTACGGGTATCGCGCGGCGGTACGACACGCTCTATCCCGGGCACGGCCCCACCGTGCCGCATGGTCACGTCGAGCTGTACCTTCAGCACCGCGTCGAACGTGAGAACCAGGTCCTGCAGGCGATACGCACTCCGCCTCTCGAGGACAATGCCTGGACAACGTGGACACTCGTGCAGAACATCTATGCGCGTTACCCCCAGGGGCTCTGGGAGCCTGCGGCGCAGAGCGTGAACCAGCACCTGGAGAAACTCGAGGCCGAGGGGCGGGTGCAACGGCTTGGTGGAGAGGAGAGGCATACGCAATGGAAGCTCCTTGCGTGAGGCGAGTTGGAATTGTAGAGCGCGGGGATGTATTGCTAGAAGAAAATAAGACTATACAAGCTTGTGAGCTAATGTCACACCAAGTGTAGAATATGATGACAGGAGATCTGTATCCACAAAGTATCTTCACTTTCACAGGGCATCGAAATTAATGTGGTGCGACGCTCGTCTCCGCTCCAGTTCGTCTTCTCGCTGTAAATACCAGCGGTGAGCCAGGTATATCTCTTCGTGAATGCTGCGAGTCTTACCTTCTCGTTTAAGTGTAGTACGAACGTTATGATTGCCAGGATGATGGCTGCACCGACCACCGCAACGGTGACCCAGACGATCCACTCGCCTGGCCTTAGGTACAGCTCCTTCCTCCACAAGCCGTCACGTTCGATGGGCGGGATAATGACGACCTTCGAGTTCGGGATGACACCCTCCATGTTAATGAAGTGTTCGTCGCTGTGCAGCGTCGACCCGACAAAGAGATTCTCGATGTAGTTGTTCGTGCGGCCCAGGCCGAAGTAGGAATACGGAGTGAGGAGGCTCTGGTAGCCAGTCTGCGGAAGCTGGGCGGCTAGGCGGATGATGTTAACTCGCGGTTGCGGCTGTGGGATAGGATCAACGCACCTGCTGCTGCGGATCTCCTGCCTGAAGTGTCTAGAACGGTGTACTTGTAGGTTGCGCCAGAATAACTGATCCCGAAGGGCTGGAGATGTTATATTGACCATACATAGAACGTGATAACGATATTCAGCAGCACGTACATGGTATTTCAGGCTGGAATTGGGCGCAGTGCATAGAGTAGATCCGCAGGCGCCATTGAGTACTACAGCATTCGGTTAGTACGGGTTGAGTAATGGGTTCGTAGAAGTGCCCACCAATGGCTTTCAGGAAGAACGCATCATAATAGAAATTGTTCTGGACGAAAACAATGTTACCTTCACCCTGACGATCCGTCCTTTGGACCATGATGTCCAAAGTACCCTGCAGGCAATCAAAATCAGTCGCATTGCACAGGCACGTGGATTCACGACTCACGTCTTCGTCCAAATCCAAGAACGCGATGCCCTTGGCATCCTTGATGCCGCTCAACACCTCCGCTCCCTTTTTGAGGACGCTCCATCCTCTACGCCCCTTGCCGTTGGCCGCACACCCAGGCACGCCCTTCGCGCACGGCACACTGAACGCGAGCATCGGCGTCCTGTCGCTGTTATACCCCGGGCCGGATGCTACGACCGCTAGCATGTCGGGGAACCCATCGTGATTCGCATCGCCCAGCTTAATAGGCAGCGGCACTGCAGGGTTCACAGACGTGTCGAGCACGAGCAGTGACGGTGACTGTCCAGGGAAGATGGACGCCACGGGCGTGCGCACAAATTCAGGGTTGTCTGCGTCTTCGTTCAGGTTGAACTGGAAGTCCGGGTCGGCGACGCACAGCTCCTGCGGCTGCCGGCACACGCGTCGGCCGTTCTTCATGCTAGGCGTCGTCGCAGATGCACAGAGCGGCAGCTGCTTGTTGTAAGCGATGTTGATTGCACACCCCGAGCCGATACCCGTGGATGACGAGACAGAGTCGCAGGTGATGAAGAGCATATCGATGGTTCCGTCGCGGTCTACTTGGCCGTTAGACTTTCGGTTTGCGGAGGGAATGATGTGCTTACCAATGTCGGCAAATGACACCGTTTGGAATCCTCGAGGGAAGTTCCCGACTTGAGCGAGAGAAAAGCCGTCATCCTTGTTGTTCACCCATATCTGGAATTGTTTGTCGCGGCCGTTATCGCAAAGGAGGAACAGATCTACAGCAGGATAAGCTCAGGAAAACTCTTTGCAACCTCAAGGCCTTCACCAGCTAAACAGTCTCCATTCAAGTCTACGGCAGCATTGCTATGGGGATTGGAAAGTTTGCATCGCGCATCACCAAAGTGCGGATCGGTTCTGCAAGAAAACGCGGAGATATTGAATAGAATGTCCTACGTACAGCGGCAGGCGTGCTACATACAAGTTGAACATAGAAGCGGGCTGAGAGGCGTCCCAGGCGTTCTGCCAGACTCTGAACTCCCCGTCAGATGATGCTGACGGGATGGTCCCGAAGAGGTCGATCCTGAGATTCCCGTTCATGTCCATGGGTATAGGTTGTGCTTGTGCTGAAGCGGGGGCTGAGATTGGGTCTAGGTCTGTGCGTAAAAATATAGTATCACTGATCCTGTACGAGCAAGAAACATCACGGTCACTTACTGAAGCCTCCCTGAGGTAGGGCGGCGTATACTTGGAGCGACACTTGGCCGCGGTCTTGGCCCATCACAAGCATATCCAGCTTGCCATCTTGTGTGAAGTCTCCCGGAACGACGTTCAGAACTTTCTGGCGGTGCCTGAATGTGTTAGACTTCACGAAGGTGTAGCCCTCTACCCGAACTTCAGCGCATAGTGCGCGGAAGGAGCGAGGGTCGCGTACCGTGATCCCAGATGTACACTGCCAACTCTTGCTGGTCGGGTCCTATGGCAATTAGATCTAGGCTAGATGCAATAAAAATCAGGCGTTCACGCTCCAATCTGCTTGATGAACATACAACTGGTCCCCGTTGAAGTCACCATACGCAATGACCCTATCATTAGAGTCCAAGCCCATCGCACCCGCACTCAACATCGAATTCCCACTGAACCGTTTCGGAGGAAAGGGCCATATTGCGTTTGCTTGTAGTCCTGCGAAAGAAAGAGCCAAAAGGAACAGTACGGGGAGCATCGTCTTATGGCATGTAGAGAAGTCCGGGTAGGCAGCCAGAGTATTCCAGAGCCACGCAATCTCGCGTAGTTGGCGCGTCACCAATTAAAGCGCAGCGGAAGACCTTGAACAGCTGCAGAAAGTCGTGAAGACACTTGCTCTTGACAAAGCAGATGCCGGAGCCAGAACCCAGCTGGTGGTAGGAGAGCAAGCTATGTACGGGCGTCTACTGCGACGCGTGCACTCCGCTGAGGTTGGTGTATACTCTATGTACCCGTTTCCGTCTAGCGATCCTATACGCACAGTTACTAGGCAGCTGAATATATGCGTATAAGCCATATCCAAGTTCAACCACAAAGCCTTATAGGACTTTCGACATCTCGAATAGCATTGAACCAGAAATAGCAATACACGACGGCCAAATCCCAAAGCTAATACACAACAACTTACATTTCAGTGCTGCATATAAGTTTGTGGCCCACCGGGCGGAGGTGGTGGAGGCATCATCCCAGACATCATGCCCGGTGGTGGCGCGCCCGGCATGCCTTGCGGTGCGAAGCCGAGCGGGGGTGGGGGCACGAATCCAGCGGCTGCGGGGTTGAAGACCGGCATGTTCGGTGGTGGCGGGGCACCCATCGGCGGCGGCATTGCAGGCGGAGGCACACCCATGGGCATTGCCATGGGCTGGGGAGTGAAGCCTGGGGGCGGGGGAGGAGCAGCCAACGCGCCGGCGAATTGACCTTGGTATGGTCCTTGGAAGCCAGGAGCACCGAAGCCCATTGGTGCTGGCGGGGGACGAGCACTGACAGGGAGTGCGTTATTTTTCCGTGCCTGCGCAGCGAGGAGACGTTCCGCGGGTGTACCATGCCGTTCGCCCTTGCCATCCTTCTTGAAGGCATATTGCACAGTGATAGGCTTGTTCATCAAGAACTGTCCGTTCATTGATTCAATAGCAGCATCCGAGGATTCGAAATCTGTATATGATACGAAACCGTATCCTTTTGACTGACCACTCTGCGGGTCTCGTGCAATCTGCCACAGAGTCAGCAGGGCATGTCATTGATAAACATGAGTACGCACCTTAGCTGTAGTAGCCATCACTCCGAATGCGCTGAAGGTGTCGTAAAGTAGCCGTTCGTCTACGTTCTCGTCCAAATTGCCGATGAACAGGTTTGCGCCAACGTCTAGCTGTTTTTTGTCGGACGAAGCCTATGACACATGCGACACGTCAACAACCGTCATTACCATACTACGCAGCTTATTGACGCACCTTGTTGACACGTATAGGCTTCCCCCACAGCTTGATTTGATTCATAATCTTACAAGCATACTCAGCATCTTCCTCCGTCAGGAATTCACAGAAACCGTAGCCTTGGTGAGCCATAGAGATACGATCCTTTGGCAAGTGTACGTTCACTGCGCAGAGTTAGTACACATTTTATATGCGCAGAGCTGTCGCTCACCTACTGGCCCTGCCTGCAGCATGAGTTCCCAGATGAGCGCATCTGTACAACGCTCGTCGAGGTTTCCCTAAGGTAGGCGGTCAGAAAAAGCAGCCGGATATCCATACAAGACGCCAAACGCACCAAATACACTGTTGCTTCCTGATTCCTATCGTCTTGCGGTCGTGACATATTTGGTTTTGAGGTGAAGGTGGGTGCTGCAAGCTGGCCGCCGCGTCCTGCCCGGGGAGAAAGCGCGACTTGGCGCCGGAACACCCCAGATTGGGCAGGACGGTTTCCACGCCTTGGTGCCTTGCTGGCGGTTGGCCCGTCCGTGCGCAATACAATAATGACGACGCTGGCGCAGTCAAAAACTTTCTTTCACGAAAAGAAAAGGAAAAAGCACACAGTCATCAGATTCACATGAATTCTAAATGATGAAGAATCAGAGCACCTGTATGGTAGTCGTGGGCGAGGTAGGGGCACTCAAGCTCTCCACTTACTGGCAGGTACAATTCCCCATAAACCCAATTGTCGACTAAAGACTACAAAACATGAAAGTAAAGCGTAGTAGAGTTAGGAAGAAAGGTGCAAACGGAAAGTAGAGTACGGGGCTATTGCGTGTTCATGAATTGACGAGCAAATGGGAGAACGGGATATATCGATATATCGTGAGACGATGAACATGACTGTCGTGAACGAAGGAACAAAACCGAGGGTGTCTAAGCTGCTGGTATCTCAGACAATAACGCATTTGGGCTTCTTCTTCACGACAGGTGGCTCGAGCGCCGCTACGATAGCCTATCGCGGGATGTCAGTGTATGCGGTTGCCTGGGGTAGCCGAGAACAACGCACCTCATCGAACACATTCTTCAGGCCCTTCTGAGTGAGCGCAGAGCACTCGACGTACTTCACAGCACCCAGTTCCCGTGCAAGTCGTTCACCCTGCTCGGCGTTGATCGGCCTCTGCTTCTGTCGTTGGAGCTTCTCCAGAACTTGGGGATCGTCCCGCAAGTCGATCTGCGTGCCGACAATCAGGCACGGTACTCCAGGACAATGGTGGTGGACTTCGGGGAACCACTTCTCCTTCACGTTCTCGAACGACGCAGGGGAGGTGACGCTGAAGCAAACAAGGAAGACGTCCGTTTGGGGGTATGATAGTGGACGCAGACGATCGTAATCTTCCTGACCTAGATATCAAAGTGCGCCGCTAAGCAAGGACAGCAAGGCACGGTAGGTCTTGGAAAGCGCACCAGCAGTATCGAACAGACCCAGCGTGTACGGGTCTTCACCGATCATCACAGTGACGGCGTAATTATCGAACACCTATCTTGACGGTTTGCATATGTTTGCAGCCGAAAGGCTGCCTTCACTCACAGTTGGAACATATTCACTTGGGAATTTGTTGGTAGTGTAAGAAATCAACAAGCACGTCTGGGCTGCCTTGAGCTTCAGAGACCCATGGTCGACGAAGGGAGCGACGTACCTTTCCCACTGCACCATCTCCAACAACAACACATTTGATTGTTTGCATACTGCTCCAGCTGGTCTATCGAGACAGGTGCGGAAAACTAGTGACAACGGTAGGTTATCAGTCAAGAGCACGTTCAACATGCAGAGACAGGCCCGGCGCTCGAGTAGACGTGGACTGATCCCTCCGCGCTCGCACAGCCCTGCACACGAGGTATTCAGCTCACCTTCTTGTATACAGGGTAATCGTGAAGAGTAGCAACAAGCTCGAAGGAGTCGCGTCTTGTCGGGTGCCAACGTCCAGGAGTATTTTGTCTTCCAGAAGTCAACCACGGGTTGAACCCAACCTACGGCTAGTAGGAATTGTCATCCAGGTCGGACTGCGGTATGCAGTGCAGGTATCAAACACACGCACCTCTGAACACACGAGCGGATCGCGATAACGAAGCACAGCACGCTGTCTAGCACGGTGAGCGGAGGCGAGGGATGCGGCGAACAGTCCTGTATTGGCAGCTGCTTCACGAACGCCTGACAACTGTCGAGGGTTTCACTGCCATTCTAGCCGGAGCCTGCCCTCAAGTGACCTTACTTACCGAAGGTAAGTACAAACACTGACTGAGTAAACAAACTGTATATTCAGGTAACAGCTAGTAACAGCCGCCAGTGTGACCTGGCTACGGTGACGTGCCTAGGGCTTTAATGTGTTGTCACAGCGACATCATCATAGCTGCCGACTCGCGCATGTGGCGAATCTACGGCATTTCCTCTGCATACGAACTTCACACCACAAAATCCCCCACGGCTAACCTTAAGAGGCGTGCAGCACCAGGTGTCATATAGGGCACTTGAAAGTGCATGACTATATGGCACCAGTAATAATGTAGGTGATATGCGCACATAGGGAGCATGCGGGGACTATCTTACGTCCACTACCATTGCTATTTTAGATGTCGTCCGTCCTGACGGGGGAAGCAGCGCAGCCTGATAAATCAGAGAGTGCTTGGCCTCAGACGCTGCTGATAGCGGTTAGGAGGCTCAGTTGTCCACTATCGAGTCCGCCGTCACTATGTTGGCGTCTGAGGCATGTACGTTGCCATGTTGCTCGGCAGAACGATGCGACAACGGCCCCGTCGCAGGGATGCAGGGCCGTTCTGCCAGATCAGAATACTCCACAGCGTGATATAGATTCCGAAGCTCACACGACATCTACCACGAACCCTTCCGGTTCTCACTCCCATCGACCGGGGGCTGCGAGAACCAGGTCAACTGTCCTTGGCGAGTGCCCGTCAAAATGTGCCCATCAGACACCTGGCTACCGTCGAAACTCTGGGTAGTGGTTGTATCAGTATCAGCTCCTCAGATAATGATAGGAGCTCACCGCAACAGCCTGTATGCTGTGGTCTGCACCAAGATATCACCTGTCAGCAATTGGCTTGCAGCGACGAACAGTTTCGCACCTTCCCCATGGCAGAGTCCGTGAATGATAGCTCCTGAAGCACGATCCCAAACTAACACGCAGCCCTGCGTGCTCCCAAAGAGGAGTGATGCACCGCGCGCGGCGAAGAGTGCACCAAAGTCATATGCTGCTCCAGCCTGCACTTCAGACTCCTCGGGTGAGTACGCTTGTTCGACCTGGCCTTGCCCCTCATGCGTGATATTCACGAGGATGCACGAACCAGCCTGCGCGGCAAGGGCGTGTGTGCCGCGTGGGTCAACATCGAGTGCGAAGCTGAGCGGATGGTCAGTGAGCGTTTGCTAAGGAAGGCACGCTGCTACATACAGTTTTGACCGCAGAAAGGCGGACGCCCGCAGCGTCCCGTTTGGTACCTGACAGTGCCAGCTGACGGGGTGCATGTGAGATCCGTTTTGTGATGGAGATAGGGAGCACATACAGTACACCATCAGCCGTGCCTCCAATCAAGGCTTCGCCTTCCCCTATGAACCGTATGGCGGTGACGTTTTGCCGCACAATAGACCGTTGTGGGGTCCAAGTGCCTAGAAACAGTCAGCACCCGTATCACGCTCCAAGCCCAAAAGATGCACCTTTTATGAACAGCCAGACCTTGACGCCCGAACGAGGGTACCCAATAGCCATGTGGTCCCGATGGTATGCCAGGCAACACGGCATGTCTTCGCCTTTGCCACCAGCGTTTAGAATCTTGGCCCACTGCCACTTGTTTGCAGCCTGCGTTCGCACCATGAGCAAAGTTTCTTGCACATAACGAATCAAAACATACTGAGCGCGTCCACGTACTAACAATCCCGTTCTCGCCCAACGTCACGACGCCAGAATCGCGGTCCATCCACGCGACAGAGGTGATGTGCATGTTGTGCGCAAGTTTGGCAATCTCTGTACGCGACTTGTTGCTCCATATGCGTACGCTCTTGTCATTACCTGCACATACCTATCAACAAACCCGTAACGCCGAGACAATGTACAGATACACTTACAGATAACTGCAAACAAACCGCCGTCAGAGCAATACGTAATAGAGCGCACACCGACGTCGTCATCTCCTTTCAGCTTGACCGAATGCAAGCCATTGGAAGTCGGCCATTGAAACGCTTTCGCTCGTCTAGCTTCAGGCGTTTCAGGCGTAGGCGAAGCTGCACGCTTCACACCGCGATCAGACGGCCACGCAGGCGTGGGCGTATTGTGTGCAGGAGCCGCCGGCGGAAGGAAGCCCGCATCTTGCGATGACTTGGTGGATTTAGGCGAGTCGCTAGGGTTTGACGACGAGATTGGTGAGCCTGGGACCGGTGTGGTAGGTTCATACATGTCCCTAGGCTCTGGCGAGGGATACCGTCCGCGGGCTCTTGACCGTCTGGGGCCCCTGCCCCTCGGGGCCTCTGCGATCCCCTTCAGTGCGCATAAAGGGGCGAATATAAGCGTGACGCACCATTCGAAATGCCGTCACCAGGACCATTAGTACCCCATCCCCGATCCAATGCACCTCCATTGGGCGGACCTACCATACCAAGTATGCCTTGCCCTTGGGGCCCCACCATCCCATTCTGCCTCCGCACGCGCCCGCCGCCTCCGTTTGCTCGGGTGTGGGGCCAGCCACTTCCGATGTGCACAGGCTTCTTCGAGCCGTTTGTCTTGAGCGGCGCGGCCGTGCTGAGCTGCGGCGGGAGTGGCCCGTTCGCCTTCCACTTGTTCCCGGCTGCCGGCTTGATGTTTAGTGGATTCGAGTACGAGCCTTCGCCTACGAAAGCGAGAGACCGATAGTCCGGCGGGAACTCTTGGGGCTCGGTCGGCGTGCCGGCTGGCTGTGCTTTGCGAGTGTCTGGCGATGGGGGGTACGGACTCTGCTGCCTCAGTGGTCCGCCAAAGCGGGACATGCGTGGTGCGGTAGGAACGGGGCCGAGGCGGTTCACAAACTGAGCCAATAAAACACCTGGCGATGGCTGAGTGACTGACGAAAGTGACGGCACGTCCTCCACCTTGACCTTCGAGCTCGATGCCGGCGACGACGGAGGGGAGAGCTCGCGCCACTTACGTGGGGGCGAATGTGATGACGAGGGAGCTGGAATGGACGGGGTCGGCGATGTCGCAGACCTCTCCGTAACCTGTTTAGGCGAAGGGGGAACGGGTTGCACAGGCACTGGAGGCACCGTGCCTATAGAGATCGGTATAGGTTCCTTCTTTGGCGACACCGACGCTCCAGATGACTGCGCAGTAGACATATCCTATACATCAACGCAATGAGTACGTGAAGTAACAAGTGGTGTTATCGCACGAGCAATAAATGGCGCACCTGTGGTACAGCCTTTCCGGGTGGTGCACTGCCCACGAAATCAGTGAGCACTCCTCCACGGACAAACGGGTTTGGCACGGTTTTACGCTTAGGGACATATGGCGTTGCTGGCGTGGCCGGTCGCTGAATCACCTCAGTACCTCGCAGTTCGCCTTCCACAGAGGAATCAGACTTATTGACTCTAGCCGGCTGAGACGGTATGAGAGTGCTTGCAGCTGAAAGTAGCTCATCGACGCGCTCTTTGCTGGTTGCTACGGTTGCCACCGACGAAGAAGCCGTCACCGTCCCTGAAGTCCAAGCGGCTGGTTGAGCCGAGAGCGGCGGTAGCGAAAGACCTGGTGGCGAGTCAGAATCCGGAGACATGTTCGGGGGTGTGGGAAGGGGGGCAGATTTCGCAGCGGATGCCGTATCAAGCTGAGAGAGCTCTCCCTCGGATGGCATGGTGATCGAGAGACCAGGAGGGGAAAACGACGTGGACTTCACCCTTGCATTCGACTGTACATCCTGTTCCGATATCTGCGAGGTCGACAATTTAGGAGTGCTTGATCGTGAGTCCAACTCCATGGGAGATAGACTGCGGGCACGTTGGGTTGGATTCGCTGGGCGCCTTGCAGTTTGGGCCTTCAATGCAGACGTGGCGACGGCAGAGATCACTTCTGATTGCTTTGCTTGTACCTCAATAGCTGTAGGTGCAAGGGCCGCGGCGGTTGGAAGAGTCTGGACAGGCACATCCGAAATACGGACAGGGTCTGTTTGAACCTCTATGGACGCGTATGTGGGTTGTCCCTTGTCTTGTATTCGCATATCACCTTTTAGAATGGTCATTATATGTGAACGTGACCACTCACCGGTAATAGCGGGCCCGGCAATCTGCGTTTCTTGCCATGGCTTTCGCAGCTTCGGGGGAAGGATAGATAGCTGCGCTCCGGGTGGCGGCTCTATCCTGGACGGCTGAAGAGAAGCACTCGGTGTCAAGTCGTCCTCTCCAGACACCCTACCGGCAAACACGACAGGAGAGTCGAGAAACTTGCCGTCAGGTGTAGCAACCGCAAGTAACATCTCCTTGCCTGGTCTGACTTCTATCCGCTTATGAGCAAATAGACTGAAGTACACTATTGACGAGTCCCCTTCATCGTCTGATTCTTCCGCGAGTTCCACTTGGCGCAAGACGACGTGGGCTTTCTGAGTAGACCCATGAGGGTGAAAACGTAGCTGTCCCTTTACACCAAGGACTGAGGCTACTGTGGGTTCTTCCGGGATTCTTGCAGGTCGAGAACCTGCTTCTTGAGCCATTTTCTGGTGGCCACTATCTGGTTGGCAACCTCAAAGTGAGTGGAGGAGCTTCAGCATAGAGAACGTTGCCTTCGAGGAGGTGGCCGTTTGTAAACACGGAATTTCCGGATCAGTTTGTAAACCATTATTTGTGCAAGGACTTATCAGACACTTATCTCGAAAGCGCGAAACAATGCTCGGAAAACCTGTAGCTTCTCGCTTACGCCTCTCAGCTAGCATTGCATCTTCAGAATCTCTACCTGTGCACGTCTGTATCATCATGGCTCTGTCGCCATATTATGTCGAAACAGAGCCTCTTACCCCAATTCAACATGACACGTTGGGAAACCTAAGACAGTAGGACTCAGGCTTTGGAAGCAACGCATATCCAGGTATTCTTCACTAGTGCTATGCAATGACTTTGGGAAGTGGTACAAGGAGGCAGATCAGATCATTGGTGCGCGCTCTTCAGCTAAGTTCGGGAACGCTGTCCCTCCATCGGATTCCTGACTTCTCTGCTGTCTCGATAGCAATTTGCCTGATAGCTGCGGCCTCCTCGCGAGTAGCACCGCCGTGCTGTGCGTTAGCCAGATGCCAAACGATCTGGCGAGGTGTGTCCATCGAGATGAGTGCGGCGACCAAGACATATGACACCTCGACCTGGGTCAAGACATCGGTAGCACCATAAGTAATGCCGTAGCCGACTGTGTTCGAAAACCAGCCTGCGGCGAAGTCAGAAAGCTATCGCGCTCGAAGCATGTTGCTGCATACCCATGTCGGGGTAGATCTCGTCTAGCAGGCCCTGCACGTTGTCGGCCGTATCCCGATACATCGCACGGAAGAATTTCTCTCCATTTCGTACGTATTCCTCCATCGTGGTCGACTGATCTCTGCATACCCATTGTCACAGTACCCCTACGGCCTTGAGTGATCAGCGTACCTCAAAGTCTGTTTGTCTCGCAGCTCTTCGGGCATGACCTCATGGAGGGCAACTAAGCTGTTGATGGCCTGCTTTCTGTCAGCGTGCGGTGCTCGAAGCGGTTCCTTTGAGAAGCCCATACCCGAGAGTACCCGCAGAGCAGACCACCCTTGAATACAGCCTCCCTCACCCTGCGCGCGAGGTAGAGTTGCTGGGCATGCGCCGCTTCTGTGCTCACGTTTTGCGCAGCCTGTGCTGACTTCAGTTCTGCCAGGACAGTCTGGAAGACAACGGGGACAGCCTCAGGGCGGTTACTGGAGCCGAACGCGACGGCAGCGGCGATGTACCATGGGTTGCGGATGACAGCCTCCGTTCCGCTGAGACTACGCAACGGATATATGGTCTTCAGGCGGTTGAGGAATTCTGTGGTCGCGAGCGCGGTCATATCGGTGATGATCCCCTCTATCGATGTGGGAGTTCAAGAAAAGCAGCACAGGTCGCAAATACGGGCATACATGCTTTATAAGACGCTATGACTCTTTATCATCAGAAATCAGCCTTCCTGAAGGCTTCTTTATCATTGTGAATACTGAAGTTGCCCTATATGGTGTGAAGCTTATGCGCCCGCCGGTAGCCTGTCCCTCGGTCATATAGTCCCGACTTACGACGTCAACATCGCGGCGTGATCGTATCTTTTATTCCCTGGTTTCATGCCTTAAAACGAGGAAAGTGTGGGGTTTGTTTTGAGAATCCAAAGGTTCACTGTCTCCCTGCAAACTTCTCCAAGCTTCGACCGAGGATGTCCTTCAGGTCCAAGAGTTCACTCGGCCGTTTATACCGGTTTCCAGATCTCTATCTTCTCTCAATCGACATCTCTAACCCACCATGTCTGTGTTCACTCTCTTCATTAAGGCTCTCCTCGTTGTGATCGCCTTAGCGCAGCTCTCTGCCGAGATTCGATGGACACCGTGACGCTCGTCGTGCTAGCGGACTGCGCTTGTCGCACTAAGGCAGCGAGCTCGGTAGGAAGTGCTCAAGCGCAACTCTTAGCTCATGCAAGAGGCCAGCACTATGGGATTCCAGAGCCCCAATCGCAACAATGCATTCGCCCGCCATCGTGATGCCCTGCTGACGAAGATCGAGCCGCAGGTCGGAGACGGCTTAAGTCGAGGTCAGTATGCGAGAGGGTTGTCAGGCTGCGCTTAAGGCTTACCCTGGACAAAATTCCCATTCTGCGAAAGCGTGGTCCATTTCATCTTTCCCGTCCCATTGCGCGGCGAGCTGTTCCAGCCTCTATCTGCATAGTACTTGGCAACCAAACCAGCCAGACGTCTCCAGATCTCAGCCCATAGAGTGCCGGCACCGTCGTCGAGAGGGGTCGGGGGTCTGTCACCTGTAGAAAGCGAGCTGCTGCCAGTGAGGGAAACGAGGCGTTGATATATGCGCAGATAAAGGCGACAGAGGCGGACATAGTCCAGGGGACCAAGCCCTCTCAGCTGGTGCTCGTACTTCCCATCCAACAACCTTTGCAGCCTGTGACATGACTGCTCCAAACACTTGATCGCCTCTGTACGTCAGGTCAGACTCAGTCGGAGATAGGACATGTGTCATTGTGGCCTACCGTCGCTGGATGCCTGGACAAGAACTTCCTTGCATAGCTGCCCGACCGCAGACTCTTCGTCCAGCCGATCCTGCTCGTGCAGTCCCGCAAAGAACAACAGAAGCCCGGAGCCATCTGGATCCTGCCACATCGACGTGAAGATTTTGATCGTGACCGACTGTGGCGCAGAGAATGACAGCTGACTAAGGGACATGATGACCTCCTTAGACACGTTTGGCCACGTCCCAGAGGGCAGATGGATCCTCTCAGCCGTATTACTCAGCAGGTCCCTGACATCTTTGAGGACTCGCTGCCGCTCCTCTCCGTGCAGATGTGGCTCGCAGTCCATGCCCTGAATGACGGCTGCGAAAGACCGGTGGGTATGAGTCGAGTCATTGAGCTTGCTGCAGAGGTACGGCGTATACAGCGCAAGTGAGTTCCTCAGGACTATGCCGTTCTCACATACGTCCAGGTACTTGGATGCCGGCGGAGGGGATCGTGGGTGGTAGATGGATTTGCCCAATTCGATGGCTGCTGTGCGATTGCTGAAGCAGTCGCGGAGAATGTGAGCAAATATCCAAGACGAACACATCCTCCCTTCAAGGCGTGCGGCCTCGATCCAGGACCACTGCTCCGCTGGCGACGGCACCAGAAGTTGAAAGTGTATTGTGATCTTGGCTTCCTCAACAACATTCTCCCACTCGAAGTATCTCAATGAGCGTTAGCATCGAAATCTCACGCGCGGCAACAGGACATACCGTGCATGGGCCCAAATCTCAATCTTTCTGCCCTCCTGAATTCTGCACACCTCTGCAGATGTGGCGTTCCATTCAAATTCGTAGGACTGCGTGTCCGGATCACCACGGCGGTTGGTCACAAGCCGGGGACCGCCGTCGACGTCGATGTCGAGTCGCCCCTCGGTGCACATAGTAAACCACGTCCAGGGCCTGTTGGACAGCCGGTCAGGACCCGGGATCCACCCTTGGTCGTGGCTTCGGATGAGGAGAGAGACGTGCATGATCCTGTTGGATTGTGCCTGAGTTAGGGGTATGGCGAGCACGAGAATGTCGTCATCGACTGCTATTCTCCGGCCGCTGGACTGCGAGATGGTGGGGAGACAGTAGGTGTAACTGAAAATCCTGTCCACGACACGACTCGGGAGGATCTGCCTAAGCAAGGACCGTGTGCGAACTACATCTGCACACGTCAACGCAGAACGGGTTATTGTCGCTAAAGAGCCAGCTGGTTAGCTTTGATGTGCAGAGGGGAAGGATAAACACACGACGCACGCAGGTTATATGCAGTGTAATCCGGTGGCAAATTTTGGGGAGTGCATCTACTAGAGTTGACCCCTCTGACATGTCCGACAGAATGCTCTCTGCAGAGCAGCTCGCTATTTCGACAGTATGTAGTTTCGGGCTGGGAGGAGCCGCGCGATACGAAGCATCGTCCGTACGACGTGGAATGAACCGCGCGAGCCACTGAGCAAGAGTCTTCAACATGATGGGCGGGATGAGGGATGGGGAAAGCAATTCTTATAAGAGAACGCAAGGGAATTGGCACAGAGCCCATGGCTAAGCGCTCGCGGATGCGTTTCGATCGCTTTGATCTCCAGCTGCCGACATTTCATTCGTTGGACGCTGTTGCGCGCCACCGCATTTCCCCCACCGCCACATTTGCCTCCGCACGGAATTTGTATATCCGCCGTGAGGAGACCCGGGCTCTTGGTGTGGCGTAACGACATGTATGAACCTGGGGCAGGCCCTGAACGGACATGGACTGAGAGGTTACGGAACCTCAGGCTCGGGGCAAGGATAGTGCTCTCGCGGAGTATCCACATTCCCCTTCCCAGGACTGCTAGTTTAGTTTGGACCTATCGACCCGGCTTTATAGCGCGTCGGTTTCGTTAGTTCCGATCAACATGAGCCGTTTGCATTCCCTCACGCTGTCGCATTTCCCTATGCACAGACATCGGAAGACCACTCTTCATGCTGGCTCAGTGCACGAGTGGGAAAGTCCGTTGTTCGAGCGTGAGTGTTAAAAAAGTGAATCTCTACGCGGAAGTGCATGGGCATCGGGGGGAAGTGCATAGCCTGTTCTGCCAATACGGGATAGACCAGATCTCGAATGGATGCTTCATTCATGGGTAGGTTGAGACTTCCCCTTTCCCCGGAAATTCCCAGAAAAATTCGTGCGCCACCGGTATTCCATTTGCAAAAGGAATAGAGAACTCCAGGAGCTGTAGAGCGTAGAGTGCGGCAGGTACGGGACATCTGAGCTGCATGAGGGCGATTTAGCAAGGACATAAAGGCACATCCCAGTTTAGGCCTATCTAAACCGTCGAAGGGCTCCGGGGGTAACAGGTGAGTACTAGAGTACCAATACCCGCTGCCAGTCGTTCTGCGTCTGAAACTCACAGCTAATGTAAGTGGCGTCATTTAGGTGTGTGTTGCAAAGTATTATTTACAAGAGCCAACGTTGGAGATTGTGCGCACTGCGCAGCCGTGCGCAACCTGTGCGGTCACGTTATGTGGCGCTCACATCCTATAAAATCATGGCGCTTATTCCTTTTTTCAACACGCGGATTAACTCAACGATACTCAGCAGCTGCAATCGTTATGAGCACCTTACACAACATCGAAGCTGGCAAAAAAACGCTCGGTATTGTGGATACACGACATCCTGATGGTATCAGGCCTGCTGTGAGTCCTCAATTCGTCTACACTTGGCCTGAAAATCTACAACTGATTGTCTCTCTTTTTCCCTGCCTCCTTTGCTGCTTCGCAGATGCGCCTCAACTGGGATATACTCGTCGAAATCATGTCTTTCTCAGACAACGCAGATGCCAGCCGAATGTCGCGGACTTGTCGCACTCTCCTCCAGGCCGCTCCAAAAATCCTCCTGTCACGAGAAGCCGTTTCGCTCTGTGGTCCCGAACAACTATCATCATTTCTCCAGTACATGCTCTGTGGAAGGTATAGCGGCTTTCGCTACCTAAAACGACTGAAGCTGCTGGCGGGGTGGTAGTTGGACGACATTCCTCAGGTAGAAGAGCGCCTTGCAAGTCTTTTTAGGCAGGCCGCGGAACTCAAACTCGTTATGTTCTATAATGAGTTCCTGGAAATTGACACAAGTATAAACCGCACCCTCACGAATCTGTCGAGGCTCCGAACAATCCAACTTAGCGATGCCACCGACCCCGCAGCTGAGCTGCTCAAGGAGATGCAGGCACCACTTACGGGCATTGATGCGAGCTTCTTCGACTATGTTGATTATTGGTTTGACCCTGTCGAGACTTTCGCACGTTTCAGACATTCGCTGCGTGCCATGAGCCTGGCTTTTGTTCGTTTCGCCAGCGCTGATATTCAATATCCCCATGTTGTCAGCCTTTCCGTGGAGCGCTGCAGATTTGAAGACCTGGAGCACATCGTGCACTGTTTTCCAGGTCTGCATGATCTCAAACTACACGGAATCTCATTCGATTTCATGGTGGAGAATGACCTCGAGGAAGAGCGACTGTCGAACCTTGCATCACAAGCACGCCGTACATGGTCATCACTCCATCGACTCTCAGGCGATGTCTTGGGGCTATACATACTCGGAATACGCTGCAGGGTGGATCATGTCAGTGTATCCTGTCAACCGCTGAACTCAACGGTCGATGGTCAAAGGCTCGCTGCTATTCTCGCCGATGTTCGACCGACAAGTCTTGATATCAGGCTCCGTCTACCGGAGTTTAAGGCATTGTCGCTAGCCGAATGCCTGACTCCCGTGAGGGACGGGTTGGCTGAACTCAAGCTGCATCTTACCTATCACGGCAGACAGCACGAGGACCCTAGTTCCAACATAGTGTGTATTTGTCCTGTGCCCATAAATTCGCAAGCTGACTCTTTTCTTTGCCAGAATGACATGCTCGAAACGCTATCGAGATTCCGCCTACATACGCTCGACCTTTATGTCAACTGGGAGTGTGATCAGACGCTCGCAGGACACTCACGGGCACCTGGTCCGATCAAGAATGACCCGTACATCGAGAAGCTCGACCTGGTGGCCATAGCTCAGCACGCTATGCGGTGTTTACCGGCCCTTCAGCTCATCGCTATTGACAATGCAGACCCTCTGAGAAGACAATTGTTCGAGGTCGCCAACAGCGAAGTCGGTTCCCAGAGCAGTAAGGCGTTGGCTAAGCTGGTAACGGGAAGCACAGGATGGGAGAAATTCAACGGGTCGATCATGCATAAGCCGTGGTGGGACGCAAATTGTTCTTGGTATTGGGGCGAATAGACGTACAGTAGCCATACGAGCCTTACACCGCCTTGAGCTTGTAATTACGATGCTCGTGACGGTGCCGACTGAGCGAGCGCAGTAAAGTCCGAGACTTCTCGAATCAGAATAAAAACGCGGACAGCACAAGGCCAAGTGTTCGAGAGCCTGAGACGAGCTAGCTCTTTATATAGTCTGATCTACTGCAGACTTCAGTGCAGTGAGGCTGAGCTTGATCATGATGCATGATGCATGAGCCTTGAAGCTTGAAGCTTGAAGCCAGACGGCGGGCGCTCCCAGTTAACGATTAAGCTCTCCTTCGTCCATCACTTCGAATCCACTTCACTCATGCCTACAAGCGGTAAAAGGAGTGCAGCTGATACACCGACAGACGAAAGCGCTGGCAAAAAGGCAAAACCATCCGTACAACCATCGGGTGGTGGGCCAAGTTCATCGCGCGGACCGACTCCCGCGGCACGATCGTCAACCAAAACGACCGATGCCATGAAGGATTCGGAGCATGCGATGGGCGTCGACACTCCGGAACCTATCATCCAACGCGACAAGAAGAAGAACAGCAAGCACAAAGCAACTGAGCCTTCCACGAGTGGCGGCGCCGCCAAGGTCACGCACCGCAAGCTCGCACCGCCTCGTCCATTCCCTACTGTACCTACGTCTGTCTCTGCCACTGGCCCACGCTCTGCACACGTCGAAGGTAAGAATCACATATGCGTCACACGCAAGACACCGCTGGGCGCATATCTCAGACGGTGTAAAGATGTGGTGTTGAAAGCTGGGTGCGTGCCAGTGGCGAGTAGTCAGTATGCCATGGGACTAACGAGCGGATTCAGACACAAGACGCTGCATCTTCACGCCATGGGAGCTGCGATACCGCACCTGGTGCAGCTGTCCCTGTCACTGCCGGAAATACTGCCTTACAGCCCAGAAGAGATCGAGACGGAGGTGATGACAGGCACGGTCGAGGTGCAAGATGAAGTGATTCCGGAAGACTCGGACGAGGATATCTCGATTCGGTCGCGAGGCAAGTCGACGCTGAGTATCATTATGAAAATCACGGACGGGAAGGACGAGGGAGCACATACAGGCAAGGGGAAGAAGAAGCCCAAGAGCGGAACTTCGGACGTCAGGATGGGCGATGTAGGGAAGCGGCAGCAGAGGCGGGGCGGTCAGAGTGGCGAGAATGGTGGCGAGAACGAGGGGGAGGCTGGGGAGGGCGATGTACCCGAGCGAGTGGTTTTTCGAGCTGAAGATGTGGAGGAGGAGTAAAATAGCGGGTCTTTAGGCCTGATACTTGCAAGGAGTGGTCGCTCATACCGAGCCTATAGGGTTAATCTAGCTTCTGACACGTCCTTGCACCACCGCTCGCATCTTGCATGTGTTGATCCGCAATATATCACGCAGTTCACACCCGTTACGACCACAAATTGCACTCAGCCTCGATATCTCCACACAAGCTTGCAGAGTTCCAGGTTTATGTTTTCATTTTTCCACCAGGCGGCATCGCACGCAATCACGTTCTTGTGCGCGTGACGTCATATAGCTTACGTGAATCGCTGTGCGTAAGCCCTCAAGCGTCTCGAATATTCTCTTACCACCCTGCGCTGCGGCTCGCAGCAAGCTGCGCCCATCCGTCGCACTCTTGTGTTTAAGCCGTGACCGTCTCCTCAGTACACCGCACACCGCATACCCATGCACCACACCAATCATGGCCATTAATCCTAACGAAGACACCGAATTGTGAGCAATCATGCGCTGCAATCTCAAACTCTTCCGACCTGCCGCTCAGTAACGATGCTCTCCGCAAGCACGGCATCCTGCCACCCCGCCCGGCGACCCCTCCATCCCCCTCGCCACCGCCCCCGCCGTCGCTCCACGAGCGGCTCGAGGATCTAGACATCGACGAACTCCAGGACGCCGCGGAGGACGCCCGCGACGACGAGACCGCACGCGTCATCGAGCAGATCCGGAAGGAGCGCCTCCGCGACCTGGAACGCTTCCAGAGCGCACGCTTCGGGGGCGTGCACCCTATCGGCAGGGAGGACTACACGCGCGAGGTGACCGAAGCCAGCCAGGTTGACAGCGACGACGCGGACATGGCCGGCAAGGGCACCGGCGTGGTGTGTTTCCTGTACAAGGACGGGTAAGCAGCCAAGCGTCGCGTCTGTGTGGTGGCGGAGGGGCTTATAACCGACCGTGTCCTAGCATACCACGCAGCGACCGCGCGTTTGAGCATGTGCGGACCCTCGCGCAAAGGCACCCACATACAAAGTTTGTTTCGATTGTGGGGGACAAGTGCATACCGAACCTTCCAGACACGAGAATGCCGATGTTCATCGTCTACCGGAAGGGCGAGGTCATCAACCAGATTGTGGCCTGGGGTGCTGACCGAGAACGCAAAACTGAGGGTGTGGTCACTGTTGGCCCTACCTGGCTCATTTCTCACTCTCGTCGCAGAGCTCGAGGCCGTGCTCATCCTGGCGGGTGCAATCGTCCCGCAGCGCGGTGGTCCCTGTCGGAGAAAGAACGACGAGGACGACGAGCTGGAGGACGACGAAGATGACGACCCGTCGTCGAGAATGCGTTCGCATGTCACGAGCACAAACGCCAAGACACCGAAGAACATTAGGAAGAAGGAAGACGACGACTCTGACTTTGAGTTCGACCTGTAATCCAAGACTAACATAGCAAACAAGCCAATTTTCAGGTGCAATGTAGTAGTACATGATTCTGATTAATAAGCAGTGCGATCATCGCGTTTAGTCTGAAGCTTTGTGTAAAAGTCGAAGCAATCACTCTGGGTTAATTGGAGGCATAGTCTGCTTCCTGCCCTTGACAGGCCAGACCTCGGTCATCGTCTCCGCGTCCCAGACCCTGCTTCCACGCACGACATACCGGATGTCCCTCGTCCTCCTGATGTCGCCCTCCAGCACGTCAAACCCGGGTGGGTACACCACCAAGTCTGCGAGCTTGCCCGGCGTCAGCGACCCCAGCGACCCATAGATGCCAAGCGTCTTCGCGGCGTCGGACGTCGCCGCGCGGACGACCTCGTAGTTGGACAGGCCGCCCTGCTGTGCGAAGAACATCTCGGCGTGGTAGTTCAGACCCAGCGGGGGCTCGCCGTGCGCGCCGATGTGCGCCTTCAGGCCCATGCGCACCATCTTCGCGGTCGACTCTGAGGTGTTGAACAGCGCGTATGCTAAAGCGACAGCTGGTTAGCGAGCGATCGGACAGGTACGAACGAAGAAAGGCGCTTACAGTTCTCTGGCCGTGCCGTGGACTCGGAGAGAGCCTCGAGGATGTCGTGGCGCGTGAACCGCCGCAGCTTGGGGTCGTTCGGGACGTCCTCCGTCGCCCAGACGTATTGCTCGCCCCACGCGCCGCCGTAGTTGACGATGTGCGTGGGCGTCAGGCCTGTGCCGCTGTGTGCAAACAGCATCAAGATGTCGTAGTAGAGCTGCGGTATAGGAAGCGCGTGCTCAATCGTGGTCATGCCTGCCGCAAAAGCTCAGCGACGCCGGACAATCAGAACGCAGAGAGAGAAATGCGCATACCGTCGACGATGTACGTCTGATCCCAGTCGTAGTTCATGCCGCCCTCGGGGAAACAGAGCATCGACAGGTTGCGCGCAGCGAGGAGTAGCCGCTGGCGCGACGCGCGCGACGGGAGGTTGTAGTTCTTGTACGAGTAGCTCGCCGGCCCGCCCTCAGCCTTGATGCGGACCAGCGCAGCATATGCCTCGTCCATCGTCGTGATGTCCTGGTAGACCCCCGGCGCGCCTGCACCGTAGATGATGTCGCCGACCTGGAAGATGCGCGGCCCGTTCTCCTGGCCCCGCTCGACACGGAAGCGCTCCCAGAAGCCGCGGACGTTGTCTGCGCTGGGACTGTGAGAAGGAGCAGTGTCAGAGATCGCCATCAAACGGAAACTCGAAGCGTGCGTACTTGTGCAGCGTAGTGACGCCGTAGGCGAGGAACGTCTCTAGCTCCCACGACTTTGCAGGGAAGAAGTCAGCGAACCCAGCCCAGTGGGCGTGAACGTCGATGTAGCCAGGGACGATGTAACCGCCCTCGGCATTGATCACAGTCGCACCGTGCGGGACAACGTAGTCCTCAATGCCCACAATCGCCTCGACCCTGCCACCTCGGGAGATAAGGACCGCATCGTGTAACACGTCCTGCAGCAGGCTTCCAGACTCCATAGTGAGTAGCGTGGCATTCGTGAAGACAAGGACATCGGCATTCGCCAGCGCCTGCTCGTCATTGGTGCGCAGGGCAGCCATGGCATCAGCCTTGAGACGGCTCACGTCCGACGGGTACCTGACGACAATCTCGGAGAACTTGACCAGCTTCTTCGTGCACGATATCCCGAAGTTGAGTGTGTCATCCGCAATCTCGGACGAGCACTTGCCCAAGGAGGAGACTTCAACGGAGTGCAAATACGGCCCTGCAGACACAGTGAGTCCAACCGGTCGAAAGGATTCAGCAAAGAAAACGACATACCAAGGAACCAGAACAGCTTCTTCCCGTCCCCGCTCCACACCACATCATGCCCCCCGTCCAAACTCAGCCGCGCAAGGCCCTTCGTCGCGTTTCCAGGTTTGCTCCACACCGCCTTGTCGACCGCCACCTCCGGCACGTGGTACACGTGCATGAAGTCGACGAACGCGACCTCGGACGTGTGTGCGTTTACGGCGAGCTCCACGGACGTCGCGCCGCTCGCGACCGTCTCGTGCACGTACTCGCCGTACTCGTCAGGGCCGGCCGCGAGGTCGATAGCGAAGGCATGGCTCCTCTGTTGCACGAGGATCTTGGCGGCCTTGTCCAAGAAGCGGACCTTGGTCTGCTCCGGCGAGTCATGCGAAGCCGCCGAGGACACGAACTGCACGTTCTTGATCTCGAGCGTGTTCTCCACGAGCGACAGGCTGGACGGCAGGGCCAGGTCGGCGACGTACAGACCGGCGCCTGCCGTGGCGATGACTTGCCCCGAGAGGTAGGTTCCGCCGGCTTTCATGAAGGCGATCCGCCTCTGCCGCCCGGAGCATTCGCACAACACCGGAGAGAAGTACCGTCCAACCGGAAGTCCGCCCACTTCGTATGCATCGCCAGACGTGACGTTCGCAATCTCGAACGTCGTAAAGTTCGTGTCCGACCACCGTGCATGCACCACTAGTTCCTCCGCGTTCGGTACGAACGACGGCGAGAAGTACGCTGCCTGCTTGTCCAGCACCGGCACAGCCGCCACCGTCTCGTCTTTGACGTCGTACACGTAGTTGACACCCGCCGCTTGGAACACCGCCTTCGAACCGTTATCGTTAACGCGGAGTTCGGTGAAGGCATAGACACGCTGCGTGTCGTGGGTCTCGATGGCGAGGATGTCCGTATCGCTGTTCCTTGTGTCAGCGATGCGCTTCTCTACGTGTGCCAAGAATGGAATGGGCGAAGGAGACGCATTCGCCTTCGTGCGCTCGCCTCGTGAGTTTGTCGAAATCGGGACGTGGTAAATCTGACCGGCAGCCCAGATAATGATTGCGTCATCCTTGGGTGTGAAAGCGAAGGATGGGTAGGTGCCCATTGGCGCAGATATAGTGGTCAGATCGTAGGTCAAACCGTGCCAGACATGATGAATACTGCCAGTGACAAGGTCCCTGCGAAGAAAATCAGTAATAAGACATAGTAGATAAGATGTTCACTAACTTGAGCACGAGAGCCTCCTTGTCTCGCACACGACGGACGAACGCCAGAGTCCGACCATCGCGAGAGAGCTCAGGCCGGCTGGCACCACCAGGGAGGGAGCGCACCAAAGTCGTCGTCTGCTTGCTCGTCAAGTTGGTAGAGAATATGGCGTAGATACCAGAGTGCACGTCCTTGCCGTACGTGAACGTGTCGGCGTCGATGACATTCTTCGCATAGATCAAACTGTCTTCGCCATTCCAAATGAATTGTTCCGGGCCGATTTGCTGGTCACCGTAGTCCTCAGAACTCCAACCGAGAGGAAGCGTCCTCGAAACCACGCGCTTGCCGCTCCCCGCCTCAATCTTGGCGTCAAACGTGTCAGGAATCTCGTATTCCCAGCCTTCTCCGGCTCCGAGACTGCGCTCGGAAGTGTACCATTTTGTCGCAATGACTTTTTTGCCAGATGGATGGAAGCGAGCGTCAGAGACATAGCGATAAGTCTCGTTGGTGACTCGATGGGCTGTGAGGTACATTCAGTACGATTCATACAGCGTGGTAGCTGAACTGACCATGCAACCGCCCTTCCCTCAGAAGCCTTCTCTCCTTTGCCGATTCAGTCTCTCTGACACCCCTTGCTAGGGCATCTTCATCCTCATTTTGTTTAGCCAAAGCAAGCTGCAGTTCACCGTGAGCGTCCTGAGGACGAACGTCCATTGCGTCGCATCCCTTCCATGTCGTCATCCAGATATTCTCCACACCAAGTTGTGCATCGCTACGGAACACGACCTTGCTTCCGTCCGCCGAGAAGTGAGGGTCAGAGTCGTGCGGCACGCCAAGCAGGACTGGACGCGCCCTCGTGCGCTCGCCGAGACCGTCCTTGTACGCGCTCGCGGGTATGCAGTAGATGTCGCCGAGCATGTCAAAGACGATGTCTCCACTCTTCGGGTTCACGTCCAGGCGCATCCATGTCCCTTGGGTGGTATCGTAGTCGAGTTTGCGGGGGTACGGGAAGTCCGTGGAGATATCCCAAGGCGTGGGCGGGCGCAGCGGCCAGACGTCGTCCCTCCACTCGCTCGCGGGGTCACTGTGTGCAACCGACGGGCATGTTGCTTGGAGGAGCGTCGCGTCTCGTGTGAGATAGGTCGGAAGGAAGGTGGCGAGTGTCAGGACGGCAGAGAGGAGTACGACAAGTGTGAAGACACGCGAGCGCGGCCTCGCCCTGTGGGCGACGGGCTGCAGGCGCACCTCAGCGAGTCTCTTCATCCTGCACCGGGAGCCAGGAGAGGTTGGAGCCTGACGCAAGGTGGTGGTCGAGAGCGAGATGTATGGGTCGGCCGCAGCGCATGGTCGACTCCCATTGCGTGGGAACTCTAAAAAAAATGATGTGACGGCTTTGTTTAGTTATGGTTTGGTTGGTCGCACCTTGATATACTACTGCAGTCGCTCGGACGACTAGTCGATGTCATTGCACAGTGGAAGTGCGGGCTGGAAGGAATGGCATACTAGCAGCACGCAATGGCTGATCGTGCTTTCGCGGTCAGTATTGGCGGCCATCAGGAAGTTGAACAGCAGGAGCCTATCGCGGCGGGAAAGCGCCCGGCGGAAGGCAGTAGCGAGACCGCTTAGAAAATTTATTGTTGCAGAACCCTTCCGCATGTCGTGTCCCAAGCTGTTTTGCGAACCCGCTCTGGGTGGCGGACGCTTGATGATCCCGCCGTGAATCTTGATCGTGAGATTGTCGTCTGGTCCAGTATCCGGGTGTCGCGAGACAACAATCGGATGGATCTTAGACTTCGGCAGTGTCTCTTCTCCTTGCCCTGCACAGAGCCCAGACATATCTCAGACTGACGCAAAGACAACCTCGCTCACCGAGTTCCAACAAGACAGACCGTACGCGCACGTTCTGCGTGAAGGGAACGTGTATTATTATCTGCGCCTTGTATACGTTATTAGCTACTGAACTTGCTAGATGGAAGCCATCCACGCACCTGGGCATCGACGTTCGACTGTGCTGACACGCTCGTGTCGTTCCGCTCGTCCCAGGGCTTGATTACCGCTTGTGCATCCTCGGGCACTTTCAGGTTGAGCACACTGCACGCCGGATCACTAATTTCGATACACGGGCTGAACACGCAAGGCAATGTGCGCACGGGCTCACTTGGATTTGTCGATGGATGCGTAAAGGTTCTGGAGGTCTGTGACGCGAGCGATAGGCTCTAGCGTCGAGATCGCTGTAGGGGATACTCGGGTTGTACTCACCTGTAGGTTGGTAGATTGTACTAGCAAGGGGGGTGCAAGTAGTTAAAGTCTTGTATGGGCCCTAGCGGGCAGTGGGATCCTTATATACATGCGGTAGTGTCTCAGGTATCTACTTTATGAAACGTGGACCCCGGGCACCTAAGAGCGCTGGGGCGCTGGAGTCCAGTGTTTGGGGAGCGGCGCTTGGGCGCTTCAACAGTCTGTGCCTTCGATCGACGCGGCCAGTGTGTCTGCATCGGAACTCAAGCTCGTTACGCTGGAAGGAGAGGAGGTGGAACTTGGCGAGCGGGTATCCTATGCCTTCGCGAATCTGACCAAGCTACGAACACTCAAGATTGATGCTTTCACCGATCGCACAGCTGAGCTGATCAAGAAGATGCAGGCACCGCTTACGGGCATTGTCGCGTACTTCGAAGACGACAATCTAGCTAACCCTATCCCGATTTTCGCGCATTTTAGGCATTCACTGCGTGCCATGAACCTGACTTTTGTCGACTTCCACAGTGCCGAGATCCAATATCCCCACGTCGTCAGCCTTTTCGCGGAATACTACAGGATCCAAAACTGGAGTCCATCGCGCACTGTTTCCTGAGTCTACGTGATCTCAGTCTTTACATGATCGGAGAAGAAACGGAAATGTGGATGGAGGAGAATGAGATTGATGAGATTGAGGAAGAGCGACTGTTGCGCCTCAGGTGTGCATCACAAACACGCCGTACAGTGGCCATCGATCCATCGACTCTCAGGCAGTGTCCAGGAGCTATACATGCTCGGAATACGCTGCAGGGTGGATTACGTCGATTAACCCGTTGTCCGCTGAACTCGGCGGTCGACGGCCAAAGACTCGCTGTCATTGTTGCCGACACTCACCCGACAAGCCTCAATGCCAGCCTCCAATTACCGGACTTCGAGTTATTGTCGCTAGCCGAGCATCTGACTTGTGTGAGAGACAAATTAGTTGGGCTCAGGCTACACCTTGACTACCATGGCAGACAGTACGAGGACCCCTGTTCCAATGTGGTACGTATCTGTCCTGTATCAATGAATTTTACAAGCTGATCCATTCATTACCAGATTGACATGCTCGAAACGCTATCGACATTCCGCCTGCAGACTCTCGACATATATGTAAGCTGGCAATGCGATCGGAGGGACGGCGTACAGGCAGCGCTTCCGAGCTGTAGTATTTCCCGGTCCATTCTAGATGATTCAAAGGAACAACCCGCCTCGGCTGAGAAAGAACCGTCCATCGAGAACCTCGACGTGGGATCCATAGCGCAGCATGCTATGCGGTGCATGCCATCACTCCAATTCATCGCCATTGGTTGTGCGGTCCCAGTCAGAAGACAAGTGTTCGAAGTTACCAACAGCGAAGACGGTTCCCAGAACGGCAAGGTGTTGGTTGAGCTGGTAGCGGGATGCGCGGGATGGAAGAAATTTCACGAGTCGGTCATGTATAAGCCGTGGTGGGGCGCAGATTGTTCTTGGTATTGGGACGAGTAGACGTACAGCAATCGCAGCACGCCTGCTGGAATTCACGTCTCGCTCATGACGATCATGATACCGAGAGTGCATAGCAAAAGCAGAGCCCGGGACTCATGAGTATTCATATCTCGACGATCTTAAGACCAGACGCGCGGACAGCACAGACACGAGGGGAAGACTGGCGTCTTGAAGTCAGTTTGAAAGCGTGGAGCTACTTAAGCTTCGAAGTTTCAAATCCGCCGCCGCGGACGGGCGCTCTCAATCAACGATTAAGCTCTGGCTCCTTCGTCCACCACTTCGAATCCATTCAAGTTTGATGAAGCACACTCATGCCTGCAAGCAGTAAAAGAAACGCAGCTGATGCATTGGCAGACCAACGCGCTGGCAAAAAGGGCAAAACCATCTATACAGCCATCGGGTGGTGGGCCAAGTTCATCGCGCGGACCGACTCCCGCGGCACGATCATCGACCAAGGCGACCGATGCCACGAAGGATTCGAAGCGTGAGATCAACGTCGACACTCCGGAGCCTGTCATTCAACGCAACAAAAAGAAGAACGGCCAGCGCAAAGCAACTG